GCCCTCCCCCCCCCCCCCCCCCCCGCCCGCGCCCGCCCCCCCCCCCCCCCCCGCCCCCCCCCCCCCCCCCCCCCCCCCCCCCCCCCCCCCCCCCCCCAAAGGCATCGGCATAGTTAAACGTTCTATGGACATATCATCGAGCACTGTGAAGTATCCTATGTTCTAACTTCTTACGGAGTTCGATTGAAACAAGAAACAAGGTCCATAGAAACACACAGGGAATATACTATGTATGGGCTGGACTTGTCACAATGCGGCTAAACTCCAACCGAGATCCCGCGCTCGCCTTCACCACTTACGAGGAGCGAGCAAGTATGAGATTGAGGGTTGAGGATCTGACAAGTGTGAAACTCGACCACCATATCCCCTCAACGGCTGCGTCTCACATTTTATCCCGCCTGTCTTGGAGCTGTCTTGGCACGCACACAGTCCTTAGTCGCTTAAAGCATATATTGAACATGGTATTTATGGTCGCGTTCTAGCGGCCAGACTTGAAATTTTCTGTAGTGTCATCCTCTTAATCTATTGGTGTCTATGGTTTTATTGCACCTATCTAGACTAACAACTTTCATAATAGCTATCCATGCGTGATTTGCCTTTGGCCCCAATCCAACAGAAAGTAGAGGATTATGCACAACCGTTAACCAGGATGCTACAACTTTGCATGTCTAAGGCTAGGACAAGTAATATGCAGTCTGTATAGTTCAATTCAGGGCCCCTCGCCCTCGCCACTGTGCCTGCATTGTGATATGATGTTTTCCTTAACACCTCGACATACAAATTCCAGAAACCAGTACTGTCCTGACCAGGTCACCTTCGAAGAGGTCAAGTCCTCTTAGATTTACCCACGTTAATCACCGAAACTCCCAACGTAACCGAATTTGTTCAACTGTGAGTAATAACGCCTGACCACACTTACATGCCCTACATGTTAGTGTCCGCAGGTGTATCACCATCACCACCTTGAGTATCTACACCATGAAAAGCGTCACCAAACGCTGAATCTTCCATGTTCAGATCTAGTCCCTCACTCATCCCGCCAGGTGTTCCACTGAACCCTGCCAAGGCATCACCTGCTGAGTTGAGGTCTTCTAATGAGCTGAAGTCATTGTGATCACCATTAAACCCTACTGATGGTGTCCCGATGACTGAAGGTTGTTTGCTTGGAGAGCCCACTGCCTTAGGAGCTCCGGTGATAGAATTAGCGTCCGTGTTTCCATCCGGGGTTACCCCTCCTTTGGGCACAACAACCCAATCACCAGTGCCTGAACCGTGATCCGCCGCCGCCACTACATCAGTTCCATCCATCTTGATGTCGGTATTTTGATTACCAGAGATGTCTTGTTGATGTGATGGTGGTGGGTGAGGTGAGGGAATATTAAGATTTGCAGGTGTGGCAGCGTTCGAAGCAACGGCGGACATTGGTGGTTGCGGGGTTGAATGGGATGAAGCACTCGTGTGCATCTGGTCGAGAAGTCCTGCTGCTGTTCCACCCATGTCGATATCAGAATCACCCATCATGAACCCACTCTGCTGTGAACCCGCATGTGAAGGCCGGCGTGACATGGCATTGTTTCCATTCGCGGCTGAGGCTGGCCCCTCACCGATTGAAGCTGGTAGGACATTATCTTGGATGACAGGCTCAGGAGTAGGCTCCTGGTAACCTCCCTGATGGATTCTCCTTAAATCATGAATAACCTCCGCTCGACGGCTGAGGTGGGCTTCTACTTGTGAAACAATCTCATCAACCTTTTTATGATGCTTTGAAGGCCAGCGATTTGATCCCTCTTCACTTTCTTCTTTACCCTCAAGACGTACTGTTTCCACACTTGTGTCATCAGCAGCTATCCGCAATTCCTTTTCGGAGACAGTGAGAAGCGAATTTTGCTTGAATTTCGCCATTTGCTTGGCATGGTCGCTTTTCATCTTCTCAATCTCAGCTTGCGTAGACTCTATCCTATCATTAACTCGTTTTCGGAATTCGGTGGCCTTTTCAGGATCCAGGCGTGTCGTGGCAGGCTTCGTCGACACCTCTGTGATAGTATTCACGCCCTGTGCCTCGAATATGCCTTCTGTTAGACCTGCGAGCTCACCTTTAAGACCGAGTCCCAAGTCTGCAAACCCAATTTGACCCATTCTGTATGCTGAAGACAGAATTTCCTCCATCCATTCGTGATTCTGCTTATATCGGCTGACACTTACATCCCGTGGGGTTAGCATATCAAATAGATCACCACGAGACGTGTCTTCCTGCAATTCAAGTTCAGATAGCCCCGTGGGAACCATAGCATTCAGCTGGCCATGAGCAGGCTGACTAGTCCGCGGACGCTTAGAGGGTGGACCGCCAGCTGTAGGAGGATGCGGGGGGTATGCCATATTCTGAGGAACACCACGATTTGCGGATAACATGGGCTGTCTTGATGCATCTTTCGGCCAAGGTATTTGTGGCCAATTCCCTCTATCGGCCAGGATGAACTCCTTGCGCTGGATTTGACCGTATTTTTGAAGATAGCCACGGGCTTCCATAATAGTCTGAGTGCGGCGGTCGCCGGGGATGGCTTGAGATGGTATGCGCTCATTATTGTCAACGGGACCGTAATGGACGATCCAAAGGCTTGGATCAACCTGAGGCGCAGTGGGATTGGGCGCATTGGGAGGGATTAAACGAAACCGCCGTCGAGAGTGCGTCGCAAAGGGTTCTCCAGGAGCATAGCCAGCTTTATGGTAATACATCTCAAGGGTCTAGGAGTCATTAGTGGTCAATAGAAGTGCAGTTGGTGACGTCTGATGGCATACCACGCCGTTTCCAATCTCATGCGGGAAGTATGCCTCCTGGGGGGGCCATATGAATCCATCACTGGAAAAATGAGTCCCCATCTGCTGCAGAGGTTGCCAAGTAAGTAGGATCTGGCCATTTGTTGGCTTGTCGAGGTACGTCCAGAAGAAGGGCGCCATGTCGCGTGCGATTTTAGGAGCTTCCATCAGCCAAGCCGTGACCTCATTGGGCTGAACATGCGCCTTAAAGGTATATCGATGGGTCGACAGAAGATGCACATGGGGGAGGAGATCCCGGTGCACAGCATAGCTAGGGTCGTTCATCGCAGACATGGTGTCGTCTTTTCAGACTGCGATCCCTACAGATCGCCAGAATACTGTGACTCGTTCCAAATTATGATGAGAGCGCACACCGCGTGTGTTGATGGGATAGATATGCTCTGAAAGTTTGGCAGCCGCAGTAACCGCAAGATGATAGCGCCAAGAGCAGCAACGTCGGTGATGCTGTGAATTGACGAGGCTGCGCGCGCGCTGATGCTTGAAATTCCACGGTCGCGGAGAAACGCGCAGCGGAGCTTCAGGTCTAATTCAGTTTTGGCTCCTGTGGCGCAGGCGGGCCTTTTATGGGGCTAGTGACTTGTGGCGCACTGATTTTCTTGGCCCCGGTCCAATGTTGTTCTGACATGAAGGACCGTACTTAATACTTAATTGACAAGGCATGCTCCTACTATGCAGCTGTTTTGTTACTAAGTCACATCATCACCCAATTTGTAGTTCTTTTGAAGAGCTCAAATATCAAATATCCTACAAACCACATAAAGCCAGATATCGGCGTGTGGCCAACACCACCTAACCTATCCGTGAGAGGCTGCTTAAGTACATATGACAGCTGGGGCTCATCGTGATTCAGGCACAGCAGAAATTAGCACGAGAGGTTTGATCATTAATCAATTGAATATTTCCCATCCCATCTATTGAAGAAAACTAAGAAAAGCCCTTTACCAATGCATAACATCTTGTCAATGGGTTTCATTTGTCTTTAAGCCCATGAAAAATATCTATTTTCCTATTCGCCTCGCCATCTTATGCCTGGTATGTTGAAGCTGATACGTTGCCTCCACGACCAGTCCAGTTGACGTGGATATCCTTGCCCTCGGGGTACTTCTCACTAGCGGACTCGGGCTTGATTCTGAATGTGTGGGCACCAAAGTAGTCACGCTGCGCTTGGAGTAGGTTCGCGGGCAGGTTCTTGGTGCGGTACCCATCGAACCACGACAGCGCTGTGGCGAAAGCGGGAGTCGGAATTCCGAGCAGAACGGCCTTGGAAACAACGTCTCTCCAACCTGGCTGCGCCTTGTGGATGGCCTCGTTGAAGAAGTCGTCAAACAACAAGTTCTTCAAGTCTGGGTTCTTTCGGTACGCTGAGGTGATATCCTTCAAGAAAACCGAGCGAATAATGCAACCACCTCTCCACATCAAAGCAATTGAGGGCTTGTTCAGCTTCCAGTTGTATTCTTTAGCGGCCTATCGTTCTCACGTTAGTCAATGCACTACTGAGGGAGAGTAGTGGGGGATCTCCGACCTCTTGCATCAGCATGAAACCCTGTGCATAGGAAACAATCTTTGAAGCATATAGAGCCTGCTCGAGGTTGTCGAGGAATTGTTCCTTGTTGCCTTCGAAGGCCTGAGAGTTACCGACGAACTTAAGCTTCTCTGACGCCTCGGTACGTTCATCCTTGATCGATGAAAGGCAGCGAGCAAACACAGCCTCGGCAATCAGAGTAACGGGCATTCCGAGGTCGAAGGCGTTCACAGCAGTCCACTTTCCGGTACCCTTCTGGCCAGCCTTGTCCAGGATCTTCTCGACCAAGGCAGTGCCGTCGTCGTCGTTAAAGTACATAATGTCACGGGTAATCTCGATAAGGAAAGAGTCTAGAACGCCCTTGTTCCACTTGGCGAGAATGTCACCGATCTCCTTGTTCGATAATCCTAGACCACGCTTCATGATGTCATAAGCCTAGAGATAGTCGAGTTAATTCTGCTTTTCCTTCTAAGTTCAGTACATTCCAATTGTCACTTACCTCGCAGATCAGCTGCATGTCGCCATATTCAATACCGTTGTGGACCATCTTGACGTAGTGGCCAGCACCCTCGTCTCCAACCCACTCACAGCAGGCTTCACCAGAGCTCTTGGCAGAAATGCTTTGGAAGATGTCCTTGATATGGGGCCAGGCCTCCTCGTTGCCACCAGGCATGATAGAAGGACCGTAACGAGCACCCTCTTCACCACCGGAAACACCGGAGCCGACAAATCGGATTCCCTTCTGGGTGAGATACTGAGTTCGGCGGTTGGAGTCGGGAAAGTGGGAGTTTCCACCATCAATAATAATGTCACCCTTCTCCAGAAGAGGGAGCAGAGTCTCAATCCAGTCGTCAACAGCTTTGCCGGCCTGGACGAGCAGCATGATGCGACGAGGCGACTTGAGCTTAGAAACGAATTCCTCTGTGGAGTGAGCGCCGACAATAGACTTGCCCTTTGCTTCATTTTCCAGGAAGCGGTCGACCTTGGAAACGGTTCGGTTGAAGGCGCAGATCGTGAAGCCATGGTCAGCCATGTTCAGAATCAAGTTCTGACCCCTAGCAGCAAGAGTGATAGGTTAGATCGAGTTTGATGGGGCGGGATTCAAGATAGAGGCTGTAACTTACATGACAGCCAGGCCAATGAGGCCGAGATCAGCACTTTGGAAGGATTAGCATAACATCCAGAGGATACAGAGGCGGCGGAGCGCAAGGGGGGAAAGAAGCTCGCCTTGCACCACTGAAGGAGCTGGTGATGTTGGCTAGACGAGCTCTAGAGGACCCATGTCGTTTCAGTGACACGCGTCAAGAAAAAGAGAGGGGAGCATTGGAGAGAACCCGGAATAACCGGTTAAGCGGCTGAAGGGTTGTCACAGCGTCACAACAACATCTTCAGAATCACCAGCACGGCCCGTGTCGTCATTCACTAGTTCTGTTCCGACTACGTGGTGTGACGCAGTTTATTTGTGGTTATGGGAGGGGCAGGATATGAACAATGATAACAGACTTACACGGCACCAGACATGGTTGCGATTTTGCTGAATAGCTTTCTCTATAATATAACAAGGCACAATGTTACGGCAGTAGATATCTGCGCAAGGACAAGGAGGATAGAGGTCGAGTTGTACTTGGGGAGTGGGAATTATGGAGAGGAAGGTGAGAGAAGATGATGGTGGTGATAGAGGGGGGCAGAGGATGCTTTTCTATGATGGAGGGGTAAAAAAATTGGGAACAACTATGTAAGAGGCGGTACTACCAATGGTACCTGGCCGCGACCTGGGTGCAGAACTTTGGGTGGTACTGTAGGACGGCAACGAGGGTAGGTAGCGTCAACCGTGGGGTCATGCTAAGGTATGTCTACATGATATATACTTACCTATGTACCTACTCACTTATTTATGTATACCTCCTACTTACATAGTACTATGTATAGCCCAGTATACCGACCTGCTAAGTAATAATCACATTTACTATCCGTTCCTAACAGGAAAGAGACGAATACCGTGGTAGGTAATAGATAGATAGAAATACTTGGGTGTAAGCATGCAGTGGGAATGCCAGAAATGCCAGAGTCAGTGTCTCCATCTACTGCATGCTTACCTACCGACCTCGGTATGGAGCACTTAGTGTACATAGCATTTCACGTAGCCACGTTGCCCGCACGTGAACCTACCTACATTCATGATATTGGTATTGCAGATACTTGACTACAGGCCTACCTGATATGTTGATGTTGAAGCACTACCTTTAAGTTGCCTACCTGATACCTAAGTAAGTACATACCTACCTATAGGTAGACATACACATACACATACCAAATTTGAAGTAGGCGTTTACATGTAGCATGAGGTACCTATCTGCATACATTAGGTAGCTGTTGAAGGGGGGGGCAATGGCGGGGTTATCGCGGCGTGCATCTGCGCACAGAGTTAAGTACCTACCTAGGTACCTGACAGACATGGGTGTGGCCTGGCTTACTCAGATCCACAGTTTGCTCCTCTGACGCTCGCTACTGTACAGCTTGCATGGGTGCTTAGTAGGGACTTGAGAGAACCTAGAATGGCTGAGGAGGGGTAGTAGTTTTGAGGTATCTCTCTAACACAGCTTGTTACAGCAAAATGCGCTGCCACGCATTGATAACACGGCCATTTGATAATACTTAGTAGGTCCGGATCTGGTCCGGACCTACCTCCTTGGTGTCAAGTAATCCACAGGAATAGGAGTGGTTTATGCACGTTTCTGACAAGCCACCGGGGCTGCTGTCACATCAAGCAAGGAGTTCTGAGGCTGTTGCAGCCCTGCCGCCTTTCCGCCTTTGCAGCTGCGCATCGACAATATCAAACGAGTGGTTTACCCACGATATGTGCTCAACTCGGGAGACTTTTCCTGCTTGAAGCTGAGGATAGGTTCTCGAAGAAGTGGGGATAAAGGGGATATAATGCAGCTGCTTCGTAAATCAAAGGTAAAGTACCATAAATATAAAAGTGTGTACCTATGTTTGTCCCCCGAGGAGTGTTATGAGAGCCTAAACGACACCTGATTACCAAGCAACTACCTATATACCCACGACTGAAGAGATACCTGCATTGGGTAGATTTAAATACCTATGGGGTGATGCGCTGTGCTCTCCCAGTACTTCAATACTACATCGCCCACTCTGTCTGTCGAGGTACCCCTAGTGGCGGTTCGTTGCGATGGCAGGCTTACGAGCTATGCGTGTGAAATTTATCACTCATTCCCAGACCTTACCTTAATTGGGAATGCAAAGGCTCAACCCCATGTGTACTGTAAGTATCGTGTCATTATAACTCAAGCTGTCAACAAGTACCCACTGGGCGCATTATACACTGTAACTGTTGACTGTAGGCTGTAGCGGTAATAGGGCGCGGTATTGTTTGACGTCGGATATATCGCTAAGACCCATGAACGTGGAGTTTGGCTCGTCGGGATTTACGGATCCAGGGGATTAGGTGATAAAGCCTCTCCAACCGCAGTTAGAGATGACCGCCGAAAATGTCGCACAGCTAGCATGATTAGTCTGCCACAAGGGTCTCAGGTTCCCAACGAATGCGATGTACCAAAAAATTCCAGAGTTAGCCTGGAACAGATCTGAAGCAAAGCACTACCTACCAAGACCCCAGCCGAGTTAGGAGCATAGAAATTGCCTCAATAAGAAAGACGACTGGGCGTTCGTTACCTTACGTACATACACAACATAGATGGAGTAGGTAGCAGGTATGTATCTGTAAATAAGGCGCTCACCTAGTGTGACGGCTCGCTCTTGATAGGCCGAAAAAGGAATTCAATGGAGGCCCGAATCTCCGCGGAAAGGGCCGACGTCTATCTGTACACCAATCGAAACACACAGATTCTATCGTGGAAGCATTGTTTAGAGATATCCGCGCATCTTCCATATAGTACGCAGTAACTTCGCGTAATTGTCCAACATAATGAATAACGTCAATGGACTGGCCGAATAGCAATCCATTCATTTGATATGTCAGAACTACAATGTACTAAGAGAGCAAATGACTCGAACCGAGTCTGCACCTACCTAGGTACATACATGTATGTAGTATGATGTTACGGCTTGGTTCCTAAGATACCTAGGTACCTACTATCAAATAGCTTGATGCAAGTGTGGCTTGCGTGTATGCATGCGCCCACTACCATACTTAGTAGGTACCTAGGTACTTCCAATATAGGTAGGTATTGGTCTTATCTGATAAGCACTGCATTTGTCCATTCTTCCAGCCTCATTTCACAACTACTTACCTACCTAACACTACAGCTGCCATCCACACCCATATCAAAAGCGTAGGCATCATCTTCATCCGCCGGTCACCAACTCCATCCTCACGACGCTTCTCGACACGGTTGCAGGCATTTGAATAATATCAAGTGTACGAAGCTTAGAAGGCTTCATATAGAGGTACGTGTTGCCCAGAAACAAACACAATCGCGTTGGGCGCACAGCAAAGTTCATCATGTCCTATTCGGGTCCTCCAGGCTCGTCTTCATCCCTCCCGCCGCGTCCTCCTCCATCGAAGGTATCCGGCTTCAAACCAGCATTCCGACCCGCCGCTCCGCCCACTACTTATGCAGCCTCCAGCGCACCAAGCTATGCAGGCGCGCCTGCGAATGCGCCTCACTATGGAGCCGTCGCCCCGCCCTCGAATTACACGTCGTATGGCACTCAAGGTGCTCCTGTGAGTAGCGGTGCGTCTTACCCACAACAAAACGCATACTCGTACTCTCAACAAGGGTCATATCAGCAGAGTTACTATGGCGCGCAGCCCGTACCAACCACTGGTGCCGCCGCATATGCCACACCACCCCAGATACGAAATCCATTTCCTGCACCCAGTCAGACGAGAAACGATGACTACGATCCGGATATGGCGGCGCAAATTGCGCAATGGCAGAGCGCATACGTACGGGATCCAAAAGACGCCGGTCCCGCCACCGGCGCATTAGGCCGGACTGGCCCTGCCACGAACGGTGCGGCGGCGTACTCGGTAGAAGCGGCTAATCGCGCATCCGAAGCAGCTAACGCTGCAGCCATGGCAGGCGATAAGAAAAAAACCGTTGTACGCTCAGGTGGTGGGCAGAAGTGGACAGATGATACGCTCTTAGAGTGGGACCCGTCGCATTTGCGCCTCTTCGTCGGTAATCTTGCGGGCGAGACCACAGATGAAAGCTTATTCAAAGCATTTTCCCGATGGAAGTCACTACAAAAGGCGCGTGTTATCCGTGACAAAGTGACGAGCAAGTCAAAAGGGTTTGGGTTCGTATCTTTTAGTGACCCCGACGAGTTCTTTGCTGCAGCCAAGGAGATGAACGGCAAGTATATACAGAGTCACCCAGTCGTCGTCCGCAAGAGCACCACAGAGATCAAACCCCATGTTGTGAAAGATAAGAATCACGGCGGCAGGTGGAATAAGAACAAAAACAACAAGAACAAGAACCGCAGCGGCAATGGCAGTGGCGCTGGTAAACGCGAGGGCAGCTTTGAACCACATCTGGGACCTACAGGAGGTGGTGTTACAAAGCCGGGAGCAAAGACAAAAGACGGGCTTAGACTTCTTGGTTGAGCCACGATGTCTACTACAAGATTAGATTTTAATTTCTAAGTAAACATTAGAATCCCCGTCGTCCCGCCTAAGCCTGGAGAGATACGGAGGCATAACGATAACAACCCTATCGGAACCACGACACACACACCCGTAGCTGGTGGAAACCCCCCGATATAGGTGTACAAAAGACGCACACTGACTAAAGCACCGAACTATGTAGCCCACTTGGAGCTTTGGAGCTAGAATGCTTCATCTACAGATCGTTGCTTACATATTAGAATCGCCGAACAGAACAGTGCATTTTCGAGAAGTATAAAGGTGCGAGTTGGAAAGCTCGCAATAATGTCAATCGGTCGGGGTTACTTACATACATATATAATGACCATTGAAGAATACAAATCCCGTCTTCATTGCCAGTCAGTGTCCTAGCCATAATTTCCTAGTCGTGCGGTATTGATGTTACGATGCGTGCGTGTGTTATTTGTACACTTTGCTGTCTCTGTTTGCATTGCCGAGCCGCCGTTGCCCGCTTGCATGCTTTGACCTAGGTAGAGAGATAGATGAATTGATAGGTATGTACTTGACCGTAAAAAACTACATATATATGTTAAGTGTACTCTACTTAGTACTCATACAGGAGCACTAACGTATTTTGCGTTGTTAAAGAGCTGCTTCTAAGGTCTTGTATGGTTATACCTATCCGAGCTTCTACGACACATACATATGCTGGCTGGATCAGCCTCCAAGTTAATAACGTCCGAGAACCATGCATGCTTGGTACGCATATATAGGCAGGTAATATGGAGTAACAAGAGGTATTCGGGCACAATTGATGAAGACGGGGGTGAGAGCACGGAAATGAATGCCTATTCACACTTATATATGCTTAATATATATATACTGGTAGTGCATCAACTCGAAGGCCCTTTGCCCTCAACGACGCCCAACGTAATATGATTGCAGAGCTACCTATCCTACAGGGGAGAATATCTCTACTTAGCTCGTATACTTGTATATTACAAACCCGCTGACCGGGCTATCCCTTCCTTCTCTTTCCTTCGAGAGTCTCATTTTCCTGACCACACACATATATGAACACATACTCTCTCCATTGCCACGAAATTCGCGATTCAGAGGCAGTCGATCCTAAGGCTCTAGTGTTGTTACCCCCACCTTCTAAACCATTTTTTTCTCCCAAATGTTGTGTTTCGGGGAATTGGGTATTTCCAACAAATAAAAGTGATGCCCCGTAGGCGCTTTAGCCACCCAATGCTGCGTGATTCTAGATGACCATGAAAAGTGATAGACCAGACAATGAAAAAAAAAAGATATCGATCCAACTGTGATCGACAGAAGGCAATATACATGCTACATATCCCGTGAAAATGCCCTATATAACAACACCGAGATGAAAAAGAATATACTCATGTCGAATCTCAATCGTTGCGCTGGCGATCCATCCGGCTCTGTCGGCCATCCTCTTGTGATCTTGGAGTTTTTGATCTCGGCATCAGATCGCCGTCAATAGTTACGTGGTTCCCTTCCACATCACTATCCTCCTCGTGTGTTAACAACATGGCATCTTCATCATCGGCATCGTCCCCACGTTCAGTGGACGAGTCGGAGTGCTCCTGCTGATAGCTTTTGCTGTGAGCGTCTATCTGCGCCTCTCGTCGCATCTTCGTCAATTTGATGTAATTGTACGCTATGATAGCGATAAGTGTAACTAGAAGTCCAGAAATATTAATGGGCGTGAGCTTGTCATCGAACACCAAGGCCGCGACAATAATGGTGACGACCTCTTTGAAGATACCAGCGATCGACAAGGTGACGACGCTACTTCGCTGCAGCAGAGCGAATTCGCTGGCCGTCATGAGGAAAGCAATCGTTCCAGGGAACAAAAGCAGCAACGGCGCCTTCAGAAAGCCCCACTCCGCGCTGAGCGTCTGGAAAGCATTCCAGAAATTCAAAAAGCCTTCTACGGGCAACGCAATAAAAAGTAGCGTCGCAAACATGATGGGTGTCAGGAAAAATATGCTAGAAAAGGGGTTCGAAGTAGCGGGATGCCTTAACAGCAGGATCTGCGTTAAACCCCAGCGAAAGCCTGAGAAGAAGGCCGAGGAGATAATGAGGACAAAGCCACCGAGGTGAAATTCGACCTCCCCTGCAACCATCATAATCACGCCTGCCGTCATTGTCGCAATGATTCCTACTAGACGCCATGTTGGTGTTTCTAGGCGAAAAACAAAAGCGAAAAGAAGAACGAAGGCCAACGCCGATGACTTGCACATGGCTATACGTGGATTAGTACCATTCCGACAATTGGGCTATCACAAACCTACTATAAAATGTAAGCGTTATAAACTTCAACGACGTGTTTCCCAGACCAATATCGAGACCTGTAGCTGCCCCGCATGGTCCTATCCTGGTTAAGTAGAAAAGTTTGGTCATGATGGGTCGCTCGGGCTCAGATTCGTGCCTTGAGCGGCCCAGATCAGAACTGCGAGGCGCATTGTTCGGCCGTAGTGAAGGTATAAAGTATAAGACTAAGCTGGCTAAGGAAAACTGCACGAGCATGTGCATCGAAGTTGTAAATAGAGGAAAAGGGAAATTTAGCTGGCCGGAATCGAACATCCACTTGTTATACTATACGGCTCACATGTCAGCGTCCTGGGAAGTCATATTTCAATACAGGGCCCGTACCAGAGAAATGGATAATGAGAATATATACCAGAGCCCTATCAGGACAGCATTGATGGCTAACCTCCTGATGACATTCTGGTCTGCTTGTTTGCGCTCCTCGTCGGTTAGATTATCGCGTGCTATTCTCTGGTCCAACCTGGTATTCCGCCGTCGCTTGTCTTGCTTTCGTCGTTTATCCTTGCTAGTCAACCCAGTCTCTTCGTCATCGTGTAAATCCTCGTCCGAGAGAGAGTCGTCGTCTCGAGCATTCGGTCTCGCAATGTAGGCTGCCGCGTCCTCCTCTGATATCTTGGGCTCCACATCGCCTGTATTCTTGATGCTGGTGGCACGTGGTCTCCCCGTCCTTGCATTTGGCGAAACAGACGCGTTCAGACCAGCGCTCAGTGTACTGCGGCGGCGGCGATGGCTGGTCGGCGCTATTGTATCCATCTCGATATCTTCGGGACGGCGATGAGCAGACGCGGCAGACGAGGGGCCACCATCGGAAGACCAATCGATCTGGAAACTCGTGGTGGCTGAGGAGGCAGAAGGGGGGTTGGACAGATCGTTGTTTGCCGACGATGGGGCCAAGGCACTGCTCACAGACAAAGCCTCTGGTGCTGGGTGTCGGGTCAGCGAACGAGCAGAACGCTGTTGCTGATGATAATTCTGGCGCTGTGGTACCAATGGCGACTGCTGACTCAACAAAGGGGGAGGAGGCATGGTTTTCTGAATAGGAATGGTATCTCGCATGCGAGCTGTGCCGGGTCCAAATTAATGAGAAAAAAAAAAGCTAATTAAAACCACCATTGGATTTCCATTACAAAGTCTGGTATAGTACTGTACAATAGCGGTCACGAGAGACCAGCGACCAGAACAAGCATTGATGAATGTGCATGTAGTATGCTCCAATGATGACCCGCGGCTGAGACGGGGAGAGACATTGGGAGACCGATATGGATAAGTCTTGCAGCGACCTACACTAAATGAGCTACAGTACTAAGTAAGTATGGTCTAGCATGATCCAATCGGGAGAGTCGGGACGGGTCAAGGTGCCGGCGACTTACCTAAGTCCGCCAATACTCAAGTAACAATAATCAATCAAGATACCTATGCCAGGCTATGCCAGGCTATGCCAGGCTATGCCAGGCTATGCCAGGCTATGCCAGACTATGCCAACGGAGAGGGAGTGCCGGAATGTACTGATGATCTCGGCGGGTTGGTAGTAGATTGATAAGGGCTACACCATCGCGAGACTGTACCTAGGTACTATTACATGCAGTGGTAGAGGTAGCCTTCACATCACATATGTGAGTTTAGGTACATGTAGGTAACGCCGCCTGTCACGTAGACAGGTAACCTACTCGCCTAGCTAGCCACCTGACCTGACCTGAGCAATTCGAACTACGTACTAAAGACAAAGCGGCTTCAGTGGAGAGTGGAGAGATATCCACATCTCTATGTAATACCTTTACATAGGCTCGATAGGTAGCATCTGGTAGACAGTGGTAGTACATCTAGGTAGTGCATCTTGCTTTTACTGTACATCTGGGGCTGTAGGGGTCCAGCTCATGCGTTGCTGGGTCCGGAAAGCGGATCTTCATGTAATAGTAATCCACAATAAAACAAGCCCATTGCTCAAGGGTTCAGTCAATTTAAGGCTTTTGAGGCCTCTTTTTTCACCAGCCCAGGAAGGTCAAGGCAATCAGGACAGCCAAGGTCAAGTGAGCTGAGATGCCGTGATGCCGTTGCATTAAGCAATGTACTTAGTAAAATACCTACCTACCTACTTAAGTACTCAATAGTTCCCTGGCTATCGTACATGGCATAACAAAACAGGGAAAAACGCAGACAACCTCGATAACCAACACATGCTTGTCGATCTTCTTACCTGCTTGCCTGTCCTCGCCTGCCCTATTTCCCAATATGATGTGCGTGGTGTACATACCCGCATCCATACTAATAACCATCTGTTAAGTCGCGTGTCTGTCCGGAAGAAACCTGCATGCATAGGTACCTTAGTGTACATGCTAGCTGGACACAGGCTCCACTGCCGGTGCTGGTCCGATTTTGCTCTTCCGTGATCCGGATCCGCGGAGCTCCAGACTCATTATGAATTGGTTTGTTACCTCGTCGGCCACCTATGGACAGAATGGTTGTGCCCACGTCGGAAAGTGCTAGCCTAGGTACTTTTCATCTCATGTCACCTCGGGGGCCTTTTCAAAGAATAGCTTGAACCAAAATATATATCTAGTGCTTTGATTTGCCGCTGTAGAAGTTACTAATGGTTGTACAAGTATTGATAAATGTGTTGTGCTCCCGCTTGTCGAGCCTTGTCTTCGCGCAATCCTAAGCTCTAAAATGCAGTAGTCGCTCCTGTAAACAATTTTTATTGAACCTGTGAGTTGTAACATCTATTCACTAAGACAGAAATTGTAGTTCCTCTTTCCTATCTGGAGCAAATTCGTCTTTATATCGATGCCAGAGTTTCTCCAGCTCCGCCACATATAGGCTGTGGAGTTTGTTAATTTCCTCCAGATTCACTGTGGCGGATTTCTTCACTTTGATGGGCGCGCCAACCACAATGTTGAGAGGCCGGCGGTATGGCATCAAGCCCACGTCGTAGTTAAAGACACCGCGCCCATGCAAGAAAGGCAAGGTGAATTTCCACACTTTGAGGATAAACATCTGTATCTTGTGCACAAAGGGATGCTGTTGGGGTTGCAACTGATCATACAAGTTATTCTCCCCAAAAGCTAGGACTGGCACCAGATCTGCTCCACAGCGAACAGCCAATTTGATGAAGCCTTTGCGCTCATTCAGAATCAAGCGCATCACCCCTGGTTGCGCTTCGAGGGACTCTCGCGCTCCTCCCACGACAATGGTGACACCACGGCCCATGCCCTGGAGATCGTGACCGCCGCGGTTGAGAATGTTGACTATGGACTCCTTAGATACCGATCGTACGCCCATGCTCAGGATATATTCGCGATAGAAAGGAATTCGAAAATTGGAGTCTAATGTGAGTAGGCTATTGGTGATTCCAGGGAACTTTTGTGAAAACCCGAGAGCATCGGTGGCAAAGGCAGCCCATGCTCCATGAGAAATGATACCATGGGGATGATACCCAAATATATACTTGCGCGTCATGGGTAGCTCATGTGTCTTATGTAATCTAGCAGGGTAATAGTCGGCGAATAAGTGCCAGATATAGCTCTTGCGAAGCCACTCGGACCTATGTAGAGATCCGTCCATCGCCTCTTTGGAGCTGAGCACGTGTAAGAGATAAAGTAAGAGCAAAGGCCATGCGAATGGGTTGGCACAGAATGCGAAGAATAGCGATACTGTTGCGACTATACTCAGAGAGTGCATCAAGACAACGAGCGTCTGACCTCGCCGGCTGAAAGGTACATTCCAAGGCGCCCATCTTATGCCACCATTTGGATTACGAGGCGGCGGCCGATGGATTTCCTCCGGGTCCATATCGTCAAGTTCCGGATACGACGCGTCGTCGTCGTTATCATCCTCGCGATCTTTAACGTCACGATCGTCCCGTATCGAGCCGTTAACTTCTTCTTGATCGGCCATCTTTGAGCGAGCTAGAGTTTGAGATTGGACTTTTGCTTTTCGGTTCCACAATTGGTTCGTCGAGCTTCCTGGAGCTTTAGGGATCTGAGATGGCTTTTCCGGTGTGCACAGCTGATCTGAGGAACTCCGCTTGAAGTCTGGAGAACTGAGGACCTGAGTTGGTCTTTCTGAGGAGTGGGATCGAGTAAGGGTCGGAGCAGTCTTTGGTGCTCGCGATGGAGTTTCCGGGTTCGGAAAGCTAGACTGGCTGTCCTCCGATGTCCGCGGCGTTCTTCCCTTTCGCGGCGATGCCTTGTTGGCAGATGCTGTGCTATCGGGAAGAGGATTATCGTAGCTTTCCCGGCTTGCCTAGTGAATGGTCAGGAGTCTTTCTTCTTCGTACTACCTGGACGTTCTATGAGATCTTACACTAGAACAGCCACGCCGGTGACACCTTGGGGGATCTTCGTCACGTTTCGCTTCCCCTTCGCCAGCTTTGCCTGCTGTTGAATTCAAAGTACTTGGTTGGCTGCTTTTTCTGGAGACTGTGGTCGAGTCAGCTTTTTTGACCACATCGTGGCGGCGAATGGCCCCCGGCCTTGGGAGTCTTGAATTTGGAAGCGCGCCAGGCATCTCTTGTCGTCTCTCGGCAGTCTCGTAGTTGATCATACATAACTCCAAGTATTATTGTCTCTAGAGAACGGGAGGGTTGTCAGACATACATACCTAAGTAAAAATACCGGGGGGAGGAAGTCCCGTTCGCCTTGGGTCGATTAAGTTCGTTAGTGAAAGTGTCTTCTGCCATCTACTACCGGGTCGCGCCCAGTCAAAGTTAGTCTTGCAGGCATTCTCGGAAGTCAGTATTGACCATAGAATGAGAGTTCAGAGGAAAGTGACGATCGGCGCATGCATACATAAAGCAGAGAAGTGAAGCGTCTCAACAAGCTGGCGCAACGAGGGCGATCGTAACACACTCAGGATTAGAGGTCAGATTTATTTAGATGGCAAGAATCCAGTGTACGACGGGATTCCAGTGCACACGAGGAGGTATGACGTTTACAATTGTACAGATATAAAATAAAATTACAAATGTGAAGTAAAAGAAAGCAGGCGAATCGGAGCAAGAATCTAATATTGGGAAGGTCCAGGTAATGACGTTGCAATGCAATACCTACGAGTACCTTATGTAGCTACCTGGGACTAATGTATTGAGAATGTACCCTGGGAATTTGAAGTGGCTGGAAACCTCCTCAGGGTAAGTACCTCTGTAGGCTACAGGTCCTCCTATATACCTACCTGACCTACCTAGGTGCCTACCTAGGTAACTCGACCTCAGGCTACCTAGGTACTGACGAGGGAGCTAAAAGCGGACCCTGCGGCCCCCAAAACAGCTGGAGGGCAGACACGCATTGACATGTGCAGAGGGCCTGTGTAAACGCTGCTGATAATTAAGTACCTGACACGAACCTCGGCTTTGTGTAGCCAAATATCTACTATTTTGAAGCATACAATTCAATCTGTATTAGTCCAAGCAATATGTACCTGAGAAGTACTGAAGGCATTATATATATATTATATATATTTTTGAACTGGATACTTAGACTAAAGTCAACATGTCTAGGTCTTCATCGTCAAGAAGAGAAGAATAGAGCATGTAGGTTTCTGGTAGTAAAAACTCTAGATATTCATCAATTTTCGAGGTGGCTTTGCCAACGTGTCGAGGCGACCACGTGTAAAACTCAAATAGTAATCTAAACCACGTCGCATTAGATACCCAGACTAGTACCGTGTAAGGTGGTGTTCATAGCTTAATGTTTTAGCTGCAGCTTAGCATTCCATCCAACGATGCATCTGATAAGGTCCCAGTCGCCCTGCTGACCAACCCAGTCCGTGACAACGATGCCAGTTGTAGCATCGCCAACCTTCAAGCCAGCCGGCCCTTTACCGGTACAACCGTGGCGCGAGCAGAGATATTCGATGATGGCCGGGTTAGCCTTGGCTGCGATCTTCTCCGGCCAACAGTTGGCGTTAAAGAAGTTGCTTGCGCTTAGGAAGTTGATGAAAAAGGGCGTTGTGGGAGCGTCCTTACGATAGCCTTCCTGACCAGGAATGTGACAGGCGCCCTCGGCAGCGCGCTCGAGGTGTTTGCGCGCAAGCTCAATCTTCTTCTGGATATTTGTGGTCTGGTCGACCTCGTAAAAGTCTTGCACGCGTGCGATCCCACTACCCACGCGCCCATCCTCGCAGTTGTCCGGCCACACGCTACCATCAAGGGCCCAACCACGGCCGCCCCATTCACGGTTCAGGCTCTCGTCATTAGCATGTCGCCGTAGAAGGATGATCCTCCCGCGAACCTCGCCTAGTTTGGGAATCCGGGGCTCTGTGTACCATCGCTTGTCGTCATAAAACTTGTCTTTAAGCAGCGTAGATAGTTTCTGATCCGTGCCACGCCCTGTTCCTTCGCGCTTCACACTCATAATTATCGCTTCTGAGGGATTAGCGTCCAGAAAGGAGTAGATCGTGTCAACCAGCTCCTTGAAGTATTTATTTCCCGTTAGCGAAATGGGAAATGCGCTATGTACCAGAGTGAGGGTCGTATCGTCTTGGTTAACGTTGACCCTCACATCGAGAAAGCGAACGCCGTTCTCTAATTGGTCACGTACGCCAACAGCTTGACATCGCACCGAAGGTAATGCAACATGACAGGTCGGACTATTATGTGTGCCCGGTAAGGATAGCGCTGTCAGAGGGTACTCATCGCGAATCTCTTTCATCCAACGAGAGAGATTAGCGGAACTGAAAATGGCAAGGCAGCCCCCAGCCTGGATGTAGATTGCGGTGTACTCATTAGGTGCACCGTCTAGTCTCTTCATTACTGTGCTCTTCTTTGAAGCGCTCGGCACATCGGTCTGGTACCGGTGGCCTTGCGATTCAAAGGTTAGGCGTAGAACTTCACGCCCGGGATCCGCGGCACGGATATCCGTTGTACGGGTCTCAAAGGGCTTGAGCGCGATAGAGACATCACGACGGTCCCTCGCCTCGCCCTTGACTTGTACATCGGGCGACACACGTCCTGACGTCGAATTGAAAATATCGCCGATCTTACTCGTCAAGTTAGCGGCAAGACTTTTGACATCGTCTACACCAGCAATGGAAACAGGCTGACCCTCAAAACGCTCGACGAGCTTAAGCTCCAAGGGGGTCGCCGTGAGGTTGCGGAGGGTGAGGTCAGCCATTGTAATAATAGGTAAGGGTGGCAGCGAGGGTCGGTGTCAGACCTATTCAGAGGTGGAACAACAGCAGCAACAACATTTAAACATGATAGTCTCTTTAACTAACTTATATGGACATGGCCATCTCCATCGGATAACGCCAGCTTGAATCCGTGTACATATCCATGCCAATCATAAACATGTATCCAGCCAAGATTTGTTGTTGAGGGGTCACTAAAGCCGTAGCGCCCGTGTATCACCTGTGGCTTGAGCCGCGACGCAGCAGACAGGCGAGACAGGCCTTGACAGGGACGTGTAATACCTTAGATAGGTACCTACACAGTACGTAGTACATCCTAGTAGAAATCTGCTGAGGCAAAGGCACGGGGCCCGAGACTTGGCATCATCATGTCTACTGACCTGACATGTGCTGAAAATGCTGAAACAATCCTCAGCCTGCTTTTGCTTGGCTCGCTTGTTTAATACCTAGTCACCATGGTACATGAGATAGCTTGTGAAGGCATTTTCCAATCATCAGGCTGTACAATCTGCCTATGGCTGCGATGCACCATACATTGAGTGCAAATCACTCGGCCTGGTCACTTGAGCTATATCCCTTAAAGACTTCGACCTTAGCATAGTTGCCTTGAGGCGAATCTGCCTTCACAGAAACCGAACATGTAGTTTGTACAAATCCTGCTCAAAAAATGACGGTAGCTCCCATAAGCATACCTAGGTACTGACTGATCAGCCTCTGTCAGGTTCTGCCGCGGTATGGAGACACCATGCTGTGTACCATTGGCATCGTGACAATCAGTCGCTAAATGGTGTACTACCCGTCACGCCAGTAATTTCGGCCAGCTACGTGAAGTCTCCCATGATTTCCGTAAAGCATCCAATGACGATGGCTCTCGTGTAGGATGCGGTCCCGATTTATGCTTGTTATGAGGGCAGCAAGAACGATATTAAAGCCGGTAAGGCTTCACGTTCCAGGACCAGTGTGACTTTGGATTCTTAGCCAAAATAATCATTTCTCGAACATCGCCCGCGTCGGGGCCGTTCTCGAGTTGACCTGCCTCGACAGACAACTGAGCATATTTCTCCGCCAACTTCGCATTTCCAAAGAAATTGTAGTTGAGTGCGGCAAGAGTATACGCCCCCGCAATGCTATTATCCAGGCCCTCTGTTCTATACAAGGACAGATACTCTTCGATCATAGCCGGTGAAGTTGTTTTACTATTGAAATCGGATAGCTCACTTTCAATTCGAGAAATCGCCCGTATCCGATTGTCTGAAGCGTTTGACTCCTCCTTAGACAGCGTACAACTGGAACAGGCACAGGAGAAGCCGAGCGAGTTTCGCAATCTCTCCTGGCGCGCCGATCGAATCTGTAAAGTGTCCACATACGAGATGGTGAGCTCTTCTCCAGGTTTGATGTCTCTAACAGCATGCGTATGATGCGTCAGGTTGTTATCAACATAGAAAGCCATACTAGCCTGCATTAATATATGAGTGTCGTTAGATCATGTAATCATTACTTACTTTGGACGGCAATCATGATTTAATATTGACACCTCGGGGTAATTTCCATAGTGAAATCCATCATTTCCACCAAGAGTCACCTGAAAAGAGTTCGTAAACAAGATGTCAATGATCTTGCGGGAGCCGGCTTGGGACATGTAACTTTCTTTTCTGGACTTCGGCAAGTTGTTGACTGCCACATCCATCAAGTAGTTGATGTCCTCAAGCGAAAGCTCTCTAAAGGCATTTCGATGTACCAGAAGAGCAGGACTGGTAGTCATGATTCTGTCGCCTCTGTGAATCATTCTAGTCGCCACCAACCCTTTCCCTTTGCCTGGGATATTGGCAATGCGGGTCTTTTCCTGATGTGATGTCGACCCTTTCTGGGGGGGTTGAATATGTGCCACACGGGCATGGTTTGAAGCAGTCGTGATCAATGATATCCCTTTGTCGAAGAAACCATCACTCGTATAAACGCAATATTCTTCGAAGCAATCAGGAGAAGTCCTCCACGTATTGCGCTCCAGACTGCTGATACCACTATTGGCGTAAAAGCTTCCAGGGTCCTGTACGTCATCTGGGAATTCCATGATATCCATGGGAAATTGCATAAACCGTCCAAAATCCGGGGAAACCCCGCTCCACGGGCAAGTATTCCTGCTAGGATCTGCCTGCAACGCATACCCCAGTGGTAAAGCTGCTGCTGAGAGTAACGAGCAAGGACGGACAACGCGCATTTTGTTCTGCTATGTCCGATTGAGGCTGCATTCAAATCAAGGTCCTGCGAAGTGATAGTCATATGGGGTCGTGAAATTTGATATACCGCCACATAGACAGATTTTATGTGATTGAGAGTCGACTGACATTTATATAAGCCACTGTGCACTCACAATTATTCTGATACTTGCTTACCTGTGCATTTCAGGCTCTTCCTTGATCACCAAGGCCAAGGGCTTGTGTCATGGATTCCCACGTCTTTCGTTTCACTTTACTGACATTACCGCATCCTATTGGGGAGTCGTTTGGTGGCTAAGAGGAAACAAAACCCAAACCGTGTACGTTTGATCGCTCTGCCCCTAGCTGAGTGCGGCTCGGCTAACTCCGTCCCCTGACAAGCGAAAAGGCTTCCCAAAGCGGGAATGTCTGTGTCTAGCCCCTGTTCTTGGTACTGTAGCTGATTGGCGTCTTGGACACAATAAAGCTTGGCTAGATGTCTCATAATGAAGGGAAAGCTGAAAATGAGCAGTATAGATGAATAATAATATGCAGATTGTCATCGAAAAATAGAACAACAATACCATTGAGCAATCATTAGAACCTCCACGGTCGTCACTGATGAAATATGAATGGCGCCGCTAGGATCAAGGAATAATTACTAACTAATGGGCTTGGTGGTACGGAGTACTTCTCTTCTCTCTTTGTTAAAATGAGATTATGAATCTTATATAAGCACGATAGAGTCATGTAGCGAAGCAGAGGCGACATCCTAAAATGATTCTCTGGGTTTTGGGTACATTTCAGCTGCTAGTGTGAGGTATACGGCGCACATAAGTGTTCTTCTACTATCAGTGTTATGATCAGGGTATAGTCACCACATAACTCCTGAATATTCAGGGGACAATAAAGGGATAACTAACTTATAGCTAAGCTTTAATCATGGCCCAACCAGCAATTAACTAGGATTAAGAGAATATGGGAAGAATGGAAAGTGCTAAACTCACATTAAAGATCTCGGTCGAGATGTAAGGGCAGCAGTTCGGCATGTCATACGTGCAAGGGAGTTAGGTAAAATTCTCATAATGGAGCCTCCCACTGTAGCCGTGAGGGAAATAATAAGCCGGGAGCATGCTACCTTCATCTCGTATTCAGCAAACTACTAATCCAGACACAAAGCGCCGGAGGTGAGACTATTATCCTAACTTTACCCAGCAGGACTAGAGTAACGAGGTACCGAGCAGAGTGACATACCAATAATACCAATAACTCGGAAGGTTGGGGATCTCGACGTGAGTATTCTCCAGCTCACCCCATGTACAAAATCACTATGTAGTATTACATGTAGTGAAAGACCGAAATATTGTCTTTGGGAACCATCGGATCTTGATTGGCAGATACATGATACTTTCGCCGTGCTTTCGAATGACTGGGTATACCTATATAAGCAGAGACTATTAGCCGTAGCCCGGCTAGTATTTAGTAGAAAATTGCTATGATTTCAGTACGATTTCCTGGAATTTTCCTATATAGTTATTAATCTCCATATATCAAACGCCCAACTGCTGTCTACAAAATGGTGAATGGTACATATAATATTTCTAACCATTTCGATTAATGTAAAGTTGTCTAGTTTATGGTCAAACCCTACACAGCCCTTCTTAGAAGCCCGACAGATTCTTACCGCCGATTGTGACATGTCCGTTCAACCCGACCTGTAGTTGTCCATCAAGAATTGCCCTGCCTTATTCGCGTCGTCAATCTCGACTGAGAGACTCAGGGCCTTGACATCTTCTAGCTCTTTATCCACAGCAGCGACCTCGTTCTTCACAACGTTCCACGCGCCTGCGGTCAAAGGAAGTCTGATAGGTATGGGCTTGAATTTAGCGAGCGCGACTACCTGGTACATCGCATTGGCGACCCTGTCAGCCGGTGTCCAGGTCTTCTGCATATCCGGGTTTTTGACGTAACCTTCGAGGATCCTCGTGGGGCTATCGGCTGCTGCATATGCGGGATGAGGCTCAAACCAATCCATGCTGTCTGAAGCAGCGAAGTTGGTACTGGTACCACCTGGCTCGATGAGGCAAAAATGGATGTTCCACTCAGGGCGGACTTCCTTGCTTATGCCTTCTGTGAAACCCTCAACGCCGAACTTGGCTGCATGATAGAACGCAGTACCAGGGAAGCCGGCGAAGCCTCCTAGAGACGTCACGTTGAGGACCACACCTCCCTGCCGGCCGCTTTTAGGATTTTCGTCACGAAAGACGCGAACAGCATGGAGTGAAAGCCTTGTAGTTCCCCATAAGTTGGTCTCGATTTGCTTGCGGGCTTTAGCTTGGCCCTCGGGCTGCAGCGCCGACTCGGTGTCTCCCATCAAGCCATAGCCCGCATTATTGACCACAACGTCAATGCGACCGAATCTGGATAGAGCGGAACCAACTGCTGCATCAATGGCATTGTCCAAAGTCACATCGAGATCAATGATGTGCACTCGCTCTGATGGGGATAGGAACTCAGCTAGCTTAGACACATTTCGCGCCGTTGCTACAAGTCGATTTGTAGGGTGAGATGCTATTTGCCGGGCAAGGGCCTTCCCTATGCCTGACGATGAGCCGGTTACTGTGTTGTGGGACTGGTTAATTTGGAGAGCTCGCTGGAATCCTATGAGCAAGAGTATTCTAGTACGTACTGAACCAGACTGCATCTGCTGGCAAGTCGTAGATATGTGCAGAAGCCATATTGCACACTGTTATATTTCTGTTTTCAAAACGGTGTTGATAGTGGTTTGGAGAAATTCCCAAACCGCACTGCCATGTGTAACGTCAAACCAAGACCGGGGCTTCATGTATTTCAGGTAGCTGCTATTCACGGATTTAAGGTGGCCATATCGTATATACGGGATGGATTATGGCCGTATGGCAAGACAACATGAGAAGACCCCGTAATGGTTATTTCCTTGCATATGACGATGATCTAGGCTGTGCCTACAGCAATGCCGTGCTTGCCTAATGAAAAAGCTACCCTTCGCATGTTGTTTTGGGTTTGGAACGACTTGTCCTATCTCTCTGATCTTGGACCTTAATTGACATGTCTTCCAGATAAAGCATTGCCTAAATAAGTGGCACGCAGATATAGGGAGTGCCGATCCTCGACCGGCGCGATCCGCGATCCACGATCCACGTTCGGGTTCGGGTCGCGACAAGCACATATTGTCAATGTGCTAGCAATCTGTATACACGTAATCGCAGAAGAGGAAATTTTCCATTATACGAATTGCTCTTCGAACGGTATCACTATCCCAATAGAAACTAGACCGTACCCGTACGTCAGCGATGACTGCTATCTACGGGCCTTTCGAGTCGTAGCATTGTTGGTTGGAGCTTGAGGTGGTGCCATGAAGAGGGCTGTGATAACACTACAGCCACAGACACTACAGACAGGGCTGTGGCTAGTAGGTAGGTAGGTACCTAGGTAGGGGGCTAAGCCTTCTAATGAAGCGGTATGCACGCTACCTACCTAGGTACAGTGGCGCGAGCTCACCAGCTACCTAGGTATCAACGTTCCATATCCTAGCATTTATAACGATGAGGCATCGTATCTTACGGCAAAGAGCCCGTACAAATCACAATGTACCGCAGGCGAGGCACATTCGGATGCAATCCACTATATCGCAGAAGCTCAGTATCATAGCATCTCCCAAGGCGACTCAAGTGAGCCGTATCTACCTATCCTCAAATAGGGCTACACACTAACATCACGCAGAAGCAAGTTCTTAGCAAACTAGAGGAACATGTTTTGCAAACGGCCAAGTATCATGATTCCGGGATGAATGGTATCGCTATTCTGGCATCTAAGGAATTTACGAGCTGGACAGGTGATAATCATTTCATGTCCGCATTTCTTCAAACATTATCGCCGTCTAGGAGTACTGTCACTACTGAAAGCCTACATGTGTTGTCGGGTATAATGGATGGCCTCGGCCCACATCGGCTGTCTGGTGAACTTTTATCGGGCTTTTCAATACTCAATGGACCAGTCCTAAAGATCCTCCCCTCTCTCTATCATTCGGGCGTTGGCTCTGATCCAGACCAGAGCTCGTGCGTCTCCTTTCTGACACAGCCTCTGAAAGCAAATGCCGGGAATCTTGAAGTCACTATGCCGCTAGCAAATACGATATTTCAAAATGGCAGGCGTACAACCTTTTCGGCAACTCGTTGGGATATCAACAAAGATGGGTCGATGGTCAGCATGGAGAGCGTTCCAAAAACAGCACAAGATATAATAACAACAAACGGCCCAGCCAAGTCTACGTTGGCTACGATCCCTCTCTTACCATTGACACCACCAAGGAAGATTGTTGCCGGGTTAGGGAACATCGTCCGCCAGCTTGAGGTAGACGGTTCTACAACACCAGCATCAAAAGAACTTGAGGCTATCTTACCCAAGATATCTGAAGAAAGATCCCATGGTCAGTCTGGCTTGCCGAGTCCATTGGGCGTATGGTGTTGGGTCATCCCCCCTCATGTCACTGGCGCTAAGAGTTTCATTGACCTGCAACTCTTTAAGGCCGGTTCCTCTCAGACAGAGGCAGACATAGTAATGAGTTCGAATGGGCTCTTTTCAGAACTCTTGTCGTCTGGGTGCCGCCTGCACAAGATCTGTACGAAACACCACCATCTTCTTCTGGCGAAGCTAATCATTTTACAGTGAGCGGCGGTGGTGGCTGGGGACTGAAGCAGGGGCTGCTGTCTCTTGACCCAGAAACAAGTTTTCCTGTGCCTGGTCGAGATGATGACATGGAAATGTTTATCAGATCATTCGAACAGCGAAACAGTGCCGAAGCAAACACCGGCCTGGCATCGCCGGGATGGTCTCTGCTCTTTTGCGTCGAACCCCAAGTGACGAGTGCAGAAGTTCTATCTAGTCAATGGCTTGCACCGGCAAAAGGCTGGCATTTTGGGGTTGCATCACATCTTGACAACACGCCGAGCCCTAGTTCTCAGTCTGGGCCTGTTGAGATTATCGATGATCATTTTGGCATAAGCTCCGCGACAGGCCTTTATCTGAAAGGACACCCAGGCGAAGAAGCTGTGGGTAAACTGGGATTTACAACCAAAATAGATGTTCCAGGGTCCTGTTTTCGCTGTTGAAAGTTCTCAATGTTATTGTATCAGCTCAGAAGAGGGGGAGGATAGAAAACAGGGTAATCACATCATAATTGAGGATTGTTAGTATACTTTATATATATACAATACATATACAATATATATATCCCATAGCTCAATAAACGATTCCATGGATGACAATGCTGCATAGTTGTTACCTATGCGCAGCGAGGCACGAGCCCGCACAGTGTTACTAGACGGTGCGTGTTAAAAGAGATTCGGTCCAGCAGTAGCTTACCTACCTAGTTACAGCAGGTCCCTAGCCTGCCTACTTCATATGCATGCAAGGACACGAGTCTCGCAAGGCGAACTTCAACCTTTGTCGCCTTCTTTCCATTCCAACATCCAGCTATTCACGACCGCCATTTCTATCTTCAGTTACTTTCTAGGCTGCTCTCCTCTGTCAGAACTTACAACATGGACCGAAGTCTTGACGAGATTGTTGCAGAATCCCAGGTATGGATCCGACGTCTCCTGTGTCTGATGCCCTGCAAGCGTGGTTGAAGCATACCAGTGCGGGTACTAATGTGCTTCTTAATGTAGGCAAGGAAGCGCGGTAACCGCCCTCGACGCGGTGGTGGTGGCGGCGGCGGCGGAGGCGGCAGACAACCCCGCGAACGCGACCCGTATCCTCGCGATGGCGTTAGAAAGGTTCGTCGCGCGACACAGTATTTGGACTCGTGCCTTTTGCAATGTCTCACTCACTATTCAACGTGTGCAGGTGGATTTCTCCTTTCCCTCATAGATCGATGCTACCTCCCTGCTCGAATTCCCTCACGTCGAAGCTATCGCCTGACGGCTCGATGCCCTGGACTAGGATCGATGGTGGTATATGCGTCGTGTAACATCAGCTAACCAAGGTTCTCGTCCTGCGAGACAGTCAACCAGAGATGATAGGAGAGGCTTAGATTCGTATGCTATGTATGGGTCCAATCTATGTACAGCAAGATTAACAGCTCTTAGGGACTGGGTCCACGATAAATTCGAGGGCTTTCATTGTAGGCTCAAGCGCTCACCATGCTGCACTCAGTATTGCTGACTGTGACTAGCCCGAGACCATGCCCGCAATCCCCGTCGAAGACGTTCTCCCGAGCTAGCCCAGTTAGTATTCCGGAATACCATCAGTAGCATACCCAATTCCTCGCTAACGACTGTGACAGGGATGGTCGTGGCACAAAGCTTAAGGTTGAGAACTTGCACTATGATCTGTCAGAATCCGACCTCGAGGTACGAACTAATCCACCCAGAACTTGGAGGAAAATATAATTAAGCCATCGCTAGGGTCTTTTTACCAAAATTGGCCCTGTCTTGAAACTGGAGCTTTTGTATGACAGAGCTGGACGCTCAGAGGGCGTTGCATACGTCACGTACGAGGTCCGGGATGACGCATTAGACGCAATTCGCGAATTTAATGGAGCGAATGCCAAAGGTACGTAGCCCATAGGTTACATGCCAATGTGTCCTGACACGTTCCGTGAAGGCCAGCCTATTCGCATAACCCTTCAGTCTTCGGCACCAAGACGCAACCCCTTCGATACCGCTCAAGTCCCCAACAGGCCGCTAGCTGAACGCATTACTCGGCCACGATCACTATCGCCCAACGACCGAGGGATTGACCGCTATGTCCCTGAAGGCGGAAGGCGTTCTCACAGTCCTAGACCTCGACGCCGTGGCAGACGAACAGGGACACGACGAGATAATACAGGGGAGGGCACTGGACGCCCTGCAGGTCGAAATGGTCGTCCCAAGAAGACTCAAGAGGAACTGGACGCTGAAATGGAAGATTATTTCGAGAAGACTAGTGGAAACGTCTCCGGTCAGGCTACGACAACTGGCGCCAGCGAGAATCAAGCCGAAGCGCAAGCTACGGATGACGTGGATATGATCGCATAGGAACCGATCACGCGTTAAACACTGAGAATGCTAAATTAGAACTTAGAATATACATATCGAGGCTGGTATAGTCTAAACGATCCACTACTCTCTTCCAACAGGCTGAGCTTCGACATCACATGCTGTTTTGCAAGATATTCTTATGCTACTCTATAGTCTAAATAGGTTACTGGTCCATTATCAGATGCCTGATTTTCTCATCGCTATCTGCGTAATTTGTGCTACAAACGTGACGAAGTGTTAAGTGACATTGGCGTTGAGGCTAACCGTTTCGTTTGGTGATTGCTCCAATGTTCTTTTGGCGCCGCTGAATTTCTCGACGTCATATTGATTTTACCTATTTCAACTCTGTTTCTAGCCACACTGTGGTGTTGATTATCTATATCTGGGAGCGAGTGAGTCAGGCTATAGGAGTATTATCCCCTCACAGTTGGCCTCATGATCTATTCAGTACTAATGGTCAATTTCTTCAACCTCAACCATAGAAACTAGGGAAGTCTAATTGTTGCGATTTATCTAGATACTTAGTCGTTCTTCTTCCTCTTATTCTCTAGACCCTCGGCCATCGCCGCGGCCATATCGTTAACATCAGTGCCTCGTTTCCGCTTGCCAACCTTCTCTTCACCCAGAACCGTGTCTTCTGCAACGGTCTTATAAACATTCGCGACGCCTCGGAATAGATCTTGCGGGAAGCCGCCCTCCTCGTTAAAAGTCAGGGCGATCTCCTCCATCTCCCTGGCCCAACGGTACGCCTTGGGCGCCATGTTGATGACGCCTCGCTCTGCTGATTTCCAATGCGCCGGGACGAGCCCTTCCAGCTCGCTCTGCAACTCATCAAGCACGCCCAGACGCTTTGCTGTCGTGAAGGACTGTATCGCGAGCGACGTAAATCCCTTCGTCAGGCTCGCAAAGCACATTTTCAGCCCCGAGGCAACACCAATCTCATCGGAGACATGTCGCAATTTGAGGATGCTAGAGAGCTTCTCCCCATAACCGGGGATATCAGAAACCTTGTGTGGGCCCGAGATTGGTATGCTAGGGACATTCCATTCTGCGGCCCCTGAGTCTGCGGATCCAGAGGCGGTAGGCTTCGGGGCAGGCGGGTTCCCAATGATGGCGCCATCAATAAAGCGGACCTGCCCCCGCGTCTGCTCGAAAAGAGCCGCGATGCTCCGCGTCGTGGATGGTGCCACGGCGTTCAGGTCCGCGAAGTACAGCGGCTCGCTCCGCCGGAAGGGCCCCGTGATGGCGTCGACGATGCGCTGGGCCGTCGCTGTGGCGTCCCGGGGCGGCACCACAGACAAGATAACGTCGCAGGCCTCAGCGAGATGCTCGTCTGACTTGTAGATCTCGACCTGTGCGCTCTTGGCCCGCTCCATCGTGTCATTACTGCGGCCATCAGCATCTATCATTCACTTCCTCGTGATTCCGGGTAGGTGTTTAGGCTGGTCAAATGCTTGATAGAATAGTTTATGGAGCGAACCTTCGACCTTTGCAGTTTGTCGCCACGGAGAATCCGTTCGCGATCAAAAGCTTTGCGATGCCCATTCCCACTGCGTACAATGTCTGGGGTCAGTAATTGCCATTTTACTCCATGTATTATTTTTGCTAGTGATCTTGGACTGCGATGGGCTTCGACAGGCACTCTAGAATTGAAGACCAGATGTTGCTGAGAGTTGGTTACTCACTATCTCCGATTGAGATAACACCAATCTTGGCTAACGGAGACGTCATTTTTGGCTAGAATCTTGAACGGTATCGGCTCGTAGAATAGGAATTAGGTGAGGGAAATAAGATGATTAGTTTTGATGCTACTTCGCTTGAATTGCAAAGGTGCGTTTGTAGCCTAGATTACCTGCATGCCATGCGCAGGTAGATAATGTACTTAAAAAATGCAGCCTATCGCCGATATCGAAGCTAGACCCCAACTCTTGCTCTTTCACGATAGTTGGGCTGCACTGGCTTTGGTGACCTGTGTAGATCTAGCAATGATGCAAAAGTAGATATTGGAGGAATAGAGCAGCGAAATTTCGCGATAGCTACGACTGTAGCATTCTATGCAGTCACCTAGATTATCATATCGTGATGACGAATGATACCCCGCTTTCGCTCGTTTCGCACGAGCGATGTGGGGTCTCTTCAACTTGACTAGATACCTATTGATATGCATGTGGCAGCTGAGCTAGAGAGTTCTTTGATGATGGGGATGGACACTGGCGAACACGGGGCCTCTCTTGATGCTGACTTGAATAAGCAGGCTACGATGGGCGGAATTGCGCCTCTTGACCATACATGCATACAGACCAGTTGTAGACGTTAAGTATGATAATTCATATGTATACATACAAAATGAGTGACTCGGGGGCTTATTAGGCAACAGATGATATTTGATTTGGCAATTCAATACGAATCTTTACGAGTTCGCGGGCTTCCCCCCCTGGGATGACAAGACGACGTACAAAAAGCTGAGCTTTGACATCTTAGCCTCGGTCAGATTAACAAGGCCGGCGGGACCATGAATTCCCGAGAGGTAGGTTGGTTTTACGCTGCGAATAGATCAATCGCAACACTACAGGCTTTAAATATCCACATACCTAGCTCACTCGCTTTCGGGATTATGCAGGCAATGACTTATATAATTGTATGTATCCACGCGTCCCATGTTGGCAGAATTCCTACTATCTACCTACATGGGGGTTAAGGAATCTTAGGCAACAGCGTGGTATTATTCCTTCCTGTACATGTAAGATGCCACCTACGTACCTGGTTAACATTCAGCACTATAGGAGGTAGGTACCTAGGTAGTTATCCCGTCGCAACAGCGCGTTTGCTTCTCTCCGTTGTGCGATGCGACCTGGGTCAGATGTGTGCTCGTCAGCACAACTCTCAATTTTGGGGTAGGTACTAGGCATCGACATGCTTAAGCTAGGTATGCTAATGTTGAAGAACATGGCTAGATTGATTGTTTGTTTACCCATATTTATGTATACTTATGCATAACTTATGCCGTTATATACATATGTATATACCTAACCCATAGTAATTTAGTGGGTTAGGTATGTTTAGGAGATACAGAGAGAGGTGTTTCTAGTTGCCGAATCTGAGACATCAGGTGTGTGGTAATAATGCCCTGCTGGCGTTGGCTGAAAAGTCTCCGAATGAGGCAATGGATCTGAGCCGGCGGCATGATTCGAAGCGGATGTGTAGCGGGATTCACGGGACAACCCATTCCCATTCCCGCAGATAGGTAGTGAGCACCGTACCTACTCGCCTACCTCCTACCTACCTAGTACCTACCTAACCTAGGTATGTACTTAGGTAGGGGCCCTGTGGCGGTCTTGCGCGGGCTCCATCCCCAGTTCTTCAAGAATACAAGAATCATCGATACCACCTCCCCCTCCGTTCGTCAAGTGAATATGGCCGCTCGTCTCTGGTCCTGGGCTCGATTTCTATCAAATAATAATTAGCAGTCATTCGCCCATCTTCTGTGTTGAAACGTCTGAGACAGTCGAAAACGTTTGAAACTCGAGTCGTTGATTGACACCCTGTTAACATCTATCTTTTTTTTATTTCGAACCTCAGCAGCGTCCCTGTGGTTCACTCACGACTTTGCATCGCTAAAGAGGCCTTTTGTTCTTATTTCATTACCTGGATCTTCATAGAGTAGCTCCAACACAAATTTGCCGCTATTCTTTCCCTTAGAGTTTGCGTGCATTCATACCTCGCCCGCTATGGTGTTTAATTACTCCTGGCGCGGAGCCCTTGCATTCTCCGTTGTAGGATCCTACTTGCTCGCCTTATACCAGCCACCATGGTGGAATCTTCACTTTACTGGCGGATTTATTAGTCTTTGCTTGATTCAAACTTTCGCCTGGGCCGTTTGGACCGTAATTCTATGGCCTAAGTTGTTCTCCCCGCTCCGAAGTCTGCCGGAGCCGTCTGGAGGTTCGTGGTGGAACGGCCATTTCGCAAGGATCTTGGCAGAGCCGAGCGGTATTCCCATGAGAGACTGGTAAAATAACCCTTCACTTTCGCATACAGACTTTGGAAGCTGATTAAAAAAAACTAGGGTCGGCACTGTCCCCAACGATGGGGTCATGAGGTATCTTGGCATGGCAAATCGCGAACGAGTGCTTGTCACTGGCCCCAAGGCATTATCGGAGGTCTTGGTCACCAAAAACTACATCTTCGAGAAGCCTCAATCACTACGTTTCAACATTGGCCGTCTCCTCGGTGAGGGTATCCTCCTTGCCGAAGGTGACGAACACAAGGTGCAGCGCAAGAATCTTATGCCTGCCTTTGCGTTCCGACACACCAAAGACCTATATCCTATCTTCTGGCACAAAACCCGCGAGGTGGTTCAGGCCATGGATAAGCATATCGTGACTGACGCCGCCAACCAGCCTACGTCCCCCGACTCTGAGAAAGCCGGCAAATCAGCTATAATAGAGGTCGGCAACTGGGCTTCTCGCGTAACCCTTGACATCATTGGAGTCGCTGGGCTTGGTCGTGATTTCGGTGCCATCCAAGACGAGAACTCGGAGCTCAATGAAACCTACCGACAATTATTCACGCCTAATCGGCAAGCGTTAATCCTGAACCTTCTCAGCCAGTTTATACCAGAGTGGGTCATCGGTAGACTCCCTGTGAAGCGGAACGAAGATGTCAATGCAGCCTCACAGTATATTCGTTCAGTTTGCCGTAGTCTCGTCCAAGAGAAAAAGCAGAAAATTGCTCGAAAAGAACCAACAGATCACGATATTCTCTCAGTAGCTTTGGAGTCTGGGGGGTTTTCAGACGAGAACCTAGCTGACCAGCTCATGACATTCCTCGCCGCCGGCCATGAGACAACAGCCACTGCAATGACCTGGGCAATATACATGCTAGCAAGATTCCCCAAGGTACAAGAGCGTCTGCGACGGGAAGTTCGCGAGTTGCTTCCTCCCATCGACTCTGATACCGACATCACCAGCCTCGATATTGATCACATGCCATATCTTAACGCTGTCTGCAACGAGGTTCTGCGGTACTACTCTCCCGTGCCAATGACTCTTCGTGAGACTAATCAAGATACGGAAATCCTGGGCCATACAATACCAAAGGGTACCAGAGTTGTTATTGCCCCGTGGGCGACAAATTTCGATAAATCACTATGGGGTTCGGATGCCCACGAATTTAACCCTGACAGATGGATGCCGACAAGTGCCGACGATAAGAGAGCTGCAAGCGGCGGGGCTACAAGCAACTTTGCCTTTATGACTTTCTTACATGGCCCTAGAAGCTGTATCGGCCAGGCCTTTGCAAAGGCAGAATTTGCTTGTATTTTGGCTGGCTGGGTCGGCCGGTTCGAGTTCGAGCTCAAGGATGAAGAACAAAGAGACGAGAAAAATATCGAAATCAAGGGAGGTATCACTGCCCGGCCCTCCAAGGGCATGTATATGCGTGCGACAATTGTGGATGGTTGGTAAGGTTTAATCATAGGTTAATGAAGTATATATATCCACTACTCAACTACTGTATTATGCTTTAATTCATGGAACATGACTTGCATACTCTCTAATACCAACAAACCCAACACCCGTCCCTAAATGTCTTTTGCCTACAAACCAACAATACCAACCTTTAGGAAGGTCGAATCCTCGTCAATCTGTTTCCTGAGCTCGCCATGCTTAAGCTGGTCTACATCCCACGCGGCCCATACGAAGCGGCCATGTAGGAAACTAGCTTCAGGCGAGGCCGCCCATACCGCGAAATGGCCAGGCAAATCAACATGGTCCCACGGCAAATCCTCCTCCTTCCAGCCAGAAGTCCTGGCTGCCTCGGTAAAGATGGCGCCCGGGTGGTAACTGATAATCTGCATCTTCTCCGGCGGGCTGTCCATCGCGATTAGTTGTAGCATCAGCTGGCCCGAGTTCTTTGTCAGCCCATATCCGAGGGCGTTTCTCGTGATACGGACGAAGTCGTGAATAGAAGCCGTAGAGACATGAACGAGATTCTGCGGATATCCAATGTCAATACATATATGGGCGTGTATGCGAACCACATTGTTCTGGAGGCAGATCCTGATCCGAGGGGAAAGAAGACAGAAACAAAAGAGGAAAAAGGGAAGAGAAAAGGTCCACTCACCTTCGCATCGGAAGCGCCCTTGCCCTCCTGCTTATAGAAGCGTTCCGTCATCTGCATCTGCGCGCGCACGTTGAAGTCGAAAATCTTCCAGACGTCCTCGGTGCCGACTTCAAGGAGTGTCTTCTTGGGCGCGAACACAGCGGCGTTTAGCACGAGGACATCAGCGACGATGCCGTCGTCCCGGAGCTTTGCCCATAGCGCGTCGACTGAGGCCGCGTCGCCAATATCGCAGGGAATGCCCAGGACGGACCCCGTATACGTTGTGCCGGCCTCGGCCGCCAGCTTTTGCGCTGCGGTGGCAACGGAGTCCTTGCGACGGCCTAGTATGATAACTCTTGCAGCCGAAGCGCGAATGAAGGCTTGCGCGACGCCATATCCGATGCCTGAGTTACCCCCTGCTATCACCACCGTCCGGCCAGCTTGACTCAACTCTGGACGAGAGGGACTGATGGCCGCGTAAGAGTTCTTATGGACAGGGTCCGTGAGCGTTGCGTATTTACCCCACATGTTGTCGAGTTGCTGAATTCAGGCCTCTTGGATGAGGTTTGGATGTGAGCTTGCAAAGTATGTTTAGAGGAGTGTATGCCTCGAGTGTTGGATCTGTGTTATGATATGGGTTTGAAGAAGTGTCTCGACGAGAGACATCGTCGCCATTTATATATCGTCGACGCCTAGTCTCGCACTTATTTCGTAGCTCTTCGAGACACCAGTCTTGCCCCGAACGCCCAAGCCCGTAAGGACATGGGAGCATCCCGAATGCTGACTTGCTTGGCCAGCTCTATGACTCTGGCGGTATCGAATACGGCGGGCGCTAAGACGGCGCTCGGGGTTCCCTGTGACAATCTTCACGGCCTTTTGAAATCACGATAATAATACAAATCCATTCATGATCACCTTATTCGTTGGAGCTCTGCATCATCCTACAGGAAGCTGAAGCAGCCTTAAGCGGTGGGGGCGGACATATGTGGGCACCTGAGGTTAAGAACAGCGGATTCATGGTAAAACGTCAGCTCCCCGCGCGGGAGCTTCAACGGACCCGTGTCTCTCCCGCGACGTGGATACTGGTGATGGCGCCAGATCCGTCGCTGGTAAGTCTCCATAATTGTGCGCCGACGAGTCGATGCTCATGAATCCCCCCACCCCCGCTGTAAGGACTACCCACTTTTGTCCGTCTTCCTTTCCGCTGCATGAAGTAGGTAAGCAAAGCAGCTATCTTCGGTATCTGTCTATCCTGCCCAGACTCGGTATTCTGCTTATGACTATGAGTCCTTTCTCCGCCTACTATCCGCCCACGATGTCAGGAGTACAGCGTTGATGGAGAGATAAACGGATATGGATCCCACGCCGTCTGATGTGACCTCACTTGTCAGCAGGGTACGTCTAACTCCCTGGCGAAGGGCCTGTGTAGCTTGTTCCAGGGCGAAGCGCCAATGTACCAAGCAGGTGCCAAGATGTCGACGATGCGTAGAGAAGGGACTACACTGCGCCTATCTTCCACCACGGCGGCCAGAACTGTCTCCTACTACGGCGGGGGCTGAGTGGCCGCCACTCCACTCCGACGATACCGCTCTACGTCTTGATGGGAGTCTATTAGCTGCGTCGGATGTACCGAACCCCCTTACTATGCCAGGGGGCTCCGCCTTTGAATTCATCCAGATGGCAGAAGCGGACTTAGAAGGCCTCGAGTTGCCTACTGACTTTGGTCCTTCGAGACGATCTCAACCCATAATCCCGTCTGATAATGGCCAAGTCAGTCTACGAGACGTCTGGTTCTTAGCCCCTGAGACTTGGATCGCCGAATTCACCGAGCCGCCTCCTACAACGCTCCGCGAGACCGAAAAGTCTCTTAAACAGTACATCGAGAGTGTACAGTCGTGGATGCGGCAATGGGTGACGGAGGGTCACAGCCCACTTCACCACCGCGAACTGTATTCGTTCCACATGCCACGGCACACTCAAGATGCGTACACGGCGATGGCCACATATATGGGCAAGACTCAAGGAAACCAGGCTACAGTGCGCCAGATTCTGGAGGACCGCGTTTCACAGTTACTGCAGGACCAAGTGGTCGCAGCATCTCTAGGCACTGAAGCGAGCAACGGCAGCGGACTAAGTATCTTCGCTCACGTGAGCCGTGTGCAGTCCTTGCTATGCTACCAGCTCATCCGCCTGTATGACGGCGACATCCGTATGCGCGGGCAAGCCGAGACCCTGATTCCGACTATGTACTTATGGAATAAACAGATGCTTGAGAGTGCGAAGGGCAGCTTGGGGCGACCTGAGCTTTTCCTCACTTCCTCGCCCTTCGAAGTGGATGGTTCGATCGATGCTGCAGTAGGCGGCTGCCCCCTTGTCTCACCAAAGGCCGTATGGCGCGCCTGGATTATGGCCGAAAGCGTTCGGCGTACTTGGCAGGCTACGACTGTCGTGCAAGAAGTTTACAAGTTCTTCAAGGATGGGTGGTCGGAATGTCCAGGTAGACTGCAGAGTACGATGCGGAGGGCACTATGGGACGCGTCGACGGCGTATGCGTGGGCAAGGGAGCTTGGTGCTGACAAGAACCCGCTTCTTGTGTCTATGGCGAAGCTGGAAGAGGTATTGCCCCAGATTACCCCCGCCGAGGTCGATGATTTCAACATTGCGTGCATTGGACTCTACGGAATGGAAAGGATGGATCGGTGGCTGGAAGAAAAGGGGCGTTTCCAACCCCAGCTTTTGTCAAGTCCGGAGAACATGTTGTATGGGTTCTAACTAAGCTGGAACATACAACAGATGTTCGAAAGCCGCACTTGGGAGATGTAGTATATACACATCTCTACTGAGATCGGCTAATGACGCTCTATTGCACTTAATCTAGCCTATTAAGGGGCAGTCAAGCTCCTAAGCCCTTCAGTGGATATGGTTTTATGCGGCAGCATTGTGCATGTCGTATACATCCAACCGCCATGGGCGGTTAGGTATTGACTCGTTAGAGGCGGCTAGGCATCAAGTGCATCGGCACATGAGGGGAGCATACCCTGTTAGCATGCATAACAGATGAGATAAAAGGGTATTGATCCCAATTGTGACACATCTAAAGCCATATCGCTACACTGCGAGTATATAGTCTGTCATGTTGAAGGGGATTTTTTTAAGGACCCAAAGTATTAGGATCTGAAGAGAAAATGGAATGCGAAGGATGAGAAAGAGGACTGACACCAACTTTGGGATAGAATCTCATTCACTATTCATGGAGTGGCACTCGGACTCTCTAGCCACCTAACCAAAGAGCTGATGGCTATAGAGCGATCCTCTAGGTTGTGGAATTAAGGAATGGCTGCGAGGAAAGTTCCATCGGAGATGAGCTCTTGTGTTATGTTTTCATATTACCCCCAATCTGTGCTGCTAGCCGCTTCGCTATTTGACTTCTCATAGAATCTCTAGCAATCGAATGTCAAAGGACGCCTACCAGCTTTGAGATACCAAAAAAGTCGATGTTCCCTCCTCGAGAACTAGATATGCGAAGATGTAACGGTTGCATTGACAAAGCAGTGCGGTGTGACCCTCTATTGTTGGGAGGGGAAGTCGTTTCGACCAGCCGTGAAGCCACAAGGCGAATCTAAAGGAAGACATTGCTGGCTAATAAACAAAGGAAACAAGCGAAGCTTACGGCATGTATCAGCAGTATTACTAGCAGCAATGTTATCGAGGAACTCTGGCATCTTTGCGTACTATATAGTACATACCAATGACTGGCTCTCGTAAATTAAGCGCGAGCTCATTGGAGACCGGCAACCACCATCATACTTCGTAGTCAATGATCGGCTCTAGTGCCCAACGCGAGCCTGACGTATACAGTGCAGAGTCTTTGTATAATAAAGACAGTGTCAACCTAAGTTGTTCCAAGTAATATCTTCATAAATCGCAATCCTACCTCCGACTTCGCTATTTTGCAAGCTAAACCAACGGTGAAATGGCATCGACTGATCTTCCCACCACAAAGAGTTCACTCCTCGCGATCCCCTTGGAGATACGCCGACACATATACGGGTTTTGTATACCACAGAACCTAACATTTGATTGTTCCGATGACATGTACTACCAGGTTAGTTCCCTAGAGTCATTTGTTCGCTTTAGACAGTCCTAGGCCTCATGGCTTCTGTGTGCTTCGAAGGCAAAACTAAACCCGTTCCCTATCTGGCAATCACTAACTCCAGCGTGTGTAAAGAACCGGCCCGTCGGCTGGATCGAACCACTGCGGCACGTCAACGAGAGCTATGACAGATATGCTAGCGACGACGAGAACTTCTTCGATGGGATCGAGTATCTCCACAGCAATTGGAAAGGCAAGGGGAAACTATCGCCCCTGGAAGAGATAGAAGAGATCTGTACCGAGGACTCTCTAGTAGGGAAAGGCAGCTCTGATGATCGAAGCATAGAAGATGACCTCGGGCTTTATGGGCTTGAAAGCCTGCAGTTCCCTCCCTCATCATCGCATATGAGCTCGCTACCCGCTCTTCTTCTGCTCTGTCGCCAGATAAATGAAGAGGTTGAAACAATGTTGTATGAGGGGAACACATTCACCGTCGACATTCATTGCCAAAGCCAATACTATCTCGAGAGGCAATTCACGAAGAGGAATCGAGAGAGAATGCGGAATATTATCTTGGTCATACGGCCGATAGGTGTCCCCTACCAGCCTGAATCTCTCATGGATCCCGACATATGGGACACCGTCCTCGGTAACCTCATCTCCCTCGGCGTCGTCATTGAACAGCCCGAACCGCCCCTTCTGGAGTGGCTCGAGGACAGCGAAAAAGAAACCACGGGAAACTTCCTGACTTTCCTTCGTGACAGGAAGAGAGAGGCAGTGGGCCAGTGGATGACTTGGCTCCTGCCTATCTTCGAGTACCTTGTCCGGGCCGTACCAAAGCAGACCGAGATCGTCGTGGACGTCACTGAGGAGGAAGATACGGTGCAAGCTTTGGATTTCTTCCAGAAAGGCCCTTTCCGGTTCCAGAGATTACCTGGTGCAGACTCCGTCTCTAACAAGGTAGAGTTTGCATGGGAGTCGGGATCTAGGGAATCGTTTTACCAGGATGTTATTGATGAAGGCCCGACTAGTTGCAAGGACATCATCAACGACAGCGACTATGAATATTACTATTCTGATTAGGACTAAAGTGGCTTAAGACATACTGAGAGAATAGGGTAGTCAGTTATTGGGGTCTTGTTCAGCACTTTTGCTGATGACAAAATCGGATGTCTCGATAGAATGTTAATCTAAAATGCATGATATTTTTTGTATACCATCTTACTAATGGATAACCTTGACAGGTAGGCAAACAGCGTGACCATCTAAACTATGCATAGCTATGTTAGACCCGTGTGCTTTAGGTGCTTGATAAACTCTGTCTACTGTGAAATCTTGTCAAAAATTCGATTGAAACCTCCAGGCACACAGGTTTTCCCTAACCAGAATTCGGGATGAGGAGGGAGGACCCTTCTTGTACACAATTTCTAAGGATTACAGGTCGCTCTAACTAGCTACGTAGTTCGTCCGGCTCTCTTTGGCGAGCATCAGATGTCCATTCATTTAGAGATAGCCAGTGAGCTTGTAGGACAATCTCCAGGTGTCACTGCTTCTCTCTTAGCTGGCATTTTCTCTTCCAATCCATAGTTCATTGATCCTTAACTCCGGCGTGTAGTTTAGGAAAAAAGGAATGAAAAGGTAATAAATAAGGTAATGATTGAGCAGGAGTGCTGTTACTAATATTACAACTAAGGTCTAGCCACCATGATGAATAATAAAAGGCATAGCATAGCTAAGTTATAAGCATGGCATACTCATAGTTTAGCCAAAATAAATTAAAATTAGATAAGAATAACTAGTGTTAAAAGAAATGGGAACTACTGTAAACACACTGCACTCCCTTGGTTGCACAACGCGAACAACACGGCATTTGCCGATCACACTGGCGCCTTATCCGTTTACAATTAAAGCACGTACGCTCTGATCGTTGCCCAGGAAGTAGCGGTGGGTTGGGGGGAGCGACCACGCGTGGAGAAGCAGAGGGAAGTGGAAGGTTGAGGATGCGTAAGCTCAACTTTGGTCTCGGTGGGTTAAGGGGCGGCCCCGTGTAGCCGGGCGGTACTGGAACAGGTCCTCCTTCTAACCAACGTACATATTGAATGTGGTAATCGGGAGGTTGGCTATATTTGCTGTCGAATATCTGGGGTTCCTGCCCAGGTTTCCCCAGGCTGAGATAGGCGTAAAGCTCGGTCCCTAGGCCTGTGCCCCTACGGAAAACCCCGAAGCCTTCAACAGGACACGTCTGCGGTGTGCCTCTCGCAATACAGCTCGTGCAAGGCCGCTGGCGTTCGCAATTGGTTTCGAACAAGCTGCAAGCAGTACAGGGAACCCATCTGGAGTTGTATTTGGCGTGAGGGTTCGGTGCAAGGGCAACACCGTCTACGACACATACTAGCCCATATGTTTTGCATGTAGTACAGCCTGACTGGAACCTTGCTATAGGATCAGCGATCCATACACAGGTCCTGTACATCGAGGACTCCCTATCAGCCTGGCGACATACGTGACATCTGGCTCTCCTGCGGTCTGAGGTTGGTGAAGTCTCTCGTGGAAAAATGTTACTTGGAACTGGATCTATCCCTGACCAATTTGGAGCGTTGTGAGCCGATACAGGATCTTGGCCTGATAGCGAAGCGGGCGCTGCATCTCCAGCGGAGTCATCTCCCTTTGTCACAATGTATCTGGCCTGGTTTGGCGAGCTTGTGACGAGGAACCTCATGATAGGCGATAGAGATGGCAGTGAAGGATGGTTCAACTGACTCAAGGGGTCTCCTGGCGAAACCCCTTGGGAGGCGTCCACTACAAATGGAGTATTTAAGAGGTTTAAATCTGAAGTTTTCGGAGCAAGTGATGGAGAACCTAATAAGGCCGAGGGTGAGGGTACGTCACCTTCAGGAGTAGGGATATCGTTCAAATCAAGTTCTGCGCCTGGTGACCCTGCGAGAGGAAGAAGAGGGTCGTCACTCGTGATCAGGCTTGGATCTACTGTTAGTGGTTCTGTCTGAGGATATGGCTCGGCAGCGGGGTACATACCTCCCTCGGTTTGAGGGTGATCTTGGAAAGGAACATGATCAAAATTAATAGAATGGTCCTGGAAACCTGGTATACCAAACAGGTTGTTATCAAAAGGAACGTTGGCGTTGGTCGGGGTGCTGTTCGTGACGGCGCACTGTACCGCTCCAATTGCACAATTGGTGCAGATGCCTTGCTGGTTGATGAAAAAATCGCAATCAAGTCGTCGTATCAGACAAATGTCACAGGCGGATTGTCCGGGGTAAAAGTACGTCCGCCACGCTACGAATTCCGAAACTTTGTCAGGGCCTCCGTTTCGGAAATGCTGCTCTACTGCGTCAGCATCATAGTTGGGGTCTTGAGGGTTAAAAATGTTGGTAAACACATACTGGCCAACAAAGTGCATATCTGCATCTTCCATATTGGCGAGTTAGTCTTTACCCTTCCCTTTTGTTCTTCCTGCTTTATCTTTCCCTCTTGGCTTTACTCAGCTTAGTTCGAGATTGTCAGCTTAGTTAGAAGTGAACTATATGGTTGGGTATTCTAGCGCCTGTTGATGGGGTTGAGTAAGGAATAAATAGTATATGGTGTCTGGAAGTTGTTGTCTGGAAGTAAAGAAGACACCATCGTGCAGAATATTTCTACATATTTATATGATATGTGAAACATCTCCAGCATCTAATGTATTAAAACAAGCGTATTGTTCATGGCCTTGTTTATCAACATTGATAAGCTTTGTCTTTGTTGGCTCTTGAGGTTTTTGTATCAAAGACTACCGACTACGCCTCCATCAGCTCATCGAGCTCCATCTTTATGTGGCTGGTGGTCACTCCCTTTAATGATAGTAGATACCATCCACTCTTGTTACACAATATCCGATTACTCAGCAAAGTCAATATACACGAATCACGAGATGAAGATTGTGCGAAAGTGAAAGTAGAAGAGGAAGTTGACTTGAATACCTCCCATGGCCTTTGAAGGTGAATCTATGGCTGAAACACTAGAAGACTGCGACACAAATAAGTAAAGAACATTACAAAAGGTATGAAAAGACCGGATGGGAGATATCCATTATCTCGTTTTGATCTCTCGTTAGCTGGAGTCTCCCAACGAAACATTCTGTTGCCCGTCCCAGGCTGTACCTGTTGATCTTGGTGGCGACAATGACGACAACGGCATAACCTCCTAACCATCTATGATCATTCGATCATTACTAGCGCTTCTTTCCGCCGGATGCTGGTGATTGCTCATTCCGTAAAAAAAAAACTTGCAGAAAGATCCGTTCGATTCCTTATATATCATGCAGGGGCATCCAGACATAGGCTTATATACGTCGTCAAAGCCGCCAAAGCCGCCCATCGTTGTGGGTTAAGATAGAAGTGACATGGGGCTGATGCCCAGGTAAACACCCGTCCCGTCATGGTCGGAGTCGCTCTACTTTTCGGTAGATTTGAGCCACACTATAGGATGACGCATTTTGAGCAGCAACCGGCCTCTGCTTCGCCGTCGGCCATTTCCATCTTGTCCGGTCCGTTGGCGCCACCACTCCGACCATTGTTTGTTGACATGCCACCAAGATTACGGTCGTAGCTTCGGATTTCACGCACGACATCAAAGAAAGCAGCCTCTACATTGATGCGAGACTTAGCAGATGTCTCAATATATGGGCATCGAAATTCTGCAGCGCTCCTTTCAGCCTCTGATGAAGTGGTTAGTCAAACTATCAACAAGCGACAGGTAGGCATTTGCTATTACTCTCTCTTGTGACCACACGTTCGTGCTCAAGATCACATTTGTTGCCCACCAGTACCACGGGGAAGTGATCGCCCTCTTGCTTGCCCTTAACTCTCAAAATCTGTCTGTGTAGAGCATGAATCTCATCGAGCGATTCTTGGGAAGTTATTGAGAATACGAGCATGAAACCCTCTCCGTTAACCATGTACTGTTCTCTCATAGCGGCATACTCTTCCTGGCCAGCGGTATCAAGGACATCGAGTAGGGCTAGTTCGTCGTCGATAATGCATTGCTTTCGGTATGAGTCTAACAAAGCGGGAACGTTAATCTAGGATGGCGTGAGAAGTAGGTGGGGTGAGAAGCCTACGACGTACCCTCGATAGTCGGATCATACTCATCGATGAAATGGTCCTGCGTCATCTGAATGGTCAAGCATGATTTGCCGACACCACCTCCACCGACCACGACGACCTTATACTCTCGCAGGAACTAAGGAAATGGCAGGTAAGCAACGAACTGGTCCGACTAGACAGACGCGAACGACCAATTGATCCGTACGATGCGAAGAAGCGTGTTGGCTGACATACCTTGGACGCCATTGTGTACTAGGACAAAGAGCTCTTCTAGCCAGTATCTCGACAACGGACGTTCGGCCTAAGAGCGGTGGACGACAGGAACTATCCTCGAGTGACAGCACAACAGAGCACAGGCGATGAGAAGCGCAAAGAGGTGTGTGTTGATTGAGAGGGAGACGTTGCGCACTGGTCGGTGTAAGGCGAGGCGAGGTGCTGGGTTGCGTTGCGTTGCGTAGCGTTGCAGAGACGAGGCTCGACGGGAAGAACAAGGACAGTAGTTTTGTTGTTGTAAGTAACCTGTCCCAGGCTTGGGCTGCTGGCTGGCGCCGGTTCAGGGATCAATTAGTGTACAGGAGGAGGTAGGTAGGTACCTAGGTAGGTACTATAGGAGATTAGCGTGCGTAGGTAGGCAGGTATTAAGCAAGTAGGGGTGCCTATGTGAGTTTAAGTGCATTCTGGAGAGGTAGACACTACCGAGTAGGTACCTACTTATACAATCCTTCACTGCTCACTCAAAGGGTTCACGTCTGCTGAAAGGAAGAGACAGCGTCCTGTTACGTGATTATGTAGGTACACATAAGACCAAGCACGCAACCGAAAGGGGAGGGATTGGAACTGGTACAATTGACCGTTACACGATTGGGTAGAAGCAAGAGGGAGAAGGGGAGAAAATAAAATACAGAAGAAGGGGAACAAGTACAGAAGAAAGGGAGTAGGTAGGAGACTACATGTACAATGCCGAAAGAAGGATGGCGTGCTAGATAGCGTAGAGGGAGCTGTACGACGATGAAAGCTGTAAAAGGCACTGCTATACGTTGCGGGCGGGTAGTAGGCGAGTGTTCGCCCCCAACTCGGTGTGTTTCTTGATTGGTGATAGGGCATTGACAGCGACTGGCAACATTCCTATCTTCGGGAGGCTTGCCCCAGGTCTTTCCAGGTGGTAAGAACGCACATTGCTGGTATCTACCTATATATGAAGGTACTTAAAGGTACATGTAGAACTGTAAAGGGGGTTGGAGGAGCAAGGGGCTTAAGGGGAACCGGGGTTGCCTTAAAGGCGCAGGCACCTACATGTACTCAATAGGTATTCAGGTACAAGCATGTACCTACCTACCTAGGTAAGTGATTATCTATATACATAGTAGAGTACTCAAGTAGGCATCTAGGTATTGACTATAAGTATTACCTAAGCATGCGCAGTATTTGCTCTACCTAGGTAGGTACCTGATGTTTACCTATATGCTTTGAGTAGGTAGGTACTGTATGTATTCAAGAGTGAAAATGCAGCATGTTTTCTCCATAGGTGGTAGGTAGGTAGTACACCTGATATAGGAGGTGAGTGCCTATGGCACATGGAAAGAATTGCCCAGGTGCATTGTGTGTTTGGCGCTCTGGATTTCAGTGCTTCAGCAGTTAGCCTACTGCACGTACACTAGGTACATAATGACAGGCAACGCACCACTTATAACTGAGAAAACTCAGGGACGCTTGACCGAATATGGCAATCAACTTCTCCCATTTCAATGCTGTTGTCTAGGTGGTACGCGCTCTGTACATAGTAGACTGTAGTATGTACCATTGCAACCTCACAGCATCAAATATAAGTTACGCCCAAGGCAGAACCACAGATGCTTCCTGGCAGCAGTCTAGCTGCGAGAATCCTTCGAGAACAACTGCAACGGCCCCGGCATTAAAAATAGGCGTTACTGAATACAGCAGCTACCTACGAAGTATGTATAAGTGTAGGTATGTAGGCATTAGCCGATAAGGTATGTACCTAAAATCTCTTATCAGTCGAGTCAGTCAACAAGTCGCTAAATCCAATGTGCTGATTGTGAGTTCTCGGAATCCGTTAGCAGAAAGCAGATGCAAATCATCAATGATGCTTTAGCGAACATAATAAACCATACACATTACATGAGATCACAACACCAATACACATATAGATACCTACCTACATATACTTACTACTTAAGTAGGTACCTGGACAAACACCAGACCGAAAGCTACAAACTAAACATATCGATCAATCAAGATGGGCCCATTTATGATATCTTCCATGCGTAGCGTAGCCTCACCCAGATGCTCGGCCATTTTGTTGGTTTAAAGACAAGCTGATATGTTCCGATCTAGCTACATGCAAACTGAGTACCTAAGTAAGTAGTCATGAATTCAAGCGTGACATCATTGAGGTATCTATGGAGATCCAGATTAGGGTAAGATTAATCTGTTACCTATACATTTTGTTTAGCATACCTATGATGCCCGTACTCTCTTCACTGCAACTGCGAAAGCAAATTAATAATCGAAAGAGCTGTCGGACATAAACGAACTTGGATACTATCTAGTTTATTGACTATATATAGCTCAGCGGAGAGGGTAAGTCCATCATTCCGTCCAGGTAAAACATACTACCTAGGTAGTATATGTAAGTACCTAGTGCATTCACCCACAATTCTGGTCGGTATACACTACCTGGGTAGAGCAATCGCATCAGCTAACCACAACTAACAAGCCTATCACAACATAAAACACGGGGGAAGCGTACACAAGAGTTGATGGCATACCGAAGTCGGTCCTTGGTCTGAACCCAAGCCATAGGTAGGTAGGCAGGTAGGTAGGTATGTGTACCTAGCGTAACGTAGCAAATAAAAAGAGCGCGCGAAGCTCAGGGCCGTGAATGACGATGGGCACCACAGACGAACAGAACTGAAATGAGCCTCATTTCCTCAACCCAAAGAAGCTACCTGATTAGTCTAGCGCGACAACCCACTTGGATCGTCCAATTCCCGAATTACAATTACACTAGAACTATAGTACTCCATAGTACTGTAAAGTCGCAAGAGCAATCGATGAACGCGCCGAAAATCGACAGCATGGTTTCTACATGTATTAATTTAGCGTGAGTATCCAAGCTCCATACTTACTTAGTCCAAGCAAACAACACTAACGCTATCGACTACTTTAGGCGAGGAAGAAACCCCCTGAATGAGCTGTGGTCATGGTCATCTCTCCTCATTACCTAGTATGGATGTATTCGTATCTGGAGTTCGCGTATAGTGTATGTCTGCGCTTACAGTACATCTCTTCATCACAAGTAGTACGATGCCTACATATATACGTAGTATCTAGGTATGTACACGATGTTGATAGGCTGGTAGTGGACGTGTATGCGTACTTGAGGTACCTAGGTAGGTAGTGTTAGTGTAGACCGGGGCAAGTGGACCTGCCATTCAACCGTCCAGCAGAGAGATACTACATTACGGAGTACATTTAAGCGTGGTTCTCGAACAATTCTCGGGACTTGGAATTCCTCGGCCTTGTCTTTCTTCTCCCCTCCCCTACTGTACTATGTAGTTAGCGTCGGTATTCACCCCCTATTCTTTCCTCATAGAAATTCTAGAAAAAAATGCACGGCCCCAGATTGATTGCAGAAAACCAAGAGATAGAAAAGGGGGGGCGACTGTAGGGATGGCAGCACTACATGCGCGCACAATGCCACCCATACGCATAAGTACACATCCACCCGCACGTACATACATATACTATATATATTACATGCACTAGGAGAAATCTGTAAGGAGTTATAAATAATAACACCCAGTATGTAAGTAAGAACTGCCCTCCCTGGTGATGATGACGATGGGTGCGGTGCACACAGGCAGGCTGCAGCATCACCTCTCGGTTTGGAGGAATGCGAACGGAACAGGGATTCTCGCCTGCGATGTAGTACCATCAGCGGTGGTGGGATCGGAGAGTGGATTAGCTGGATGGGAATGGTAGGTGCTTAAGATTTAAATACTTTTGGTCTAGTCACCGTACTTACTTACTACCGTAGGTATGTAGCTGGTACGCCTGCTGTATGCAAATGAAGTTGTGCAGAAGAGATCATGATGATGCCGACCTACATGATGATGACGATACTGCTGCTGCTGCTACTGCTACTGCTACTACTATTTATGATGGATTGGGTGAACATCTACGGCCGGCGCGTCGCGAGATAAATATCGATTCGGCCCAAATCGCTAAATCGACAGCACGTGTTCAGCGCCCCCCGCCCCGGGGGCAGGAGCCAGGGTTCGAGCCCCGAGGATCTCAGGGATGGCCGAACGACCAACCGATTTGTCCGGTGTCACCAAATCGTGAAACAGAGGCAACTACTCAAATGCTACTCTGACCACTACCTATTTTGGGCGAGGTTACAGCTGCATTCTACAACACGAGATCCCTCCCTACTTCGTAAGCGGGTCGGTGCAGAGGGAAGCATGGTGATTTTCTAATCCTTTCTCATATTGGCGAGCTGCGAGGTTTAGGGCACATACAAGGCGATAAGCTATTCCGCTCAGCCCCGGCGCACAAGAACAATGTCTGTGAGATCATCTCACCGATATGCTAGTCTTTATAATAGAATAACTACTGCTGCTCAGGTTCATCATCCGCCTCCCCTTCCATGATAATCCGTTTGCCCTCTACGTTGGCCAGTACCTCTGGCACCAGGCTCTCTAGATAGTCACGATCGCGGCCGACGAGGGTGACCGTGTTGTTCTTCTTTCCCCAGCGTGGGTAACTTCCAACCTTGACCCCTTTCGCGGCTACTTTCGCAGCCAGCTCGGTTAGATACCCTGCGACGGCGCTTTCGGGCAGCGGTGTCGAGACAATAACTCGCCATATGCCTCCGCCCTCGGGGTTCTCGAGTCGGTCATCGATCAAGGGGATCAGGCCATTTAGCAAACTCTCGACTGTGAATCCTTCATTAAGCAGCAGTACTTCGGCAACCTTAGCTATGAGGCAAGGACTTACATAGTCTTGGGACGCCTGGAAGTATATGGACATTGCCATTAACAACAGAGACGGGCACCCAAAGCTCGTCACAAGGAAACAGCGCCTGGCTGGCTAGATCACGGTTTTTGTCAAATGGTAATTCAACCATCCGTAGTCGCGCAGTCTTGGCCGGTGAATCGACATCCCAGCTAAAGCCTGGCTGGAACTTGTTGGGCTTGGTGAGCTTCTTCATGCGCTTGTACGCCTCGGCGTGAAGCTCGAGTGGTAGCCCAAATGCCTTGGCTATAGACTGATAAGTAATATCGTCATGCCTGGATTACCGTGAGTCTTTGCAAATAAGAACTATGATACGGAATAGGGCAAGGGAGTGTTTGGGTGCTACTCACGTTGGTCCTATCCCTCCACTGAAGATGTGTACATCAGCTTCGACTTTCGTCCACGAAAACGCCTAGGACTCCGCCTGAGGTCTCACCTAGTTACCACAAAGTCGTAGCGATTACTCATCCTCTGTACAGCCTCGATGATTTCGCTTTCGTCGTCCTCAATAGTCTCGATTCTCTTCAAGTTCTACAATACACACAAGGGGTTAGACAAGGCCTCGCTTTCCGCGTGAAGCTGGTGCACATTTCAGAAATATGATATATATGGTACCTTACCACGCCGAGAGAGAAACACCATTTTGCCATGAAAGCTGAATTTGTCTATCACTTCAAGATTAATGCAAGCCAAGCTCAAATGCGGCAAGGGAGCTGTCTTACATCAACAGTCTATGAGCAGAGTTAGCATATCATTCAGTGGCCACATCAATGAGGACAGAGCCGACCTTGCCGCCTAGGACTTCATCGCCGATAATGAGACAAGCGGCAGTGTGGATGGTTCGAGGATTTCCTCCAATCGCCGGATTTGGAGTCGAAGCCATGATGATTCTCGACGCAGTAGATTTAATGCTAGGTCGCGGGGTCGTAATGACGGGCGTATAGCCGATATTAGCTTGAGATCTTGGAAAGTGGCGTGCGAGCTGTGAGAGTCGCGAATTCATGCGGGACGAATAGTGTGCCATTAAACTATGTGTAATATGAAGTACTTCAAAGGCATGCGGGATGGACTTTAAACTGCTGAGATGGTACCGAAACCCGGGAATGGATTGACATAGGTTGTCTAGGTAGGTAAACAGGGCACTCCCCCACCCCAGACACGGGACCTTGCAGGCTAAGAAGCAGAGAGACAGCACAGGCGGCACGGAACATCTCGGTGGCCTGTTACCCGGGGCAAGTGCGGATGGATATCCACTTTGCAACGCAGTTTCCTCCCGATATCCTTACTTACCTACAAAGAACTATCTACACAGTACCTAAGTAGGTATGTACCTAACGCACCTGGGACGGTCACCACCTAGGTACCTGGGTAGTAGACTAGGTACCTAGGTATGTAGTAGATGTGTACTTGATCTCAATTTACAAAGACTAATGTGTATCTCCGAGGCAGGCTGTGTCGAGTTCTTGGGGCGCACAGCATAAGAGGCTGGACATACAATGATATCCTACCTTCCTCGACTGTATGTACGGAAGACCTGTTTGTGGACCGGAGGGCTTCTCAATCGGCCTCGATCAGGGGAGCCGGATCTAAATCACAAGTAAAAGTAACCAATTTGAACGTACGAATAGGGTCGTTTGACAATCTGTGTAGCAGACAATTGCTGCCCAAAAAAAAAAAAAAGTATCATTGTATTTGCCCAATTGCGCAGTGCTTGCTACGATTGCAATATCCAACCATAGACTCCAGGCCTATTAGTAAAGACAGACAGTTGTTGTCTATCAATCGAGCCATAGCTACTCCGACTCCTTGATGAAACAGACGGTTGAGGTCTGTCCCTTCGTCACATTTTGCCCACTTTGTGTAAACTTACTCCTGAAATTCCAAGCCCCGGGGTATCGTTGAGATATAGATGCAGCCTTGTTTAACCTGTCCCGCTTAAGCCTCGATGGCTTTTTTCTCCGGTGGTTGACGAGCCACTGTCCCGAAACCTTTTGTTGAAAATATCCTGAACGCCTCTAGTGCATGCTTGTTGAATCAGTTGAACCCTTTGTGGCCAATACTACCAGGCCAGATGCTTGTTGAAAATGCCTTAAACCAAAAATGCGCCAAATCATTCAGTCGTCATAAAAAGCTAATTTGATGCCGTAACGCCGTTTGTCTCCTTATGAATGCCATTGGTGCCATTAGTGTGAGGAGCCGAAGAGGACACTGGAGTGTGAAGGTCCTTAATTTCTAGCCCCTCAAACAGCTCGAATACAGATTTCGAATCATGAAAGTCGTTGTTGACTATAAGGCAGTTAGAAAGTTGTGATCAGTACACACACGCATGCCACAGATTGCCACGTACCAATATTAATCAAATACCATTGATCCATCATTCCCTGGATGAGTGCCCGGCTGGGACTATTCGCCTCATGGCAACGTGCCCAATCATTTCCAAGTCGGTAGGCCTCATCTTTCCAAGCGAGGAAGCTCACACTCTCTACAATTGTAGGCTGAACAATCTCCTTGCCAGGGAAAACTCCCCATGTAACAGCGATTGGTCCCTCGGAAGGCGCATTTGTCGTGAAATTTCCTGCCTGGTTCACCGCATAGTACGAGAGTGTCTCGCGGCTCTCAATCCGGCGAATTACCTCATCATACAGTTCAGGGTGTACAAAGAGTTCTAGGTAGCCCTTTTGGTACACAAATCCATTTGGCGGCCCCCATCCGTGAATAGGATGTGTTGATTTAACACCATCTACAGCAGGTTGTGAATTGATTGTAATGAACCCACGTTTGTTCAGATTGATAAGGTCATCTTTGATCGACACGGCTTCGCCTGAGAGAGGCGCTTCGCTCCATGGCAAGGAATCCAGCTCCTTCTGTAGATATCGGGCAAAAAGACTACCAATTTCACCAATGGATCTGGGCTCGCCCCATTTCGCGCGATTGGACTCGTTCGATCCTGTCAGACCGATTCCATATGCATCAAGTTCACCGAAGGCGGGAGAACGAGAATCACCCCATCTGCCATTGGGAAATTCGTCCCATTCCTGGGTTCTGGAAATGTAGGATTTGTTACGGTTCCTCCAGAATATTGGGCGAACGTCTTCATCGCGTCGGCCAAAACCGAGCGATTGCTTCCAGGGCAAAGGTTGCTGCCGAGGGCGCTGTGAGGACGGGAGCCAATCCAATTCCTCCAAGACCATGCGAGTGGCTTGGGCCAGGTTCATGGTATAGAAGTGAAGGTGGACAATACCGGCAGACATAATCTTGCGGCATAGCTCAGCCACAAGGACCTTGCCGAGTTCTCTAACGGCCGAGTCATCATTCTTAATGGGCTCTAAGGCGGCCATCCATTTTTCGGGAACTTTGCAGTTCATGTGATTTGCGCGTCGAAGAAAACTGGCGTAGGTGGCGATGGGCATGATTCCGGGGACAATAGGAACGGTAATTCCCCTTTCGCGCACTTTCCCTACCCATCGGACGAAGTTATCGGCATCATAGAACATCTGCGTAACAATGAAGGTACCGCCCATGTCAACCTTCTCCTTCAAGTGGTCCAGTAACGACTCCTCATCCTTGTTATCATCGCAGCCCTCTGGATACCCAGCAACGCCAATAGAGAAATGATTCCCATACTTCTTGCGAATATGAGCCACGAGATCTCTCGCGTATTGAAAGCCACCATCGGCAGCCTCCCACTTTTCCTTTTCTCTTGGGGGGTCCCCACGGAGGGCGAGAATGTTGGTACATCCTGCCTTGTACGCTTTCTGCAGGGCGTCATTGACTTTTTCCTCGCCCATGTCGGTACATGTTAGGTGCATGCAGGTCTCAAGGCCGAAAAATGTTTGAGCCTGTAACACCATATCGCAGGTGAGCTCGGCAATTCGCCCCCCAGCGCCCCATGTTATGTCGATAAATTTGGGCCCAAAGTCGTACATGCGCTCCATTCGATCGTAAAGGTTCTGGACACCCTGTGCAGTCTTGGGCGGGAAGTATTCAAAGGAGAAGGACGGCTCGCCGGTCCTCTCGGCATCTGCAATCATGTCGTTGATATGCATGTTGGCGGCAGGTAGAGTATATATTCGATATTAATGTTGGTGTGATTCACACAAAAGCCAGGATATTGGAGGAGGAAACCACCTTTCGTAAATGTCAGCGCGGCATCCCTTGGAATATATAGTTTGCACAAAGTGTTCGCTGTAGGCAAGGTCGGATACAATATGCAAGTCGAAGTCACACGACATTCGTAGATCACAGTATTCTCATGGTCACGTCAAGAGCAGGTTTGCAACCATTTCACCCAATGCTGGAGGAAATGAGACAAAAGAGAGGGCCTCACCTGGACAGCTGCGTGGATGAAAGAAAATCAGAAAAGAAGGCTACCAGATACCCTGGTGGAATGCGGGTGGACGAACTGCCTCTACTGTGACCCCCCGAACTACAAGTTACTGATAGGCCTTGCACTGATTGGAGGAGAGGTAGGGGACAAGAATACAGAGGAGTGAAGAAGTGAGAAGAAAGAGGAAAAGAGACAAAAGAGGAGAAAATGAAGCCAGAGAGACTTGTAGCTGCAGTCAGACACGATCTGCTGGCGACCGGCCCTCGTCACAGTACCTACACAGCTACTGAGGTACCGGTAGTGGTCAGCAGTAGTGCTCAGTACTAGGTACCTAGGTAGTATCTGCCCAGGTGGTAGTAGTAATTAGGTAGACCGCGAAGAAAGGAACGACGGGTAAGCATCCACCACTCCGACCATGGAGCCCCAGCCATTGGCCAGAGGAAGCCGGCCTCTGCCCGCCTAACCCAGGTGGGCCAAGTTCTCCAGCCAGTTGAGTAGGGGCAAGCGTAGGGGTGCCGATGCTTTGTCCTCCAGGGCTGTCTCGGGCTGTCACTCACCGATCGCGCATTACCTAGGTAGTAGTAGGGCCCTGCAATGTCTACCTGCAAGCAGTCTATGAAGGCAAGCTCAATTTTTTCTTTCTATCTTACCTAAGTTAGGTACCTAGTGCTAGGTAGCGTGCTGCATGACTTACTGTAGTAGGTACAGAGGATGTGCCGATTGCCTCTACTGTTGGTATGATTAAGTATAGGGCACTTCCAAGTACGGTTAGGTACCTGTTGTCATAGCTGGGGAGGAAATGGACAATCTGCTGGGTCAGGTATCTAATCAGCTTTCCGCTGCCCGATCATACCACGTAAGTATATTCACTAGGTAATCGGCATTCTCCCGTACTTTAGAGCTACCCGTGGACTTCTTTCCTTCTGCCATCCAATTCCTGGTTCCTGGGTCGCAGTCCCCAGTAGCCATCTCCTATCAAATGAGTTTTCGATATCAAGCCCTTGGAGGTAGGTGAGGTAGGTACCTCCCTACCTAGTATGTGGCTACTACCTACCCTTACTTAAGTACCCCTCATTGCCCCTCCATCCTTACTACTATTAAGTACCATAGTATGTACATAGGTAGGTACGTATTACTACCATCACTAGGACATATTCGCACTAGTACTACATAGTAATGGGGAGGTGGAGATACCCTTACTTACCTAACAATGAGTACCTAGGTATGTAGAAGTCTAACCTGCCAGAAAACCAAACATTGAACTCACTCACACAAGCCCGTCTACGCAAATCATACAAGCTTGATACTTCTCTATGTACAATAGGTAGCTACCTAGGAACTTATCTTCGGTGGGTTTGTAGGCGTTCTGTGTTTGAAGCAGGGTCGACGTTGGAACTTCTCTCTGGTGACATGCTGTAAGTAGGCAAATGACATCTCGGCAGGCACAAGGGTTGGTCTGGCCGGCTGGCGCCGATTGGCCTCTTTCTGGCCTCTTTACTGCAGTAATCACAGCACTTCAAAGCGGGCCGGATGGATATGTTGATCATCATGTCAGCAGTTCGTGGTGTTGTTCTCCTGCAGGGATGCTGTGCAATACCTGCGAGCATACCATCTTTCGGATTTCTTGAAAGTACCTAGTCTAGGTAGTCAGATCCAGCCAGATCCTTCGCTTCTGTGCTCTCTTCAGGTCCTTATTGCTTACTGGTCCATGAACTTTTTAACCTGAATCTACGCCAGATCACTCATCAGGATATCCCAACGTAAATGGAACGACTTAAACATGCAGAGCATCAACGCGAGTCTCGGCCTGAGGAACTCTGCATATACCTAATATGGTCCAATCCCATCATCGGAGCGTCTTCCGTCGTACCAACCCTCCTGTTGTAGGCACATGTAGCTGAAAGTCGATAGCAGACAGAAGCAAAGAGACATATGAGGGACCGGAGCCATACTATGCACGTCTGTCAGTTCACCGGCACGGCCGTATTCACCGCACTATTGTTTTCCGTAGGTGGGTCTACGTTATGGAGAAACACTTCCTCGGCCCATCAGGAGCATCGACCTCAGAACATGCCATGTTCTTTGTATTAACTAGAGGAGATGATCGGACTTACTACATACCACTCAAGATACTACATGATGTGATATTCTCTGCGTAAATTTACGTGTGTATATTATCATATATTCTACTTCATAACCCCATCCAGATTGCATATTGAGTACCCGTTGGGACTGGGTGTTATCATAAGACTATCAAGGCTATCTGTCGCTGTAAGACAATCAAACGCCAGACAATTAATCAATGCCAGCTCTCAGCAAATTATTTTTGTGACAACTCTCAAAATTCCATCTGCCAGTTTATCTTTGACAATCCCATATTCCACATGATCAGTTTCGGCCTGTTTCTTCTTTCTCGGCGGAGCCATTGCCCGCAACATAATGTCATTGAGAAGGCCACCGGCTCCTAGGCTTTGAAGCATCAAGAAGCATTTTCAAATCAGGCGATTGCAATGATCGCTCCGAACGCGGCTTCGTGACACTCTCGTGCCAATTTCTCGTTCCGCTGGTGATTTTTGTCCACCCTGGCACAACAAACAAACGGTAGGCAGAAAATCCCTTCCAAATGTCCGACGATGAGACAGTCTGCGTACATGTGTAGGCAATCACAGGCCGACACGTCAGGGTTAGAGAACTTGTTGAGTGTCGGCATCTTATAACAGTCGATATGATTGAAGCGGCGCTTCTGCCACCTAGATGGCGGCGTAACCAAAGTCTTGGAAGATACCAGACAATGTTGCAATGCATACGACTGTATGGCGTTAATGCCTGCATCGCTACGGTGTAGCGGGATTCATTGAGTGCATATAAGATATTCTGATGATAAGTTGACTATCATTTCTTGTGTCTGTGCAGGAGAGAACATTGAATGACCTGGCAGCATGTACACCAAGGCGAAAATACATCCGGCAGGGCTGAGGCGTTAGATCGAGTCCCGTGAAGAGAATGGAATCACTTCTCTAACTGCTTTTCTGGTCTCTGTTTTTAGGAACTGAAAACTTGATGAGTATGACGGCCTAGTAATGGAAACCGTGAGAGCGGATAAACTGCCAGGAAAGGTTCGTATCATGCCCACGGTCCATGCATATTAGCATTAAATGCACATAGGAGAAAAAGGCATTTCCGCAGAGAGCCGGTATCACCCAAGCACGCATTGATAGCAACCTGCTATTGGTCTGGCAGTCGTAAACTTGTCTTGAAAACAATGATCAGCCTTTAACGCATAAAGTTGCAGCGCCCCTTAACCTCCGCCAGTAATTACTCTGGTCAATGATCTGTCTATCAAAGATGAACCACCACCGTTCAAAGAGCACCTGTCCAACTTCCCATGAGCTCGGCTCACAGGGGTCATCTCCCCAGATACGAATGCCTTCGGCAGAATCCTCGAGATCGTATGCTAATTTAGCATGAGCCACTGCAACATTCGGGGTTAGCTGCCATCCGCTTGCCAGAATGTGCAAATTCGAAGAAGAGCGATCTATCAAAGTACTTACGGGGACCAGCCAGGGCAGGTGGACGAGCCTCGTCAGGTAAGCCCATGAATAAGAGTATGCGGTCTCGAACGCTAGGCCATGGCAGTAAGTCTATGACAGGATGGTGCGGTATGGATGACTGAGATCGTGTTGGCCTCCATGTAAGAGGCAATTCTTGAGTTGTCAGGGGCGTGTGTGTCCCATCGTTGAAGGGCGAATTAGCTCCGAGATCCCATATATTTGTTGTATTGCAGCGTAATCGTATGGCGATGCGCATGAGACCTCTTAACAAGGTCAATTCATTTACTGGGAGATAGTACGAATCGGGGAAAGAAACGTCTGTAATATCAGTGTTGTCAGACGCCGAAGGACTATTAGACGAGGAGTCTATGAGAGCGCTCGGGTTAATTGTATCGGGAAAGTTGAATGAAGTAGCCTCTGTCGCATTCAATGATGCCTCCCCTTCAAGACTCGATATACTGGGGCCTGTCATGTTTAAATAGGACTGCTCTATCCCCGGGAGAGTGCTGGGCACAGACGGTCCAAATGGCGCGGCTGACCATGTTGTTGGTGAGGCTACATTGGAGGTGTATTCATTGGATGAGCATACAGATCCAGGGATGGGCAGCAGGTCTAGGTAAGCTGATATTGATATGTCCTGCTCTGAAACATGACTCTCAGATATCGAAGCATCTTTTCTTGCGACAGAACTAGATGCGTTGTCTTGGGGATTGGACTGAGATGTGAGATTCGCAGTTGTAGTACCACTTTTGTCTTGCCGTTTCCGCTCGCCTATTAAGGTTAGAAAGTTTCCTCGTTAGGCAGTGTCACGATGCTCACGATATCGGCGTTGTGCGAGGACGTTCAGAACACGTTTCCGCTCAGCAGCATCATCATTGATATTAGGAACGGCGAGTTCAGGTGGTTCCTTATGAATTCGCTGTCTGGTCTTTGGTTTTCGGTACCCTGTGTCCGGGGTAGAGTTACTGGTGATGGTCATAGTGTGGACCCTTACAAGCTGGCTTGAGTTCCGAGACTGAGATGGCCAGCGTAGCCTGCTGCAAGGTTGAGTGAACGCTGTTTTGCCGTAATTGTTAACCGTTATTCCCAACCTAGATTTAGAATGGCATTAGACGGTATAGACTAATACTTTCAATAAGAAGGAATTATATTGTATTTATGTGGATATTTGGATGATAGAAATGCCACAGTTAGGATGGCATAACGCCTTAGCATAACGACTGAGCCACAGCCAAGTGGAGAATCACACAGTCGAAGCTCGTCGACAATCAGCCACCTATGTGCTAGCTGGCACATTATTTTACCAAAGGCTTTACATATATTTACCGGATGACCTTACCTAGTACCCGTTGGGACTCCACTTCCGTCGCCAACTTTCTGACTTCCAGTAGAAGCGTTGGGGTCTTTGACTTGAAAATGACCAGTTGACTTGATAAAACATAGGTACTTCCATTCAGGTGCAATCCCCACTAAATGATAAGTAGCGCTGCTTTAACCAATTCCACCCCACATAACGATTGAAAAGTTGAATACAGCCAAATAATTCAATTACGCAATTACCTTCTAGCCCATTCACCTACTTACTTCTACACCTTCAACGCCTTTAACACCTTCAATCTTCAACTTCTATACCTTTAATTTATAGTGCAGCAGAATTACTAGTAAAATATACGTATAGTTATTTATATTAAGAAATACAAACTTAAAGAATTGGCTAACTTTACAATTTTAATAGGTGTAATGATATTTTTAGCATTTAGATAAGAAGTATGAATGTAGCGTGTATGTGTATAAAACAGGAACTACTTCTATTTTGGTAGGGATTGTACCTATTTTGGAAGTACCGCCGGATTTTATCAAGTCAACTGGTCATTTTCAAGTCAAAGACCCCAACGCTTCTACTGGAAGTCAGAAAGTTGGCGACGGAAGTGGAGTCCCAACGGGTATATGAGCGGGTTGGGTGGTGCTTATAGATGGCGTGAGGGTCTACCTACAGACCCTTATTTCAGATAGTTATGCTTTAGAATGTGCTGCAATTCTAGCAAATACATAACCATAAGCAGAGGCTTCCAAAGCTTGAATGACATTCGAAAGACTTGCTATACTCCTGAACGACATGTAAAATCTCATTGACAAGTAATAATGTTGTTTTCAACGAGCTTCGCAGCTGGGTATCGTCATCACAACCCCAGCTTAGTTGCGTTAGGCCGCTAGATGTGCCGGTTGTCCCCTGGTAACTTTATGCTACATCTGTTACCTACCTACCGTAAATCAAATCCTTGGAAGCATCCCACCGAGCCCACCACAGGAGGTAATGTAGGGGTAGATGTTCTAGCTATGGTGACACATTCTACGTCAATATGAATTAGGCCTTTTAGCTGGTGCCAAGCAATGCACGAGTAGGCTCCTGAATTTGGAGTGAGCACATCACAAAACGAATTAGGATCTAAGGGTCACCTGTCGTCACATCCATGTACACACCTCTGCCTCAAATGGCTGGCTGTGTAGACTCTTTTGACTTAGGAATGCACCATAATGCTGCACGTAATCCGAGGCCAACTGACCTGGGCATCTTGTATGGTCCCTCTCAAAGGTTTCTTGGTTTTACTATGTGTTACCGCTTAACTTGTTTGGAAGCATAATGGATATGGCCCCAAACCACCAAAGCATGTGACAGCTTTGGGCTGGGTCTTGGTCCTTATGGTCGCAACAAACTGCCCTGCATCCCGCATCGTAGTAAAATAATAATAGATGATGGTCTTGGCATCTGAAAGGCCGCCATTCTCTCTACATAGCGACCTAAGTGAAACAGAAATTGGCATCCTTGCAGTTACAATGGTGATGGGGCAACTTTATTACCTGCTGGTGCCAGCAAGATGTATCCCTGCTTTGCGCGTATGCCTGTCGAGGCTCAAACATGCCATATGCAGGAACTACCCCAAAGCTGTGCTTCCTTAGAATCCTACTTGCATACTATGTAGTAGGTAATATGTAGCGTACATGGGTTCAAGGTCCTAGATTCTACCATGCGTTGGTACTTATACTTGTTAATTGCCCCTACTGGGGAGCCTTATTTGACTTTGGCCGGTCTGCTTTCAATTTTCTCGACTTGGATCATTTAATTCCTTTAAACGTTACGATACTTGATAGAGTCAAGGTTAGAGAATCTGGCTGTTGCCAAAAATCTCATAGCTTGACTCGAACGTTTTCGCTCAAGGCGGTTGTCAAGAGGAATCATATCCCGTCAAGCCAACCAATGGCCCAGAAAGTGAGTGCCTTTCGATACTATGAGTGTTCAGTTTGTTACTCATGCGTCCAAAGTGGAACGACGCCCCTGAGGTGGCTACGCATACCAACTTGCCTGAAGTCTATTTTCCGGCACCTGCCCTTGCTGCTCCATATCACGCTCACGGAGAGAGTCTCGGGTCGATACCTCTCAATCCATTCAGCCAATCCAAGCACATGACCACTTTGATAGAATCACCAAAGAGCTTCTATCCTAGCCCAAATTCAATTCAGAACTATGACCTCCCATCAACAGAACAACACCAAAGACAAACGTCAAGGAGGATATGTCGTTGTTCATTCATCGTACTCGTCCTGTCGGTGCTTGTTACAGCTTTATCTATAACTGTCATAGGTTTAGCAGCTGGGACTGGCGTCGAAACAAATAGAGCCAACAACGCAGAGTCTAAGTTGGCCTCGCAACCTATCATCGACCACGGATGTTCCAAGAATCCAGATTCTGTTACAGGAACTCAATACACCTCCGACTGTGAGTTTAGGAATGAATTTGAACGTGGTGACTAACTTCGGCTGACGCGAGACGAAGTCTACGACAGATCGACTTTTAAAATTTTCTGTAACAGCGATGCGCCAAACCCCCCTCTCCAGAGTTTTTTCGTTGGCACATTTGACGACTGCATCGATGCGTGCGCGTCGTACTCGGCATATACTAGCGGAAATTTCCCCGATGTCTCGAGCTCGTCAAATTTCACATGCTCTGGCGTCAGTTTCATCCCAGACTGGACGAATCGAACCACTGCGCTCAGTGTCAACGCGCCCGGAAATTGCTACCTCAAGCCGGGACCGCAGAAATCAACCGGCCTCACGCACCCTAGTGCGGAAGGGCCAGCAGTTCATGCCGCTATCATATCAAGCTCTTAGTTTGGCAGAAGCTAGCAACGTCGCTATACGTTGCAAGATGTTTATCAAATCGCGTCGCGTGTATATTAAGAGAGACAGTGTGGGGTTCTCCTTAGAGTAATATGATTCAATGATGGTTTGGCGTTAATGGAGTGGGAAAACGAGCGCCAAGGTGCGTTTCGTTCGGCCCCTAAACAATATACTCCCTGTCCTTATTCGTACTAGCGAGCGAGTGGTTTCTAGAAACATATGGCGTCAGCGGAAGAACATAAGGATAGCACTACTATCATATTAATTTCAATCAAAAATTAGTATTGTTACGATAGGAACTGCACTAACGGGTATCTGTCTCGGTCAGGTAACTCGTTTCTAGAAGGGAGGGGGGACTTTCTCAAAGACTCATTGTTTCGTCTCTGGCCGCTGGCGAAGGCACAGCACTAGGCACGCGCCTGAGGAAGAACCCAAGGCGACATGTAACCCGTAGGATTTATGTTGCAGCTGTAGTTGAATCTCGCGGTCCCGAGATTGGGCTTGTAAACACTGGTAACAGCTGCTCATTGGCTCGTAGTTTATTGGTAGGGCTAGCCAGGGCGAAGGATTTTGGAGATCCGTCTCAGACTTTCGATGAGTGCTACTACACGGAGGACCCGAAAATACCGAACAGATCTTCTTGACCCTAGACATGTGCCACACCCCCGGTAACCCCCTTCCGGTTCGGTTATCAGGTTATGGTGGGAGCGTATCTGCCTTAGTAAATATCTGTAACTCTTTGCTACGTTACTGCACCAAGCCCTGCCCCATTTAGTAGGTATTGAACCGACCATTGCTGAATTGTTCGCTCTTCTTAACACTTACACCACTTTGTGTATGGAAGTATTCATCGAATGATAACTGCGCAACAGCTACTCGGCTCATTGACTGTTTAGATAAAATTTATAACCTTTATCAGCCTTTAAGCGTTGTTGGATACCGATAGTCTGGCTAATTATCATAAGCTGGATGATGATAGAGGGATTTGCAGATGCACTTGTTTGATTCACTCGGCTTCGGATACGCTTTGTTGGACTTACTTAAGTTATATTCTGTGGTAAGCTGTATGTGCTACAAGTTACAATTCCTAAGATAAATACAAAGATTCCTCTTTCAACGGTCAGAACGAAACCGCAATAAGCACTATGTCTCACTCGAAGACGATCCCAAGAAGCGAGAAACCACATCAAGTAGATACTCTCTATCTCTATCTTAATGCCTGATTTTGTTCTCAATCAGATGATAGATGATATTCAAAGTATTCGAGGGGCAGCAGTGGCGCGTCGCGCATCTGTTTGACCAACCCGCCAGTCTCTCGATCTCGTTTCTTCGGTCCCGTAGGGCTTGCTAGGTTACTGGACCATCGCTCTTTACTATTAATACGGAGAACGACATTGTAATTACATAGGTAGTTACTGAGTTCTGAGACGCCAATTCTCCTCATAGAGATGTCTATTGAGCTGTCGCGGAGTTATCACGAAAATACAGTGCCCAAGGGGATAGAACTTGTAAGGCTTGTAGAGAGGTGGCAAATGCGAATTCGAGTATCTAATCGTAGTGCTGTTTCACGAGCAAGCCCGAGGTTATGAAGCTTGTACACCCCGAATCTACAGAGCTTAGGCACGGTCGGTGAGACGCGAGCACCAACCACTCGGGGCCGATATGATTGTTCGTGACTGAAGAGCCACTTTCGCAAAGCCGAGTTCCATTGAGCTCAAGAGTACTGAAGAGTGCGGTGTAAGTTCCGCGAGGTGAAACACTATATTAGTCCCCAAGAGCCTCAAGAGCCGCCGTTTTAGCAAGTGGTCCGGCGAAAAATCCAAGGACCGGTTGTCGAGCAAGTCACCCATTCGATGCTTTATTCATTATATTTCTATGCACAGCTTTTCAAGATACGTCGCTACTCGCAACGCAATGGCAACATTTGATATGCGATACTGGACAATCACGCGAATCTATCGGGCAAGAGGTGGGAGGCGGTTAGCAACTTGTCGGAGAGATTGTCGCCCGCTCGGACAACCATCATTCGAGAATCTAGCCGGCGATGGCCGTTGCCGCCCGTGTTTTTCGGTCTCAAGAGCAAAACCCTCCCAGTACGAATGAGTGGGTTGCTTGATCGCTCGCTCGCTCCGAACTACGGCGACTAAGAACGTAATATGGCTGCGTTATACCTGCAAAAGACACTAACATTTCACCAGCTATATTGGCTTAGATATTGTTAGCGGCAGCTAGAAGACGAACCCGCTTACTTGGCGTCAGCGGGCAGAAGAGCGGGAGCCACCCCATCTCGCTCATGTCAACGCCCTGCGTGTCAATTCAAGGGCGCACGACTCCACATATGTCCATACCCCACGATGAAAGTGGACAGACCCCTGCATTTCTATGCATTGAGATGCGCCTCTATTACCGAATATGAGATGAGAAACTATGACTCTTCGACGAACCATCTTCCGCTGGATGGCCTAGGTATGTCAGAGGTCCATCTACTCCTCATTCTGCCTCATTCTGCGTGTCTATAGTAGTGTAGTGTCCAGCTTGAATCAGTTCTCGATACTAGTTAGATACCTCCTCGGGTAGCGGCCAAGCCAGCATCCGACGCTGACCGCTGTCCACTAGTCTTGCGCTGCCTATTGCTGGATGAACCGGTTGGAAGCCCATCGTTCGTTTCTGTACACCCATGAGCCTATTGCCATCTTAAGGGGGGAACCAAGACCGTCACTTATTAGTTTGTTCTGTCTTATTTCCGGGGTTGATACTTACCATTGATGATACATTCGTCTTTGGCATCGTCCGGTTGCACCCCGAGCTGGTGACTCGCCTGCCCACACCAACGCCCTGCGTGTCCTTTACTGAATGTGGTGGCCACAAGTTTTCATAAGGCTGCCTTAACATCCGTAAATCCCTGAGCCCTTTGAATGACAACCATTCCCGAGGATCTTAACGAAGATTGTGACATGATGGATTTCGTTAATTGGGATGCCGCAGCTGCGAGCACAGGCTTTGACCTGCCTCCTCACTCGGAGGGCGTGGACAATATCCCTAGTGTTGCCTCAGCTCCAGGCCCAGACCTATCGGAGGATCCTAACATGATGGGTCTCGTCTTTGGCGACGTCGAGGGGGACGATTGGTCTTACTGGGCACTTCAACATTACGAGTCGACCCAGCTGCAACAGAACACTCACATCTCGACTCTCCCGGAGCTGGAGTCCGAGGAAGCGTCACCCGAGGCTTCCCAGTTTTCCTGGGAGACACCAGAAGCGCCTTGTACCAATTGCTCTCGATGGACCTACCAATGCAAGAGAATCAGGGAAGGTAAATACAAGGGTTACTGTACGAGCTGTGTTGCACTTCGGCGACAGTGTAGCTTCGGCCCCACGACCAGCAGCTGTGCTCCAGAGGGTAGCGCCACCTTCCCTGCGAATCCTTGGCCCACTATGGGTGATAGACCAGAGACCTCGATCCTCCATGAAGACGACCTGGCTGCCATCGTCAACTCAGGAACCCCAGCGCCGCAGAGAACGGTGGTCGCGGAAGTGTTACCACTATCACCGCGTCCCCAGCATCAGCCAAAGATCGGTACTCGATTCTCTCGTGAATCTGTGAGGATACTCAAAAACTGGGTTGTGACGCACAGTCATCATCCGTATCCCACAGATGAAGAAAGAGAGAGTCTACAAAAGATCACCGGACTGAACAAAACCCAAATCACGAATTGGCTGGCCAACGCCCGACGCCGAGGAAAGATCCAGCCCACCCGGGCAACATCACCACATGTCGGCCGAGGATATGCCCAAGCCATTGATGTTCCGCAGCGAAGGGGCACACCGGGCCTGTTCGAAAACATGAATCCCCTGCAGCGTTGGGCTAACTCACCTCCTGAAAACGAACCTGCCTCAGTAACCGCTATCGCCCGCGCCGTATCGGCTTCAGGTTCATATTCAGCAACATCAGGCTCCGGTCGCACCAGTCCTAATGTATGGAACTTATCGGACGATGGATCAAGCAGATCCCTCTGTAACCAGTCGTCTGCTAGTAGTTTGGGAACTTCGCACTCCAGTGGCGGCTCTTTTGCCTCTGCTTTCTCTAACCAGTCCCGTGGTTCCTCTATCCCATCGTTCATCCGAAGCAACCGCGGCCGACGCCGACGCCGACGTGCACCACCAAAACGTCTAGAGGAACAGTTGAGCCAGCCCCTCAAGACTTTCCAGTGTACATTTTGTACGGAAACCTTCAGAACAAAGCATGACTGGCAACGCCACGAAAAATCGCTGCACCTATCTTTGGAACGGTGGATTTGCTCTCCTGATGGCCCTCGAGTCGTCAATTCTGATAATAAACTAAGTTGCGTCTTTTGTGGCGAGGTAGACCCGGACAATGAACATATCGAGTCGCATAATTTCTCGGGGTGTACAGAACGGACCCAGGAAGAACGGACATTTTATCGCAAAGACCATTTACGACAACACCTACGACTTGTCCACGATGTTAAATTCCTCCCCTGGACCATGGATAAGTGGCGAGTCACATCACCTGCCATCCGGTCGCGATGTGGTTTCTGTGGTGTTGTTCTCGACAGCTGGACCGCTAGGGTTGATCATCTGGCCGAACACTTTAAGACAGGTAATACCATGGCTGACTGGAAGGGTGACTGGGGTTTTGATACACCCGTTCTCGAAATGGTCGAGAACTCTATTCCTCCATGTGAGCAAAGCGTGCAATTATCTCCACGTATATATCTGACATGTTACAGACCTGATTCACGACGAGAGGCAATCGCCTATGCCTTTCGAAGCTAGTCAGCCAGCTTCTGGTACTCCGACTAATGCATACGAGCTTTTGAAAATGGAATTGCAGTGGTGGATAGATAACAAGAAAGAAGAGATTGGCACATCTCCCAGCGATCCAGAGATCCAATACGAGGCATGCCGCATCATTTATGGCGCCGAGGTGATGCTAAAAGGTGTAGGGATGTCGTCCCCTTCGTGGCTATGTGATCTAATGACCTCTTCCGAGGAAGCCAAACGCCAAGCGGCCTTCCACCCGCGAGTATCTGGCTCTAGTTGTCTATCCTCGCTTCGTATTAATGGGAAGTCCGACATCTTTGAGAATTGTGAATTTGAGAGGGAATTGCAGGACTACGTCCAAGCGAAGTTGTTATTGGGCTTAACTGCCATGGATCACGAACTACAAGATGAAGCATGCCGTGTCTTAGGAAGAATGGAGGAGAGGTCGAGTAATCCATCTGAGACTCTCGCAAATTGGGTTATCCGCATGATCAATTCTTCATCAACCTGGCTACAAGACTTTCGACAACGAGCACACCTTCCACGTAGCGAGGATGTCGGCGATGCCTACAAGCGATCGACTGATCCTAAGACAATTGATTCTACCATCCATAACTACAGCCGCTTGGAGGCTGAACTTGGAGAATACCTTCGGCTTCAAAGATCACTGGGCAGTGAGCCAACAGATGCTGATTTGCAACGCCAAGGAAGAATTATTGTTTATGAGTATGTATCCCCGAATCTTTTTCACTCCAGTTACTTGCGACTCCTCTGTTAGTGTTTTGGTTTGGCCCTATCCAGTGATCATTAATATCTTACTTTCGATAGGGTCGATGATGAATGGAATCAAACCGCGGCAGATGACAAGGACTGGCTAGAGAGTTTCAGAGAAAGGCACCCCGCAAGTTTACCTGGTCCAAGTCCAGCATCTAGTGGTTCCCTATCAAATGGTAGACACCCGTCCACAGCTACGAGTCAATCGACGCCAGTAGACCTGTCACACGCAATGCTTGCGCCTGATAAACTCCTAAAGGCCGCCAACGGTCAGTCTCCTGGGGGGTCCAGTATCAGCTCGATAAAGCCGGGCGCCAGGTTTCTGAATGACGCAAACTGCTATCGCCGCTTAGCAAAGGACCTCAACCGGTTTGTAGCAGCAACTATGTCTACCAACAACCCCAATCGACACGTGCCTACAGACGAAGAACTCAAACACCAGGCACGATGGATAGTATATGATGAGTGAGTCCAGATATCCTTTTAACACCTTGTCTTATCTTTGCTAACGACGATCTAGCGATGATCCACTTAACCAGACGGCAGCCGACAATGCAGAGTGGCTGCAAAGATTTAAGATCGATGCAGGGATACTACCTTTTAATTCTGGTCCAGGTCTAGGAATATTGTCTGTAGCATGGAGTATCAAGGACGGCGGCACTGGCTTTGAGCCACCTTACGTTGCTCCCAACCCCACGGCTATGATCAAGCCACTGCACGGGAACCCGCAGATATATCTTCGAGATGACGCGAAGCCTTTTGAATCCGAAGCTGCTACCGCAAACCACTTCCTCCGGACTTTCACTCAGCGATATCCAGCACCTGCCAAAATCTTCTGCAGCCGAGACCTTGAGAATGGACTGACGGAATACGTCAAACGCGAGCTACATAAAACGGGCGTTTTCCCAAGCGATGCACAGCTCCAAGAACGGGCTCGGGATATTATGAGCATGCAAAAGACGCCCTGTGATGATCCTACTCTCCTTGGCAAGTTCAAAGCGGCTCTGCAAGGGACCATCCCTGCGCAGCAACCTCTCCCTATGAACAGTAGTCTCCCGCTTGATTTCCCCTTAAGTATCCCAGCTCCGATTCCTGCAGCCTCTGCACTTTCCGCGGGATTAGCTTCATCTATACCTCCGCCAGCCACGGCGCTTGCCGTCCCGGTCACTGAACCCTGGTCTACAGAGATGGACCTCGACTTGAGCTTCACAGAGCAGGAACTCAATGATATACTTCAGGATGTTAGCTACGGCATTACCGATAATGCCCAGCTCAATATGGTCGCCACCTCTCAAGGCGCCACCGCTGGAGGATCTAGCATGCCTATTTGATCAATAACTCTATTAACGTTTAACTTGGTGTGATTGTAAGCTGTATATGGAGAAAAGCTCGCCGGTAGGCTACATCGGGATTCGGGTACGACACGATTCACTCTCTCGCTGTGCTAGTATATATACCAATATTCATGGAAATTTCAAGTATGCGTACAATGCTCTCGTGATTTGTTGAACCGATGATAGACGCAAGAACTAACCGAAAGAAACCGACCCAGACACATTCTTAATGGCACTGAGCGCCACCGCGATTGAATCACTGTGACGAGTACCCTTTCTATTATCACTTTAACTTCCACGAACGCTCCAATACCTGCCAAGATAGTAAATATCCAATCAGATCTCTTAGACTTGTATCCTACTTAAATATATAACCATAGGTACCAATCGCTACATCACTTTTAGCACTATTTTAAAGCAGATTTAAGTATAAGATAAGTAAATCAACTAGTAGGGGCTGGACGAGACAAAACACGTGATTGAAAATCGGCCAGCAAAGTATTGGAGCGTTCGTAGAAGTTAAAGTGATAGGGTCCAATAAGCAGCGTCCGCAGAAATAGCTGTGGTGACCTTAGTTCCGGCGCTGGGTCAGAGGGGATGTTGCACCTTTTCAATAATTTTTGTCTACAGCGCTGTCATTCTTCCCATAGCGCAAAAAACCTACTAAGAAAACCGTGGGTGGCGCGACGGCATACTAGGTTCAGATCATTATACTGCGACTTGGAGAGTCCATTAAATTGTTGAACAACGTCTGGGAAACTTGCCAATATTTTAATAGCCTCGATAAACGGCAGAACAAACCATAGGATGAGCGATAGAATAAGTAGTTAATAGCTCTATCAAACAACCTCTCAATACCAAGAACTTCAACTTGATAGGTAGTATAGTCTGCTTAATCAACTACTTCGAAACGAAGTATTGCTAAATTTCACATCTTCGTTAGAGGCTGACGAGTTTCCCAACCTTTTTTCAGTCTTAATGAATTACAACAGCACAAATAATATAATGAGCAGGAAATTTCAATCGCGTCACGGATGAGACTTGACTTCAAGAGAACACCATCTCATCATCTGTATCTAATCGTACTTATACATGGGTCGAAGAGTTAGGAGTTCTGAGGATTTTAAAATTGTTTCAATCTCTACTCGATACAGGATACAAATTTAGAAGAAGCCGACAATCAATCGAGAGTAAAGAAAAGTAGCCGATATAGCTAAGTGAGGGAAAGTGAAAGGGTATCGTACGCGACAAGGCCAGATAGACGCCAATAACGAACATCTGATTTAACAAATGCAAATAAAATAACAGACCTTCTCCAGAACGCCACGTGTTACAGTCGTCTAATTTTGAGATTCGCATCTTTGGCCCATTGAGAAATGAAAACGACCTCATTCCTCAACGCAATTCGAGAAAGAGTTAAGAGACGTGCCCAGTAGCAAAGGAGAACAGAGTAGGCCTAGTGTTGGTGTTCCGGTATCTCAGGGATCTCCCACGTTTTCGAGTTGGCATCTTCAGTCTTAGTAGAAGGCCGGGGCAAAACAGGGACGTCATCTTTAAATAAGTATTGAGTATTTGAAACAGGTCCAGGAGAGAAGGGAATGCTGGAAGTTGCAGTGAATCCGTGGCCTCCTTTTCGAACAGGACTTACAGGCACCGAGTAAGAGTGCATCTTAGTTTGCGGTATAGGATTTGGCCGACCTGGAGTTCCAGTATTCGGCTCTAGGATCTGGACTGGCTTCTGAATGGGAAGTGGATTTGGCGGAGGACCGTCAGGTTGGTATGGGATAAAGAGATCTACATTCTGAATTGGTTCAGCTGGAGGCTGAACTGGAGGACTTGACGCAAAGGGGGTCGAGGATGGGCTTGGCTCCGTAGGACTTATAATAGTGGGCGTCATTGGAATCATTGCCTCAGCTTTGAGTTCTGTTGGTGGTGTACGATGATCAGGCTGGAAACTAGCTTCGATTTCGACTGGTGTAGTAGGGCTTCGAACGATCCCCATGTTAGACGGTACCGGATTAGGTTGGAGTTCTGTGAAGGTTGGTGGGGGAGGCGGCTGCGCATTCAAGGAATTTTTGTCTCCAAGGGTTGACACACTGCCAATTGCAGACTTTTCTGCTTTGGCTTTTACCCTCGCTTCTTTCTGCTCCTTTGTCAAAACATTAATTTTGATCTTTTTCATCCCGTTTGTTATTTGGTCAAGTTCAGTTGGAGAGGCAGCTTCTGTAGACGGACTTCCAGCTTTAGCTATGATTGTTTGATTCTGTGGAAGCAGTGAATCGTTTATGTTGTCAGTGGTAGGCACAGTCTGTATGTTTGCAGAGGATCCTATTTCAATCTTTGCTGTAGCTGGCTTTGTTGTTTTTCGAGGCGCCCGAGGCGCCCTGCCGCTATCTTTCCTTGGAGGTGCAGCCGGCCGACCCTTCTTAGTAGCCACAGTCGTAGATGACTGTGTACGGACGCTCATGGAAGAATTGGGGCGTGTACTCAGGGAAGTAACGGGCCGAGTGGCTGTGTTATCGGCCATCGGCACATCCGCGACAGTGCTGAGGGAAGAGGCTGCACTAAGCCTCCTATTCGCCTGTCGTGGTTGTTTTGATTCATTGTGTGACGAAGAACCACGAGCTGGCCCCTGTAGAAATATAAGTACACAGTCTCACATGTGATATTATAGACATACCTTTGATGAAGCGAGTACAGCGGGCCCTGCGACAGTCTTGCGCCGTGAAGGAAAATCGTCCTCCTCCAGATAGCTGACTGGCTTTCTTTCACGAAGAGACATCCGCGTAGGAGCGGCTGGGACATCGCTCGCGTCAGTCACAGCAGGTTGAAGAGACTGGCGACTTTTCTTAACCTTTGTGGCCTCAGTATTAAGCTCCGCATGTGTGCAGCTATCTACTTGGCGGTGATTCGGAATGAGGAGCTTGCTCAACTCATGTGCTGCAATGGTCCAAGGAACGTCGGGCGGCGGCGGTGTCGGCGACCTAGGCATGACTACCTGAGAAGCTGGAAGATTCGACAAACTACGGCGAGTTTTAGCCACTTCGGTCATCTTTGCATTGGACGATTGTGTGGGAGAAGAATAATTTCCTGGCGTTATGGTTCGTGTTTTCTTGGGTTCCGGTGGGGGAGTTACTCTGTCAGCGTCAAAGCGATCAAGCTCAGAGCTAGACCACCAGTTTGGGTCATATGGAAATTCACAAGACTTCAAGGACTTCAACTCGCTTTCAGTTAAGGTGCTCCGTCTACTAAATGGTCCGACTTTATCACCCATTTCATGTGCGAAGCCATGTGAACCTTCCTCCTTGGGTGTCATGGATTCGACTCCTGCTAGGCCGCTCAAGTGGCTCAGCACTCCAGAGTATAATGCTCTGTCACTATAACCACCTTCCAGAACGCTTATGACACGTCCATCCACACTAAGACCCTCCTCTGATGCAATCCGTACTGCATCTCTGGTAAGCCGAGCATAGAACTCAGTCGGCACATTCACTTTATGCCGCTGCATTCCAGCACCCTCCCACTCACTCGCATCGAACCCGGCGGATAGAAATATAGCAGCTTTTGGCACCTGGCCAGCAGCGCGAAACCGTTCCGTTTGCAATCGGAGATAGTTGCGAGTCTTTTCGAGCAAAATTGAATACTTGGATCGATAGAGTTTCCAGAATTCCACATCTGACTTCCACTCATGGAGGTGCACATTCCATATATTCTGTCCATGGGCGTTATCGATACATAAGCTCGCGTTCTTGACCTTCTCTTCATCGCCATACTCGCAAGGATATGAATTTATATCATGAACGCTAAAATACCCGATCGATGTCTTTTTCCAGGCGGCGGCATTTTTGGCTAAACCACGCTTGTTGTGCTGCCAGGCGATAGATTGTGAGCCGTCTCCGTGGTGCAGATCGAAGTCGATAATAGCCGCATGAGTTAAACCATGGTTCAAAATTCCATGCATAATTCCAACATGGACATTGTTTACCCAGCAGAAACCAGACGGAAACGAGGCAGAGCAATGGTGCCCAGGGGGCCGCACGGCAACAAAGGCTCGTCTATGGGCCGAGGTGGAAAAGACGGTATCAACGGCTTCGCAGACAGCTCCCATAGCGCCTTCAAAAGCATTCAAAGACTCTGAGCATAAGTAAAGATCGCCTTGGTGAAAGTGTTGCGGGGGTTCTGCATCAGGCCCGCGATTCATCTCGGGCCGTCGAAGCTCGTTTCCGTTAAGCGCGAGTTTCGCTTCAGCCGAGTCGCACATAATCTTCAGCTCCTCCATCCACTTGCTGCCATGAACATTCGTCACCGTAGTAGATGAGATAGCGACTTTACGAGTGGTCTTGTGAATGCGAAAAGGAACCTCCGGAAGTGCTTTGGGATCCGGGTCCGACTGTATAGGATGTTTTCCGTCGCAATGCCTCTCCCCCAGTCGCACATAGGCCATAGAGACGCCAAGAATGCTGGCCTGGATCCTTTCAGGTCGCTCAACAATGGTACTTAGTAGATTCTTCGATGCGCGCGGTCTCGAGTAGCGGTGCCCGTAGCAATCGTCATGCAGAATAACAATAGTCTCAGCGGATTGATCAGAGTTGGTGGTGTGCAAAAGCTCCAATTCCTTGGCGAAATGGTGGCTTGCTACTGAACCAGCTGTTCGTGGAGGTCTTGCTTCCACTGTTTCTCCATGATTTGCGAGTAGGCTGTTTGGAGACTTTGCAGTAGTCGGGGAAAGAAAGGGGGTGGAGCTGCCCCGACGTGAGGATGTACGACTCGGCGTGCCACCATTAGCTGAACGAAGAGAATTCATCGATGCTTTGCGAATTAGGCCCTGGGACGAAGATGAGCTATCAGTGGCTATGCCGTTGAGGTTTGCTTTCGTCAAGGGACTGCGGGGAGGTGCTCTCGTGTTTGGAGATATGGAAGATCGTCGTCGCTCATTAAGAGGCTTCGATGGCGCACTAGACCCTGAGAGAGGTGAGGTGGATAGAGAAAGCTTTTTGAGTGAGTGGAGAATCTCGTGGTCATGGTTGTTATTATCGTTGTTGTTATTGTTGTTGTTCACAGAAGCTGGTATGGGCTGCTGAGCTTGACTGCGCTCAGGGGAAGACATGGCCAAAGTTGGCTGGACATGCGGAGCGTTTGAGGAAATCTGGTGCAGAATTCGCGTGTAAGTATAACCCTCGTTTTGACTGGCGATACTTGTGAGAATATCCAATGCCTAGTCTAAATCGAACACGTTGCTGTCTGGTTGAAATATTGCCACGAGAAACGGGAATGTGATGCAGATGCAACTTTGGAGATGGTTGATGCGAAAGTAATCAAAACTCCCGGTCTAGCGCGTATATGTAACGCGACTTTAGTGGGGTATGCAGACGCTACAGGGGAGATGCAGCCCCCGCCGCTTAAACTCTTGGGTCTCACTAGCAACTGAGACTCAGATATCCCCCCACTAAGACTTACCCCTCCATCCTACTACATGTACATGTATGGAGGTACCTAGTAGGTAACTCGGTTAGGTAGTAGGTTCTGGTACCTAGGTATGTTAGGTATGTAGGCAGGTACCTACCTCGCCTACTACCGTACCTAGAGGTAGGGGTATTTGTTGAAGATCTAGGCTGGGCTGGGTGACGTCGTGATTGAGGCCTTATCTAAGTGCCTTAGGTACATAAGTAAGTACCTAAGCTAGAGGTAGACGAGGCAGATACTTTATCGCCACTGATGCCCATTATCTACCTCAGCCCCGACAACGGACTGGTTTCTAGAACGAGTTCTGCCAATCAACACTGCGGTCTACTTACTTCATATAAGCTTTGCGGAAGACAGTTCCAAGACATAGATCTAACTATTCCAACCGCTAATCACATCACATGCAGAGAGGGGGGAGCAAACAGAGAAAGCGCCCCGCTGTCGAAGGAAGACCTACTAAACCGATCTCTTTTCGAATTTATAAGCAAGACTTCGCCGCCTAAGCGTGAGATTAATCTATTTACATTCGGAGCCTCTGGGGCCGTCGCCCTCTTTTCTACTTAGGCACACAATAATTGTCTGGACAGAGTCGCCCGCATCTTCTAGAATACGAAACCGCGGGCGCATAGTGATTATGGCACCGTCTCTTGACGAGCCGGAGCCCGTCCAGGATGTTATTAACCACCCACTGAAAGAACGCCCGCAGCTCGTCGCTCCCGAACCCGAGCATTGCCCCGGGCCCGAGTCCGAAACGGCCGGCAAAGCAGACTCGTGTGCTGGGTGTCCCAACCAGGCTATATGCGCAAGCGCACCCAAAGGACCCGACCCGGATCTCCCCCTAGTCGCAGCACGGCTTACCGGAGTGAAGCATAAGATTCTCGTGCTCTCCGGCAAGGGTGGTGTGGGCAAGAGCACGTTCACCAGTTTGCTCGCGCACGCCTTTGCCACGGATGAGGCGCGTACTATAGGGATCATGGATACCGATATTTGCGGGCCGAGCATTCCCAAGATGATGGGCGTAGAAGATGAGACTATTCACATCAGCAACACTGGCTGGTCACCTGTCTGGGTCTCTGACAATCTCGGCGTCATGAGCATTCAGTTCATGCTGCCGAACCGTGACGACGCCATCATCTGGCGCGGACCTAAGAAGAATGGCCTCATCAAGAAGTTCCTCAAAGAGGTTGAGTGGGGCGACATGGACTTCCTGCTCGTTGACACCCCGCCTGGTACAAGCGACGAGCATCTCAGCGTCAACAGTCTGCTGAAGGAGAGCGGGATAGACGGCGCCATCATGGTCACAACGCCGCAGGAAGTCTCGCTACTTGATGTGCGAAAAGAGATCGATTTTTGCAGAAAAGCTGGAATCAAAATACTAGGTCTAGTAGAAAATATGAGCGGCTTCGTGTGTCCCAAATGCACCCACTCGAGCCAGATTTTCAAGGCGACCACCGGTGGTGGTGCGGCATTAGCAAAAGAGATGGGCATACCATTTCTAGGCGAGGTACCCCTGGACCCAAGGATAGGGATGGCCTGCGACTATGGCGAGAGCTTCTTCGATCATTATCCAGACAGTCCGGCGTGCAAAGCGCTCAGACATGTTGTCAAGGGGCTGGCTAAGGAGATTGGCGAAGAAGTTCTACTTGATGACTAAAAAATCTCATGAACAAAAAAAGAATTTTGACAACCAAGTTGCAACAAGAAATCTATTTCCCGGGCGTGCGTGTTAATAGCACCTGGGTAACAGCTTGTTCAATCACCATTCATCATTGATGAGAATTGGCGTCGACTAGATTTCAAGGCAGGTAGATCTACATTGGCTGCTTGCTCTTCAAAGACAGCCCACGCCCAGCGTTACAGTTTACATGTTTGTAAACCGCGATAAATTCTCTGATCCTTGGCTCTTAACCCTTGGTCAAAGGTTTCACTCTACTGCCAACCTCTTTGGTATCTCCTCCAAGTCATCAGCACTTTCTATGTCGATGACTTTTCCGACCTCACTTGTGTTCCGTATCAGTTCTTTCGCGCCGGCGTACATCATACGACTTTCCGCGTTACAAGTGCTGGGAAGGTAGTACAGGAGTACATAGGGAACAGAGAGGCGACCAGATGGCTAACATCAAGGAGATCAGCGAGCGGCATTTCCACGGCGTTTACCCTGTAGTTCGGCAGAATATATTCTGTATATATATCACACAAAGTCCCAGCAGGCGGTAACACAGGGAAGGGAGGGCCACATACGAGTGTTAGTGGGTAGCTGAGTAGAATATACCGCGGCGAATTATCGGGGAGATCCTCCGCAATCTCGTCGAGTGATTTGTAGACTACCTTGTCGTCATCTTGTTTGATCTCGTGCGTCTTTTTATCGATCATATCTGTTGGTAACAGGGAGACGTGTCAGTCTTGCCCTCGTGACCGACGTTCCGCACATGCGCCAACAGTAGTACGGGTTGCATCGGCGGAGACGTACATACAAATGACAGCTTGCGGGCCGGTGGCACGGGAAGTAGTCAACCTGAACTTGCGCAGGTGGTCCTTCGTCTCCTGAGAGAAGGTATAGAGTCGTGCTTCGGAACTCTGGAGCTGGCGGTTAGTGCTGGGTGACAGCTGGATCGCGGGGTAGAGGGGTTGACTGTACCATTGCGACGGCGGTTTACAAAAGGAACCCTCGGACGATTCGTGCGTATGGATGCGTGTATAAAGGTGTTCACCGACTCATGGAAAAGATGCGAGTGCCGAGGTAGCCAGAAGGAGGTTCGAGGTGAAGAAGGCAGCCTAGGTATTGGATATCATAGAGTAAGAATCGGGTTACTGTACCTAGGTGTAGGTACCTACTTACGTTTGACGACCCCCACAAATGACGAAGCTCCGGAGGAGGCCACCTAGGCTTGCTACTCCATGGGCGGGCTAGGCGGGGGTTATGGGTTATGGTGGATTGCTTTGTACATTACATAGTACAAGCCGGCATCAGCTAACCGCGATTTGTAATTACGTATGCAACTATTCAATCCCAGATTCTTGTCAAGTAAAAATTGACGAGCCCAAAGTACGGCATAGACTACTGGACGGTGAAAAATACGGTATAGAGTGAAAGCAGAACGCCAACTAATCGTATTTGCCTTGCGGTCGTTATCTAGTAGGGTATCTAAGGGATTGTCGATGTTAAGGTCGACCCATCATTTTATTACGGCATCTTGAGTGTGACATCTGCAGATCGATGATGAACTTAAATGAACTGCAAGGTAAAAATAGCCTGCAGTCCCACACCCCAATTCTCTCTTTTCCTTCTTCGTCCTCCTTTCTCATCGAATATCCTACATCAGTCTACCTGGTCGCGGATCCCATCTTGTGTTATTACTTACGGTGATCAACCACGTCTGAACACCTGAGTTTGGAGACCAGCCATCGGGCAACCGGTCTGATTTACTCGTCGACGTGCATTTCTGCGCCCATGGCCTTCTCCTCGGCATTTGGATCATGAATTGAAGGGGGTGGGCGCGTATTTGGGATGGGTTCTTTCCAGTTTGCCATGAGGTATTGAGGCAAGAAGGTGTCGAATGAGACGCGTAGATCGTGTACTTCCTTGATGAAGCGAAGACCAATATTGAGTTCACAAACCGTCATGGCGATCTTCATCCCAATCTCAAATTTTCCCAATAGCTCGTCCTCGAGAAAGAACTCCTCTGTTTCGGCATTACTGAAATCAACCTCTTCCGGGCGCGGCATGTTCCCCCACCCATGCGCAATGATAGCTGGTGCAACAGAGATGATACCAGCGGGCTTGACCTTGCTTTTGGCTTCCAACTCTGCAAGTTTCTTCTCTACCATCTTCTTATCCTTCTGGAGGGGCCGAGCCATTTCAAGAACCTGGTAGGTCTTGCTGGCCGTAGATATAACCTTTATTGTAGTTGGATCAGCAGTGTTGAGGATTTTCTGCTTAACAAGCTTCGCTTTGTCGCTCGACGACCAAACCAGGGTGGTGAGCTTGAACTGAACGAAAGCCTCGGAATTCTCCTCACGGTCGAGATGGTTGATTTGGCCCTCACAGAATAACGATCGAGCAGCGCAGTTGAAGTGACCAGGCAGTTCAAAGGTCAGTTCGTGTATGTAGCGAAATTCGATCGGCGCGATATCGCATACATGTCTAGCAGCTACAATGTTGGCCGTATATTCAGGACACACGTCCTGCATGAGAACATAGTTCAAGAAATTCTTGACTACGTCTGCAGCTGTCTGAATGATTTTTGGGTCATACATGCACCAGTCGGGGATGGTTCGAGAGCTACTGGCCATATTAGCTTACACGAAAGATGCGAGAAAGCAAACGAAGCAACATGTATTAGGGACTTTTACCCACAGGTATCCTTCGACCACTGCTTCGAAATCGACTTCCCAATCTTCAGATCTACTGGGGTCGTAGAAACGATTACCTTGGCCACCGACAAAATCGACAGCAGTCATAGTACGGATCTGCTCACTATCTGCTTCAACCATAGCCTCTCTATCCAGGGCCATGCCAGTAAATTGGCGTTGTGAGGTATCGATACCCCCTAGAAAGAGGTACTTGTTGAACAGAGTCATACGCTGCGAGTCTAGACGTCGGCGTGCTCGAAACCGCTGGATGCATTCTTCGATACGTCTACAGTAAATTAGACGAATCATAGCCGTCTTTTTTTTTTAAGCAAAACTTACTCGGAAAACGGTCGCATACTACAATATTATCAGCGATGTCATCTCGATATGGAGCAATTGCACTCACGGATCGTAAAGCTTCTTCTTCTCAGCCGCCTGCAAAGGCGTCATCGGGGCATCGGCATAATACTCTAAAATAAGCGTCAGGAAGTAATTGTCAGCTTTGAGTATAAACTCACCTTCGAAGCCAGTGATGTTCTTGCGACTCTTCGGGATTCTCTTCGACTTCTTTTTCTTCTTTGTCGCTGTAACTTGCTCACCAACGCTTACCACCGCGTCAGCAACAGCAGGGTCATCCATATGAGCTTCGTGGAGATCCGGAACATCTTCACCGGTCGAGTCACGGGCCTCACTATTGGCCTTATTGGCGCCATCTTCGACCCCACAAGGTACAGGCATATTGTCTTTTGCTTCAAGTCTTCGGGGCAGTGCGGCCATCGGTGTGGTCGTTACCGACTCCTCTAGATGCTTGAGAGAGAGGCCAGTAAGTGACTCAGCCATCTCATCTGTCCTATTAGCTTATTGCTAATGCAGGCTAGAATCCTAGGCATTGTCAGGTGCAATTGTGACAAATTATAGAATAGGACATGAGCTGCATGCGAAGAATTTATGGCACGATCAAGCCAAACGCAGAGAGGAAATGACGTAGCATCAAAGGTAATAAGACACAAGGAACATTCAAGTATCATGCGCGGGACCAAGGTAACATGGAAATTACGAAGAAGAGGCTGTAGCAACTTGGGACTTACGGTGGATCTGTCTGGTTGGAGCCGGAATCTCAACAGAAGTTACCTGCACCTCTTGCTATATCAAATAGTTAATTCAGTGCTGACGTAGCAAGAACAGAAGATACAAGGCTAGGAGGAGGTTGGCAATAGAATTAGATAGGTCGAGATGTTACCGTATCTGCCGGTTGCCTTCGAGAGGGCTGAAGGGAAGAAGGCAGTCACGGCAAGAGGAGGGGAAAAGCGAAGCACAGGACAAACAATAGACAAGCGGATGGCAAACAGAGCTGTCTCTTCTGGAAAATCGGCCCGCTTCATGTTGTCCCTTGTGATACTGCGGCAGCAGCAATCGAAGACGTCGATGGTAGTATGAATAAGTGTGTCTGTGTAACGTAGACACATATCTACATAAAGCAGGCAGGTACAAGCATACCTCAACGCAAGTACTTGCGTAGTGGGTAAGTCGCCTCACACGGCTTCTTTCAGAGGATAGGATACGAATCAGAGCAGTTACTCAATGTATTCTTTGTATAATATTATTTAACTAACTACGTGGTATGTGGTTATTGACCAGCAGCGCCACTGGACCCAACATCCGGGCCACTAGAACGAATTAGATCCTCGATATGACATGGCGAGGTCTGAAGGCCGCCTAGCTACACAGGTGAACAGATTGTATGTTCCATCAACAAGCACAATGCATACATACTTGATAACATATTTGCCAAAATTACCGTGTTGTGCTATATGTTGGCGTATGAGGCGGTCTGTTTGCCGGCGAATATCGGCCCCATACCAGCAAAGGTCATGGTGTCCTAGCTATCGATTGGAGTTGGCGGCTCCCTCTTTGTTTGCACCCGATGAAGCTCAAGAATTTGGAGAGCAAGTCCTTACTAAAACACTTCGGGAGGCTCTGGGAAGGGTAAAAGAGATGAGAGTAGTGAGATGCGTCGAGCAACTGAAGAGTTGCGGTGAGTCCGCGCTATGGTCACTAAGGACAAACGATGGCTGAGTAGCTGAGGTGTTGCTGATGATTATAGGTACCTAGGTAGGCAGAAGTCTCCATGATGGCTGTGAAATCAGTTGTCACCTACTAGCTTCATACCTACATACTAGGTACCTTACAAGACACGGGCTATAGGTAGCCGGTAGCCGTGAGATTGCAGAGGTGCAATGCGCGTGGCGCGTGTATTGGCAACGTGCTTCAAGGCAGAATGGTAGGCTTCGTATATCTTTTTCAATTTAATTTTTTTTTCCTCCCCAAGAGCCCAGCAGGGGCAGTGTAGAAGCTGAGAGGGCATATATGACCGTACCTGGTTGCTTGTGGCTGAGCTCGGATCCCGGGATTTCGCCACATCGCCAGAGTGAGGTACAGCCGAGTATGTAGACATGGCCATTGGCTAGCGACAGAAGAGCCCGAGCCCCGCGTACTCGGGCGGTACCGCCTCTCCCCTACAGCAGCGGCGTTGCGCCCGGGTATACCACATGTCACTCATCCTCTCCCCGCTGCTGCGGTAGCTGCGGTCCGAGGCTTGCAAACGCTAAGCTGCTCTGGTGATAAGGCGAGACGCTGCCCCTGACGTTATCCAGACACCATGCCGAGCTGACACCGCGCTCTAGCGCGTTACCGCCAGGCCAGGTACATGTACTTGGGTATCTATGAATGTACATATGTATGTAAGTCTGGTACTTGTTGTGTGCTGTGCTACACTAGCTATGCTGGTGTATAGTCTGCTGTGGTGAGTGCCTCATTATGTACCTAGGTAGGCAGTACTGTAGTAGCTCTTACGGGATCAGTTCAGCTGGTTGGACCATCAAAATTCCCATCCCCCAACTCCGAATCCAACGCACTTTTACTGGGTCTGCAACTGAGCGGCACATGGTACTTCCATTCATACAAATGTGAATGTGCGCGCGAAGCGTTCAACGCCATCTCATCCACCCGTGTGTCCCTTTCTAACTTCGCCCTCACAGGACGTATTGGTCAGTCACTTCTCCCTTTTCTTATATCCGTCCCTTTTCTTGATTTGTGACGCATTTCATCCAGTGCTTTTCTGTTGCTAGGTCGGGTTTTGGATCTGTTAGCCTGAACCCAGTCCCTCTCCCTCTGTACATTCCTCACCCCAACGGGTGATACACTTAGGTAGTCGGGTGCTTTTCTGTCACCACGTCGGAGTCTCGACCTGCTACGTTATACACCCTGCTGTGGTGTGTGTCGTTTGGTCCGACATTAACGTTGCTGTCCCACAGGCTAGTGTCGCCGAGCGCTACCATTCATCTTTTATAAATCCGCCCTTTCTACCCGTTCTACTTCTTCTGTCTTAATGATATGGCCACCTGTCTTAAGAGATCCTTTTCGTCACCAACCGCAATGTCGCCCACACCGGAAGAGTTGCGCGAGCTGAAGCGGGCTAAGACGGCTCCAGTCAAGCCTAAAGATGTTCCCAAGCATCAGGACTTGGTGGGTTATAAGCATGCTGTTGCCGGCCAGTCAGTTGTTTCCATCGCCCGAGTACTACACCTTCGATGCTAATTTTGAGTTGTTCAGTGATGGGACAATGTGTGACGCCGATGGCGAGCTCTTCGTCAAGCCCTGTACTCAGGCCGAGGTGGACTTCTACGAATCCGCTAGACTCCATCCTGATTTTGCCGAGCTCATACCTGTATACTGCGGCAGCCTCGCCCTTCTCGACACGACAACTGCTGCTTCGATACATCAACAGTTACCTGGCCTGATCGACAAGGCAGATATCTCAAAGGGGTTAAAAGATGAACTGAAATCTCATCTAGACCCAGACGCGACCCCAGAAGTCGTAAATCATGACAGTGCCCAAGAACCACTTAGAAAGGACGCACCAAGTCAAGAGTCGCTTTCCACAGAAAGTAAGAGACCGGAGGCTAAAACAGGCCCAATTAAAACAGACCGCGCTATTACCCTTCTCAACGCTTCCTATGGCTTCAAGAAGCCCAATATAATGGATGCCAAAATGGGCCAGCAGCTATGGTCGAAAAATGCGTCAATGGAGAAGAGGGAGCGTTTTGATAAAATCACAGAGAGCACAACGCACAAGAATTTTGGTTTTCGAGTTGCTGGTATGCAGGTGTACAAGGGCACCCACCCCAAGTACACAACACCTGATGGAAAAGAGGCGTTTTCGCCCAACGTATCGGGGCCAAATGAAGAAGGCTTCATGATATACAACAAATTTTGGGGTCGTGACGATGTAAACGACGCAAATCTGGCGGAATCGCTAAAGCTATACATTTTTAATGAGGCCGCCGGTATTGATGAAGAGTTGGGAAAACTTGTTGCCGGTCTGTTTGCCAGCGATCTTCGGAGAGTTGAAGAGGTGCTGCAGAAGGAAGAGAGTCGTATGTATTCATCGAGTCTCCTCTTTGTCTTTGAAGGTGATGGTACCGCTTTGAGAGCGGCTATCGAGGAAGCGAAGGCTGCAGAGGTGGAAACGCAACGCGTACACTCCGAGATGGTCACGTTAGTAAACAAGAGGGCCTCGCCACGAGCCGTCAGCACTAATCTCCGGGTGGACAGTGGTATCGGAATGGACGACGAGGAGCTCAAGTTCGTTGCAGAATCGGTTGTGCTACAGAACGATTTCGAAGAAGGGAGCGGGGACGACGACGATGAGTTTGATGAGATGTCGACATTTCCCCATATATATTCCTTGAAGATGATTGACTTCGCGCATGCTGAATGGACTCCTGGCTTGGGACCAGACAAGGCTGTGCTTCTCGGTGTCAAAAGCCTCGCGGAGACTTTCGAGAAATTCTCCGAGTAAAAGTCGGGGGCTAAATGTCTTGGAGACTAGCAACTCCATATTGCTTTTTTCCTATCTGTTCACTCCATTTATCGTTAGTTTGTGTTACAAGACCAAGGAAGACGAAGACGGGACAATATTCGGCGAGCAGAGGCGAAGTCAAAAACAAAAGCATCAGACTCGGAGACACAACATCAGACGCCCAAGGGAGTCACGGGGCGCATAGGCGTTCAACAGAGTTAGTGGGATTTTGCTGCATAGATACCCAGTTTGTTGCGTTCTCCAGCATGATAGAGGCTATTAGAAGGAGAACCACTTCTCATGGATACCTACACGGCTACGACGAAGAATATTCATGTGTCACGCAGGTGTGCATTGGGGTTTCCAATGCCTACATTTCCAACATCAGTCTACGGATAGTTTATTATGAGTTCTTTGCTTGAAAGGTGACAACGATATGGGAAATAGTGTGGGAGCGGTGGCCTCCTCATATTAATCCTTGATAGCTGAATGAAGGATAGTTACGCGTGCAGTAAAAATGTATGCTCTCAGGCCCAGGTCTGTTAACAGAGCTTCGAAAGTCAAATGCGCCCATCCATGGGCTGTGCTCAACCTGTTGCAGTGAACAAAGGACATAAGTAGGTAGGTATGTGCCTCCAGTATTTGCTAGCCTGACGTAGGTACCGTATTTTGAAAGTACACGTTATACCTACAGGTATATCCCTATGTACCTTAGGTATGTAGTTAGGTAGCTTACTTATGTAGTCAGGTACAGTTCTATATTAAACTGGTTACGACCCCACCAAAAAGTTGGTTCAAGCTACAACGGTGGGATAGGTATGACATCCTCAACCACTCACTCTAGAGACCACTCCTCGACCGCACGCTTTCGCTTTCTTCCTTGTGGCCCTGCGATGAATTAAACATGTCGATACCAGGCTTGGGGCAATTAGCTCCCACAGTACGTCCCTCCAACCTTTCGCGTCCCTTTGCCACCATTGTAGTCTAATGCATTGGCTAAAGTGTTCTAGGCTACCCCAATAGCTGCTGCAGCTTCTTCAGCCGCGCCGGCTCCCACGACGACACAAACCCTCGAACCGTACTGGGAATACCGTTTTGAGGTGCCTCACGGCTCGTCTTTAACTATCAAGCTTGTCTCGGGCACCGCCGAGAAAGATGGCACCGAGCTCGCCCCCAATACGCCCTACATCTTCAGTGCGACCAAGTCTAAAATCAATACCTGGCATGGCTGCAGCCTCGAGATCACAGCCCCCTCATCCGGCACATACGATGCGTACACATCAGAGCCGACCGCCGATGAGACCCCCATGGTCAGCTACCTAAACTTGCACTTCAAGCTCGAGTCCCTTCGCGCCGTCGCCCAAAAGTCAGCCCACATGGGGCCACGCGTGCTCATCGTAGGACCCCCGAACGCTGGCAAGTCGAGCCTTGTACGCACTCTCGCTTCCTGGGCCACTCGCATGGGCCGTCAACCTCTCGTCGTAAATACCGATTCGCGCGAGGGCATGCTCACGCTCCCGGGAACTCTGAGCGCCGCTGTTTTCGCCACGCTCATCGACATCACTACGGACTGGGGCAGCCTGCCCAGCAGTGGGGCCAGTGCGATCCCTGTGAAGTTGCCGTTGGCCTACTACTATGGGCTGCCGCAGTCAGATGATAATCCAAAGCTGTTTAAGCGCTTGCTTGGCCGGCTTGCTGTCGCGGCTACGTCGAGACTCGCCGAGGATGTTGACGTTAAGAGTGCCGGCATGTTAATCGACACCGGCGGTGTACCCACAGGCGCTAGGGCCGTGTCATACTATGAGTTTGTCGCCCATATCGTCGCCGAATTCTCGGTCAATATTATCGTTGTGGTTGGGTCTGAGCGCGTAGGCAGTGAAATGCAAAAGCGATTTGCAGGGCAGACTACAAGCGTTGGCGAGACAATCACGGTCGTCGGTTTAGATAAATCCGGCGGTGTCATGGATCGTGATGAAGCGTTCATGCAATCTATTCGCGAGTCCGCTATTAGAGAGTACTTCTTTGGTAACACTAAGATGACTCTCAGTCCTTTCACGCAACAGGTAGATTTTGCGGCTGTGTCGATATGGCGAATAAACGATGGTAAGTATACAGGTTTTCATTTCATTTCATTTGATATATATTATGGCCATCTATCCGTCTCTATTTTCATTTTATTTTTCTAATTATCATGACACCGGAGAATGGGCCTCTAGATATAGCAACTAACATCTCTCGCAGCGCCAATCAAGTCTCTAGCAGACAGTGGCGGTATTACGTACGACGAAGGAGAAACACACCCAGCAGATCTTCTCGAAAAGGCAGAGCCATCAATGATGATGCAGAATTGTGTGTTAGCGGTAGCATGTGCCTCGGTCCATGATCCCCCAGACACAATACGCGATGCAAACATCATGGGCTTCGTATATGTAGCAGACGTGGATGAGAAGCGCCATAGGCTGCGCATCCTAGCACCCGTCTCAGCACGGCTCAGTGATCGACCCCTTCTATGGGGCTCATGGCCTGAACACATGGTCAACCTACTTATATAATGGGTGTCCACGCTAATGAACTGACAGCACTAACATAATGACACATGTCGATGGGATGTCAATGGATTAACGTGGTCCATAGCATGTCCTCCCATCTACGAGCATCACTCGATATACAACTTTAGAAGCCTCCAAGGAGTCAGTTTCAAAATTTTGTGGAAACCTCCCAATCTTAGATTTTGACATTGATGGCTTACTAGACGCAATAGAAGTCATAGACCACTAGCATTGCAAGGGCTAATGCCGGCACTTGACATAGTGAGAATTATACAGTTCGCATTGCTATTAAGCTACAAGGTCGTCTTCCACTATGACTAATGGTTTTCCCATATGGCATTCAGAAATAGGCATTAGGTGGGGTGAATTGATGGATATAATAGCTGTTTAGCCACCATTGCAGATAAATGAAGATGATAATTTACGTTCTCGAGTGGCAACGTACGGTAGATCATGTGATGGATATTCTATTGATTGAGTGAAACGCAGTTACAAAGAGAGTCAATAACTAACTAGCTCACTCCGTATCCTATATCGAAGTCATTGAGGAAACATGATGCTAATACAAGTCGATGTCATTCCTGGAACTGCCTGCGTGGCTAACTATTATAGTGTTACTTAACTTAGATGAATAATAGGACACTCCCTGCACATATGGAAACCTGTAGGCATTTGAACAGAGAACATCTATAGTAAGGCTACGTGGACATGCTAATTACCTAGGCATAACTTCACATGCCTGACGGATCCGTCGTAGTTATTATCATATATGTGTGTATAAGAAGGGGGGGAAGGAAAAACGGAGACAGAAATACAGAATTCCTACCAATATTACAAAGGAAATGAGTACATGAAAGATAAGAAGATGTGGGAGAGGAGGTGCAAAGCAAAACATAGGGAGAAAAAAAAACTAATACGTACAACACCAGGGATTCGCTGGTCGTCACCGACCCAACTACTGATCTGGCGCTCATACCGGCTTATCTATGGGAGAGCGGACGGGATCCCGAGTTTTCCGATGGCTATGGTCGTACGTGGGAGAACCTGGCGTTGAATTATATTTTTAACGGAGAGAGAGGGCGATGTGGGTAGAAGATGTTTTGCCTTCAACATGTCCACGTTGTTGATTACTTATTGTTACTTCACTGCTAACTGTATCTTTTTATTGACTCTATGGTTATTGTATAAAAAGGGATGTCCTCGCTATGGTAGCCTATCTAGCTAGCTAGTTTATCCATACTGTGATCGCTGGTTTATGTTAATTTATATCTTGGAAACTAAATAATGTGTAGCTTCTGGACACTCATCTTTCAATACCCTTTAGTTTGCAATTTTATTTTAGCAAACGTACATGATTCATAAAATACAAGCACCGGAAGCCCTTTGTTAAATCTGCACTAACAATTTGATAGGTGGTGGTGGGATGGAGAGAAGGTGTGTATAGTTCGTGTTGTTGGCAGTATTGACTACGTAGGTTCGGATCGCAAATATACATCAGGCTTGGCATGATAGGCTAATAGTAAGGGTGACGGACATTTACAACCTCAACCTCCGTATGCCGAGGCGGTGCTGTTTTATGTAGAGCGCTTTTTCCATCTCCAATAAGGCCCCAGTCGACTTGCTACCGTCTTCTTTAGGGCGACTAAGCAGACTTCTAATGAATCAGGTGGATATGCTGTTTCCAGCAAGGCTTCAGGGAAGAGGATATCTTCGTAGTTGCTTGGTAAATTCTATATGAAGAGCTTGATAACTTATGTAAGCCTGTATAATTAGGAATATAGAGGACTCTTTTGAGTTATCCAATTGTATCGTACTCATCTGCTCTACATGCACTGTTTCAAATTAAGTTTATATACATGTACAATGGTCTCTAGAAGAACTTGCCCCTAAGTCACTGATGGCCCTAAGTTACCATGTGCGAGATGCGGAAGCTGCTAATTATCATATTAATGTTGTAAACCTCTGCTTGAGGGTCTCGGCACGGCGAATTCAAGTTGTTATATGCCGCAGCTGTAGTCCTAATGACATGTAATGATGATCAGATGTTATATAGTGGAATTTTTATTGATTGTCACTCTTCTATTCTGTACGTCGAACACAAGAAATAATGAATAAGGGTGGATGATTATCGGTGATGTAATGCATTTTTTCCACTCGAGATAGCATACTCACAATTTAATGGGATGGGGTGTAGATATACTAGGTAGCTAACTGAAAGGAAAACTGAAGGTGGGAAATGTTCTAGCCTCCCCCCCTTTTTTCCAATTCTTCACAACCCTAGACAGATTGGAACAGGGAATCTACTCGCTCACGTTCAACCTAATCTATGTGGCAATAATGTAGGTCCTGGCGCCAATATCTTCTGATGATCATATTGGCTTGTGAAGATGATAGTTTGTAGCTACACTTAAATCTTAAGAGCAAGGCACAGGTTTGAGTAAGAACTATGTACTTAAATATACTTCAGTTCTTCCCGATATGATATGCTGTTCGAAGGATCATTATCATTCTGGCCACGCCGTGATCCAGGACCCCTGGATAGGACCATACACGACTGTTGTGCGGGGCATTATCGAGGCCAAGCGTTCAGATACCTTTCTGTTATGAGGCACATCAGGGTTGCATCATGCGATCGCTTTGGCTTGAGATAGGGCTGTGCCACATTCGTTACACGTTTGTGTTGAGAACAGGGAAACTCAAATCATAACACTATCATTCCCAATATCCTGTTAGGATAGGTTACAGCAAACTATTGAGCACATCAGAAGCGCAGAGTTTGTGCGAGGTTGAAGTTGGGCCTGCGCCTCATGAGATATTGCGAGAAAGAAATACGAAATACCAGTGCTGCTAGAGCATTGTGCCTCTTCACAAGCTAAGGGATGGGGCCATCCAACTGAATCTCTCTTTTCAATAAGCTGTTCAGGGTGTTCTCTAACTCTCATTTACTCTTTCAATTATTCCTGTCACTCCTAAATAAGTACATTGTCCACTACACTATAACGAGACCTTGAGAGTCGTTTTGGCGAAGCCTGTATTTAATTTGGCAGTCTTGGGGTAAACCACCTGCACTAAGGATTCTTTCCCATCACGCACCCACCACGAAGGATGCGCCCAGGATTCGAGCATAAGCGTACCAGGCCGCTGGGAGATAAGCAGCGAATGCTACCTTGCCATGATAATATTTGGCCGTTAGTGGTACTATAGGTACCGGTAGTAAGTATACTTGCAGCAATCATATCCACGTCACACGCAGGTAGACCCAACGGAAGTCCAGCCGAATTAGCAAATCCGCCTCCGAATGGAGTGCTCGAATGATATGGCTTCAAGAATATCTGTAACCCATGGTACTGGATTCCCCGAGAGTGTAGGAATTTTTTCTAGAATGAAAGGAGATTACCCGAGCAAGCCCGGTCGACACCACGTGGTACGCGGTGTTACCAATCCTACACTTGCTGTACCTAGTGTAACGACGTCAAGATAGCTGAGTTGGATGGTCATGTGACAGCCGGCTGATGGCTGAGTAATCACTACCACAACAGATTTACGCATGGAATTCTCTGTATCCCGTTGCACTTTACATTCTCATTCTGTTGGAACTATCATGCGAAGCGTGATAGAAAACGAAAATGAGACCATGTGAAACCACCTCTTCAGAGGAGACAGAACAGTATCATCCATCTTCTGAGATTCCCCACTCTATCCTTGTTACTTCTATACGATGTAGCCAAGCCAGAACTGCGCACAGTAAGGTGCAATCATAGTACGGTAGCGTTAGTGATGTGTGTGTGTGGCTCGTGTGGTTCAACAGTTCTGGACTTACGTGTAGAGTAGGCTAGAATACAACGTCTCCTCCCCCAGCTTCTTCTGCGAAATCCAGTGGAGATCGGACGTATGACAGGAATGGCAATGCTCGACTTTAGGCAGATAGCAGGGAGTGCCAGTCCAGCCCCCAGACTAATATGTTGCCTACCATGCAAGGACTAATCGCTGGCAACTTGGCCCCTATTGGGTCAATGCTGTGCATCTCGTACTCTAGCCCCGGGATACTCGACTCTGCTCGACCTTGGGTATGGCTTGTGGGCCCCCCGTTGGTGAACTTTTCCTGAGATCTACACGGTCTAATGGACTCATCGATCGCTCAGAGACTCGACCATCGCGCTGGACTGCGCTCTAATGCATGATTACAGTCCAGGAGGCGGGCGAGAACAGATCGCAGCCCGATAATATGCAAGAGAAGGGTATACGGACTCCGATCCGTGAAACCATATCCAACGAGAGTATATCGAAAAAGGAAAGAGTAATTTGGCGTGTAATGTGCAAGAGTGGCACACGAGCAACGGGAACGCACCGGCTAGGTGCTATCCACTGCATTAACCGGTACCCATTCATGAGCCATTCAATACACTGAAACAAAAACCGCTACTGTAGATGAAGCGTCTGAAGAGATTGAGCGCAGCGTCCACCAGAGCACATCAACTAATCTTAGATTTGCAAATATCACGACAGTGCAGTTTCTGCAGAGATGTCGAGCTGAAAAGTTCCTGCGTCCGGGCGGCCGGCAAGGCGCGGCTTTACCTACTGCTAGTTAGGTCGGGAAAGGAAGGACACAAGCCTTTCGAGAATAATAGCACGCGGGATGGGCGCCCTTAGAATGGGCTTGGCAGTGAGGAATATGGCTTCAGTTCTCGCGCGGGCTGCTGCAGTGGTCTCGTGATGGCGTTATCAAGCTCATACAAGCCGACTTGGCTGGAGCGGCGCCAACAACGCATGTAATTCGTCGCCTGGATGACGATAGAAACCAACAGCCTTCTCAGCTAGCTCAATCAACCATGTATCTTATCATGGCCAAGTTAATCACCTTCCTAAAACGGTAGGCAACCGAGATGCTCGTTTCTGCCCAGACAGCTGAAGGAGCAAGACCAAGTATGCCGAGAAAGCCAAGGTGGCCGATAGGGGGACAAAAGTCTGGGCTGGCTAGGCATGGGAGATTGTTGCAAAGACGGTGGCGGTCGGTGAGTGCGATGCAATATCGTAGGATCATCTGCATCGCTAGAAATTCTAGAAATCATCTCGCATGGCCTGGACACATGTGGCACAGCTCAGTGAGAATGATAACAAGTGGGTGAAGATTTTCTGGCTGAGAAATCTGGCTGCTGCGATTGGGTGCGATATGCCAGGAGCCAAGTCCATCTACATGGTAGGGAGTATGTGCCCAGCCCTTGGCGGAGGAACTTTCACTATTCTCGCGGTGATTCTACCAGACATCGATGATTCCCACATCGTCCCCGCTGGATTGTCGTCGCCACCAACGGCCACGGATTGCTGGGGAAAGGCCGCCAAATCGGAAATGGCACCTCGTTTGGAGCTACACTAGGTGCCATACTGGTATGCCTCTCTCGAACCATTGACGCGCCCAGTCTGGAGGAGGAAGGACGCCGTATGCCAACGTTTCTCGGCGTCAGATAAGCTCCAACCCAATCCTAGGATACCTGGGCAGAACCTTGGCTCTCTGAGTGGTGGCGAGTTGCATGGCCGTATCCCTAAGGCGATCGAGAGCCCTGCTGCCGCCGCAATGCCAATGCCTAGGCTATGTCGAGCCTGTCAGGGTACGATGTGAACGGGGGTGGTTGCGTGCATCTATATAACCGGCCTTGTCGTGTCACATTCGCGCACGCTCTCCTACCGACTTCCTCAGTGCACGTCGCATCCTTATTGACTGGGTAACTTAGGCTACTCACCGGGTCATAGCTTTCGGCTCGAGGCATAGCATTGTCTTCACGATGGCGGGTAAGAACCTATCTTGACTTAGCTCTCCTGCTTTGGACCCAAGCCCAAGTATTAACTCGATTTCAACAGACACACAGACGACAATCGCCACGGTTGCTGCCCCTGTGGCCTCAGTACGCGCCTCGGTAGACGAGAAGGCTGTCACTGGACATGGTGTGAGCAATGTAGACGAAGAGACGGTGTATGATGAGGAAGGCCACGAGATCTGGCAGGGGCTCGTCTTGCCTACCGACGACGAGAAGGCGTCGCTACGCCGTGTCTCGGGAAAGATGCCTTCTACCACCTACTGGCTGTGTGCCGTCGAGTTCGCTGAACGAGCCTCGTACTACGGCTGCAACCAGGTGTACAAGAACTTCATCCGTGCACCTCTCCCCCTACCTCCCAATGGTCCTGGTACCGGTGCCACCTACCCAGGCAGCGACTTCACTGCCGGTGCGCTAGGCAAGGGGTCTGCCGTAGCCTCAGCCGTCACGGAATCTTTCAAGTTCCTGGCGTATGCTCTGCCTGTCTTCTTCGGCTGGCTCGCCGATACCAAGTACGGTCGTTTCAGGATGATTTGCCAGGGTGTTGCCATCTGTGGTGTCGCCCACGTCATCATGATCATCTCTGCCCTGCCGCAAGTCCTTCAATCTGGCAATGCCTTTGGGCCCTTTGCCTTCTCCCTGTACCTTCTCGCCATTGGTGCCGCGCAGTTCAAGCCCAACATTTCCCCCACTCTCATCGACCAGAGCCCTCACAAAAAGGCCCACATCATCACAGACTCGAACGGCGAGAAGGTCATCGTCGACCCCGAAGAGTCCATCAATAGCGTGATGCTGTGGTTTTACCTCCTCATCAACGTCGGTGCCGTTTTCGGTATCCCCACGACTTACCTCGCCAAGATCGTCGGCTACTGGGCCGCATACCTCATCCCTACCATCCTATATCTGCTACTCCCCCCCCTGCTATGGTACCTGAACCCCCGCTTGATCAAACAGCCCCCTGGAGGCTCAGACTTGGGCAATGTCTTCAAGGTTCTCGGCGACATCTTCGCCAACGGTGGCCTCAAGCAGATCGGCCGGGGTGGCTTCTGGGAGATCGGAAAGCCCAGCGTTCGACGTGCTGCGGGTAGCACCAAGGAGTACGCATATGACGACGTGTTTGTCTATGATGTGAAGCGTACCTTCCAAGCATGCGCCATTTTTCTCTTCGCCCCCATTTGGCAGGTCAACGACTATGGTCTTGGTGCCGCTGCCAACGCCTTGACTGCTGCTTTGGACACTAAGGGCCTGCCTAATGATCTATTCGACAATCTGAACTCTGTGACTATAGTTTTTTGTAAGTATACACCATTCTTCCTTCCCGCTATAACCTGTCTCCTGCAACCTAGTGTTAGCAAAAAAAGAGAATACGAGAGGTGACTAACCAGGACATACAGTGGTCCCTATCATGAACCACCTCATCTATCCTTTTCTGCGAAAGAAGGGCATCAAGTGGGGCTCCATCTCCCGTATCACCTTCGGCTTCGCTCTGGGTACGATTGGCTCGATCGGGTACGGTCTGCTGCAATACTATGTCTATCAAACCTCACCTTGCGGCTACAATGCCTCGACCTGCACGGAGAGAGTCGCTCCTGGCGAGCCCGCACTGTCGCCCATCCCCTACCCTCTCTACGCCATCCCCGTCATCATTGGTGCCGCCTCCGAGGTCTTCGTCAATGTCTCACTGTACGGTATCGCTTATGCCATGGCTCCCAAGAACATGAAGGGTCTCGTGGCCTCCCTGAACCTGTTCAACAGCGCCATTGCCGCTATCCTTGGTCTGGCCGCCGCCCCGGCCATCAAGGATCCTAACCTAGTCTGGGTCTTCTTCGGACCCACCATTGCCGGTGGTGTCCTGACTGTTATCTTCTGGTTCTTGTTCAAGCACCTCGATGACGAGGAATTCGTCTTGAACACTGACTTCCGCGACATGAAGCGTGATTCCGACGTCAGCGATGAGGAGACTCCCACTATTGCTGCGGCCCCAAGCGAGAAGCAGGTTTTGGCCGGTGACAAGAAGGAGTAGATATAGATACTGTCTAGGGTTCCATCCTAGCCCTTACCTAGGATGGAGGCTGTATATAACCACGTGGAGATCAGCGATGATACCAGATAAATGATTAGATAAGAAAACAAATAGAGTGACATCGATCGTGTGTATATCAACATCCTCACGTCTCTACGCACTTGCAGTGACCATGAAGAGTAAAGAAAAACAGAAATATAACAAATAAACAAAAAGCCGTGAAGTTAATAGGTTGGGCCTGGCGGAATATGCCATCTACCTGTCCATAAGACGAGGTACTCGTACGACTCTCAGAGATTTAAATGTTCAAGATAGATGGCATAACACTGAAGCTCTCGAAATAATGACGGCTTATGGGCGAAGTGCTAAAATTATAAAGATGAAGTGGCTCTCCGTGTGACTCATGCGATGTTAAATGAACTCCACTCCGTACCTTCGTAATAGGAAGCTGCGGCTGAGTGGTTTGTTTATATAAGTATATAAATCCCACATATGGCAAAACTACAGTATGCTCCCACCGGCTTCGGCTTCGGCTTCGGTACACGCATCCTAGTCACAGTAAATACCGGAGCGGGTAACTATAGACATGATAATCATTAGAATTTCTCGTTTGAAGCACGGACCAGCTATCTGCTGGCTGTTGACTGGGATTCCTCCATAGTCGCCTACTTGGGCTGACTGGCGACGCGTGGAATCGTGGCAGGGCTTTCCCGCATGATATGATAGTGTAGGTACCATAGGTATCATAATGTTCACATAGTCCTTGTTATCAGTCTTCACCCCGGCCTTCCCTCGCACTGTCACCTGTTCACACATCAGGTTTCATACAGAGAGGATACGACGGGACACCCAGCCCCCAGTAAGGATTCGCCCATAAGCTAGACCTGAGTTAGCATCAGGGGATTAAGCATCAAGCTTCCGAGTGACGCACCTCTCGTCCCACCATTGCAGGAATACCTACTCAAAGCCGTAATTTTCTAAGGCAGAGTAGCAGTATGTTCCCAAAGCCATTTGAGATATATTACTGTACGTAATGTACAGCCACGATATAAGCCCAAGGGGTTCCTGATGTTCGCGCCAATCCAAACATCTCCTACCTTAGACCAGATTACAATGAGTAGCAACGAGCCTTGGAGAGATGATAGTGTTGCAAACAGGGTGAATTAGGCTAAGGGCTCCAAATTGGGTATTCTGGATGACCAGGTACAGTCCGTTATGTCCCGCATGTCGACGTTGCTGGTAGTGTAGCTGCGTGCCGCCCATCGTACGAGTGTAGGGTAGGTAGTATTAGATCCATTTATCTGTATCCAGTATTCCCCCAGAAGAGCAGCCCATGGGGTTATTAAATGTCAAAGTTACTATCATGGGCAAAGACATGAGATGGAAGTAAACGCTACTAAATTAAATATCTGGCGAATAGCCATACAAAGTCTCCATCATGACTCCGCTTCCCTTCCTATTGTGCCTTCTTTTCCTGCTCTTATAAACATTGATATGTTGAATCTAAAACAAGAACCATCACAAAGATCATCTTTTTGAAACGTAGTGCAACGTAGGGGTATCTCTTCTCTCATCCTTCTAGTCTAAGAAGGTGATGTTCCCATTGGAATCCTATGTATATACCTGGTGTATTCGCATGAGGCACACCAAGTTAACGTAACCACAATGGTAGTGAATATGAAAAACAAAGAAACTAAATTTGGGTGGTTGCTTTTCTTTAATCTTGGGGTTGTCGCGCCCTCCACCTCCAACGCCAAAAAAAAAAAAAAAAAAAAAAAAAAAAAAAAAAAAAAAAAAAAAAAAAAAAAAAAAGACTAAGAAACGCCGAAACACCTGACTCCATCTCTTATCCTTTCGAACTCTGTCGGATGGCTCCTCAAACCAACCAGTATCCCAAATGCGAGGATTGCGATTTGTGGCAGTCTGGAGAGCCCGAAAGGCGTTTTATGTTGTGTAACCACAAGATATACTGGGCCATCCATTTATACAGTGCAATGAAAAATTGGTACAAGAATCGAAAAATTAAAAGGCGTGGTTTCTCGGATTTGGAAATTGGACGAGTCGTGACAAATTCCTCAGACAGGTTACTATATTCTTAACGCAGTAGCGGCCTCCTCGGTAACAACACCGGTCCCGTTAGGGTAGTCTGTCCATGTTAGCTACGGTAATGGTTGAGTGTTGTGTTTTGTAGTACTTACAGAACGCACAGACTGCAATGATTACATATAGAGCAATCAGCTGGACGCCTTCCAGCCAGTGGCTTTTTCCGTCGCCAATTAGATAATTGACGAGGAGAACTGCGACAAACAGAGTGACAACTTGAAACGTGTCAAAAGCGAGCGTCATGTCGGGATTACCAATGCCCCAGCCGATAATCACAAGTAGCGGGATTAAGAACAGAGCAACCTGCATCGAAGAACCAATAGCCACACCTATCGCCAAGTCCATTTTGTCCTTCATAGCAACTGTAACAGCAGTCGCGTGTTCACATGCGTTTCCGACAATGGGAACAAGGATAAGGCCGATGAATTCCTCACTGACCACCGATGATATGGGCTCGATACCACTGACCAAGCCCTCAGCACAGAGAGCAATGATGACTGTAGAGATGGTGAGACTGCCCAATGCCACGAATAAATGTAGCCTCGGTTCCTCTGAATCATCATCATCATCGGAAGCTGTTGGAACTTGCATCATTTTAACACTCGGTTCTCCGTTCCCATCCTGTGCATTGGCAGTTACGTTGGCGGCAGCAGCTCCAATCGCTCCAGCGCGTGCGAATCCTGAAACCACTGCATTCTCAGGGAGAGCCTCTTTCTTTTTGAAGATTTCTTTCTTGGGTACTTTCTGGCTCTCTTCGCTGAACATCGCGCTATGTGTTTTGAGCTGGAAAAATAGAAAAAAGAAGTAGATCAGAAGCAGGATGACAGCGACACCACTACACCGAACTTAATTAGCTATTGTCAGGTTGGACGTCTCCGTGTGAAGTGACTTATTGGAGAGAAACCCTGAAGAACTATATTGGAAACATGCTTACTGGGAGAGCTGAGGAACCGCATATGACGGGAGCGAAGTGACCGCGTCATCGTTATAGAGGTCTGGTGTATGGGCGAAAACTATGAATATGCCGCGTTAGTTAACTGGCCACTTTTCCATCAACGCAACTACAGATAAACTCTAAACTTTGGGCTACTAAGACAATCCTTTGCCTCAAAAGGTGTGTTCATAGTAAGGAGCCAAAAAATAAGGAGACGATGGGAACTGCTTACTGGTGGGAACAATTAAACTGGCGACAGACAATGCAAGCAAGCTAGCAGCCGTTTGAGCGACGGTGGTGTTGAAAAATTGCTCTGAACGATTCCAACCTCCAGCGACGAAACAAAATCCCAAAACTAGAAGCAAATTGGATAGGACACTGCCAACAAGAGACGTCTGCACAACTGTAACTTGGTTATCTACAAGCGCTATGATAGCAACAATGAGCTCAACGGCATTGCTAATACAGGTTAGTCGAAGTATAAATTTGGTAATTTTGGTTGTGAGCAGCGTACCCGAATGTCGCATTGATCAAACCACCTATAGTTTCACCTGTTCGAAGCGCAACTTGTTCCGTTGCGTCGCTAAGCAAAGTAGCGAGGGGAATAATGGCTATGAAATTGACGATAAAGACTGCAGGGCCTGGAATCTTGAGAGCCCAAAGCGCAATACCGGCCGGGGCAGCGAGAAGCAGAATATTAATTGGGCTGCTAAAGATTGTCCGCTGGAGCTGATTCTTGAGGGTGAAATCACCCTTCAGACTCTTTAGCTCGTCCTTCCCCTCTAATACATCAGTGTCATTAGAATGGGCACGTCCAACTGGAACGCCCATTATCTTACGCCGGTGGCGGGGACCTTGATTGTCCTGTGCAGAGACGGGGCTGGCGGCGGTCGTTGCCTGTGAGTCGTATATTTCATCGCTTGGTGCTGCACGTTCACCCTCTTGGCTCATATGCGTGTTTAGACGAACTGGCGTTTCCAGGACATCGGGCGCTGTATTGGCGTGATGAAGTGGCGTAGTTGTCTCGGCACTGGTGATGCCAGCTTCTCCCCTTTCAGCAGTGTGATATGTGTTGGCTCGGACAGGTGTCTCGTATTCAATATGGTTGAAGGGATTCAGCCAACCATATTTGAGACCCTTAGTAGTTCGCCCAATGCGTCTCGCCTGGTTTCCAATCTTGAAGAGATTGACTGAATCCATGTTGTTAGTATATACTGCGCAATGTCACGCGGTGCGACTCGTGATGGGTAAACCAGTAGCGGAAATTAGAAGACAAATTTGTGTATCTGTCAAAAGATTCAGGTATGCTGTGCGGTTGTAATGAAAGCACCGGAAAGCGACTTTAGCACGACTATATATCTAGTCGCAGTTGGCTTCCTGGCGCTGCTGATGACTCTACTGGAGTTGGGAGGGTTTGTTTGGCAAGGTGTCGGGAACGGCGCAAGGCGGGAGGATAACAATGGCGGTTAGACTAGGGAACGAGCATATCGCGGGACCAGCAAGCCAATGAAAGACGTTGGCGTGGGAGAAATGCAAACAATAAACGTGGCTTAGATGTGGAGTATGGAGATTGGGAAGGGATACTGAAAGGGAATTTGGAAGATTGGCCAACATAAAGTGGAAGAGGAGCGTGGGCGGAGGCGCAAGAATAGGTAGTTGGGCAATTGTTTGTGCGTGATACCCACGAAGGTGATAATGAATAGAAGCTGAACAAGGGGATTTGGGAGCGCGTGTGTGAGCGACTGGGGGCGAGTCAAGAAAGAAACATGATGCTGGTTCAAGGAAACAATTGTGCAATGCCATAAGCTAGTACAGGATGCTAGGAGATACCCAAGTGGGTATTTCATTAAAAGGGGGGATTTGCCAGAGATCGATGGGGAATTGTGCAGGACATATGTGCCTAGTAATGCCACTTGCAGCATTCTGTACAACATATGTACTGCATGAGCCAAGTAAGTACCCAATATACATAGTAATGTACATGTATACGGTAGTAAGTAGTATTCGGGGTCCGAGTGGTGCAAACAGTGTAGGTATTCATAGGTAGGTAGATAGGATTCCTCAAAATGTGTTGCTTAGGTATGTAGCTAAGTATGGTCGGGGCATGTGGTAGGTATCGCGAGATTTGACTTACACTGCTCCTCGGGCCGCGACATGTTGGAATCCTATCAATATCGACAACACCGTTAGCGCCGCTACCCCATACACATGACAATGACGACATATTGCCGGATATGGTAGTTACCCTTTGTGTCTTGGTCGACTAAAGTCGATCTCCAAGACTATAGGCCGCTGTGCGCTAGAATCGCAGACAAGAGACAAAACCGATGTTGGGGGCCGGAAGTATGTTGATGTTGGATGTCGTCGGGGTGGGTGGGCGCGAGGTAGGTACCTGGATCTGACCTGGATAGGTAAGGTATGGACTACCTAGGTAGGTAGGGAGAGACGTGGGGACGGAGGGGCGTTGGCGCTGTCGGTTAGGTAGGTGGCTCTCGGCGCTTGTTGTTGCTTTGCAAGTTTGTATGTAGGTAAGTGAATGGAATGGATGTCTCTTCCCTTGATATCACTTCGCGGCGCCTAGAAACGGAAGTTAGATTCGGGCACGAACGATCGTCCTGTCGAGAGGGAGAAAAGAAGAATAGGGAGGAGCAACAGCAGCAGCAGGAGGAGGAGGCTTTGGTCGAAATTGTTATTGCAATTTCCCCCTAACCGAGACAGTGACCCTACGCACTTTATAATATCGATTGGTCTCCGTGCAGTCGGGTTCGGTATCGGTGCCACGACGCAAGCGCCTTGGACTCGGAAAAAGGCAGAGCCAGAGAGAGGCAGGGCCTAACAAGAGGCGCAGTAAGAACGGGCAGAAGGACTTTAGAAAATCGCAGTTGTTGCCTGGGAAAGGAGATGATGGTGATGATGAGGCCTCACTGTTTCCCGTCGACCTCAGACAAATTCTCGGGTAGGTACTAAGTAGGTACTTAGGAACCTACATGTATCAAGCAATCAACCCTGGAAGGTCCTACCTGCGTACTTACTGTGTAGGCAGTGTAAGTAGTGTGCTTAGTAGGTACCTAGCAGGGGTCATTAAATCGACGCTTGACTATTGCTAATACAGATAGCTCTCGGCGGTGCAGACAAATAATTCAAAAACAACTGCGCAAGTGGAAAAACCAAATTGTAGTGCCTATAGTAGAGGGGACGTCTCGGATGGAGTTTCAAAATGAAGAAACGAGGAGGTGCAGAGCAGCAGCACGGGTGACATATATCTACCTAGGTATCTAAGCAACCTGTAAAAACTTGAGGATCCTGACATGACACGACAGATCATAATAAGACCATTCATTATGCCTCTCTCTACCCTATCAGACCCTATCAATGATGGGAGAATGCCACCAATGCCCGGCTGCGATCCTTTTCACTGTAGGGCTACATATAGGTTGCACCAGCTGCCACCAATACGATTTGGATCTCCGGGGTGTTGTACATTGGGTAGCGTGCCATTACCGATGTGCTGTCATGCCAGCAGCTGTCTCTCTCTGTCTGCTCTGTGGCTGATGCGGACGCGAGCTTCGCAATTGCAGATGGCAGTGCAACGGGGGTCCTGGGGGTTTTTGTCAGTTCACTTTGAAGCCTTTGAAGCTGGACAGGGCGCTTTATGACAATCCTAACCACGAGGATGTGGGGAACTGCCGGACCTGGCAATTACCGAAGGGAGGCCTCCCTCTAGATTGCGTGGGTAACACCAACGCTACCCAAGTACAGATCTCGGTCAAATAGGTGAGATGTGACAGGTAAGAGATCACACCTATAAACACGTAGGTACGCACTGGTACGGATTACTTACCTACGACAAGGATGACACAACCCGGTAGAGTGGGCGTGTCTTCCTGGACCAACGTGTACATAGTTAGTTGAATCACTTCATTGATCCAAGCTTTCGCGCCAAGTGACGATCTCCTGCCCAAGACCGCTAGTCTAGCACATTCGCCCAAGAGATCTCCAAGACCAACCTCCAAAGCTTAATCGCCCGCTATGCATTTGCTACCCGATGGGCCAAAAAACTTGGTAAAAGCTTGGTGAAAACTTGGCTGGACATCAAGCCATGGATGAAGGTGTCTCAATCGAGTCTACACCGCCACTCATGATGATGGCTTTGTATTGTAGAGACGAAGAAGACAGGAATACGTCATACACACTGCTCATAAAATGAGCCAAAAGACAATTAATTTTTTTTATCGAAGCCCAAAGCCTCCCTGCAGGAATGTCTCTTCCATTTTTGCTTTCACCGCACCGTGCCGCACGTCAGCTAGGTAGGGGGGAGCCCATTTTGTGATTTTTGGCCTGCAACTCCCTGTCTTCAGCACGACCATGTCCATTCATTTCTTGTCTAGTAAGTTGCATGGGCTCGATATCCGGCGCATACCCAACATACATCCCAGGCAATACGTATTAAGGGTTTAGCACTCTGGCCTGTTTATATATATTCTCCTGTCAACGACAAAATGTGAAATTTCCATCTGCTGGCGTCAGTCAGAGTCAGTCTTACTAAAGTGGCATGGTCAACGGGCTGCGCCCTGCCAAATATTGCAATCGGCCACCTGTCTGCCTCATCCTGTCTTTGAGGATAATACAACTCTGGTACTTGTGTTCGTATGATTTTGAATCCGCACATCCCTCCTTACATAGTAACTAGTTAAGGGGTAGGTTGCCGAGGGCGCTGGAAGGAACCGCAACGCCTACCGTAGGAAGGTTTCACATTTCTGGTAGTATAAATAGGTGGCTATTCTTGAGGATAGGAGCTTCGTTTGGCAAAATAGATCCTTGTTCTCTAGATCGTTCATGCCTACTTATTGATAAGCACAAGAATCACTTATGGCATAGATGGTTTTTCTATCTCATACGAGCTGGACCTATTGTAGTGTGCCAGATCACATATGACAACGTAGTAAGCGTACCGTGTCGTGGCTGAGTATAAGTAGCGTGCGAGTTGGCTTACTACGCTAAGTCTTTATCAATTCTTGACCATCAACCCTTGCCTGAGGAGATGCTGCCTCGATGTGCTCATAATGCATTGCTTCGAGTCGCCGTGCGATCACTTATATGTGGGGGAGTATGCATAAGGTGTTATTAACTAACTGCCTCGCCCAGCAGGTATTCGCTTTATATTGGACAGTCAGATTAGGCCATACGTTTTTTTTGTGCTGATGTGAGGCTAAGATATACAACCAAATTTGACGTTCTATATGCTGTAATGCCTAGAGTGGGCACATTTTGTGTGCATGCAAGACTGGTGAACCAAGCCTCGTCTGTAGGTTCAGGCAGAACGAAGTCACTTCTGGACTACTCGGGGTGGTGGTTTCGGGAGTGATGTTAGCTCGAAAAACCGAGTGACTCTTCGGCATGTATATGGGTTGACTCAGTTCCTTATGCTATTTGGTACCTAGTATTGGACACTGCCTCGTCTAAAGAGCAGCGAGCTGGCTAGGCTTGGGGTGTTGGCTCTGGGTGTAGGGGTGATTAATAGGTCGTTTCCACCAGCACTTAGAATCCCGGGAGGCAGCCCCAAAGATGGAATACTAGCATCGGGAACGACATTCGGATCCGTAGGAACTGCGAGCGGTGTCTCAATACCATGTTCCAGAGTCTCCTTGTAAAAAGCCTCGAGAGTCTGTTCATCGGTGCAGAACTCAACGAGTATATCCTTGAGCGCCTCCGGTATAGGAAATGTTGTTGTGGGCCCACAGCCGGGCTTTGAACCAGACACGTTACGCAACGGTGATGACTCAGGAGGGTTTATCCGAGCCGATGGTGCAAATAGAACGGGTCTCGTCATAGGAGAGGCTACAGGTGGCGGGTCGATAGCTCGGCGATTGGTGTGCGTATTGCCGGCAACTACTGGCCGCGATAGGCTGAGCTCAGCTCGAGCTTGCAACTGAGCTGGTTGCGTGGCGGCTACTCGATTCGTATATAATCGATTAGCCGCTAATAAGAAATCACCATCTTCGGTGATCTGAACTAGATGAGCACCTGAACGGTGAATATACTGCGAATACTTGAAATCTGGCCTGCCCCATGAGTAGCTGACGTCCACGTTGCTCGGGAAATTAGTGGCAGCTTCGTAATCGAGTACATAGTCTAGTTTTTTGAGTATTGCTTTATGGTAGAAATATTTATCTGACTGTGGCTGTGGGCTAAACGACCCCGAGTTGTAATACATGGTTGGGCACTGGGTTGGTGGCGGGATCGCGAGCTTGACTCGATATGGCCTTCGGAATGCATTTACTTCATTGACCCTACAAGCCTCTGCAATGGGGATTTCGACTAGGCGAAGACCATGCTGACTAGCAGTGGCCGCCCAGGTCTTCAAGGCATCGTCGATAAGTTTCGTGGTCACGTTCATCCACTCTAGCCTGATATGAAAGCAGTTGTCGGGGTTATGCAATCTATCATAGTGAAGATTGATCCTTTCGGGTCGAAATGATTTCTTGCGAGGGTCAACATCATATTTCATCATCTTGCTTAACACTACTTTTGGTCGCCGCGTTCCGGCGGTGTTCGAAGGCCCAACTGTCGGTGTTGTATGACAGGAAGTCTGTGAATCTTCACCATCAAAAGAACTAGGACGTGGGACATTAGGCTGGAAGGGTCGAGGCGATTGTGCTGGTACGGTTTCCAATGCCGGTGTTGCAGGTACAGAGGCGTCCCTCTTCCGGTTAAACCAACTTTGTGGGTGACCTTTGGAATACTCGCTTGCTATTTGATAGAAGTACTGCCCATCGCGGAAATTATGTCGCTTTTCTACGTGGACGAAAATTCCGCGGTCCCGTTCCTTTTTCAGATCTTTTGTTTCCTTGTCCTTGTCTCGCGGTTTGTCATCTTCATAGACCATCAAAGTATTCCCTAGCTCGACAGCCTCTTCGCGGCTTTCAAGATCTTCAAAGTTGTCGAGCAACCACGTGGTCATGTCTAAACCGATAAAGCAGTGATAGTGTAAACGAAAATGCCACCGCCGCGTTTGCATCCGGATTCCGCCAGCATCAATGGGTTGTTGGATAGCTTCTGCAAGAGCTGCCACATTGAAGTTGGACTTCGAAAAGCGCTCTTTGTTGGATACGAGGCCCTTTCGGTGGACACCTTCAGCATTTTCAAATAAAGGCAACGTCTCCATCTCTGCAGCGATAACTACGGACGCATTTTCCGTCTTGTAAATAATGTCGAGGGGATTTGGGTCTCGCTTTTTGGTCCCCACACTTTGAAATTGTCGTTCTTCTGGTGAAAGGTGACGATGTCGTTGCCATATCTGGGCGAGATTTTTGATCCCTTCCAGTCGAATCTCTTCTACGTCGTCTTCATTCTTCACTTGCGGAATAGAAGACGTTCGAGGGTACATTGGTATTAGCACAAAACGGGCTCTCCAGAACCTAAGGTTTTCTGTCATCTCATCTGTATGTCCTGCAAGATAAGAATCGATATAGTTCCAATTTCTTTCGGGTTTTGGGGTCATAATGTCGATCTCGATGCTTTCATAGGTCTTATCGAACATGGTGCGAATTGCTGGCTTGTATAATGACAGCGTGTGCCCTAACTGCAAAAGCGGTTCTGTTGGTTTGCGGACAAAGATATTCACTTCAACTTCAGTACCATTAACACACGATAGTTGGTGGATTGTGTTACCGATGCCCATGAAAATGCACGTTCCATCGCCTACTGTTTTGTCTATTGAAAATATGTCAGCAATGCGGACAGCTTTCTGGTCAAACGCTTTAGCTACAGAGGGCCCGATGATGACTTGAAACCCATGAGCGAAGCGAGCGCTGACAAGGTCCTGTAAGAGCTCAGCACGAGATGGCTGTTCATCTCCAACCTCGTCATCGATATCTTGAGAGACATTATATGGCTGACGCTGGTATTCTGCGTTCAACTGTGACTGACTAGGAAAGTGCTCTGTCGTCAGGGGAACCGCAGCTGGACATGATAGAGATTTCCATTTCATAACTTTCATCTCAGACGGCACGGGAAACACGTGTTGCCAGCGACTGAAGAGTACCGAGTCATCGACTCTGTTAGCATCAGGGTTGGAAGGATTAAGAACAACTAGCCATGGTGCCATGGCTGTTGTAGGCGAAAGTGTAGAAGGTAGTTCTGGCACTCCACCAGCCCTCAACTTGGAATTATAGAGCTTTTTCTGATCCTCTTCCCGCAGTACGTCCGAATATTTTGTGTCTCGGTCGTCACGGTGCGCACTTCGAGCTACAGAGTAAGGAACAATAGGCCCTGACTTCAAAGTACTTATCGTATCCATGCTTGGTGGAGGGGCTCTAATTTGGATGGGCCTGGTCGGCGTATTCGGCCTGGGGCCCTGGTTTTGTTCATCTAAATGCGTTTTTCTGCGTTCAAATGTCGGAGGGGACGCAGGGTCAGTGTACGGTCTCGATATTCTTCGTGAGGCGTGCTGGATAGGTGTCATCGGTGATAAACTTGATGTCGATGGTACCTTGATAATGCCTGTACCGCTAGATTGGAAAGCATTAACGTGTTCAGTTTTCAATTCAGCAGAAGCTGCTTTTGGAGCCGCAATCCCAAATCCTCGGTGACCGAGGCTGATGTGCCGCATGAGTTTTGGAGCCTTTGCCGAACTATATTTGTGCTGTGAGGTGGATGCGGTCGAGTCCCTACGAGACATCGTTGAAGACTGAGTTCCTTCAGACTCAACTTTGGACGAAGCAACGCTCGATGACAGCATTATTGACGGACCAGAGGTGCGTTTGTCGCCAACAGATGTTCCGAATAGACTGGTATCTTCAACCAATTGTTTTTTAGTATGCTCCTCAAGTTCTCGATAGTCACTCGAGACTGCAGTTTGATTTCGAGGAGGAAGCCGAGATCGAGATTCATCAAATGCTTGAAGCTGCTTCCAGAGGGACGTCTCACCAGGTTTTGTAAGCTTCTCAGGGGTAAACTTTTGGAAACCATATACTGGCTCAAATAGATCCAGTCCTCTCCGGTTCCGAGAATGTGATATATCGTAATGTGGCTTGCTCATGGGTATCGAAAATGAGGGATCCGAGCTTAAGTAGGGTGTCTCGATTTCGTTGGTTTCCAGGACACTTCTCATTTGAAGATCATACAATCTACATCGAATTGCAAACTCGTCTCGCGAGTTGCTATTCAACGAGTGATTCACGGCCGACAGCGTGGCGCCATGAAAAGCCAAAGCCTCTTCGGACTTCCCTGTCCAGTAAGAAACATGCAGCCACTGAGGTAAAGCGAACGCCCACTCATCGGTTGACCTCGATCCAGCTATCTCACTTCGACCTGACGCATCGGTAGCCTTGTTGGGAGACGAAGACTCATAAATGGTGGAATAGCTACTACCCAAAGGAGTGGTTTGTTTGGGTGTATTGTCGTGACTTTGCAGAACTAGGGGTTGTGATCGTTGACTAGCACTGATGAAATGAGGATTGCGATACCTAAACAAGGGAACGGAATGCAAAGGCAGGTTGGGAATACATATGAGGTCTATGCCAATCCCATTGCCTACGAGAGCTTCCGTGGTGCGCCTCAAAGATTCATACTCGACCTCAAAAACGCCCGGTCCAGGGCTAATCAACACAATAGATATGCCTGTTCGTAGCAAGTCTCGATCAATGTAATCAGACGCGTAGATTGAGGAGGCCAAGCCGATGGCTTCAAGAAAGTTTCCGTACATAGCGGCGGATGGCTCAGCCTTGATCTTGGAAATTGATGCGCCTTTTGTACCCGGATCTTCTGGGATTTCCATTGCATTACTCATGGCCTCTCGGTGATGTATATTGATATCGCGGCGGAACACATTAAACTCTTTCTTTAACTGATCTAGAATCTTGGTCCATTCGCCACTTGATATTTCACTCACAACAACACGGTAGAAATCTTTATAGGGTCGCCTACTACCCGACGTCTGGAAACCTGTGTAGTAATTATCGTGAAGGGCGGTATTGGCCAGATCCGTAGTCAATCCCGTGTCATACTCAACCCGCGAGAAAAGGACAATACTGACAAGGTGTTTTACCTGAAGCATTGCCCACTTCTTGAACAGAGCAGGCAGAAAGCCATTGACAACTTTGTAAAACATAATCTCGCCAGAGCCGTCAGAGTCAAATTCCCACATCTCACGTGCCATCTGAATGAACAACATATATCTCGCCGACTCGCTTCTAAGAATGGGGTGTGTTTGGCGTCCAAAGAAGGCGGACTGGACCTTGCGACCAGCGACAAAGACGGTAGTAACGGTAGCCTTGATGGTTCCTAGGAAATATATAATCTGGCCTTTGTACACAGTCCTCTCAGCCAGGTCTGCGACAGCAAGCTTCCACATATCAGATCGCGAAAGATACATATCTTTGAAGGACAACTCGACATGAGAAGCTTCAATGGCTGGTGAGGAGTTGTCGACCGGTACTAGTATGACTTGGGCTCCTTTCCTCAAGTTAAAAGCATCCCCTACATGTTTTGCAACATATACCTCTACAGTCGGCATCCGAGCTTTTAAGTCTTTCGGCATGTCCTTAGCGACAAAGACATATCTCCGCGCAGAATCATCGCTGGATCTGGGATCCGCAGCAGTAGGAGCCCTTGCATGGAGCGGCGGCCTTGAAGACGAATATACGGAGCCCTGCAGTCGATCGGAGCGGTCCGTCTCCGGCTTGATACAGGTCACAGACATCAAAGTCCCGGGCTGGATAGCGCCACCGCCTACCAAATCGAAATTCAGGAGTACATCGTCGCGAACAAATGGTGACTCGTGGATTGTCACGGTATAGATGCGTTCGGACGGTCGCTTGGAGGACTGGAAGTCGCGGATTGTTGAGTTGCTAGCAAGTGAAATGGCATCTGGAGACTTGGACGGCTCGATGGAGAGCTTATCTGTGCTTGACTTGCTGAACTGTCGCAAATGCGAAGTCCAGTGCGACGGGCGACGGGGCGCCGCGGGTGATAGAGCAGCATTACGAGACATTTGCACCTCGGTCAGCCTATCTCGGGAGCGATGATTTCACGCATCATATTCCAGACATTGGCGCGTTACTCATATTGGTATACTGTATGGCGAGCAAGGTGATGTCAAGTAATGGAATTTTCAATTACTCTGAAGCTGGCGGATTTGGTGGATCATTAATAGAGGCACAGGCTACAGCATGTTCTCAATGTTAAGTCTGGCAGAATTGCACTGATGGGGCGCGCTACTGGGAGCACGCAACCAGACCGCCTACTCTATCTAGCAGATACCCTTAGACTACTTAGGTACCTAGTACTTGCATGGATTTGCAGCTGCCAACCTCAGGCTCTCTGGTAAGGAATTGTCAAGTTGCAAGTTTGCACATCTACAATTGCTGTGCAATGATTTCAGATGATTTCTATCTACCAAGTTGCTTAGTAAATTTCCAAGTTCGCAAGGTCCTGACCTTGGCTTCTCATTTTATCCATAATAACTTGGTGCGACAACTTCATTAGTTGTTCCGCTAAAGCATCATCCTGTGCAAGGTTGTTGCCGCTTTCTGGAACCGCTGGTGGGCATATATATTGGCCTGACTTGTCAGTGACCGTTGCCGCAAATAGCGCAGGCTTAGCGCCCTCAAACTGATCCTTTTTGAATGGCTCCATGCCTATGGCCATTGCGTAGCCGGCTCGTGGGAATGGCTCCAAGATGTCTTCTTTGCTCATCTTAGTACTGACAAATCCGGGGTGAACCGAGTTCATAAGGACGTCAGGGTGGCCTGCGTTGGTCACTTTCTTTGCGAAATCGCGAGCATAGAGCATGACCGCGAGTTTGCTACGACCATACTGCGGGTTGGGGCCAAGGTCCTGATTCAACTCCTCGAGGCTCTCAAATTTGGTATCCTTCGGGGCCTGTTGATGGGCATTGCTTCCAAGATTGACAATTCGGACCCGATCTCCCTTTTCTGCCGTCTTCTTCAACAGTGGGAGCAGCTTGGACGTTAGAACTACATGACCAAGATGGTTTACGGCCATATGACGATCGACTCCATAATCAGTTAGTTGGTATGTCATTATACCCCTTCCCGCATTGTTGACTAATATGTCAAGTCTATCAGTATTCTTTCCGATCTGTTCAGCCACACTTGCTGTTTTCTTCCAGTCAGACAGGTCGCACTGATACCAGTATGTCTTGTCCGCTGCAGCTTGACCGAGCTCTTCAGCAATCGCAGCCTTAGCACCGGTGACTACTTCTTCCGAAGTCGACAGAATATAAATCTTGGCTATGTTGTGCTTCAGCAGCGTGTACGTAACACCATATCCAATGCCCTCGCTGCCTCCAGTGACAACGGCCACTTTTCCAGAAAGATCAGGCACATCGTCAAGGCTGAATTGATCTATGCAACACAGAAGTCAGCCAGCTCTGTCGCAAGGAATGCCTATGACACGTCTAATGGTAGGAAAAGCTAGCATTTTCCCAAACAATGTCTCCGCTTAACATATGATTAGAGCAACGTAACCGGTCAGCACATACGGGTAGCCAATTTTTCCGCCGGACCTCCAAAATTTTCGGCTAGCGTGTTCTGTTATATGTCAGTCAACGCGCGAAGCGGTGATTGTGCGATGAGTGCTAGGTTACCTTGATGGTGTCCATTATTGCTGGCGAGGCAAAGGTTCTAGTAAATGGTACTAGCTTCAACGGCTTCTTATGACTCGGTGAAACAGTAAATACGCGTGGTAATTTCAAATTGCCGTGTCTAACAACACAAACAGTTTGAGGCCTCAGTAATGTAGATATCCTTTGGGTACGGCACTCAAGCATGGTGATCTGCTTAGAAGTGTCTTCCAATCACTACGTGGCTTCGAACTTTTCCCCTTTATACACCAACAAGCTGAAGTCATTATATCATATTGTAATCATCACTTCTATCTAATGATGTCCTGTCATAGGTATAAATGTTGAATGCATCTGGCAGTAGTATCTCATTAGTACTAAGTCGAGATTCCTATGACGCACTGACTTTTGGCGCTGGATCGAAATGTGGGTGTACAACGCGGTAGAACACCAGCAACTTAAGTTGTGCTTTGTTGCACCAAATCGGAGATTTACGGTTTACATCATCAGCACGATTGCAGCGCATTCTACATAACCTACATTCAATGCAGTAAAAGACTAGGACCACTTCCGCTATTCACGACGTATAAGTAAGTATATGAGCCATGATGGTTACCCAACCCACTAGCCTCCATATGTAGTAAACGAGTTAAAACGCCAAGAACCTCGTCACCCCCGTCTTTCCTGGTGGCATCACACGCATAGTACATACTTCGAAGTAGGTGTCGTATGTAGAACACTGATACCTATGGTAGAGGGTCTTCGGCCTATAACCCTGCAAATGATTGCAGTGCCTACTTAGGCGCATGCACATGCACAGGTTCAGTTCTCGGAATCACATCGGATGCTACGTGCTGACCGTCCATCTCTGCGCAGCGCCTTGGCATAGTGTCAGATCCGGTGTAACCCAAAGTGCAACCGAGGTCGCAACCAAGCACAGAATGAGTCGGACAAGAGTTCCGTGTCCATGGGAGACTGGCGACAGATTCGACTTAGCGAACAGGACACGGCTTAAGTAGATCTCAGTAGATGACGAGGGATGCAAGAATGCCAGCCAGTTGCCCAGACACCGCTGACCGTTGAAATTGGAGGCAAATAGGTGCGTATCCTCAATCTAGAAAGTGTCAGTGTCATCTATACTATGTACCTCCCTACCTACCTATTATCTCTCTATCCCATCTTCTTACCTATGTACAGCCTACCTACACCTTACATACATATGTAGGTAGTACCTACATACTTATTAGGTGCACGTTGGGTAACGTAGTACTTCGACTACGTACGTGTAGGTAAGTAGATCATGATACCTATCCAATAATTCAAGATTAGATCGTGCGTGCCATTTGGTCGATACTACCTACCTACCTACTTATATGCATACCTTATCCACAGTACTTAGGTAGACACACAGTAGTTCTAGATCTGCTTCCACGTAACAAGCCCGATAAGTGACCAACCATGAAGTATCTCATATGCCAGCTATAAGACATTCTGATAAGCAGTTTAAAGCCCCCGAAAGCGCTTGCTTACCTGTAGGGTATCTATTGCACAAATTGTAAGTCTAATTGTAAGTTTAAATAGACGGGGGTGCACAGACGGAATCAGCCGCTCTTTGTTTGATCTGCACCCCATACAAAGGGGTCTTCCGTTGGACACTCCCACAGTTGGGTGCTTGCTTCCTTTCCATCTCTCCATCTTGTTGCAGAGATGCCAGTGCAGTCCATCACATATACCGACATACATATTAATATGTACCTACCTGAGGTATGTATGTAGGTACTATGTATGTATTAGGTAGGTAGGTAAGTGCAGCCCATACGACTTACACATTGCAGCACACGAGTCACATCTCTCACATCCGTGGTATCCCCGTCTAAACCTACAGTTTAGTTTGCCATGTCCCGATTGCCTCTCCCTTGAATCCCTCCCAACGTCCCTCGCACTCTCTGTGTCCGTCTCTCTCGCTCTCTCACACACACTGTCACTCTCACTACGAACAGCAAGGTGTGGGAACTACTTCGATTTTACATACTTACGCGGAGAGTGAAACATTCCAGCATCGCCATCATCGCCATCATCATCATCCGTGCCCGCACACGTGAACCTTCGAGAGAGAATAGTCTTAGCATTGGCTCGGGCTTCTCGTAGTTTGTCTATTGCTACCTCCCTAGGTAGTTCCAGTCCTTACTTAGTTTAGACAACACAGCTTCACCACGTTATTTCCTCGCCTGCCTGGTCGCTGCGTGCCTCACCAATTGTTTCTAGACTATCCCCCACGTCTCTTTCTGGGGCACGCCTCACCACAAGGCCTATCACGCCCATCGTTTCAAATCGTTTCTTAGGGGCTAATGCAGTAGGCTACCTGGGTGTTACTTGTTGCCACCACACATCCCATATTCGCATACAAGTCTCTTAGGCCCATATTTCCACACGCCTGAGAGGTTCCAAGTTTTGATATTGTCATCATTCATTTTCAAACCTTGTTGCTCACTCAGGATATTCTCATCTGTCCCGCGGCGGCATCATGGCGCTCTTCAAGTTGACATCCAAGCAAAAGCTGATCGCTGTTATATGCATCTCCTTTCTCTTCTTTGTTGCAGAGATTGCAGGTTTGTTCGACCGTGGGCGCCATAAAGTTTAGACCTTATGCTAATGTGTCTCGCCAGTTGCATTCTATACAAGGTCCCTCGCCTTGTTAGCAGACGCATTCCACTATGTATGAATGAGATTTCCAAGGGCTCCGTAGCATAGCGTTACTGACAACTCGACAGCTGAATGATCTCATTGGCTTTATCATTGCCCTGACAGCCATCTTAGTATGAAACATGGCTGAATCTCATCAAGACTTTTATACTAACATTGCCTCATAGGTTTCGGAGAAAGCCAAGTCTCCTCAAAACTTCTCTTTTGGCTGGGCACGTGCTCAACTTCTTGGTGCATTTTTCAATGGTGTATTCCTCTTGGCTCTCGGCTTGTCAATCTTTCTGCAATCTATTGAGAGATTCATATCAATTCAACGTAAGTTCGCCGGACTCAAATCTAAAAAAGGTAGTCAATTGCTTACATGTTTCCCCAATAGCCGTTGATAACCCCAAGCTTGTACTCATCATCGGTTCTGTTGGTTTAACTCTTAATATCCTAAGCGCAACCTTGCTCCACGAACACCATGGTCATGATCATGGCGGACATAGCCATGGGCAGGATCACTCCCACACCGAGGGTCATTCCCACGACCATGGGGAGGAACATGGACATAGCCACGGCCCCGTTAATGTCGAGGCTGCTTCTCCTAGGGAACGATCCATGGAAAACATCGCCCTGACTGTGAGTCAAACAACATATATCCCTTCTCTCCTCTCCCTCACTATGACATTACTAACATCAGATCCAGCCTCTCAGTGCTCATGCAGAGCATCGGCATACCATCATCAAACTACAGGCACCAGGTCGCGATCTCGGTATCATGGGCGTACTCATACACGTCATCAGCGATGCGCTCAACAATGTTGCCGTTATTATTGCAGCCCTTGTCATCTGGTTAACAGATTCGCCAAAACGCTTTTACGTCGACCCGGGTGTGTCAACGGCTATTTCCATTCTCATCCTGCTGTCTTCGATCCCACTGGTTAAGAACAGTGGCAAGATACTCATGCAAAGCGCGCCCCTTGGTGTTGATCTTGATGATGTCAAGCATGACTTAGAGAAGGTATTTTGAGTCCCGCCTATCCTCGAAACAAGTTTCTCTGTTATTGGGATCAGAATTTGTGTCGTTCTGACTGTCTCAGATTCCTGGTATTGAATCCGTTCACGAATTACATATATGGCGACTCGATCAGAAGAAGGCTATTGCTTCGGCTCACGTTGTGGTTTCTGGCAACGATATGACAGATTTCATGGATCAGGCAAAAACAGTCAAGGAATGCCTGCACGCTTATGGAATACACTCTGCGACATTACAGCCCGAGCTTGCACGCTCAGCTGCCGCATCAGTCCAGAACACCCGTAATGTTAGTAGCAGTAGCAGTGTTAGGAGCGGGCAGACGGGCAGAAGTGGCGCCGGCTCTACGCATGCAGCTGCGTCGCTTAGAAGACGGCGCACTGATGGGTCCGGATGCCAGATTGTCTGCGGCAATCTATGCGAGAGCCTCACATGCTGTAATACAGCAGGCCCTCTGCGCATCTAAGGTCTCCTCACTACATGGTAAATCACGAAAACCTTGATGAAATGATGGTGTAGTGATGATGACGTTCTACGACTTTTTCAACTGGATTGAACAATGTAGTCTAGGCTCTGGAATCATCAGGTGTACTCAACATGTACTAGGGAATAAACTTAGACAGATAAAATGCTTCTAGCCACGATTAAATAAAAGGGATGGAATCAAGCGCCATTTTCCCCTTAATCGAATCCTGAAACCTTTTAACTCGATGGCCCCTATTTACTATGGGATACAGCTACAATTAGCTGGCAGTGTATTGCCAAATATGTGTACAGCAGCGGGTTCCTTGGAGTATGTAGACTGCTAGAGTAATATGCAAAAGTATGTAAATTTTTGGGTTTCCAACTAGTTAGGGTAGTATACAAATACATGAAGGAAAAGAATTGATATTTATTCCTGTGATGTAGAACAGTTTTCTTTCTCTACTGCGCTTTCTTCTACTTCTCTCTAGACTACTAGTAAGTAATGAGTATCGGGCTGAGTAAATTCAGAAGAAGAAGGCGGCGATAAATTGTCCTTCAAGTTTATTTCCCAGTCATCTTCCATACAACTGTCTCTCTACGCTGCCAATAAGGGTCGACGAGGCCCCTTGCTGCCTGAGTAACTAAAGGAGAAGGCTTATGGCCGATTGTTTCTTGGAGAGTGTGAAGTAGTTGCTCAAGATTTAGCTGAGGGTTCTGCTGATGGATACGTCGAAGTATAGCTAAGTCTCTGACATCTTGCTTTGTCGCCTTTGGTGTGGGAGGCATTTTTTTTCTTCTCTGGTTTCTTTAGTTAAGATTTCTGAAGAGGTAAGTCTGATAGGTGCAGGATCTGTCTCTTGCTTGGTTTGTAATATGTTGCCAGGGTAGTTGAAGCGATGAAAGGAGAAGGCCACCACCGACTTCTCCTCCTTATTATACACGCTGGCTTACAAGCCATGTGTTATGATATTTACTTACAAGAGGAACGAGAACAAGCTCTGTTTATTATCATCATCATGGTCAATGCCGTTGTTCCGCAAACCTGTCCACCTAACAATCCAAGTGCAAACAAGCATCAGCCTTGAGAAATTCTTTGTTCAGGAACAAGCACTCTGTTCAACCTTCAAAAATAAGTATAAAAAGGCAGCAAGCCGCCAGCACAATTCAACTAACAATTCCATTCATCAAGCACAGTCCAGCTAACAAAGCCCAGTCAACAAACCCACAGCAAACACAAGAACAATAAGCAAGATGCCTAGCACCACAACATTCAAGAAGCAAAAGAAGAGCCATCATAAAACGGGTGGCGTAGGTAGCAACAGAGAGCAATCAGGGACCGGCACTCAACATGGTAACAACACCAAGCGCAAGCGCAACTGGTGGAAACGCCTCCTAGCGCGCTTTCAAAGCTTTATACCCATAGTCTAAGTGCAGCAAGAGTTTTGTTATAATAACAAAAATTGGCCACTGTGTGGTTGTGTGACAGATAGCCCGGAGGGCTGTACATAGCGATTGCCCAGCAATTGCTGTTGTACAGCCTCCCCTTCTAATCTACATCACGATTATTCAGACTACACCCATAGTGCACTTTACCAAATATACTTCAGTTAATACCTAATTTTTATTTATTTTTTTATTAAGAAATTACAAGTGCTTGTAGTAATATTAAAATGTAAACCTTGAAACTAAAGTGAATCGCTTGTTTACCTTAAAAATGCTACCTTTCGATTATCGCTGTTCTTCTCCTACTATGTAATGCAATGGCTATGGACCATTGAAGCCCGAGAGGAACTTATAGCACTTTGGCTTTCAGTTCCCTTTTAATCAAGATACTTCAAAACAAATCTGTAACATGTACTAAACCCATCCATGCCCGTGGTCTCGGAAACCGTAGAAAGCAAATTTACATTTGTTATACAATCGGCATGGGGCTTATTAGCTTTACCATTCGCCAGCTTCATAGTCCATATCTCCTTGGTCATGATCGAGGGTATTATCGATTTCCCCTTCTTCAAGTTCTTCATTCTCATCAACCCCTGCGTCTAGTTTCTTATCGTCGTCTAGGGTGCTAGCAATGGGATTGTCGCCATCAGTATCGGTCATCTTCGCTGATTCTGGAGCTGCCTTGACCCATGTCGGCTCAATCTTGTCCTCAATACCGTGGATACAGTTGCTTGTAGAAACACCAAACATAAACTTTTCCGCCGTCTTACGATCCTTGAATATAACATGCGTTACTGCTGGAGCGCCGTGAACTTCTTTAAACTCTCCAACACTCTGTAGCTCGTTAGTAATACTCCATGGTGGCAGAAATCGTTATACTCACAAAGAGATACTGCCGAAGCGCTTCATCATTTTCAGGGATCGTAAAATCGACTCCAGACAAAGCCACAACCTTGGGTCGGTTATCCAAGGAGTATGCGGCATAGGCAGCGTGCCTGGATTCAACAATTCCTCCTCTACCCCGATATCCATAAGCACCACGGATTGCTCTTGGGGCAAACGTCCCACGCCCTCGGTAACCTCTACCGCGACCTCTCCCTCTCAAGGTCCACGATGAAGCATCATCATGGTTCTCATCAGAATTGATACCGAGCTGATTGGCTTCTTGCTCGAGAGCAGCAAGCTGGGCCCTAAGAGCTTCGGTTTCCGCACTTGGCTTTTTGTTCCCGCCCTCAGTGAAAACACCTGCGGGCGATAAAGAACCATCTTTCAGCCCGGTTGCTTTGAGCTTAGCTTGAAGCTGGCGTTTCGCTTCTACTTGTCGCTCACGAAGCGCTTTCTGACGTTCTTCTAGTTCTTGACGCTCTCGCTCGATTTCTTGTCGCTTCTTCGTTTTCTCATCATGGATTCTTTGCGCTTCCAGTTGCTTACGATGGAACTCTTCAAGATCAAGTTCCGGCTGAGCAGAAACAGAATCCCCAGCTGATGGGGTCCCATCGACATGGCCGTTCGCTGCATTGTTCGAACGGTTTCCATTTGGTGTTGGCGCATCGCTGCCTTCGTCTTTGTACCAGAAAACTTTAACAAACCTGTTGTCAAATATCACTTTCGGTGAGCCCCAAGCCGCGTTTGCTGCCTCCCAGGAATCGTATTTGACAATAGCTAGACGATTCTGATGCTGCATTTGAACGTCTACGATGTTTCCGAATTGGCTGAAATAGCCACGAACTTGCTCCTCGGAGAAATTCTCGTTCGGTATATTTTGAATGACAATAGATGTTTTAGTCTTGTCATGATTAGCGCCGTTGGCAGCGAATGGAGGTCGACCTTTCATCCGTCGTGGCTTCTTAAGTTCACGTCGGCTCGCGGGTTGGGGTAATGGGAAATTAGTGAGATCCAACTGTTGCCCTGCTGGTGGTGGCTGCACACCGAAAGGAGGCAGAGACAATACTGCATTACTAGGGTCGTATTCTAGTCTATTATTAGCCTTGATAGGCCCATTACGAAGCCTATCTAATAAATAAAACTTACCATCAACTGCCATAGGCATCGGAGGTAACATGAATGGTTGTTCGGCATCATGGTCGAAGTTGCAGTTTCTCCCTCGGGGGCAGTGACCCTTTTTCTCGTAGTCACGGCACCGTCGTTTTCCTCGGTTCGATGAAGAGAGGTTTCTTGGATAGGTAGATGGGGGCAAGTCCGCGGTAGTAGGAAGCAAGGACTGCAGCAACTGGATGTTCTCCAGAATGCTGTTAGGATCGATTGGAAGTGGGCCTAAGGACATGGGAGCTCCGTATGGCGCTGGACCAGGAAGCCCAGGGAACTGTGGCAGTCCTCGGTAGTTTTTTGATTTGTATAGATCTTCATGCCTTCCACCGCGTTGGCCAAAGCCACCTCCACGCCGTGGTTGCTTGTGAGGCGGGCCATATGGAGTCTGGCTGTTGAGGATAATATCTACATCGCCATCATCACGATCATTATGAGCCCGCTTGCGTGAGTTAGGTTGGAGGAATGGAGGCGGCGCCAAAGGCTCGGAAAAGGGGGCGGAAGGATGATATAGAGATGTTGATGGTTGCATCATGTCAGGACGAGGCGCAACATGTGTTAGCGCTGCCGGGGGTGGGAAACGAGGCTGTCGCATGGTGGGAGGAGCAGGCGGAGCTGGAGGGGCTCCGGGGATATAAGATCGATACCGGACTGCCTGCAAGACATCGTCGGTAAATGCTGCCGCATCTACTCGATGTTAGCAGTTTTACGCAATGCGTATGACTTCATTCAAGCAAACCACCATCAGACAGAGAACATGGAGATTTTAGGTGGGCATACCCTCTCGTAGAAAGTCAGGTATTTCCTCTTCAAAGAGCTTCCGAATTGTCTCGACGTCGCCGTCGTGCCTCAATAGTGCTAAAACATAGTCGGCAAGGACATCGGCATCTGCATCGGAGCTGGACGCAAACAAAGGTCAGCGGAACATGGAACAGCATGCGATTACATTCGAGGCACTTACTTATTCTCCAGACGCTTGACGATCCAAGCTTTAATGAGATCCGCATCTTCTTCATTGAACAACATGGTCGCGCAGGGCGGAGGAATTGGGCGGCAAAGAGTGTTGATGTCGAGACTGAAGTTTGAGAGCCGGTGGTTTCGATGTTTAAATAGCCAAGGGCGTCGCAAGGGACGAATAGCTGGCGATAGTAGATATTATCATGTCACTGGTGAGGCACAAGGCGCACAAGAAACACTCGATCGAAAACGATGATTGAATTGCCGATATACAGCAATACGATACGGCAGCCTGTTTGGCCTTAGAGTTAGTCATTGAGGAAGCTCATTGTAAGTGAACAAGGCCGACGAAGTCGAATAGGCAAGGGTACTTCGCATTGGCGATTGGCGATGGTTGGGGTTCATACAAAAAAAAAAGGTTGGTGTGGATCTTGGTATAACCGTGTACCAGCAACTGCCAGCGCGCGGAGATGCTTAATGCTGGTACCTGAAATATTGCTGGCGCGTTGATTGGGCGGCGCGTGCCCCCAAGCCCTGTCGTCACGGCGCAAATCCCGCTACTACCCAGCGGCTTCAGCACACAGCTGGGATAGCTGCTAGTGCAGTACCTACTTGAACTACCTACCTAACCTACTAAGTACCTAGGTAGGTACCTACATACCTAATGTAGATAGGCGAGTCTAGGCAAGGTAAGAGCTGGTAAGAGGTACCTAGGTAGCTTAGGTAGGCACTTACTTAAGTAAGTAGGCAGGCACAAACGTCACTGCGGGGGCGGGGTTCCTCACCTCGAGGATTCTAATTTTCATTTCGCATTTGAAGGCCTGGACCTTGTTAGATATCGGTTGTAGACAACTAGACACAACCTACCTAGTAGATACACGAGTACATAAGTGCTTGAGTATTTATGGTGGCGGGTGTAAGATGCACAATATCGACAGGTACTGTAGTTGCGAATTAAGAATGAGGAGTGCGCATGACCTTTAAAACATCTCCCGAAACAATTGTCCTGAATACTTACTTGTAAAAGTCTGCTCTCTCAGTACGACTATCTCAGTATTCCATACCTAACGTAGATATCTCAATGAAACAAGGACTTCTAATGTAATGCTAGGTACTGTGTACTGTGTACTGTTCCATGACTGGCAGTACCCATTATTGCATTATGACTCTCGAGGCACTGACACACCAGACAGGGAGCCACAATGTTCGTCTACCTGGGTACTTCGGGCTCCGTCATCTCTCAGTTCAACAACAATTACCAGCATCACCAATCATTGGTCCTCACATGCCTCAAATTTGCTTGCTCTGACCGATTAAGTGAGATTGAATGTTACCTGATATTTTACTATAAATACGACATACTAGTTTCCCGTCATCTTAGCGGTGTACTGCCCATCTCAGAATTAAAGCGTTGGAAGACGGTATCGCATACGACTATTATTCAACACAATATCATATGCTTGTCATAGATTCTGCGGTCTAGATACCTGCTGGCTGCAATTCTCGAATTCCGCATACAGCATACACGTGCCTCCGCCCGATCAGCTATAGGATGGCGTTCACAATGCACTCTCACTCGGGGCAATTCTGCCCCGGACACGCCAAAGACCAGCTCGAGGACATCATCAAGCATGCCATTGGTCTAGGCTACAAGACGATGGCCCTGACCGAGCACATGCCGCGGACAGCGCTAGAAGACCTGTACCCTGAAGAAGTGAGCTAGCTATTTATTGATGTTACACCAATGCTTCTTCCGTTAAAGCCCAGGCACGCATCGATGCTAACACCGCTGTTAGTTGGATGATCCCGAGGCGTCGCTCGCAGCCTTGATGCCACGCCATGAAGCGTACCTTAAGGAAGCACAGCGTCTACAGGCCCTTTACGCGCCCCAAATCTCACTGCTCATCGGATTCGAGGGCGAGTGGCTTCGGCCAGGCTACGAGTCGCTCATCAAGGAGTTAGCGGCGCACCCAGCCATTGACTATTTTGTCGGCAGTCTGCACCACGTCAATGGTGTGCCGATTGATTACGACAAGGAGTACTACGCGCGGGCAGTAGCGTCGGCTCAACCTCTCACGAATGGGACATATACTAACGGGTCTCTGACAAGCGCGGCTCAGACAGCGCGTGGTAGTGAAAATGAAGACATAGGGGCTCGTGAGGAAAGGACTTATGAAAGGTATTACGATCAGCAATACGAGATGCTGGTCGCGCTTCGTCCGCGCGTCGTAGGCCACTTTGATCTGATCCGACTTATGAGCTCGAACCCGGATCGCGACGTGCGGCATTGGCCTGGCGTTTGGGAGCGTATTGAGCGAAACTTGGCCTTCATCGCCTCATACGGCGGCTGGCTTGAGTGCAACAGCAGCGCTTTGCGGAAAGGACTAGCAGAACCGTATCCATGCCGGGCCATAGCTGAGGTAAGTCTTGTTCCTTAAGCCTTTTGTTTTGATACGTCTCTATCCCACCTACTTATTCGTGACTTCAATCCCCCCCCTTCTCTTAACAAAAAGAATAAAATAAAATAAACCCGGTTGCGTCCATCATTCACCTATAACTATATACATCATGCAAGTTAAGGGCTGACATATACCTGCTAGAAATGGCTTGCCCTGGACGGGAAGTTCACCCTTTCAGATGATAGTCATGGCATAGCGCAAGTAGGCACGAATTACGGACGCGCTTTAGACTTTCTGGCCTCTCTCCAAGTTAGCACGCTCTGGACGTTGGAGCGAGAGTTACAGAACTCAGACAGCACAAACGAGAAGGCGGCTAAAGCTGGTCTGACAGAAGTCGCAGTTCGAGTTGACGAGATCCGTCCTATTATTTCCAGTTGGTCATAGTAGATCTTGACCTCTGCGTAGATACGCGTGGATCCGGTTGGTAGATAATCATACATGTAAAAAATATTCGTCCACTTTCTAGTGCTTAGATCAAAGATCGGACGGCCCAAGCATAAAATAACTCGCTGAAATAGACAATTAGATGATCAATTAGATGACAGCATTAGATTGAAGCGGTCTTGTCACTTGCAAACATCAAATAGAGTTTAATTTGCGAAAATAAGCAACTTGCTTCATAATGTCTATTGTGATGCAAATTCGTTAAGCTCTAACAACCTTGGGGTATATGTCCAAGATAACTCTCCACGGCAATTAAAAAGTAAATAGCCCTCTTGAAACGCCAGTTACCCGTCTAAGAGCCGTCGCTATCAAAAGGTCATGAAAAGCCCGTTTTCCAGCACCGAAAGGATCTAAGCTAAAGAGTGCAAGGAACGGAAGTATTAAAAAAATCTTTTTAGGAAAGTAAGGCCGTAAATATGCAACCAAGGGTCGAGGGGGTATCATAGCGCACAAAAAACACATTACTCAGTCTGTTCAGCTTTGTGGAGCACCAGACCGCAAATACTCATACAACTTTTCCAAGATCACGCCAGTTCTGATGTGGCAGGCGGGATAAGAATCCAGAAGGGAGGAATTTGCAATAACCCTGACTGCCTCATCCCAAGTCAGGCTTGCCATCGCCAAGCTCCACACTTTCGAGCCAGGCTCGGACAGCTCCCCGCAGCGCGCTCTCTTTTTCACGGCTCGATTCGTAGCTGACGCCTGGATACACGCCTTGGCTTTCTTTCTCGCGGCTGTTTACCACTTCCTGCACGATGCTTCCTAAAGCTGATAAGACAACTGTCTTGCATTCGGCACGGGATACTTCCTGAAAATCTAGCCTCATATCAGGGGCTAGATCTTCAGGCTCTGAAGCTCCACTATTGCTTCGACCTCGACGCTTGCTGACTGATCTGGAGGAGGTGGTAGATGTCCCACGACTTGAGTCGTTTGTTTGGGCAATCACCTTCTCAACAGCATCGATCAGTGCTTCGTCTAACGTTACTAGTTCTTCCTCTTCGTATTTCTCTTCTATTGGATGATCGTGTGGAGATAATGCCGGCGTCGCTATAGACGGGCTATAATGGTCAAGAGAGTTACCAGTGTTTCGGTCTGTCGCGACCCTCGGCTTAACTAGACGACGATAACGAATGCGTTTGATGCTGAAGTTTGTAGTGTCTGCTATTATAGCGCTACTTACGTCAACCCATTGCTCGGCAGGCCATGGGTCTGAAATCGTATTTAGATATACTGCTGGTGTTGGTTCAGCTTTGAGAGACTCACGAACCTGATCAAGCAGGTCCTTTTGTGGCGGTATCGCCTGTAACGTAAAGTCGGGGTGATATCTCTGCAGCCATCCTGCAACGTTTAGAGGGGTGTCTCCATCAATAGCTAGCCGCGAGAACTGCTCGAAGCTATCTAGGCCGCTTCCGATACCAGGTGTGGAGAGATAGCCACTACTTGATGGGGAGCTAACGGCCGTCTCAAACGAGGTCAAATAATCCGGGAACTGGACATCGACATCAATTACGCCGTCGTCATTATTTATTGAGGTCTTGACAGGGGATTCAAAAGCACCAGAAGGGTCAGGTGTTCTGGTCTGAGGGTCCAACTGCTTGGCTACCTGTTTTCGTGGAGTATCTGGTTCGCCTTCATCTGTTTCATTTATCCTTTGTTCACTACTTGCCTCGGTAGGCCCGACATCTGCTTGTTTGTCCGTTCGAGAAAGCTCATCTTTCTTTGCGAAAACTGCTTTGGTGGGCGATCCAATAGGGCTGTCGTACAGTCCTAAAGTATCTGGCGTCTGAGATGTTGAAGCTGAATCCCGTCGCCGAGTACCCCATAGTCCGCTAATAACGCTACCCCATCGTGAGCTCTGCCGTGAATGGGTGCTTCCGTGGCTGGAGTGACCCATACTGTCGACCCGCTTAAGTGACCGTTTTAAGTCATCAGCTGCCATGCTGCCACGGTTATCCGATCGAACATGGTCCAGACTCCTTTGAGCAGTGGAGAAGTGTGCGACGGCTTCGTCAGGCAAGACGGTGTTTGTTGTTGCGGCACTACTTTTTCTAGTATTGAGGTCACTAGAAGCTATAGGCAGGTGAGCTGGTTTGAAGAACTCGGATGAGCGTCGCTCGTGATGTTGGCCATCCATACTAAGGTGTGCCAGTTGAGCCGGTATGCCTGTCATTGATCGCGTAGTTGCCTGTGATTGGATGCTAAAACTCCGACTATGTGATGGAGCTCTTTGACCTTGACGACGATTGATCTTTCGCCGTAATGACTCCTCTTTATTGATCGGGACAATATATGACGGTGGAGAGTGACTGAATGCACCGAAGGATGCAGACGTCGCTGGCCGCTGAGCGCGGACTGCTGGAAGCTGTTGGTTCGCAGGCAAGAATGCCGATAAGAGAAAAATCAGCCTCCGTGCGGCCATTTTATCGTTGGCGACGATCACTGTGCGAGAGGGCAAAGAAGTGTCTTCCTCATTCTTAGCTTTCTGTTGCTGATAATAGCGTCGCCTATACCAGATTGGACTTAATGCTTGAAGCCAGTCGGTATGCGTCGCTAGAAAGCCCGTGAGGAGGTTGAAGAAGAAAAAGCCTTGTTCTTTGCTACCAGCCCACCTTGCAACCCATCTAGCCTCCTCTCTCCACGGTCCCCAACGACCTTGGCCTGTGACAACCCTGATGGCGCAAAGCCCAGTTACGATACGTAACTGAGCGTTTTGAATCTCCTCGCTTGTCTGTGCATCCTGCATCAGCGCATTTGGAGGTAATGCCACAAGCTTTGCGTATTGTTTGGGTAGCTTCACTTGCGAAGCATCCGAGCCGCGACGACTGTGCACGGAACTCATCCGGCCAGCTTGAACGGGTACGTTCGGAGGGTATGGATCGGGCGCTGAAGAATCCACCTGTTTAAGCATTGGATAGAGGGCACTGGCAACAACTGACTGGAGGTGTGAGAGCGTCCTCATTATAATATCCCAGTGCTGAGTTACAAAATCCATACGATCTTCAACCTCATTACTGTAGTATGACTCAAAAGGCTCGGGACCGATTGCAGACCAGCCAGTCCGACGAGCAGAACCCAGGGACGATGGGAAAGCGTCGGTTTCATTAAACGAGCTAGAAGCCCGAAAAGTAGACTTGGATGTGGTTGTGGCCGATGGTGCTGAATTGGGAGGATTCGGAGGAAGAGGAATCACTAAGGCGACAGCATACATTGGTGTTCTCTTGAAAACAGGTTTCGGCTTTTTCCGTTTTGGTTTCGACTCGTCCGGTGAATAGGGGAAAGGGAATCCCATGCTGTCTTCTCCTACGCCTTGAGGTGTTTCAAGATCGTCATTAAGGAGGTTGACGGGGAAAAGACGAGTAACCAAAATCTTCTTGCGGTCTGCTAGGCGCCCAGGGTGGTGCGCAGAAGCCTGTGGGTGGGCTGATTCCGATGTGAACGACTGGGCTAACCTGCTTGATCGCATACTAGACCTACCTAAAGAACCTCGTCCATCGGCTGCGTAAGAGCTGGGTATAACAGTTGAACGAGTGTCACTAGGTATAACATGTACCTTCGTAGATGTTCCTTTGTACGCCATTACTTCAGTATTAGCAAAAATACAGCTAGAAAAGCTAGCAAGCTCTTCGCGGTATTCTCTATACGCGCGTTGTGACTCGGTTTCAGCAAAGCTATAGGTGCGCGACTGTATAGAACCTCTTCTATCAAACGCACCCTGTCGAGGCTGAGGGCTTCCAGGCTGTATCACTAATGGCCTTGTTATATGGCCTTGGCTTCCCTTTCTCGGTGATACAGGGACACGCCGAGTATCCTGAGAGGTGGACTGAGATGAGCTTCCAGCAGATGCAGGAGCTGGTCGTTCGGGAGTATTGCCAGGATGGCTATCGAACAGTAGCGAAGGATTAACGTTACCCAGAGTATCCTGCATGATAATGACGCGAACGTCGCGCACGTCGAAATCAACATCTGCCTCATAGTCATACGCACTAGCCTGCGAAGTCGGATGCAAAGTACTCAATGCAGGCAGGGGGAACACTTGGTCTTCGCGGTGAAACAGAGCCTGTGTGTCTGGAAACAGCAGGCTACGTGTATGGATTTCTTCTTGAACTGATTCGGGGGGCAATCTGAGGCTTGGTGACGTCGGCTGAGCCAATGGGCCTCCGACAGCGCCAGACGTAAGATTGAAAAGCTTGCCCAACATGGTTTCCTGATCGCTGGCGATAAGCCAGATAATGAATCGAACAACACTTGGAACCACAAATAGACAAAGTCCTCAGCAGTGTCAGATCATGTTGCGAAGGTGTTTCGCCTGATTTACGACCGTGTGAAAAGACATGGAAGCGGTAGAAGTTGATATTTTGGACGATGTGTGACAACCGTGTTGTGGTAACCAGTGCCCAACACTGCACCCACGAGAATGCGACAATTTGAATGTATAGCTAGGAGGCGTGTCGTGCTCAATGATTGATTTGCTGCGTGTCTAATTATGATTTAGACCCGGGCAGCGAGACGGTCAAAGCTTTTTAGCGGTCAGCGGCGAAGCAACATTTGCTGTAAACTTTATCGGTGAATGTGCTATTGGGTTTGATTCTCCAGGCTCTTCATATGTGGATCTCTTTCACGATAGTTGAGGTGATTGAGCAAATTGGTATAAACTCTAACAAGTGCACCCATGAACAACAATAGGGATATTGTACGAGTAATACAGCCAATGTCAACAGGAGAATAGCAGCCGCGGGTTGGAACTTGAGCCTATCATAACCTCTGCCCTCTTTCAGAAACAGAAAGCAAGAATTTGTGAAATAAACATATTGGGAAACCTACTTGGTGCACAATTAGGAATGTACGGATATCTTTGCCCAAAGGATAATGATGATCAAAACCTCGAGTACGTCGCCAATTCGTCAATATTGAGGAGACCACAGTTGCAATATGTCGCGGGCCTGATGAATGTAACCAGACGGTGGCTTGAAAAGCTGAACCCTTGAAGAAACACGTATCCAGACTTTGGGATGATGAGCACGAACTTAGAGTATTATAGTGACATTAAAGGTTGTATAGTTCGGCAAGTTAAAAATATCATGGATCAGGGGCTATGACGTTCCCGGCGTTTGTAAAGTCCCCAGCTTTTCTGCAACGTCAGTGCGACTTAAGTCAGGTTACGTTCGGGTGAGTGTCCGAGTACTGGTGATCAATGCATCGAACAGGAAGTGTTGATCTCCTTCAGGGTTGTTCCGATATTGCTTGATCTAGCCAAATCTCCAAGGTGCTCGCAGGGCGAAGTCCAACTTGTGGTAAGACAAGTCGCGAATATAGTGACCGGGGATAAATGAGGAATGGAAAAGGGGGCCAGCGTACCGAACACCTTGTTTCTGCGATCAGCACCCGCCAGCTTGTGGCAATATCGTGGTACAAAAAAAAGACAGGAGAGCCGCCGGCAGACTCTGGCGTTGACTGACAAGATTCGCAACTATAAGAGAGCGAGATCGAGACGGCACATCAGTCGCGCGCAAAGGGCCGAATCGACTGCCGCGAGATAGCTGATAGCTACGTGCCTTGGGCAAGTAAGATTGGAGAATCCCAGTCCAGGATATTCACCGATGATGGCATGGACAAGGAGGGTGGCACAGGATGCGATCAGATCAACAATCAAATGGATACCAGCACTGATTTGGTTGATTTGGGGACTGAGTAGGGCATGATGTGACGGGTTGGACAGGCTGGCAGGTCGGCAGGCAGTGGGAACTTTCATTCCAGAGGATTGGTTCGGGTGCGATAGGCGGTCTGTGGAGATGGCGATGAATGCGATGGATGCGATGCGATGTGATAATAAGTTGAGACGCAGCTGTGCGAATCCCATGCAGGATGAAGCCAAGTTTGCGAGCTGGAGGGGAAATCGAAGGTTCCTGGACTGGCGGTGAGCCAAGTACAGACACCTGTGCGCCTCACGAGCGCGCCGGCGGAAGGACAGGTACTGGGTACATCGCGGTCTGCCCCGCCGCGCCGTCGTGGTGGTGGTGGTGGTGGGTGTAGGTAGGGTGGATGTACAGTGGGTGTCGTGTGCTCCAACAGGCGCTGCAGGTGGGCCATTGTCAGCGTCCACAGCGACGACCACTGCCTGCTCAGAAACCTACCTACCTACCTACCTACCTACCTAACCTACCTACCTACCTACCTACCTACCTACCTACCTACCTACCTACCTACCTACCTACCTAGCCCAACGAACAAACTACCTAGGTAGGTACCTACCTGTAGCACCTACCCCTACCTGCTATGTAGGTACTGTAACTACACATTACTACCTGGGATCTTACCTGTACCAACTTATAATACTAAGGTAGTGTCCAGATACATATGTAGGTATTACACATACATACCAGATACATCCCTACTTAAATACCTATTAAGGCATGCTACCTGCATGTGCGTTAGCGCGCACTACATTGCACGCCCTAAGCTAGTAGGTACGTTGTCTGCTACTTACGGTGCCTTTCAGCGGGGGAGAGCGATGCCCAGGCCACCTAGGTACCTCTAGGTAGGTTCTGCTAGGTACCTACGTGCAGTGCTACCCACTAGCCCTGACACCAACTTAAGCATGCGCTAAGGTATGACGCTGCTCGTTGTCTCTCCCTCTCCCTCACAGGTAAAAGGTGAGCGATGTCTACCAAGATTAAGTCATAGAAGGCATATTGGGAAATTTCGGTCGTTTATCTTTTTTTATATGTTCCGTACTGTCTCACTCTGGTCCTGGCTAAATCCTGGCCTTTGTAGATACCCATAGGAAGGCCTGGGTAGGCCTGGGAGTCAGACTACATGATGAAACCGAAGTCATGGGCTGGAGGTGATCGTGGGGAGGAACCAAAGCACGGTATCTAGTAGCAGGGTCTGGCAGGGCAACTCGGATGGACGTTCTCCCTGCCATAGTAAGGCATCAACGACACAACCACTCTCGAGAATATCGAGCCAGTTTGGGCTCAATGGGTTGGATACCTACATACCTACTTACATAGTAGGCTAAGAACGAACAGCGCTGGAGCCGGCAATAGAATATGTATGCACAGTATTGTGTCAACGGATCACTCCATGCTTCTGTCCGTCCGTCTCCCGAGGATCTCTCCAAGATACCTACAAGCACAAGCCGTTGGCAATATTAATTCTGGGAATATGGCGCGCTTTTCCGTTCCGGCAACATGGCGCTCGGAAGAGGCGGTCAACTCTCGACTATCGCCTAATCCTAAGGGTCGGGTAAGGTTACAGTCGACTACACCACCTCTTTACAACATCTAAGCATTTCCCTCACACCCGATACCTAATGTGTGTGGACTTCACATTTTCCCGTTCTTTATCGGCGCATTTCCTTCTTCCTACCTAAGTGTAGTCTCCATCCTCTCGGCCCCCCGCCGGCCCCGTCCCATCGGCCTGACGATTATCTCAACCATGTGAGCCGAGCATCGGTAGCCATCAACAAACCCAAGAATCTCTTTTTCTTGCTTTGTGTCTGTTGCTCTGCTGGCCTGCAGGTGCCAACTACCACTAAGAAAGACCGTTGTTTCTGTAAACTATGTACCTACTCTACTTGGCCGTAGAACAACTATCAGCACTACCAACTCGGATGCGGTATAGATGCATTGCCGGTTTCATGCTCTAGTTGTGAATGGTCAGCGGCTGCCAGCACACACACGCACCTCTCCACCACCATACATGGATATCCCCTCCAACCTACGACGATGCTCGCGGCGTGTCAAAGCCAACTGCTACCTAGCTGGATGACCGAATCGCGACCGATGACCATTGCTGTCGTGCACCTGATTTCGATCGTGGAGTATGCGGCCGCAAGTGTTGGCTGGTTGTCAATTCTGCCTCATTTCTATCCGCATGCTCCGTCTGGCCAGGGAAGCAAGTCAGATCCAAAACTCTGCCTTTGTCCCATCATACTCATACCAACTACGCGGCCATATCCGTAGCACTATGACTTGATGGTTTCACATCCACAGCAGTCGGGGAGCTTACGCAATCAAAGTCATAGTATACCTATAATTGAGGTTATCGCGAAGACCAATTTTCTTCTTCACCTCCACTACTGTTGGAAAATCAACAAAAAACCAAACCATACCTTCGTTAACTCGTTGCTCCGGCTTCGGGGGCCAATTACAGTACAGTTCCAAGAGCAGCCGAATGCCGGACAACGAGTCAGCCTAACGTTGACCTTGACTCGCGAGCTATGTGATATTGTACATAGTAATGCTAACTCTAGCTCACCACCTTGGGGTGTTCCGAGGATCGATCTCAGAGTGTGAAGTAGGGGCGGGGCTAGAGATCGCCGAATTAGTAAGGGTATCCAAAAGAGACACCCAGCAGAGCGTTAATAATAACGCACATATATGCAGCATTCAGCTGTACAGCCGAATATAGTATGCATATCCCAACGCTCGTTAGCGGCCACCACCACTTACCCGTCGGTAAATAACGTCGCTTAGCCTTAGCGAGGCGACGCATCTGGTTTTTGAGGCCGGGTCGTCGATACCCAGATGTAGATGCATGTAAACCGATGGGTCTACCGAGACCAGCATCATACATGTCGACTCGTCGGTAGCAAACTTTTCTGCATCTTACCGAGGCGCTTTGAGGTTGCGGCTTGCGGTTTACCATAATCCCATCGACCAATTATGTGTACATACAGTAGTAGTACCGTTCTAGACATCGATCGGTCCGTGTTAACGTGTCTTGATGCGCATAGACGGACATTTCTGCTGGTTTAACCTTGTTGTTTGACCACCCAGAATCCTGTTATTGCGGTCACTTCTCCCCTGAAATTACGAGTATTTGCCCTCTGTCCAGAAAACTGTATGTAGGTATGTAAGTAGGTACAAGAACCAAATATCGACTACTATTCCACAGTATCATACTGGGTCGATCCAGTTCTAGCACCTAGGTAGTTTTGGCTAGTGTTAATGCTGCCGATCCATCCATCTTACCAAGTAGTTGCATACATTCGTAGGGACTAAACTCCATGTACATGATTACAACCCGTACTTATTTGACTGGTCCACCTATTTACGTATAGTTATTATATTTTTGTCGTCTTTGACTCGCCATCAAGTCTCTAATCTAGGCGCTTGTCTTTTTTTTCCTATTTTTTTTTCTTTTTGCAAGCATTAAGTTGCGATTGGCCATGCAGGGCCACTTGGTCTGGTCCCACTTTCGGCTGACTACCTACGTGTTGCCGCCAGCACTACTTACACCTGAAGTAAGGCGAATCAAGACGGTGCTCTACGGCGAGACCCCTCACGAGAATGAGTATAGCTTCAACAAGGTGAGAGGCATGAATCGCATCTGCCGCGTTCTAGCCTCGAGGTGGACTTTCACGGGAACTTCATTAATGATGTGGATCCATAGGCGTTTGCCATGTTAGCTAACATGTTCTCTACTTAATGCGGTTTGAACGTGCGCTACATATCATAGTATGTAGATAGATGTAAACGCCGCTGCGTACCTACTATCTAACTTTAGTTATCATGCTAATAGCCGCTTTATCCGATGTCAAGTCATCGTGGTGGCGCTTCACTAGGTATCCAACCCAGGCTTTACAAGTAGTGGTCTACTGCTACGAAGTATGTATATACAGTATGCTTTCTTCCCCAACTTGGAAAGTACATCCTGCTTGGATGCCAGCTCTAAGATCGAGGTTCGTGTAGGTGCGCCTCGATATGTCTGTCATCTTACCTTAAGATTCAACAGCTGCATATCCGCTAGGCTGGCATTGTATATGACGAATTCAAAGCTATCACAGCCCTTGGCATCTTCGAGAGCACGAGGATCATCATCAAGAGCCTGAAATGGTGAGACGAGTGTTGTAACGTTATCTAGTCTATTTACCAAGGAAGGTCCATTCTATCTCTTCAAATCTAGGAAGCCAGGTAAGACAGTATTGGGATCTCACAGCTCAGTCCACAGACTTACGAGTCGCCCGTGCTCAGGAAAAATCATGTCTCCGTACGCTCTCAGAGGTCAAGGCATCACGGTAGAAGTACGGCGCTGAATAATTGGACAGGGAGTAAGCCCCCTCTGAGGACTTCCAGGCCGAGTCCTAGACGACTCGTGAAGCCGAGGTGAATATCCCTTGGGACGTTTATTAGCACATTGGGCATTAAGACTGTTAGCGACGAGTTATTTGCTTCCAAGCTCAAATCAGCCCTCAAGTCTATTATCTTATCAACTATCGAGTAGCGTGACCTGTCCATGTGCGAAAGCTGACAACATATCCATGGAGCTATATCAAGTGGTAATCGAACATGCCTAAAATATATTAATCGCCATATCGATAGTCCATAGCTCGTTGCTTCTTGTGCTCCGCGCTCGAGTTGCTGTGGATAACTCATGCTTTTACGTACCAAGCCATACTCATCCTAAACATGAACTCATTGCCAAAAGGTTAGCGAGAGATTTTCTCTACGTAAACCCTCATCTTCCCTTAAATCATTCTTCGACATCATCCTCAGCCTGCAACGAATGAGCCAACCCGGCGGCTACAAAGGATCCCATCATCGTCGCGTTGGGGACACTTCGGAATACTGTGGCACAATCACCAGCAGCATAGACGCCAGGTACAGTAGTATTGAAGAAAGGTGGTAGGGTGGTGATATGACCCTGCGGTGCGAGCTCAACACCCAGGTCTTTCGCAAAGCAGCCATTCAACTCAAAGTCGGGAATATGCGCCTGTGTTCCGAGAGGTTAGCTCACAACTGTCATTGACACAATTTAGTATTCTTCAGTGTCCCTCGCCCCCTGTAAGCAGGGTTTGTAATTCATCCCATACTGGGCACACCGAGGAGCAAAAGCCGGGTACATAGGTCCAACTCACAATAAAACTCTCCTTATTCACTGTGCCGTCTTCAAGGGTGACCAGGACTCCCGCCTCGCCCTGGGCATCAGCATCTTTAGCAACGCTCTTGATCTTCCGGTTCTCAATATGGAGTTTCTTCGTATTTTTCAGCGCAGCTCGGACCTCAGCGCCGAAATCCTCGTTCCCGTTCGTGTAGACATTCACGGCGCCCGCAAATCTGCTTGCCATACGAGAAATGGGAGGTGCGAGCATGGAGTTACCCAAGACCCCGCTAGCAAGAACGCCCGCAGAGGGAGCGCCGCGCTCTTCATAGCCGTGGCAAAATAAGCAGTGGAATCTATTAGTGATTTCGTGGGCATGTTAGCATGAGATAGGAAAATGAAACCATGTGAGAGACCGTGTGAATGGGTGAAAGACTAACATTCCCTTCCCCCAAAGCTCCGAGTAACCCGGGATATCGGGCATGATATCCCTGATCCCGCTTGCGATGACAACTTTACGGCCTTCGTACTTCTCTCCCACGTCATCCACGGCTTCAAAACAGCCATTTTCAAGCTTCTTAACGCTCGCGACACCAACTTCTTTGAACTGGATCGTACTGTACCGCGATGTTATATCCGCCACTACGACGATTAGTACCAGTATTGTTGACACAAACACGTTAAGAAGTATTACACTACTACTAAAAGCTCGTAATAGGGGCGTAAACGATGGCTACAATGACGGTGAAAGGGAAACAGCCTGAAACCCAACTTACTTGACTTCGTTCGAAACTCGACCGGATTCCCATGATCCCATCCCACCACGTTGTGCATGTGTGCCGTGACCTGGTTCCGGAACGATCCCGAGCTGAACACCACGGCCGTATGAAGTTGGCGCGCGAGGCCTCCGGCAACAGCTAGGCCGGCTGGCCCACCTCCGAATACGAGCACATCTACTGACTTGGACATCGTTATTTTCTTGCGCTGATGGCTTAAGGGGTTGGGGATCTAGGTAGAATTCTATGGCGACGATAGACCGTAGCTGGGGGGTGTTAGCTGCCGTTGGCGTTGCGATGTCTTAATGATTCGTATGATAAATTGGAACGTTGCGATTTTCATAGAGTTCTGGGCTGGTTAGCTGAGAAAGGCCGGCAACCTGAATATAAAGTATTCATGCTCGGTAAGTTATCTCGGAGACATTCGAAGTAGGCACCTGTCCTTCCAAGTGACCGACCGTGTTCTTCGGACTTTTTGAATCAAAGTTGCCTATTCCAGCATCATAAACTCCCACAAAAGGGTCCGAGTGCATTGCCTCGTATATTAAACCTCAGCATTCACTCGGGGCTTTCCCTGGCTAAAGTCCCTGCTTCACCAGGCATTATAGCTTATAGTGTTTCCGCGTCAGCGGCCTGGCAGAACCGACATTGGATAATCGCTATCTCATGTAATTATTATAACCCGCTATTCTACGAGGAGAAGCTTGCTGGATTTTGATGATTGGTATAGTTTCTATCATACATTGTTTTACTTCCCAAGTGTTTGAGGCATAACACCGAGTAAACCCCAGAATAAAGTGAAAGGTGTCATTCAATTCACCGACTCCACCAGCCCAAGTATATATGGCTTTATTTAGCCTTTGCACATTATATAACATCGACTAATAGTATACATTTAGAAGATGAAAGGAATGAACCTAGCAGTACATGAATGCCAAGCCTCCCATTTCTTGCCAAATTCTCGTTGTAGCATAGCCTCTTCATCTTTCACCCTCTTCCACAAGGCCGTCATGATAGAAGCAAGTGCAACTCCAAGAAACGCCGGCTGTAATCCCTGCAGTACCGGAAATATCTTTGGAGGAGTGACACAGCTAAGTATACCGTCTGGCCACCACCATAACCTGAGCGCACCAATTGCCATAAGTAGCGAGGCTGTATAACTCGGATGCTGGATGTAACGGTAGAGACCGGTTGTTTTCAGCTGATCAGGCTCTGCAAGTCCATAGGTAAAATTGGTCCCCAAGCCGCTGTACGCCAGTACCCGGAGAGAGGCGCCAGCAAGGACAAGAGCAATGGGGACCGCCGTGTCCCTGGACCACGTGACGAAGTTCGGGTCTAGCCCATTGATCACACCATACCGCAGAAGAGGTCTGGGGATCTCAGGATACGTGAGGACGAGAGACATGTGATGCAGCGCTTGGGCACCGAGTGAGAGGTAGAGGATATTGCCGTACTTCTTCTGCGCGGTTACAGCCCACCGGATAGAATCCCCGGTAGAAGGGACCTTATCGGGCGAGGGATTGGGTGGCGTTGTGCCAACCCAGATACCAGCAGCAGAGAGGCCGATCGCAGTAGCCAGCGAGGCCTGTGGAAAGCTGATAGGGAGAACCATATTTGGCAGCAAAAATTGTGAGTGAGGCTCATGAGAACGTCTTCCAGACAGAAGATTCTGTAGATGGGGAGATTCCCTACTCACTTATAAAAAGTAGGTACTCTTGCTTGAGGTCAAAGTGGTTATGTCATAGGCTAGCCGTGGTAGATATATAGTCCAGCTAGGACAAATACGTGAAGCATCTTTTGCATTTTGAGGCCTAACTTGTATAACCGCAACTCAGCACACACATCAGCTCATTTTGGGCGTTCCAGCTCCAGCTCTGCCTTCATCGAGGTTCTTCTTCAAAGTCATATTTTCATGAAATACACATGCAGTGTGGTAAGAATGAGAGTTGACGGTACATCAAGAGTACAGATGAACGATTTACAACTTGGCAGGGTGGAGTGGTGGAGAAAGTCCCTGCACTAGATCTCATGCGCCTACCCGTCGACAAGCTTCGAACCAAGTACCGACACTCGTAGTCCCATGTCCTGCACGGTATTGACTGCCGGACTGGAATGCTGCGAGGCCATGAGTTCAAGTTGCTAGGATGGGCCAAGTCGTACGAGGATGACCTATCTTAGCTAATGTTCGATCTAGATAACACCGTTCGTGATGGACACAGCCGAGATGAAAACACCATCGACGCATTCCAGGCATAGTGGATGATTAAGTACGGTCATCTCCTCCAACTTTGAACGTCTCTGGGCCCATGCCTGGGTGAAAACCTCGTAAGTTGTCAGCAGTTACGGTACTTACCTACTTGATACGAATAGATCTGGTGATGCTTTTGGCCCTAAAGCTCAGTCCTTTTGTGAACTTCGCTGTATCGGCTTATAGGGCTCTAGTGTTTTGACAAGCGCCATTATAGCATGCCATGCTCCCACGAAAGTCACGATGCACGCTCTCCCTAAAGACTTTCATCTCTCAAAACAGAAAAGGCTTGTTGACCGGGCTTCCTAATCTAGAGTTCTGTCTAGAGTTAGGTCCAGATGTTTCGCGGTGTGTTCCGAGAGGGGACGTAGGAGCGGTACACAGGTATTTAAAACGTCGGCCGGCCAACAGTCTTGGAAGTGGAGGGGTTCGCCGCAAAGCGGAAAACTACATCTGAGTAGCAAATCACGAAGCACAAGAAGATGGCCCGAGGTGCGCCGCGGCGTCATTCCGCAGTTCCAGATTCCCTTCGGTACTACGTCAGCGAGTTCAGCTCCCTGACTGATGTTGGACACATGTTGAAATATGACCTGTCGCAGCCCGGCTGGTCTTGGGTGCCATCACACCAGTATTGAACAGGCAGGAGAGCTGCTGAAGCTGCTAAATGAGAGCACGCATGGCGTCCTTAGACTGGATGGTGCACACTTGATCTACAGAAATACCTGCCAAATTAGGGATCGCGATGCACTCCTTTACCGTGATTCTCGCTGGCCGGTGAGCTCCAGTGGAAGAGAAACGTGCAACACAATCCCAATCCATGCACGCTCCTAGTAATATAGTCTCGCAACACAGAATGCCAGTACCTACTAAATACACCAATTGTCTCGTGTATTTAAGAGTCCCTCTTGCCTGGCTGACTGAACAGTCATGTTTCTTGTTCTGCAAGCCTGGAGTTTACCAGAAATCATCCCATTGAAACAGAACCACCATGAAGGTATGGAGTCACTATCATTGATTTCACCCAAGCGCCCACAAATTGACAAGTAGCAGTTCACAACCATCTTCACCGGCCTAGCTGCCGTTGCTCTTGCCCAAGCTGACCTAGTCGAGCGTTCCGGTACCAGACTCACTCAGACAGAGGCCGCCTCTCGCCTCTCAGCCGGTGGCGTGGGATGGACGTCGAGCGGTGGCTGCTCAGATAAGACACGGCCAACCTGCACTTCATTTGACGGTGTATACTCCGGCACCGTAGATGGAGCCATTACTCTGAAGCGCGCGTGCGCCTGCACAGTGACTATCACCGGCGGCACAGAGACTGGTCACGCAAGCGGTACCTACAGGTTAGTTTAAATCACACCAATGGCGTTTTTCATGTTGAAGAGCTGCTGACATGCTTGGATATGAACCAGCCACGCAAATGGCTACAAGTTTGATTTCTCCAAGAATTCAGGACTTAACTCGTACATCACAAACTCGTTCACGCGCATCGCAAATCGTGCCGACGGCTATCCTCAATGGCAAGCTGCCTCAGGTAACATCTACTGTGTAAGCTCCTTCGACCATCCATATTAATATTAGATGAATCCATAGCTGACAGTACTCCCTAGGATGAGGGGAATCATTGGGATGTTACATTCTATTAAGCGTGATTGTTGTTAGCTGGAGAGCGAGAAAGGTTGGGAGATTTTATAACAAGGACAGAGATCTGGGCTTGGAACTTGATGCTATTCACCATATAATGATCTACCAGGGCTGCAAAAGTCCTTGGCGTCTTGATCTGGCTCTATATGAAGCTTGGGCTGCCAGCCCTGACTGCCTGGGTCTCATTGGCTTATTTCTTGAAGTGAAGTCTGTATAACCTCATTTTCAATATTGACTGTATGTCTCCGAAGATACTGCGCAGCCTGCATTACGCCCGTAGCTAAAGGCGAACTGCATGTTCATTTTGTACGCGTGTAACAGATTCATAGAGAACCATATATCTGACATATTTACAATCGTGCAAAATCTTGACTTGTCCAAAAAGAAAAGAAAAGATAAGCATGACTGTCAGACTGGCAGCGATGAATATATTCACATGGGGATATCATGTTCGGTGTGGGTGTTGTCCAACATGTCGCCTAGGTGTTTCGCTCAAATGGTTATGAAAATGGGAATGGATCTCAACGCTGACGCTTCAATGGGAAGCATTGGCCAAAGGATTGTAGCTGGGAAGATTATACTGCTTCCCTTTGGTCTTGATCAATTGCACAAGATGAAATGGCCTGATGCTTCCCTTTAGGAGGTATAGCTGTATGACTTGGGAGAATGATCTGCGTATCTAATCAGCATCTCGATTGCTTAGTGTACATCCAGTATGGAACACGGAGGAGCCATGTCATTTGTCATCAGGCACAGCTCCGACATTTTGTAATTAGCCGGAGAGAAGGTCGCCCGGCGCCGAGACTAAAGACACGATTGAAGATGGGATACACCCACGTTGATTTTTACCTTACACTCTAACCCCATATGTTTGAATAGTTGGCATGGAAATGACGCGGACGTTGGAGACTCTTCGCCTCTATCAAAAGAAAGAGATGGTCGATATGTTGACCCGGGGGAACTGATCATGCACAAGTATCTCCCGAGATTGCCTAATGACTCTCATATGCTGAAGCGAACCATGGATATTAATGGAGTCTCGCTGTGATATGAGTCAGTGCGGAGAGAAAACCTGGGGAAACGAGTACTAGGCTATCAGCGTTTCTGCAGCGTTGAACCCTGATAGACACATTAGACGACCTTGACCCCTTCCCCGCATGGAGAAGGAGAGGATGAACAGCAATTGATCAACGCCATGACGCCCCTATGATGAATCAGTCTCCCAGTGAGCGAATTGCAGCTCATCCCTCATCAGAGTAGGTTACAATCTTATACAACCTGACATCAGGGATGAAGTCATTTCCCAGAGGGCCTATCTAAGAGTTTCAAGACCAGTGTCCCACTCGATTCGATAAAGTGCGCGAACCGTGTATATAATAATAGCTAGAGCGACTCTGAAGTCAATTCCAGTCCTTCTCTGCTTAAGTAAAGATTCCATCAGCAGCAAACCCAGACTCCATCCACGAAATACCAAGAGCGACAGACAGCAATCATATCTCTCATCATGTCGGCAGACGGTCACGGACTCCCGGATAGCGCGATAATGGGTGCTCACGACATTATCCATCACGCAGAGCAAGAAGAACACGAGCACGAAGCCGCCTCGAAGCGTGGACTGCCAGACAGCGCCGTCGAGGCCGAGCACGACTTCATGCAGCATGCGGAGGACGACCTGGCCCGGCTCGAGGTATGTCGTCATCGATATATCAGTTCTTACTGATTTCCACTTTGGGCAATCGTGCTGATAACTTTTGTAGAAGAAAGGTGGCGGCCTGAAGAAGAAACTTGAGAAGTTGATGCCAGGGAAACATTGAAATATCAACAACTAGTCCTCGGTTGAGTCATCAAACAATTAATCGATCAATTCGTTTCAAATCGCTACGACACGCTGGTTTCGTATCAAGAGGATATGTAATATTGTATTGTATAACTGAATAATTCAATATCGGTCATGGAAGACGCATCTATATACAAATTGTACCATATATATTGACAAGATTATCAATTTCCATAATCTATCAGAGTAATCTCAATTTGGTATTAAACCCCGACTTGAGACATCAATTGTTTATCTGAATATTCGCAGTGGGAAAGTCGTGTATTGGGTTTCACTATATAGCACCACTGGTATCACGAAGTACATGCCTGTGAGTTACACCTATTATGGTCCCGACTTACAAAAGGTTATACAGATAGTGTAAATCATACGAGGGGAGCTAAGAACAAGAATTCGGCAATTGTTATGCGGTTAAAGTGATTTGTGCTCCGGATCACCATTACGGACTGGCAATATAGAGGGTGTCTCATATATCTACTGATCAGCCGCGGCTAAAGTTGCTGGGCCTCATCGATGTTTCCTTAAATGACCCTGAACTGTATGTATCCGTCGCGACACATTGCCATTAAGATTGAAGTAAAAAATAGAGATCTATACCCATACCACATGTCGAATAAGGGCGATATCCCAATGCACCTAGGTATCTAATGGCGACAACCGTAATCACCACACCGACACAAGAGGTCGCCCTGAATAGGGGAGAAAAGCCTCAAAGGCGCGATGTATCATCATTCATAAACTATTATCGGGATCCAGGCGACGGGTCACCACCAATGCCAGTGAGGATTTCAGAGTAAGCTATTCAATATTGATATACCATTCCTTACCAGTACTAGCCCTTCATATTTCCCAGCGGGAGGACTGACAAGGGACTTCTACGAACAGCAAAACAGTCAAGAACGAACGGCCAACAATTTCGAAACCAGCTATCATCAAAGACATCACAGGCCAAGAAGATACGTACACGCTCGACAAGTACGGCTTCCAGTTCTGCCGTCGACCAACCTTTCTACACGGCTCCGATTTCCACGACAGCGGGCTGGTCCAGGCGAAATATTATCCCGAGGCCAAACAACTGCTCAAGGATGTGTATTGCCCCCCATCTTATTCCTCCATTAATTCAATTATAGACAATGTAGATAGCAAGAGAACAAAGATGTAGTATTCGAGCTAACTCTTTGCTTCACAACTAGCACGGGGGCGCACCGTATCCATATCTTTGACCACAAAGTACGCATCGGCCCCTCGAACTGGCACAAACTAGGCGAAGGCAACCGGACTACGCGGGGTCCGCTATTCCGAGCACATGTCGACCAGTCGTATGCCGGGGCCGAGCTAGTTCTTCGGAGGCACTTCCCAGACGAGGCGGACGACCTGGTTAAGCGACGGTATCAGATAATCAATGTAGGAGTTCCTATATCTTCCTTTCCCCATCCTTCACCTGTGTATCCGAATTCAACTAGCTTTCATAGAAAGAATATTAGACTGCGACACCCGTGTTTACTGGTGGCTAACTCTCTCATATGATAGATCTGGCGACCGATCAAGACAGTCTATAAGGACCCCCTGACCGTAGCTGATGCAAGGTCAGTCCCAGAATCCGACCTCTTGGCAGCCTCGATCCTATATCCTCGAGGGGATCGAGATGAAACATGGACAATGCTGCCCAACGGCGCACACCAGTGGTACTTTAAGAACAGGCAGCAGCCTGACGAGGTACTACTCGTCAAATGCTTTGACTCCGCGACATTACCGGGTCTAGCGCGACGTGCCCCTCATTCGGCGTTCGAAGACCCCGACATGGCAGACTGCGGACATCGTGAGAGTATTGAGACTAGAGCCTTGGTATTCTACGATGATTAATACGCTCCGTGGGCTTGGAAAGGATCGGCAGTAGGTAAACTACAATATGCTATAAGTAAACTTTCAGACGCAAGCCCAGACAAGACTTGTTTCACTAATGCTACGGTTAATCCAACGACGACCGAGCTGGCATGTCTTGTTCTGTGCAATACTCAATTTGCTCTATACGTTGATGCCTCTAGAGCTTGCCTTGAAAAGCTATTACTCTGCGTGGGATTGTCGATACGGACTTGGTGCCGGGCTCGTGGCAATGCGGGGACGGCTCTTGAATATTGCTTCATACTATAACGCTTAGGATTAGGGATTGCCATTTCGAGGAAAGACGATTCGAGAGTGTTATTTGGTTCGCAGTGAACCAATGTGCCCTTCGAGTCTTAACAATAATCCGATTTCGAGATTCACTTACGTCTTGGCCATCTTCCATTAACCCCTCAACAACGGAAAGGTTGCCCGAGGTCTCCTCCTCGACCTTTGGGAAATAGCTGTCTTTCCTTTGGACCACTTTACTCTTCCTTTGTGAACGTCTTCTTTCTAATTGAGCTTTCTGTCGCGCTGCCTCGAAACCAGCCATGGAACGGCGTGTACGCGTTATTAGGTCATCATACTCTTCACCTCGCTCGAGGTCATTATCTGTGGTAGCCTCGTCGTTTGATTGAGTATGACTTGATTTCACAGGTGAGTGCTGCGGGCTATCATCTTCTGGTTCGAATGACGTCGTGCGGGCCATTGACATCCGCGTTCTCTCGGCTAAAGATAGTGTGTACCTGGATTTCTTCATAGGAGAAGGAGATGTGTTGTTCATAGAATTTAAAATCTCATCAGCAAGAAGTTGTGTTGGAGATTTCGGACGAGAAAATGGTTGCATGGAATCATTCGTCTTCTTAACGATAGGTGGCTGGTTTAAGATTGAAGAAGTACGGCTTTCCTCGTATCGATCACTGATCGTGCATTGATCGTCTTTTCGGGCGTTGCGTTTTTGCTCAACCTGGGTGGGGTAAAGCTCTGCTCTAGACCGCTTATACTCTCTGGGAGCCTCTGTTGCATCGCCATGACGAACAGGACTTGTCTTGCGAGTTTCACGTGGAACAGGTAGTTGTCTCCGAGTTGCTGGGAAACCTCTAGGGATGGCTGTTGGGCGAACATTGGGCTGAGAAGCTACCTCTTCTGTTTCGTCTTCCCAGTCGCTTAAGTCTGAGACAGGTTCATCTGCCGGTTCTGGTGGGGTAAATTGAGCCGAGGCGGTTCTAGTAGGTCCTCTTCTAGTATCGTTTATTAAGCACGAAAAGTCAGGTATTTCCATGCTCTTAAATGTTTCCAGTTCCGTTGTCAGCCTATTGAGTATTTTCACATATTCAGCTGGCGGATCATCGGATCTAGGATGACTTAGGCTCGCAAAGTCGTTGAATTTAAGGTCGAGGTGGGCTGTGAAATCAAAACTAGTTTCATTTTGATTTGGCCTAGGTGTGGCGTTTTGGGTCACCTTTGGTCGAATATCCCCAAAGTTATCTCTGCGAAAATCCTCCCATTTCCGCAATCTGGATTTCTGGTGGTCGACGCGTTGTTCCAGTTGTTCCAGTAAGCCAGTAGTGTGCTCCTCCAAGTCTGTGATGTTTCCAGTTTGAACGCCTCTCCAAACATCATTAAATGGCGTACTTAATAAGCCACGCTTCTGGGACGAACTACTGTCGAGTAAACCTTCGACCCATTGCTCATTGCCGGTCCAGTGGTTTCTCAGTATCCTACGAACTTCGGCCTTATCTGTGTCCGGTATCTCAATGGCTTTGTCTTGTGCCGTATGCTTTGCTTGTTCTCGCCGTCGAGAAAGTCCTCGCTCCTTCATTGCTAGCAACTCGGCAAAGTCACGGTACTTCTGTCGAGCAGTGCCCTTCTTTCTTAATATCGACTTCAAAGAGACTTTGTGTGCAAGCAGCAATCCATTCAGCTCAGTTCTGTCACCCGTATAACCCCAATTCTCTAATGAGATGCTTTCTGAAACGGTAGGTCTGTATTCCAGGCCCGAGTTGAGGGCCCTTTCAGCAACCTGCTTCTTCAGCACCGCGGAAGAAAAGACGGCCAGGACCTCCTCCAACCTCTCCCCCTTGCATTCATCAAGCATTGTTTTCCGTATAAGAACATCGCGACCAAGCACGCCATTTCTTTTAGCTGCTTCTAGACTTCGTACTAGAGCAGCACGTAGGTTAATCGATTGAACCTGATCGGCAGGTGGGTAGAAAGGACGAAGTTTCTATAGTTCAGTTAGCCGTAGCACAATCAGCCAGCGATGAGACGTCACTCCACAACATACGTTCTGTGCTTCGTTATGGTCCCATAGGCAGAATAGCTGGTAGAGAGCCCACTCGACACATTGGATGCGTTTCTTCTGTCCACCGAGAGCATCCCTGGCGGAGAAAGTGGTAGGTGTTATGTCAGGCCAGTCAGGCTCATGGTCAAGGTCCAAGAGACGCGAGTTAGTCAGGAACAGCAGCACATTGGAGGTGCACGTCGGTATCTGTGGCAATTTGCTAAGGAGTGGTGCTGATGCTTGAGGGGCGGTCAGGGTCGACTTGGTGGTTGTGCGCAAAGATCGTGTTCGCGCCAAAGATGAATTGGATTGGTAGGCCGACATGGTGGCATCGTCTTCTCCCTACCGCAAAAGGAGCGTGTGATAGCCGTACAAGCATGCGGTATATCTCGAGGTTGTCTTAGATGTGCTCGATTCGAGACACTACCTCTATTTACATCGAATTTCCGTATTGCTATGTAAGGTCTATCGATATCCCTTTGTCACATGCCGCCCATAGAACAGCTTTATTGGTACACTACCTTAAGTACTACCTAGGCGGGTGGCTACATATGTAAGTAGCTATTCCCGCTAGGTATATGTAAGCCCTGGAGTACTTAGCCTACCTGTAGGTACCTAGAGGTATTCTCCGGGCGCTACCCCTACCCCTTACAGACTTAAGTACAGTAGCCACCGCCAATTCGATTTATAGGTAATATTCCACCCGCACTGTGCCCCATTCACTTGCATCTATGTAGTACTATGTGTATACCTAGACAAGCACAATGCAACAGTCACTCGTTCATCACAATAGAAAGCCTACGAAGTATGCATGCAAAATAGGTATAACTAGGTATAATTTACTTCTTCACGAAAGGAAGCGGACAACACGGAAATAAAGCAATGCGGATTTCTAGTACCAGTATGGCATTTAAATGGGTAGCATCTCTTAATTCATCCAGCCCAGCCGAATATGTGTTCCACACAGCCAGCTAGGTTCCGTCTCATTCATCTTGTCATCGCGTATGATCAACCAAGACAACAGCATCCGCTACCCTTCAGCCACATCTCCCGGTGCACTGGTCGACAGTTATGCATTTGCAGGCACCACAAGTGCCTGCAAGTGTTATCGTGAGGGAACCTGTGATGGGATCACAGTGGGCACCGCTATTTGCCGCTGAACAAAGGCTCGTGGTTCCTGGAGAGCCGCAGTCGAGACGCCAGGCAGGAGGACCACCTGCTGGTGTAGGATTGGCGTCACCAGATACAACATCGTTAGCTGCGAGACTTGTTGCGAGCTCTGCTGGAGAGTTTTCTTGTAGTAGAACGGTGGGCGCCGCGATAGTCGTGACGGCGTGGAAAAGAAATACGACAGAGGCTGCGAACTGTAGCCGTTAGCTCGATGCCTCCGTGTGGACTGGGCTACAGAACATACCTTCATCTTGACAGCTACGGGAAGGGCAACTTTGTTGAACGACTGGATGATGTAGAAGATAAGGTAGGTTGGCAGTAGCTCTTGGGGTCTCGGTCACTTATATTCTATCTCATGTCGGAGGATTAAACCCAGCGACCTGGTTGCGTTACCCGACGTTCTAGATTTCCTTTTCAAGGCAAGATTCATAAGATCTTGTTTTAAGTCAGTACCATGCTTCTCATATGATATATCCAGGTTGCATGACAATTCAAGAGCCTTTTCGATAAATCGAGTCCTCAGGGGTCTCGAGGGGCTGGAACAATCTATCTAAATCCATGGCGAGTAGGGTCGCCCCAACATGTACCAAATGGAATCCAAAGATGTTTCCCTTCCAAAAACAAGTGGCTCCTTTTGAGGAAACCTCTGCTGCCATCATTGGGTAATTACTAGATACCGACGAAACATAGAGACTTGGTTGGTTTGTTTAGCTTAATAAACGATGCCACACTACGAAAATACGCATGGGGGAATAACCCTACATGACAGCGAAAACTTTGGCATTTCTTCTTCGTTCATATTATAATGCTCCAGACCGAATAACCATGCTGATCAGAAATGTACGTCATTACTACAACTTGTACTTGCAGGTACAGCTAATCAATATGGAATAAATTAAAGCGCATGAGGGAACATGAGGGGCTCAGCCATGGATTCAGCAGGCATATGATAAGTCTTTTTCGAAAAGGGGAAATACCCAAATCTAGCCACTCGATGGAAGGCGGTATCATCGTCCGTGGAAGCCAAGTGTTGTTTGAACCTGGTAGTGCTCGCCTAGCTGCCATTAACGGAGATTCGGAGCAGCCAGAATAGCAGAATCACGTTACTATTAATAACTAGAATGCAGCCTTTCTTATTAACCGAGGGTTGAACAGCTGTCCATATCTCGCGAGCACTTCCCTACTAGAGGAGATGTTGGCGCAATTAACGCGGCTTGAATTTAGCCGCCTTGGAGATGCCAATGTACCATTCGGCCTTTTAGTAAATCAGCTATTAATCGCGAACCTAAAGATAGGACTGCGGGTTTGCTCGCAATGATGCGAGACACCAACGGTCTTAATGCCATGTTAGTTCAGTTGTTTAGTAGAAAGGGTTTGCTGGTTCATTATGGTGGCATTCCATTAATGATATCTCTCGGGACGCTCCCGACCTGTCGCTGCTGGCTCTCCGTTACTGCTCCCGGACCTTAGAAGTATGTAAACTTGAAGATAAAAAAAGACAGAAGATTGCTAAAGCTGTCTAGTCTAGAATCATGTCTCTTCCTACCGTCAGTCTCATGCATTTGCTATGTGCACTTAACTCATCGCCTTTTACGAAATCTGAATTAACACTTTGGAAATGAAAATGTGACGATTCACTACATTAAGAGCCTCGAACGAAGGCCAGTAAAGGAGCACATGTGTCACCGGTAGAGAGACAAGTAGTAAGACCGAAGACTCAGGATTGCTCTGTTAGATTGAACGTATTATTGGGGTTTGAGAACAAGCCTAAATCATAGCTTCGAGAAGACCGTGGCCACACTACCCCCCATTTCGATAATAGTACTCTTATTCCTTACCCAGGCTTCGAGTCCTCTTCTTCCATTTTCGACACCAAGACCGCTCTGCTTCCACCCACCAACTGCCATCTCAGCCGGTGACTCGCCCCAGGTGTTGACCCACGTAATACCAGCTTCCAGCCTAGATATGACTATATGGCATTGATCAATGTCTCTACCCACGACGCCCGCTGCGAGGCCTAGCTCCGTGGTGTTCGCGCGCTGGACAGCCTCATCGACGGTATCGTATGTGAGAATCGACATGACAGGGCCAAATATCTCACTCCGCACAATCACCATGTCATCCTTGCAATCGGTGAACACTGTAGGCTGAACCCAAAAGCCTTTTCGGAGGTTTGCAGGCAGGTTAGCGGGTAGATCTGAACCACCGCATAAAAGAGTTGCTTTATCCTCCTCAATACCACGTCGGATATAATCGACAACCTTCGCATGATGAACCTTGCTGTTCAGGGGACCGAAATTTGTAGCCATGTCAGAGAGATCGCCAGCACGGACGAAGGGAATTTTCTCGAGAAGCAGCTTTTCGAAGTCCTTCTTCATGGCGCGTGGGATGAAAACTCGCGTGCCGTTCGTGCACACCTGGCCCGAACTGAAGAAATTCGCCATCATGGCTACGTCTACTGCTTGGTCCAACAGCGCATCTGGAAGGACAACTAGCGGGCTTTTCCCGCCAAGTTCCATGGTCACATATTTCATGCCACCAGCGGCAGCACCGGCCACTTTCCTCCCTGTAGCTACTTGCCCAGTGAAACTGACCTTCGCAATAGAGGGGTGTGATGTCAAGTATGCACCGACCTCGCCGGCGCCATATATGACGTTGAAGACACCGTCTGGCAGCCCTGCATCTCGATATACCTCGGCTAAGTACTGTGCGTGTAACGGGGTGAATTCGCTTGGCTTGTACACCATGCAGTTCCCCGCAGCGAGGCACGGCGCCGACTTCCAGAGTGCAATTTGGATTGGATAATTCCAAGCCCCGATTCCAGCACATACACCAAGGGGCTCCTTGGAGGTGTACACCATGGCAGACGGCCGGAGGCGGAAAGACTCTCCATTCAGACCTCCGCTGGCCACTAAATTCGCGAAATACTCAAGCACATCTGCACCCGTCACGACATCAACGGTTGAAGTCTCGGAGAAAGGCTTGCCAGTATCAAGCATCTCAACTTGTGCGAGAGCGTCATTTCGCTGCCGCAGTAAGGAGACGGCACGTTGCAGGATCCGCGCACGCTCCACTGGTGGTGTGGCTGACCATGATGAGAAAGCCGTTTGTGCCGACTCAATAGCAGCATCTATTGACTGATGAGACGAATTATGTATCCTACACAGGGGCTCTCCGTTTGACGGGTCGATGGACTCAAAATAGCCTGACGAACTTGAGGCTGGCTGTGCTTTGCCCGAATAGAAGGTGTGACGCTCTGCTTCCGTTTGAATCATCTTGAGGACCTGGGCTGTTACGGCGTATTGGAGCTGAAGGCTGCTGATTTGTTTGATATGACCCCTTGAGGAGTCTAGCAATTATGTAAAACGTGAACAGTACTTAGATAGACGTGGAGACGGGTTTGTAATATTTAGTCTAGTGACGAGTCCTAAGCTACCTAGTTAAGCAAGTGTAACCAGCCACCAGCCTAAAATGTCAGCGCACGCCAGAATTCATTTATCAACCTGGGAAGATTAGAGACGCTTACACTGCCAGTACACTGCCTAGCGTATGATCCAGTCTCGTGCTATACAAGTACACCACATCGATCGAGAGGTAGCTGACTTGTGCTCATCCGCCACCCGCCACCGGGTCCCGGCAAGGGTGTGCGCTGGGGGTTGGAGAAGATCGGTGAAGGAGTACTAGCAAGTGGTCTCGCACACCTGCACAAAACATATGATTTCCATTCGTTTGCTATGTTTTCGAGACAGCTGTCTGAGTTGAGAGAGGCTGTGATCTGCGTTTCGTCCAAGTAACATTATTTGGTAACATCCGGCGGTATCGGGGCGGGGGCGGGGCGGCTTTGCGGCCGTCCGTGAGCTTTATTCATAACCTGTCGGGCAACCACCTGTCATGGCCACCTATCATGGCTATCTTACAATCTGCCTACTTAGCTACCTAGCTACCTAGCTACCTAGCTACCTAGGGAATCTAGGGATTCCTTGTTGCACTTTATTCTGATATCTATTTCAGTCGTACCTCTATCTCAGCTACCGGCTAGATCTGAGTACTATGTAGAAGGACCGATGAAAAGTGGACTCCTTGCGTGTCCTAACAGCCCCGAAGCAAAGCAGTGCCTTGAAAGCATGGGCTGATTCCTGCACTAGAGAGCTTGATACCTATCTAGGTAGTGTGCTCTCAAGTCCCTGCATCGTGGTCTGTGTAAAAGGACGAGAAAGGGTACGTAGATGGTGGGGTGCACGTGGATCACCTCTTATCACACCGCAACCTCTGCTCATAGCAAACATGCCTTATTCAACTTGTGAGTGTCAAGTCTTTGGTGTTACTGGTGCCCCATGAACAAGCTGGGAGAGTCCTGTAGCTATAGAAGAACCAAATTGATTTGAACAGAACTTTAGAAGGTGTTATAGATAAATGCTGCCAGCGAAATGTTCACTTTATCCATCACCTTGGTCGATCCTGTGTGGGTAGAACGTATTAGTCAGATGGCTGCAGTAGTAGAGGATTCGTACCAGGTAGTCTAGTCTAGTTTAGTGTTTCATGCCTACTGAGTAGCGTACGGTAGACCATCTTCTATCGGCCTTGGCGAAGGATCTCACTCTAGAGTTCTTCATTAAAAAAAAATAAGAGACTGGCGGTCCTGCCTTTGTTGAATCTATTAACCTATCTGAAGCCATACCGAACAAAAGAATCAATTGGATAGTCGACTTTGCCGTAACGCACGACTTCTGAAGCCAAAATGACTACCACTCAGCTTCCCATCACGGACACTGATAAGTACGATTATGTTATCGTCGGTGGCGGGACAGCGGGTTGTGTTGTTGCTGCGAGGTTGGCCGAGAACCTACCACACAAGAAGATCCTTTTGATCGAAGCCGGGCCTAGCGACTATATGGATGATCGTGTCCTCGATCTGCGACAGTGGCTGAACTTGCTTGGCGGTGAACTTGACTATGACTACGGCACGACTGAACAGCCAATGGGTAGGTGACCGGTTCTTAGTAGTATAACGACTGGAAAGTGCTCACAGGGTGAACAGGCAACTCCTTCATTCGACACTCGCGTGCAAAGGTTCTTGGAGGATGCTCATCACACAACACCTTGATCTCCTTCAAACCATTTCAATATGATTTGAATATCTGGCAGTCACTCGGAGCTAAAGGTTGGACGTTCCCAACTTTCATGAACTCAGTGAGCAGGTTGAGAAATACCATCCAGCCAGTTCACGCAAGGCATAGAAACCAGCTGTGCAAGGACTGGGTTGAGTCATGCAGCACAGCATTGGATATTCCCGTAATCGACAATTTCAATAAGCAAATCGAGAAGACTGGGTCGCTCAAGACAGGCGTTGGATTTTTCTCAGTCAGCTATAACCCGGATGATGGCAGACGGTCTAGTGCCTCTGTAGCCTACATCCACCCTATTCTGAGAGGCGAAGAGAAACGGCCGAACTTGACAATTCTGACTCATGCCTGGGTCTCCAAGATCAATGTCAAGGGCGACGAGGTCAGCGGCCTGGACCTCACTCTCCAGGATGGCTCCTCACGCCAGGTGAAGGCGAAATGTGAAACAATCCTATGTGCCGGAGCTGTTGATACGCCCCGTTTAATGTTACTCTCGGGACTGGGACCTAAGGATCAGCTGACTTCGCTTGGTATTCCTGTCGTCCGTGATATTCCGGGTGTAGGCGAAAACTTACAAGACCATCCCGAGAGTATCATCATGTGGGAGTTGAAGAAGCCCGTGCCGGAAAACCAAACTACGATGGACTCTGACGCAGGGATCTTCTTGCGTCGCGAAGCTCCTGGTGCGGGTGCCAAGAAGTCAGCAGCAAACCCACATGGGCTTTCTGATGGCGACATCGCAGATGTCATGATGCACTGCTACCAAATCCCCTTTACCCTTAACACTCTTCGTCTCGGATACCCCGATGTCCCGGATGGATTTGCTTTCTGCATGACGCCCAACATCCCACGCCCAAGATCTCGAGGACGGTTGTTCCTAACCTCTGCTGATCCTAAGGTCAAGCCAGCTCTCGACTTCCGGTACTTCACTGACCCCGAGGGTTATGATGCCGCCACACTTGTATACGGAATGCGGGCTGCTCGCAAAGTTGCCGAGCAAGCACCCTTTAAAGATTGGATTAAGAAAGAGATTGCACCAGGTCCCAATGTGCAGTCAGATGAAGACCTGAGCCACTACGCACGCAAGGTGGCGCACACGGTCTACCACCCGTGTGGAACGACCCGAATGGGCGACACAAAGACGGATGAACTAGCTGTTGTCAACGAAAAACTCAAGGTTCGCGGCTTCAAAAACCTGCGTATTGTCGATGCTGGAATATTCCCGACGATTCCGTCAATCAACCCTATGGTGACGGTACTGGGATGTGCCGAGCGTGCTGTTGATTTAATCATTGAGGAGGCTACAACAGTTCCGGAGAAAGCCCGCCTATAAATTCAATTTAAGGTTGTTATAGGAATATTCCGGAAACAAGCCGAGAGCTACGAGCATCATCGAGTTGTTTAACTCACAACAGGGGGCGGTGTATGAAGAGCATAGGCGGAAGCTAGTGAGAGAGTGTATAGTTAACGATATCCAAATGAAATGACACAAACCCTACTAAATGTGAAGTAGTGATTTGGGACTTGACATTTGTGCGAAATTGTAAGAATGGGCTTGAATATTCAGCCTGAAGCATCATGGATATAAATGTATCATTCCGGGTTGGGCATTGCCCAGGTGGTTACATCTATCTATAATGTGGCTTGACAAATTCAGTGTGGCTGACGCGCCGTGATAGTGGGACTAAAAACCAACCAGGTCTAACGTGGTAGCCCAAAATAGTAGGCGGTCTGAAGTATCAAAGGCGGTCAAGCTCAATTTGGACTGGTGCCACTTCAAATCCGGCAGGATCCCCTCCAACCCAGGTTTTTTTTTACCTGCATCAAGTAAGTTTTAACTTGCATAGGCCGATATTCACAATATCGCCCGAAACACGACCGAACTCCCTTTCAATGCCGTCGCGCACGGAAAAGCGAAAGCCGCAAGTGCAAGCACATCGGCAGAAAAGGCAAAAACAAGATGCGAAATCGCTAAAGAGAAAGCGAGAGCAGGTCTCTCTAGAGCAGCTCCAAGATGCTGTTGACCAGTTCGATCCCCAGACAGCAGATATGACCAAATTCTCCAGCATACCTCTTTCCGCTCCGACTACTTCGGGAATCGAAGCCTCACATTTTCAAACGCCTACGGATATTCAAGCTCGCGCTATTCCAGCAGCTTTAAAGGGCCGGGATATTTTGGGAGCCGCGAAGACGGGAAGCGGAAAGACACTAGCGTTTCTGGTCCCTGTGCTCGAAAAGCTGTATCGTTCTCAGTGGACTGAATATGATGGTTTGGGAGCGCTGGTAATATCGCCTACTCGCGAACTTGCGGTTCAAACGTTCCAAGTCTTGACGAAGATCGGAAGGTTTCACTCATTTTCTGCTGGGTTGGTGATTGGGGGCAAGAGCTTGAAGGAAGAAGCGGAGCGACTGGGTCGCATGTCTATTTTGATATGTACGCCGGGAAGAATGCTTCAACACCTGGATTCCACTTCAGGCCTTCAAGTAGACAACTTGCAGATACTGGTGCTCGACGAGGCAGACCGGATTATGGACATGGGTTTCAAGTCCGCCATTGATGCCCTAGTGGAACATTTACCTAGAGAGCGCCAGACCTTACTTTTTTCTGCTACACAGTCGCGCAAAGTGTCAGATCTTTCCAGGCTAAGTTTGAAGGACCCCGAATACATCGCCGTACACGAAAGCGCTGCAGCGTCTACGCCCGAATCCCTTCAGCAGCATTACCTCGTTACTCCCCTCGCTTCAAAATTAAACACGTTATATGGCTTCATAAAATCAAATCTCAAGAGTAAGATCTTGGTTTTCTTCTCGTCGGGAAAGCAAGTAAGATTTGCTTTCGAGACCATGAGACACCTTCGGCCAGGTGTGCCACTTTATCATCTTCTAGGTGCTCAGAAACAAGCACAGAGATTGCAAATTACAGCTAGCTATGCTGCCTCAAAACACGCATGCCTTTTCGCCACCGATGTCGTCGCGAGAGGAGTTGATTTCCCGTCAGTAGATTGGGTGGTTCAGGTGGATGCACCTGAAGATGTTGACACATATATCCATAGGGTTGGTCGGACAGCCCGTTTCAATAAAGATGGAAAAGCTGTTCTCTTTCTAGATCCCAGTGAGGAAGAGGGCATGCTGAAACGTCTCGATTCCAAAAAGATTCCCATCAAGAGAGTCAATGTGCGCGAAAATAAGAAACAGGCCATCGATGAGTCAGTTCAAAATATGGTCTTTAAAGACCCTTCTCTTAAGTATCTAGCCTCGAAAGCGTTTATTTCTTATGTCAAATCGATATATCTTCAGCGAGATAAGGAAGTATTTAGCCTCAAGAATCTGGATCTCGAAGCCTACGCCGCGTGTTTAGGTTTACCAGGCGCACCTATAATCAACTTCGAGAAAGGAGAAGACGTTAAGCGGTTGAAGAACATGCCGCGAGCTGCCCTTTCCGACTCAGATTCTGAGCTAGACCCTGAAAAGAAGAAGCGAAAAGTCAGGACGAAGACGGATAAGATGTTCGAACGTACCAACCAGGACGTCCTCACCGATCATTACACCAAATTGATAGGGGACGGTACTAATGAGGCTGCTAAGGACGATAGTGACGATGATTTCTTAGCAGTGAAGAGAGTGATTGAGGGTGACGATTTGGACGCGGTCGCGGATGATAAAGCGGCGTTACCGTCGGGAACCAAGATGATACAGGGTCTCGGCGGCGAGGAGCCATTCATAGTCGATTCAAAGAGGAGAGAGAAGATGTTGAAATCGAAGAAGAAGATGCTCAAGTTCAAGGGCAAGGGCGACCACATAGTGTTCGATGAAGAAGGCGTCGCGCACCACCCCTACCGAATCCAGGGCGAGGAAGACTTCCAGCGCGACGGTTCTGCGGAGGCCCAGCGGCGGAAGTTCGTCGAGGACGAGGCGGCCAGAGTTAAAGAGGCGGATGTTAGCGATAAGGCCGTTGTCAAGGAGAAGCGGCGGGAGAAGAAAGAAAAACGCAAGGCTCGTGAGGCCATGGAGAATGGTCTGGCTCCTGCTGCTGCTATGCCCAGACTGGAGTCACTCGACGATGATGGCGAGGACCCGCTTGCACTGTTGGCTTCACTACCTGTTGCGGGAGGGGCACACAGCGATGCTGGTGAGAGCGAGGATGAAGAACGGCCGAAGAAGAAGGCGAAGAAATGGTTTGAGGATGACTCGGCTGACGAGAAGAAGACAAAGAAGGGAAAGAAGGGCCGTGGCAAAGTCATCGAGATTGCGGAGGAACTGGATACCCTGGAGGATTACGAAGCGCTTGCTGCAGGCTTGTTGGACGATTGAGATGTATATATTAACTTTACTGACTGTTTTCATTTCCGTTTGGTTTTCGGCTCGCGAGAAATGCCATTGAGGATGTCATAGAAATACCCCCCTAGTGGCAATGTCTGACCGGCGTCACATTGAACACTTGATTTCAAATGATCGATCACTTCCCTAGCACATGCAATGCGTGAATTTCTAATATGAGATAGCTACACTAGAGGACGTAGTAGCCATCCTTTGGTATCATCACCCGTAGACACCATTCCCCTGTCCGTCAACCCTTTGTCTGCCTCCAGTCTTGTAGCTTTCCTCCACGGCCTTAGCTCGCCCTTGAACCAGGAACTCCCCAAACCCGCTTATCTGGGAAACAAATACAAATGGCATTACTCTATACATCATTTTGGTTGCGAGATGTCTATGATGGGTGAATCATGCATCTCTCCGCCTTGAGAACCAGCCCGCGCGCTTCTCAGAGTCATCCCGAGGATCTTCAGGCCGCTCTATAATTTCGCCGTATAAACCCAGTCGGTAGAAACACGTGTGATCTGCGCCATAATTGTTGATGGCTCTAACAACGATGCGGTTTGTCAGGGCCCCCAAATTAGAAATCTCATCACTTATCTTAAAGACCTGGACTCCGTCGCCAAAGGTATTGTTTTCGTAGGTGAAGTGGCCAATTTTGACAAAACCTTCGCTGAGAACCTCCTCTTTAGGTGTGTTCGGAAACTGCCTCTCGGAGAACTGTTGTACCACAACGCGGAGAGTGACCTCTTCAATGTAGACCCAGATCTCTACTTCCTTAGGCATCGCGCCAGGATCGAGCGTAGCCCCAGGTAGTATGTGTTCGACAATCAGATGTTGCGGGATAATATCACGACTCGTGATCATGGACAAATTATTCGTCCCAACGCCGAATCCCTTACGGTCAGGCCCAGCACAGAAACATTCGCCTTCTTCGGTCCAGGGCGAGAGCGCAGCAAAAGGCGGCTGTGGCTTGTAACCGCCCCTGTCTAGCCATGCCTTTGACAAATAATGGCTCTCCGGAACTTTCCAAGCGGAAGAGCTCGAGTCAGGATCGATCGCGACACCAGCACCAATTCCGAAAAAGTTGACCTGGTTAGCAAGCACATCATTTGCATGACCCTTGATGAAGCCTTTTGCGACTGTGTCAAGTTTTGCATTATTTATCGCCTTTGCAATCAAACTCTCCACAATCTTTGTTATTTCAGTGCGGGCTGTACCTCCGGCTAAGGTAATCTCAGCTGGTAGTTTAGACAACTGCTCAGTAATACTGGCAATCCGGTTCTGTAATTCTGCGAGCTCTTGGCGAATCTCGCGTTGGTAAGATACAATCTCTTGCTGGAATAATCTCAAGAAATCATCCTTCGTAAGAGCTACTCCTGTTTCGGCTGTTTTGAGAGCCTGATCGTTCTGCTTAAGCCATTTGTCCCAAGCTTGAGACATCTGCTTTTCGACAAGACCTTCAATGTCACTAACCGATTGCCCTACTTCAATGCCGGCCTGTTGAGCTCGAGCCTGGATCGCCCTCCAGTGGTCTTCAGATATATCCGAATTTTTCAGACTGAGAATGATATCATCTTGTTTAATCAGCTCTTTCAGGGCATGCCAGAAATCTTCTGAAATCTTTATTTTGCCGTTTTTGTCTCCTCGTACCCAAATCGATTCGGGCATCCGATCTTTCAGCCCTGCCACAAGATCTTGAGGATTGATCGCAGCGCTTCCTGAAGGTTTTGGGCTGCTGTGAGAGGTGGATTTATTATAGGCATCGGTATCTATCACCGGGATCTCCGGTAAAAGGTTCGATATTTTTTGCCACACCGTACCGAAAGCAAAGTCAAAAGAGGGACGACTAACGCTTGGATCATCTACGTCCGGTAATGAGGAAAGTACCAGCCATAATACCAAGACTAAACTAACGAACAAGATAATGGGGGTGATAAAAAAGCCAAATGAGGGCCATATCCATTCCTGTGATTGATTTACACTGTTTCTATTTCCGCTTTTGGTCGAACTTGACTTGAGTGTTGTTTTATTCCCAGTTTGTGGCCAACCCGATGGCTGCTTTGGCGTTTTCTTTCTCGTGGCGGTTGTAGTCGGGACTACCTTGGACACATTAGATGGCTGCCCTTGCTTCTTCGGGCTAGTGGTAATTTCAACTACCTTGGATAAACTAGGCATCTCCTCTTCGTCTAAAGATGATGAGCCAGACATCATGCCCTGTGGCACTGGAGGGTCCCAATTTGTCGCTTGTTGGGTTGGGAAGGGAGGAGGCTTGCTGAATGGGGTTAGGGGTGCCTGCAGATTAGAGGGCATCTCTAATCCCAGCTGCGATTTTGTTCCCAGCAACTCTGAAGAAGCCGGGTTTGACTCAGGGGGAGTTATCTGCATGAATCCTGATATGCCCGGATTAACCGGTCCAGAGCCAATGAAAGGTTCCGGTGGCTGACTTGATTCGGGTGAACTAAGTGACGCTATGCTAGGTGTTGCACCGAAAAGACCTGTGGATTGGCCGGGAATCTGCGACATAGTAGATTGCGGACCAGAAATACCCGTAGTTTGAGCGGGATTCTGCGGCATAGTAGATGCTTCGCCAGCGCCGGGAAAACCCGTAGATTGCCACGGACTCGGCGGTGTAACAGATGGTCCGTCGTAAAGACCCCCAAGTTGACCGGAATTCTGAGGCATAGTAGGATTCTGCATTGTCGCACTAGAAAATAGCCCACTTTCATAATTGAAGCTTCTTGAAGTATCAGGTCGTATAGGCGATATCGGTTCCTTCGTGCCTTTCCCCTGTGGCATTCCATAGAACGGACCATACTCCGTGGGCGGTGAAAGAGTCTGACGGGCACTAAAACGGGCGTATGGGTCATCCGAGGGAGGACCTGCTGGCTTGTATGGGGCTCGAGACCCATCATCTTGCTCTTCTGCAAAAGGTAACTGCGCCTGAATGAATCTAGGTATATGAGGCTTCAATTTAGGGATGGGTTCGGCATCATCTGAAGTCTCTGGGGACTCGTCAGGTACAGATAGAGAAGGGCTAGAGGGGCGAGAGGATCTAGAGCGACTAGAGGGACCAGCGCTATGGGTTGAATTCGAAGGATTCTCGTCGGGCGATATGTGTGAACCCTCCTGGACGAAATCTCCATGCTCCTCCTCTACTTGCTTTTGGCTTTCATCGATGGCCTTCTTTAAATTGCTGTTCATCCCGTACGTCTTTCCGGTTTTGCTTTTCATAGTTTTCCTCCATTTATTGTCGTCTGATTGCTCTTTGGCAATGCTCGTGGTCGTTTTCTGGCCCTTCTTTGTGTTGGTATCGGGGCTTATAAGCGTGTTGATGCCATAAGATCCATCATGAGTAGGGAACAGACTAGGCAAATTTGGACTCGGATCCCCCCCCTTCTTTTTGGTCTTAGGCGGCATGTTGAATCAGTGACTTCCCTTCAACTTCTTGTCGGGATTTCTACATTCACATATCTTGTTCCTGAGGCTGATAGTTAGTAAACCATTGTTTGCGGGGCATTGCCGGTCCAAGATGAGCTGTCAAGATGGAATGCTAGTATCCTACTGCTAGCAGGGCAGGTCTTCTTTGACATGTGAAAATCACGCAAGTACTGCTAGGGAGTACAGCTCACGAGGCCTGTATTGTAACCAAACTAATGACAAACAACTGAGTGAAGTAGAAACATCATACCGTGTCTTCAGCTGAGACCCTTCAGGGATTACTGCGCCGGTACATGAATGGAGACAAACTAAATACCCAATCTTCCACTAGGGCTGTGGGTGTTCATAAAACAACGAATCCGAAGGTGGTGACAGTGAAACGAAAGTTTGCTGGTATTGTCGAATGGATGGATGATCAGTTTTGGCCGGGCAGGTCAAACATAGACAAGATATGAGCTTGCGACACTGCAAGCGTCCGCTCTCAGATGACAGTGTCTTTATTACCAACGGCGACTGGCAGTATCAACAGCCGCCGAGTCCGGCGACAAGCACACAAAGCCGCCCAAGTAGTGAGTCGGCACGTTGGGTGAGACGTTCGTTTTCCGAGATTGGCTTGGTCGCATGGATGCAGAAACAGTGAGTAACTTCCAGGTTGGTCCTTACGAGTGTGTACTGGCTGTAATGGGTGGCTTTGTTTAGACCAACTGACTTGGTCAAAGGCCGAATACGTCGAATGCGTCTACATCTTGAGACATTAGTAGCAGTTCGCGCCTAATCAAGATGAGCTTATGAAGCATGTGAAACTTTGTCATACCTTTTAAGATGGTTAAATGTAGCTGAGAAGTGTGAAATCTACCTTGCCCAGTACCAAGCTGGGCTAGCTAAACTACCTACAGTAGGTAGGCGAGGCGCGTCGTCGCGAGCCAGGTGGAGATCCCTTGGCCAGAGCTGTCATCGGAATCCACCTTAGGTACCCACCGATCTCCGGATGTACCTTTCTATGTCCTAATGTATCGGTGTCTTGATAGAACATCTGGCACCGCCACAGCCGGGACGCCACATATCTTAGGCTAGGTACCTAGGTAGGTAATTAGGTAACACGCGCTGCTAGCATACCTACCTACCTAGGTACCTATCAGATATGGGTTAATCCCCCAGCTCCAGGGCTGTAGCATACATTCCCAAGTACATTATTTTCATACATACGGGCGCAAAGTACATACGTAAGTAGCCCTCTTTCCGAGAGTACGCGGGCATCAGATATCTAGCCTGGAAATAAGCTGGTTGGAATTTTATTCAACTTTCCTACGGCGGTTTAAGATCAAGAGACAAGACGTGAGTGATTACGTGCATTATGCACCTCCATCCACCTGCTTTCCAAAATGACGCGTGGTAGTGGGGGCCTGTAGGTATTCAAATTGTTCGCAGGAAAGCCGAGGAAGAGCTGAGTACCTATTAATGAGAACTCTACTTACTCGAGTGATTTTCCAAGGCTGTTCATTTTGCTGGTTTATTGTGTGTCACTTATCCCAAGCCCTTGTTGTCATCGTCATACGTAACGTACACACGTACCTAACCTACATAAATAGGCGAGGTAGGTAGGTAGGTAGTCACCTAACAAAGTAGATCGCCAGAACAACTAGCTCAAATACTTACTTAGTGCAAGCTAGGTATTTCCCTACATACCTACTAGGTAATATATAACACCATAGATAGATAGATCCTAAGGAATTTAGTTGATCAGGGTTCATATAATATACCTAAGAGTTCACGACCAAATGTACAGCTCCGAAACCTGAAACCCAGGATGGGCCAGGGGCAGGTGGGGTGGGGGGGAGACAGGCGCCGATGGAGGGGTGGAGGGGCATTGAAGCGGGAGGGGTCCCAGGAGCTCTCAAATTGTCTACCTACCTAGGTAATTAATCGTCCAAATTATGACCGACGCCAGCGAACCTTACCCATACTGACCATAGCCACACACACTAAAGGGCGTACTTATCTCAATAGTAGCAACCTGACTGGCTCAACGCACTTGACCGCCAGATCGTGCTAATATTCCTACAACTGGGAGCTCTCCTGCATCCCTCTTCTTATTCCTTCTCTCTCTGCTGCTGCTGCTGCTGCTACCTTGTCTTCACCTGCCAGCCATTGCGTTGCCGTTGCCCACTCAATCCAATAGATCACGCGTTGTCAAGATGCCTGTGGGAACTATCCTCGTTACTGGGTAAGTTTTGAAATCACCGGGGCGCCGTACATGGACGCTACGTCCGCGGCGCGCTGGTATGGAGTTGCACATAGATGAACACCTTGGCACAGTCAACACTGGTCGTGTCTTCCTGCTTGTGATGTGACAAGGCTAACGCAGCAATCGGGGTAGTGGTACGGGTTATATCGGCTCGTTCACATCGCTGGCCCTTCTCGAGGCCGGCTACGACGTGGTCATTGTCGACAACCTTTACAACTCATCCGAAGTCGCGCTCGACCGCATTGAGCTCATCTGTGGCAAGCGCCCTGCATTCCACAAGGTCGACTTGACCCAAGAAGCAGAACTTGACAAAGTCTTTGCTGCCCACCCCGCCATTGACAGCGTCATCCACTTCGCAGCCCTGAAGGCAAGTTCCGTCACTGTCCCTTCATGGCTGTTGTTCTATAGTTTGCCTACACCTGTCTGACCGGCTTGGAGTGCAGGCAGTTGGCGAATCTGCTGAGATCCCACTTGAATACTACCGCGTAAATGTTGGCGGTACCATCTCTCTTCTCAGCTCTATGAAGAAGCACAATGTTACCAACATTGTATTCTCGTCCTCGGCCACCGTGTATGGTGATGCAACTCGGTTCGAAAACATGATTCCCATCCCCGAGCACTGTCCAATTGGCCCGACAAACACATACGGCCGGACCAAGTCTACCGTTGAGAGCATTATTGAGGACTTCATTACAGCGGAGCGTCAAAGCGCCCAAAAGGCTGGAAAGCCTTTCGAACAGTGGAATGGTGCGAACCTCCGTTACTTCAATCCGTGCGGTGCACACCCTAGTGGCATCATGGGAGAAGACCCTCAGGGAGTACCCTATAATTTGCTTCCTCTACTTGGCAAGGTGGCCACTGGTGACCGACCCAAGCTCCTAGTATTTGGCGACGGTAAGCTCAATTCAACCATGATATGAAGACAAGTGAGTTCTAATGAGTATAGATTACCCCTCTCGCGACGGAACTGCTATCCGTGATTATATTCATGTCGTCGATCTGGCCCGTGGCCACCTTGTTGCGCTTAACAATCTACGAGAACACAAGCCGGGTGTCAAAGCATGGAACCTAGGTTCTGGCCGCGGAAGCACGGTCTTTGAGATGATTAAAGCCTTCAGCGCCGTGGTTGGTCGCGACTTGCCCTACGAAGTTGTACCAAGAAGGCAAGGTGACGTTTTGGATCTTACAGCCAACCCGACAAGAGCAAACACGGAGCTCAACTGGAAAACAGAGCTCACTATGGAGAAAGCATGTGAAGACCTCTGGCGATGGGTATCGAACAACCCTAAAGGATACCGACAAGAGCCACCGGCAGAGCTGCTCAACACCCTTAAGGCCAAATCGTCTTAAAGAGAGGTGAAGGTGAAGAAGAGCGAGACGTAAAAGGGGTGTTAAGGCTAGAAAAATATGCCTTTTCTAAATCCATCTTTGAATAAGGACAGATGAGTATAGAAAGGAAGGAATCTAAAGATTGAAGAAGGCTATGGCCATTCCTCAGTACAGCTGATACATTCCGAGCGCGTTGAGAATGCATTCACCATACCTAGACCGGATATATGCCAAGAAACTCTATGACATAGCAATGCTATATTCTTAGAATGTAGTCAACTTGCAGAGTGCTCACTTATTAGTTCACCTAGCTACTAGCTAGCTGGGCGTAATCACTCTATATCGAAATTGAGCAACCTAGTACTCGTGTACACAAATTCGTTGGGGCCGGTTTTAGTATCACAGAGATATATTCGAGTGAGGGTGTCTTATGTATTGGTAAACGATCAATTCCAACCTCACTTCCGTAAGTGATCGATGCTAGTATAATGTAGGTATCTAGATACCTGCATGTTGAGTCTCTTCATTATCAAGAGTTTAGAGAGGTGATTCTACACCGACGAGACTGACATATGTCTATTTACACTAATCTTGGCCTTTTTGGCAGTAGGTAGGTACATAGGTAGGCAGGTGAATTTCTGCTCTACACTAAATCGTTCATATGTAGGTATACGAATATAGTGGTGGCTGGGGCAATGTGGTGTAGCCTACCTGCATTCTTACATAGGTACCTACCTTGGCGAGCTGTCTCGATGAAGAAAATGATGCGCAATGGGAGATATGACTGACGCGTTAATTAACCGCTTGAGAAACACCTATCGAGGTTACATTAAGTAGGCACAGGCACAGCTAGGTACTAGACTGCCAGATCACCAGGCAACAGGATTTCTCGTTCTGGGGAGGATTCTAAACGTAGGTGGGTACCACTTATTGTGTAATTACTTAACTAAAGCAGCCGATATTTTGATCACCCCTACTTAAGTACTATATGTAGGTAGTGGTACCCAAGTATCTCAAGTATTTCAATAACTACCTAACCTATCTACCCAGGTTTGCCTATAATGCACTCCGAATCTATCCAGAGCCCGTTGACAGCTTGACGGGAATAACTCGCATACATTTACATCCACGACAGATATGCAACCTTGAATGCAGTGTAGCGTAGTGCCGTGCTGTGTATCACGGTCAAGGTGGCTTAGCACCTCGAAGCACCCACCTTCAACTAGTTGTGTCTTGGTTCCGCCCTGATCCTGGCTCGCAACGTAATAAGTATGGAATATCGTACTGCCAGGTTAAATCCATATCATCTCGAAGTTTACGAGTCTTTGTAACTGATTAGAAAATATCCCATCCATGTATAACGTCTTGAAATACATCGCGTAAGGGGGCAATCGTGGGGTAGGTATCCTAATATGCCCCAAGAAGGACCACGCCATCGATCCGGCAGCGTTGCCAGTTCTGCTTGGATTTCAATCAATTCTCAAGGTCTCAGCGAATTACATGACTGTCTACTGGATTCATGTTGGTCTCATATATGATCTAAACATCTCTCAACCTAAGTCACCTTATTCCATATCAGACCATGGCTACCCCTAAGCTCCGGAACGGCCGCCCCAGACAGCTCCGGGAACTGGGTGAGGAATATGGTCTCCTTCTACAACCACCACCACCACTGCAACCCAAACCAGAATGTCCATCGTCCTATCGCACCGATAATGACATCGCTGTCGCAGAAGAACTGCTCAAACGTCAACGAATCGCCACATCTCAGCACCATCAATCCAAAGGAGGGCTGTCTAGAGCCTTTACATCCAAGAAGACGGCTTGGGAGTATAAAGAAGTATATGATGCCCTCCTAGCCCATGTTGTGGATCAAGGGTCGCCGGGGGTCGCCGAGGCACTGATCACAAAGCTCAATTTGCTTGGCGGCAATCTCAATCTTGTTCAGAAAAGCCGTATGAGCCTGCTGAGCAGAAAGAAAAGTCTGGACCTATCCGAAAGGAGCAGAATTCTCCAGGTTGCAGTTGAGAATAAGCAGCTGGAAATGGTTGAGGTTCTGTTGCCTTTTGCCGACGCCCTCAGTCTAGACACATCATTGCCCGTGGCCATGCGGAACGAGAGCAATGCAATTGCCGAACTATTGGTCCGTTATGGAGCTGCCGCATCACAGACGGCGAATGGGCAAGATGAGTTTCGACGAGCTTGCACAAACGACGTGCAGTCACAGTTGGTTGGCATGATTTTGGCCTCCGAAGGCCGCCCAAAGGAGTCATGGGTCTCCCAGTGCATGGTAGAGGCAGCTAGAGCCGGTTGCCTTGATAATGTTATGCATCTGAGTCAATCGACGGCGGATGGCAATCACGATGGAGGTGCAGCGGTCAAGGCCGCGATTGCGCTTGCGCGTAGAGACATTGTCCTAACTATACTGCTTGGTAACCGGCCACCCAGAAAACCTGGAATAAACGAGGCGTTCGAGCAGTTGATGCGCCAACAGAACATCAACCCAAATGAAAAGCTGGCCCTCGCCGAAATCCTGCTGTGTGCGGGCGCTGATGGAGAACCCGTCGCCAAGGCATTGATCCATGCGAGTGCAACCTATTTCCTAGAGATGGTACATTTACTGGTCTGCTACGGTGCCTCAATTGCGTATCAAGATGCCGTAGCTTTACGAAAAGCTATCTCTAAAGGCAAGGTGGATCTTGTAAAGATCATGCTGAATGGATCAGCCGAGCTGGCCCCTAAATATGCATCAGAATGCGTGGAACTGCTCCCGAAGGATATTCGATTCGAGGATCGTCGGTTTCTGCTAGCTGCGTTTTTATTGAGAGGCGCAACCGGCACGCCCATTGACGAAGCATTGATCGATTCAGCTGAAGTTGGAGATATAGAGACTGTGAAATTGCTTGTTACACCACCATCGCAAAGTGACGAAATACCTATTGGCCAAAGTTCGCAGCTTGTCGTAGGCTTCGGGCGATCGCAGACCGCATCAACTGACTATAAGGGTGCACTGGCCCTACAGATCGCAGTAAAGAAAGGGCATATGGCAATTGCAAGTGCTATTCTTACCCACAAACCTCCAAGTCAGGTTGCCCTAGCTCAAGTATATCCAAGTATATGGAGTCTTCCTAGACCTGAAAGATACCAGCTTAGCGAACTATTTCTGCAGGCAGGGCTTTCAGGTCCTTGTGTACATTCCTCTCTGGAGCGCATAATCAGTGAACAGCCCTCCCGCCGGGATGAGAAGCTGATATCACTCCTTCTCCGTTACAACGCCGATGTGAATATTAACGAGGGCCATTGTATCGTTGCCGCTGTTTCTCAGACTGAGTATGTGATCCAGAGTCATGCATTCCCTATTTCGAACAACACTTCTGCATAGGAGTGGTAGAAAGCTCGCTACATTGCTAATTCGTTCATTGTTATTTCATTAGTGTCAAGATACTAGAAATGCTACTCAAAAACAAACCAACACCGCACACAATATCGAGAGCCATGCCAAGGGCCATGGAGGTGTCTGATTACCCAACAAGGTCTCGAATCATTGATATGCTGCTTGCCACGGATACCATCAAGGGTACGATCGAGATATCGAAAGCTTTGGATACAGCAATGAAGATGAATCCTGCCGACAAACGGCTCATTCGAACTCTGCTCCAGCAGGGTAACGCCGACGTTAACATTAACGGAGGATCTACAGTTGAACATGCCGCCCAACACTCCGATCCAGAAGTTCTAGAGATCATACTTGGGCTTGGACAACCAGATGACGACAGCATAGATAAAGCCTTAAAGAGTTTATGGAAGCTTTCAGCATCTGCTACCAAAACAGACAAGCTTGAGATACTCCTACGCCGAACTAAGTCAAACGACGCGGTCAGCAATGCGCTGATCGAAGAGGTGAAAGGTCTTTTGAAAATACCATCATCGGAGCGAAATTTTACCTCTTTGAAACTCCTCTTATCTAAGGGAGCTGACGTGAATGCGTGCAAAGGTGAAGCACTTAGTTGCGCTGTTGCAGAATCAAGTCTGCAAATCGTGGAGATACTCTTGGCAGCGTCACCCTCGCCTACAACGCTCGCATGGGTCATGCCACACGCCTTACGTATTCTTGATTTAATGGATCGATTAACTATTGCTCAAAAGATTCTCTATGCTGGCATGCCTCCAAGTGAGGTAAATCGAGCGCTCATATTTTCAGTTCAGAAACACCCAAACGATATACCCCTGATCAATGCCCTTGTTATACACGCTGATACGTCGAATGGCCTTGCTCTCATTGAAGCGGTCAAGAATGAGAGCCAGGAAATTGTTGAGCTGCTACTCGACAAAAAGAGCTTCACTGTCGATGTCCTCAATAAAGGCTTTACCACAGCTATCAAGACTAACGACAAGAAAAAGAGAACTCTACTGTGCAGTAGCCTGCTAGGAGCCGGTGCATCTGGTGAAGTGGTGTCAAATGCACTGCTTTCCGCAGCATCAGATGGAGACTTGGAATTTGGTGCGATACTTGTCCGAAATGGAGGTAGCATCAAGCATAAAGGGGGACAAGCCATCGTCGAAGCTGCCAAATCGGGGGCTTTCGAAGTATTAGAAATGCTATTGGCGGGAAATTCCGAGGTCCCTCAAAACACCCTTCAAAGAGCATTTCAAGGGGCTACGCAGGTGGGAAACCTACAAAAGCGTGCAGAAATCTTCAAACGCCTTCTTCAATTGGGCGTTTCGGGAGAAGTGGTTGATATTCAGCTCGTTTCAGCGGCTCGATACGGCGACGAAGGGAAAGATTTGGTGAGGCTATTACTTAAGCATGGCGCGAACCCCAACTACAGCGATGGCGAAGCCGTTGAGAAAGCAGTTAAAAGTGCATTTCTGGGAAACCTGGAACTTCTTCTAGGAATTTCTACAGGAGATGGGCAGAGCGAAGGGCAGCAGGTATGTCCAGTCAATCGGCTCAAATGTCTAATCATTGCTAACATGTATATTACATAAAGAAGCCATCGTCACAGACGCTTGCTCGTGGTCTTGAAGCTTGTTGGGATCTCAACAGAGATACGAGATTTACAATCGTCAATTGGCTTTTCAGGGCAGGTGAACCGGTTTCTAATGCTGTTCATTCTGCCCTTCATAGGGCTGTTAGCGAAGAGGACCCTGAAGCGAGAGTAATCCGTTTCCGTAAGTAACTCTTCTAGCCATCTCTTTTTATTAAAGTTACAACTCAGAAATGGAAGTATCTTCTATTATTGAAGTTATACTATTCTCAACATCAGAATAACTGACTTTGAGTACTATAGTCATAACTCACGGAGCCTCACCTGCTGCCAGCAATTGCCAGACTCTAATTGACGCGGCCTCAACTCTCACCGCTACATTGTTTGATGAACTACTCGATGGTCGTGTTAGTAGCAACGATGCGTCATTAGTTTTTGGGAAAGTATTCAACAACAGCGACCCAAGTTCATGGGTTTCTGAACGAGGATTGAAGATTGCGACAAGTCTTCTCCAGAAAGGAGCTAAGGGAGACGGAGTAGGGTCTGCACTAGTCGCGGTTCTAAAACAGAATGGCGCAGCTCACCACTCTCTCGCAATCGCTTTTGGTGACTTATTATTGAAGCATGGTGCGGATGTAAATTATAATCACGGCGAAGCTCTGCAGCTCGCAGCAGCCCAGGGCAACCCAGAGCTCCTCGCAAGGTTGTTAAGTGAGAAACCGAACGGTGAGGCGCTTGGCTCGGCGTTCTCCAAGATTTTTGACATTCCGCTCGGTGAGGACAGAGTTCACCAGTTAATTACACTCTTCACAGAACATCGCGATGGAAATAGTGAGTTGGATGTTATGTCTATACAACCAGGTTCCGATCCCATAATGATCCGAGCATTATCTCAATATCCACGATCGACCAAGATTTTAGAGACCCTTTTGGATATCGGTTTCTACTATGACCAAATGACAAGCTATAAAGTCGCGGATGAATTTGAAACCCCGGAATCCGTGACACTCCTTATGTGGGCATTATTGCAACCGCAGAAAAAAATCAGTACAGGCATTATTAATGTACTTATAGATAGAGGGGGTAAGTATATCAGTTGATTCAATTGCTGCGATCACCATGTTAACTTTCTGACAGCTAAAATAAACTTCGAGACTGCTGCCTCTCAAATTACTCCGCTCATGCTGGCCATTAAGACGCGCCGTCAAGACGTGGCAAAACTATTACTGCTAGCTGGTGCCGAAGTTGATGTAGCAGATGCCTTTGGGAATTCACCGCTCTCTATGGCGTCAGCGATTGGAGGTGAACTTGCGGTTGCTATGATGTCCAATTTATTAGCAGCTGGAGCCTCGAAAAACGACGGCTCTCTTCATAATGCTGCCCGTGAGCTAAACATCCAGGCCAGTAAGTAATTGATAAGTTCATTTCTTATGTCTCGGCGAAATCAGGACATCAAGCCACCCTCTATGTCCGCTTTTCAGGGACTCATAACTTCTACAGGTTATATTTAGTGTAGAATTGCTAATGTCGAGTGTTACAGTGCAGGTATTGGTTAAGTATAACCATGACCCGGATTTTCCAAGTCCTTTGCACGAAGGACGTACTGCACTCGCAGAGCTTTGCTTACGTGCGACTGATTCTATGAAGATGACGACAAACAACGAGAAAATAATGGAAAGGGCAATTGAATTCCTAGTGGAATGCGGCACTGATATTACTATCCATTCGGAGGGCAAATCGGTACTTCTCCTTGCGCTTGAGTCATCCGATCCTGTGACTACGACGAGAGTTCTACTTCGGGCAGCTCTATGGAAAGACATCAACAAGCCATTCAATCAGTACAGCAATGGAAAGTATACGTTCTCGCCGACGATGTATGTGCAACATGTACTTTCGGAGTCAGACCTCAAGATGGACCTTTTACGTCTGCTTAGATCAAATCGGTGCGCTGATGTATATTACGCAAATTCGGGACCACAGGTCAGTAATTTAGACCCTTTCACGTACTCCATCAACTGTTCTCGGGATATGAATTGCGTCGTCGCACCTACTTTCACCCCGTTACTCTTGCCAGTACTCAGCCTTACTGATACTTATACTACGGAGTCCCATAACTGACAAAAATTCTTGAACAGCCAGACGATGCTGTGGGTTTGCCTGCTCATATTCAACGCGAAGAGGAGGAGCGCAAACTTCGCCTTGATCGTCTTCGAGAGGACAATGAAAGCCATCTTCTAGCGATACGGAGAACTAGAGAATTGGCGGCAGTTCAAGCCGATATATGGGCAAACCAGGCCGAGCTAGAAGAAGCGCGAAAGAAGCGAATGCATAACGCTGACCTAGCTGCGCTGCAGGAGCGCGCCCGTGTGGAAGAAAACCTATTCAATATGACCTTGCGCCAGCAGCGCGCGAAACAGATTACAGACCTGCAACATCAAGAGGACCTGACAAAGGCCAGCGTGGCGCGTACCCGCGCCATCGGCGAAGCCGAGCGTTCTATCGAAGACCAAAGGCAAGCGCGACTGCTAGAATGGGAGCGGGATATAGGGAACGAGAGAGTGGGAAATGCGAACCAGCTTAGTAGCATCCGATTGCGCGAGCGCGAAGATATAGAAAAGTTGGACAAGGCGGCCGACTCGCGATTCACGGCTCGCTTGAAGGAGCAGAAGAAATTGGTGGATAGTCAGAGTATGCTCGCTGCCAGCTTGAACAGTGCTCCTGCTGCCGCTCGGCGACAGATTGGATATGTCAGTGGGGAGATACAGTAGGACACGGCAGGGGGTTTGTTGCCCGGAAGGAGTAGGTATTTCAATATCTCAGTTGTCAACTTTACGGCGTTATGGAATGGAAGGAAGTATGGGAAGACGGTTCATTCATGATGGGTAGTGATGTAAGAAGTCGGGTTAGATACTACCTAGGTAATTTCCATGTAAAATACTTCTGATTCCGGTAACATCGCAGACAATCTTCATTGTTTAGGCTTGATCTCGAGATCCCCATACTTATGCATACATGTACCTAACCTAACTAGCTACTTACCTACCTAGTAGCTAGGCTAGGTAGACTACTGTAGTAATAGGTACTTAAGTAAGTACCTAGGCGGTTCAGGGGCTCACAGGCGTTCATCTCCAGGGTAGCCCCGATGATCGCGCAGATATTCGCGCAGATATTCCCGCTAACCCCTGGTGCCATAGTGGGGCAAATGAGATCACCTGCATATAGGCCCGGCTACAACCGAGCCCATCCATCTGGCAGACTAAAAATAATAACCGACTGCGCCCGATCCTTTAATGCGATCTTTCCTTTCTATGAGACCTCTTTCACTTGCAACACAGCCGTCTCTACATCATGACACCTTGGTAGGACGATGGTCGCCACGATTTTCTGATCCCCAACTGATATCGACCTTCGAAGACAGGAAACCGCCGATCCAGAGAGTTCAACAGAGACACTGAAGACAGGCCCCAACGGGGTCAAGGGTGCTACCGGAATGCCTGCGCTTCTCCTCCGGTCGCACCTCAAGGTCGTCCGGGGCTTCTCTCGACGATCGAATCTATATCGCAATCCACAACGCCAACAGTCCTCAACCGCAGCAACGCCCCATCCACCCGCGAACCCTAAGACTGCAGCGCAAGGCGATCCCTTAGCACAGATAGAGACACATTCGGTGCCGCGTGTTAGCCAACAAGGACCCAAGCCGGAAATCCCCATTCCCGTGCCGAGCATCGTTCCTCCGCCGCCATTTTGGCAACGTTTGGGACCGCTAACTCGCGCGGTACAAGCGTATGGGCGGGCGCAGCGCGCCCGTCCGTGGGTCACCCAGGTCGCTAGTACCCTGGTTGTGTATCTCTGCGCTGACTTTGGGGCTCAGTGGATCTCGCGCGGTGGAATAGATGAAGTTGACAATGAAGTGAAGGGGCAAGGGACCGGTGCGAAAAAGGATCACGAAATCACGACAGAAGCAGGGAGAAAACATGACTGGGCGCGCACTGCTAGATCATTGGCTATTGGGGGCACGGCTGCTATTCCTGGCTACATGTGGTGAGTTCGACCTGATCGGTTTTATCCTCTCGTTTGGTGCTTGGAAGAGATCCTATGCGCCAAAGGCTGCTGCTAATAACTATATCTGTGGACAGGTTTACATTCCTCTCTCGCTCGTTCAACTATTCCTCCAAAGTTCTCTCCATCGGCATCAAGGTTACTGTGAATCAACTTCTGTTCACGCCACTCTTTAACGTGTATTTCTTTGGAGCGCAGTACGTTTTAATAACCCTTTTCCACGTCTTCTTAAGAAATCTCGCCCTATCCCCTCCCTACATTAGAAAGCGTGACAAAAAAAAGCGAAGGCAAAAGATGATAAACCCGATACCGTCTGATTGGGAATCCCTATTCTGACACGCTCATTATTCTAGGGCGCTTCTCTCTGGGGACACGCTTTCCGAGGCCTGGCGCCGTGTCTACAACACCGTCCCCGTAAGCTTTGTCAACTCATGCAAGCTCTGGCCTGCCGTTACAGCCTTCAACTTCGCCTTCGTACCCTTTGAATACCGCAGCATATTCGGCGGTGTCATTGCTGTGGGGTGGCAAACTTATCTGAGCTTCCTGAATCGTCGTGCAGAGACGCTGGAAGCGCGTCGACAGGCAGAACACGGAAAGGATGAGGAACGCTCTCCCATTGCTGTCGCTAGAAGGAGAGTGCAAGAATTGCCTGCCGGCAAGCAGGTCGTTATGGGCTGACATTGAGGAGTACGAAAGAATTGCAGGGCGAGTAAGGATTGTTCACATTCACTGGTGTACTACTTTCATTTAAGAACAACGTACTGGGTACGGTTTCATTTGTCTCCGGTCGACGGGATACATATAGATTTAGAGTTAGATGGGGCGATACCTACGGAGCATTTATTTTTAAAGGCGTTCGTTTCTTGGGGGCCATGTTTAACATTTTGGTATTCGATAGACAAGATCCAGGCAGCTTCAGAATTGCGGAATTTATATTTAAACATTAGCACACGTCTTTATAAACAATGCTGGCGTATCGGCCACTACATAAGCTGCGAATATCGGTTCATGTGCAAACCGATACTTATTTGCAAGGGGTCGCTGAGTGCTATGTTAGATAATGTGGTGCCTTAAACGCTGCGTGCCTCTTCTCGTCGAGTCTATTTTTAGCAAATTTCATGAAGTATATACTCATACCAATATAGAATATGAACCAGGTTTGATTTTAAAATGGACATGAAAACTACCAACAATGTCTCGATCAAGAAAACCCCTAATCATGAAGAAATATGGAGAAAACGGACCACTCTCACAGAGTGAAGATGTAGATACCAGTATGCTTTCCCCATGCGATGACTTGGAGTAATTCATCAAAAAAAAAAAAAAGATACACTAGAATGAGAGTTCCTCTACCCTATACCATCTCATGTCTATATACAGGACACACATATATACAGCGTGACTTTTTGTCCCTTTTCCCCTTTCTCTCGCGCTTTTACAAGCACTATTACCCCAATTAGTCAACAGAAATCGGGGATGTTATACAAGGGTAAATCACTCACCTGCCAGTAATAATCGTTCAACGATGTGCACTTGTAAGGCGACGCGCACTGGAAGCTCCCCTTGTATTCCAGCCCACCGCACTGCTGGTACCGTGCGACGACCTTGGGCGTCGCCAAGGCGAGAATACGCTCTGCCGCGTGCTCCGAGGCGATCACGATATAGGCGGAGGGATTGGCCGTCACGTGGCCCGGGAAGATGCTGGCGTCGACGACGAAGAGGTTATCCGTGCCGTAGACTTGGGTGTTCACGTCTACAACGGAAGTGCCGCCCGTGCGGCCGTCGTCGGTCCCGAGCTTGGCGGTTCCTGCAAGGCGTTAGCTGGTGGTTTGACTGATACAGAGAACGAGAACAGCTTACCGATCCAGTGATTGGCTCGTCTGTTAGAGTAGGAGACCAACATCTGCAGATAATCAGTTTGGTGATTTCAAAGATAGAATCTTAGAGGACTGACATTGTTGACATAATCCTCCACAGTCGTGTTAGGGTCAGGTAGTAGCCATGTGAGGTTCGCCACGTTCTTCAAGGCGCTTTGAAGGTTCTTGATACCTTGGATAACAGCTTGTACATCATTATCATCCCTTAGGTAAGGCACAGTAGACACAACCGTGGTGAGAGCCTTCGTGATTGTCATCCGGCCTCTCGACACAGCGCCACGGCCGAGATACTGGCTCATGGTCATGGCATCTACGATAGTCAGTAATAGGTCTAAGGCGACACTTGAATAAAACCTACGTGTGTCTTCTGTACCACCGCTACCCTCCACTCTTGCTGTCCACTCAAGTTGTCGGACGATGCCATCGGCACCCTTGATTTCGTCGAAGAAACTAGAGCCGTCAGGTGCAAAACTTTGAGAGTGGGTGAGTTTCCAAACTTACATTGGACCGATGTTTGGTGCAGCTTGAGCGAGTATACCAGATCTGGAGTCTTCGGTGGAGTTAGTTCGGGAGATTGGCTATGATTTCCTTCACTAATAGAACTTACTTAGATATAAGTTAACATCAGTAGTATCAGGATCATCATAGGCTTTGTAGAAGTCGTAGAAGACAACACTTGGATGCGAAATAACAGTATCGGTCTGCAACAGGTTAGCGATTCATCTTTAAAAAGTAGTATGAGTGAAAACAGACATTGACGTGGTCGTTCAAGCTGTGTCCAACTGGCAGTTTAATCCAGGAGCTGTTTCCGATCATAGTAGGCCCATCAGTTGACGTCTTTACCACATCCAACTGATCCTCAGGGCCTATTCCACCTATTGCAGCCAGTCAGCGTGGTTTCGTACCCGAAATTCCAAGTCTGTATGGGCTTACTTCGCATTAAGATCTTTGCTGAGCCAAAGGTACCTGCTGATAAAACTACGCGGCCAGTGACGGATGTGACGTTGACCACGCCGACATAACCCCCCTCTCTGAATGCTTCAACCTCAACACCAGTGACATGCCCACCAGTTCGTATAACACGCTTGACTGCGGTGCCCGTCCATAACTTGAAATTTGAACGCGCGTTGGCAGTCACAAGGTATGTGGCCATAGGTCCACCTCGCTCTCCATTTGAAAACATGTAAGGCGTATGTGTATAGGTGTGGTTCTTCTGATTTGGGACATTATTGGCGGTAACACTTGTCCAGCCTGACGAAGCCAACCCCCCAGAGAGCACATCAAAACCTTGCTGGAGATAACGTTTGCCATCCTTGGACGGCGTGTCAGTACCGGGAATACGGGAGAAGACCCTCGATGTTGCGCCGGCCATATCTGTTGACTTCCAACCATCGGGGAAGTTGTAGTCCCAATCTAGGTCATAGGGCTAAGAGGATATTAGTCTCCGGTTGACGTTATGTTATTTTACTACTGACCTTCCACCACAACCCAGCATTGATGGCGGTACCACCACCGAGTATACAACCCGCCATCTGATCAGTATCAGTGCAAGAAATACCTGCTGAATCCTCCCAAATCTCGTTGCATAAACCAGGCACATCAAACCGGGTAAGGTTTGTGCCTTCAGTCCAGTCTGGGCCAATAGTGCCACCCCATCGTCCTGAGCTGACTGGGCCTTTCTCGATGAGCAAGACTTTGTTGCCAGCTTCACTTAGTGCATCTGCGATCGGTATGCCACCTGCTCCTGCACCCACGACGATGTAGTCGTATGTGCCAGTTGGAACAGGGATACCAGTGGGAGAAGTGGTAGGAGTCGCCGTTGGCGAGGTAGTCGATCCTCCACAGCTTCCTGTCACCGTATTCGTAGCCTTGGCCGCCCACTCCGTGTATGATGGGTTTGCGGCGTTGCTGTCTAAAGCCGCCCCGAAAATACTCTGACCATTATCATGTTGGATGATGCTGACATCGTTGGGGCACTCCGGGTTGCCTGGGGTTGCAAAAGCATTGCACCAGCCTAATACTAGAAATGCGCCACTAGTCGACACAGACCCTGTTGCGCCATCGTGATCCCACGAAAGACAGTTTTGGCAGCGGAATATAACAGAGTAATGTGCCTCATTTATCGTGGAGGAAATTTGGGTCAATTGAGCATCTCCTGTGTATACCTCAGGATTGTCGTAGCCAGTAGCATACCGGAAAGAAGTCAAAACCTCGTCCTTGTATGGATAGGCCATGATGAGCAGGCTGTTTGTCATAGGTCCAGCAAGTGAGATACCACACCATCCCGTCAATGTCGTACTGTTGGAAGGACATTGCTATTTTTTCTGTCAATGATAGAGGTTCTAGCGCAGGTAAAGAAAGTAATGCCCACCAAGTATCCAATAAACTCGTCCGCATCAGTTGTCAAGCCATCTTCAGGAAGTGCAACTCCAATAGTCATGCCACCCCAAGTACCGGTGCCAGTGGCCCCTGAAGTCTTGTCAGGCACAATCCATGTATCGAATATGATGCCCGTCTCGCTATCTCTGTATACAGTTGGAGTACTCGATTGTCCAAAACATAGTTGGGTATCTGCGTCTAGTCAGTACTAATTCAATTCTTCAACATCTCGTTAGGAGTGACCAACTCAAGCTTGCTGTCAAAAGCAGCGTCGTGATGAACCCAAAACGACCCATCGTGCCCAAGACTGCTTTCAAGTCACGATGACCAAGAAAGCCACAGAAAAGAAACAGACGAACCCTATAAGAACACCTTATATGCGCCTGGACTCATAGCTTACACTCTTTCCTCTTTCCCATATGAGACGTACATCCGTCCTCCCCTCCGTGCGGAGTGACTCGCGCAGTCTAACATACCAACAACATCTGTTAGGTTGGCTCATTCCGCGCTGCGAGGCAACATGCTCATAGGAGGAAATACAAGGCCGTAGAGACACTCTACCCTAGCGGAAGCCTTATTAGGTGCCGACCCAGTTCCCCAGGTCTATGCACGTCTCCATGTTTACTAGTGACGGGCTATGTGAGCAAGGGAGGAATCAAGGAAACCCGGGCGCGCGGCACGTGCAAGACCCAGGGTACTGGCGGTTCCCCGGAACCAATGTCCCAAGCCATTAACAGGCGTCCTAATTCAGTCTACTCGGCGAGGATGTAGTATCCTCGATGGAGCGGATCCATGATTGACAGGACAAGGTGCTACACTAACATGCATTCGGTCCATTGTGACCTATCTTCGCACAGATATTACCTACGGGATATTTCCCGGGCACCAGGCGCTGTCGTCTGCGGCGCGCCCACATGGGTAGCGGTTTCTTGTTCCAGTAAGTTTTGAGATTAAGCGCTGCAGCAAAGAAAGTCACGTAACGATGGTGTGGCAAGGAGCGTGTTGCTCGATATTGGTGTCCTTTGCCTAGTAACGGCGCTAGTTGCCCGTTTGGATCACGGAGAATCTTCACAGGCCCGGCCCATGGGCTCGAGGCGGCCCGAATTGGCGACTAGGTAGATGCATGCCCACTGCAACGGATCAAGCGAGAACGGCCCAGTTGGTCATCTGAAGCCCAAGACCGCGGCCCGTATTCCGAGTAGCCAATCCGAGTGATCTCTGGGAATTTGTGTTGGAAGGACGATGAAAAAAAAAATCTAGATGGCTTGGTCCATCTACACTACGGTAACCAGGTAACCTAGCTTAGTAAACTCGCAAGACACTCTTCTACTTCGAGTATGCAATTATCTAGAGATTTATCAGCCCGATAGACTGTAAACAAGTAAATTCTATGAAACAACAAGCCAACTTATCTCTTGTAACATGAAACCACCATCGATATCTTGATGTGAGGGGTTTTTGGCAAACAGTGGTCTTTCTCCTCCGAGTTAGTAATCAAGCAAATTACCAAGAGCTAACTGCATAGAGTGCCGCTTCCAAGTATCCGGGATGGCGTTACACTTCCCACTATCAAGTTCAATATGACAAAGTATGCAGCACACCTTGGCACATGCGGCATCTGGCTTAGCTATCTCGGTGTCAGCTCCGCTACCTAGCCTGACCCCTGCATTGCAAAGGTAACCGAACGTGTCTGGGTAGCATTCGACATCTCCAAGCTCGTGGGCAATTGTCTACGTATCTATACCATGAAGATACCGCAATGTTCTGCAAGCCTGTTGAGATAAGCCCAGAGCCTTGTCTCGGTTGGTTTTGGGTATCTAGCAATTCCCAATAAATCTTCGGACTTTGGTCCTCCTGAACTGCACAAGAGCTTGTCAATATATGTGCCATGATGACACGTCAAAGGGAACCCGTATGCTAAGCTTTGAGCATACGTCGTTGTACCTGAGAAGGCTAGATTCAGTATTCAACCATTCGTACAAGAGGCTTGCATGTGTTTCTATATCATATTGCATCTTGTTCATAAGACGCATTCACTTAAGATTAGCAAACTAGATATCGTCTATGAGAAATAGTCGCTGCCGTGTAACAACCGCAGCCATTGGGGCACTGTATGACAATGGTTGTTGCATGAAGGTTCTTGAAGCCTTCGTGGCTAGGCTAGGGCAATATACACGAGTCTATTTGTCTGTAGTCCTAGGATCGCAACACCTCGGAACTTAAGTCTTCAGACCAGCGTCGGATTGAGCTATTCTATGACCTCAAGAAATTCATTGAGAGAAAGATCGGCACGAACAAATGGTCTTTGCAATCTTGTTTTGAAACGGGGTGGCCCCGTTGCTGGGCTTATATGTGAGTGGTTGGAGCATCTCACCACTGGGCAGCTATCATATATTTCAGATTGAGGATTTACTTCTGTGTTTATTCAAGCTGTTAAGAACTATATTTGGATATCGTAAATCCAAAACACATGCGCTCGTCTCGGAAATAGACGGGGCGGCATTCCCAACATCAAGGGTACTATCATTTAGGTTTATCTGCTCCGCGTTGTTGAGCCTAGTACCACGTCGAAGGGGTTGATTACATTTGGTATCTTATAAGTGGTATTGCGTAAAACCTAAAGTGACTGATTTAGCTCAGGCGCTTATTCACCACGTTCTTCTACAAGTTTGTCTCCGGCAATCCTTTTTACTACAGTTGAGTGCTTAAAGGAATTGGAGTAAGGACCAAGATGATATACTTACACAGTCATATAATATACACCTTCTTCGACCTGCTCATCAAATTTACCCTTTTGAGATGAAAATTAGGAACAGCGAGTATATCAAGAGACTTGTAGTCGGGATAAAGAATACCGGAATTATTCAGATTCACTCATGTTTTCCATTCTCGAGCATTCAGTATTTGTTTTATGGCTCCAGTCCACGACTACCAATGAGTTGAATGCCCACAGTGAGCACAGGGTCACTGATCAACAGGTACTGAAATGACGGTGTTCGCTTGAAAATTTCATTTGTTGAATAGCAATATGGGCTGCCGTTGTGTACTGCATTGGGCATATGTCCGGATATCCTCGCGACTTGGGTAACTCGTAAATTTTGCTGAAATATTGCGATAGTGCCAAAGTGGCATTAGCGTTGACTTTTGCATTTCATCAAATTTGACATTCTCAAGCTCACAAGGTTGCACTTGTTGCTCTGATATTATGTCTTTCTTCTACTGTTCATTGTAGCAATGCACGATATGAAGCACTTGAAAAGTGGATTTAGGCACAGAAGCAAATTCTGCCATACCTAATTCACCTACGACATATGATATTCTCTGAACCAACTCATAGTAGTTATTGATGGGTAGACACTATTCACCTTTGTTGTTCCAATCACACTTCAAGAAGCATTTGAGTAGTGTTTAATGGACTGATGTGATACAGACACCTTTAGCTGACCATCAAGCATGTATTGTCATTTCATACGTAGCCATATGGAGAACCATTCTTAAAGGCTCAAACCACTTTACGAAGCTGATGACCAATATTACATGATAATCATTTGATATTATGTCAACTTAGCCCTCATGCTAAATGCGGTGATCTCAGTCCTTCGTCAACAATTTCAGAATTGCCTTGAGCACTACCGGCTCTGCGAGCTTTTGCACCTGCTTTGAGCTGGTCCCATTTCTCCCTATATCGTACTAGATTGGCACGAGCTTTGGAGTAATTCTTTTCGAGCTCTTCGTTTTGTTTCATCAACGCTTGATTTTGTTGCTTAAGCTCATTGATCTCTCTCGTGAAGACTTCTTCGGAAACCCCGGATCTGCAGGCTGATGCTAGAGGCGACCCGGGACGCATCAAGCGCATACTTTCCGCCAATCTCATCCCGGAACTCTGTGACATAGATTCAAACGCGTGCAGTCGTTTACTGAGTTTGTCGATCATATCCTTGAGGCTCTTGTTCTCTAAATAAAGCTCTTCAACAACGATATCATTAGTGCCTTTGCCTGCGCTTCTTTTGAGAGCTGGCGAATGAGACATTTGTGACTCCCTAGCATCAACAAAGTCATCTTCATCGGCATCATCCGGTAAATTACCTGCAATTGCGTGAGTTGAGACCTCCATGCGACGTTTCTCTTTGTCTGCGAATGTCAATATGCTTGCATAAGAAGCCGTGTGACCGCTCGTTGGAACCACGTAGAAAGAGTCGTTTGTAGAATGTCCTTCTCGAGCAACTGCGCGAAGGGCCGCTTTTGAGTACAGTTTCTGAATATCTGGTTCCGCCGTGTGAGTGGTGGAATGCCTAACTCGGACCCTTTTCTGGGTTGATATCTCGGGTGATGAGGGTAGATGCTGTTCCTCGGCCTGTTCTTCGCTAATCAATGGTAGTCCGGCAAAAGCTAATGGGGCCGAGATTTTGTTGATAATGCTCCCAAACGCACTGTAGAACCTCGAAAACCCCTCATCGCTTGATGATGTTGATGTGTCTTGGATCGCCCTCGAAGACGAGTCTTCGACTAACCCAGCGGTTCGATCAGATGGCGGCATCGCGGTAGTTCTATCGGAGTTGTCAAGCATATCTTGCATTCGAGTGCGTGATACGGTTTTCTTTGAGCCCCCTTCCAAGCTTCCTGGTGCCTCGGTGTTGGAGACGCTGGGGTTAAGAGGTTGCGATCTATATTTGGAGCGGATGCCACGAGCGGAAGCTAAATTGCTGGCGATAGAGGCACCTAAGTCTCGAGCAGGGTATCTAGGTTGTTTCAGAAGAGTGGGTTTTGGCGGTGCATTTTTTTCATTTGACAACGATTTGGTGGGATGAGTCGCAGGATCGGAAATTGAATGAGCGTCTTCTTTCTCATCTTCACGAGAATCGGCGCCAACAGAGGACCGCGATGATGGGGCTTGTAGAGGAGCCTGGAGTAACTCGGATAGTCTGCGATGGTGCTGTTCAAGCAGCTTGAGGGTTCGCAAAGCCTCGACCGAAGTAGTGTCCTTGGCTGCATTCGCAAACTCGCCGGCAGCCCTGGTATGCTCATTGATGGCGACTGTAGTCTCTGAAGTATGGGTTGCGGTGGATGCGGCTCTAGCATGGTCGTGGGCCTGATATCGATTAATTCGCTTCAACGGCGAAGGAAACATGGCGAAATAGCCGAACTATACCTTGATCAGTGGTGATGAGTCCATCTCGAATTACGTTCTGAGGTGTCTTCTTTGACAGGTCCTGAGTAAGCGGGGTGCCCGAGACTCTCTGGGCGGGGAGAGTGAGCATGAAATTGGTATGTATGGGTGTGTAATACTATTACCACACGAGAGCGAGCATATGAATATATATCTTTGGTCAGGGAAATGGAAGGTTCCAAAGTTGTCTGATTCTGGTGGGAACGTGGTTTATGTGAACTTTTCCCTTCTGCAGATTGTGATGCAGAAAGATGTGCCGCCTTGTTCTGAGGACACAATGCTGCAGGTGGAATGCCTAATGCACTAACAGGACCTCTGTAAGGTGAGCTAGCAGCTGTAGGTACTTAGGTACCTATGTCGGACGCTGGGGACACCTAGGTAACCAAAACCACCCCACCTGCCTGAGACAGCTGTAGTGAGTACAAGAGCACTGGCAATACAATACAGCAAATACATCGAAATTCTTTCACCTCTCCTTCCTCTACAATACCTAGGTAGCACTAGCATTGACCTGATACATTATGTCGCTTACCCTATAAGTAGCTTGATTCCGGCTTTGGTCTTTGTGATAGAATTACTAGCCAAGAGACCGAGTTCTCCAGAGGTGCTCACTGCTCAGGGGGCGCTCAGGGGGCGGCTCAGGGGGAAGGGCTAGGTCGCCGTCGTATATGTAAGGCCACTGCTCGAAGCAAGATCAACTTACCTATCTGGCCCGCCTAAGTAATACATCTTGGCATCCAGTGTACGGAATACAGAGATACAGAGTACTACAGAGAACTACATCGTCAAACAGCTGCCCGCGAGATCAAGCGCCTTCCATTCTCCTTCGTATTCTTACTTTTCCCTTCTCATAAACTGCCGCCTTTTGTTGCAGTACGGAACGCAGAATCCCAACACGGAATCGCAATGGAATTGTAACGGTCGCTTACATACTGTATACATCTCGTCCGTCCAATCAAGCAATCGAGCAATCGAGCAATCGAGCAACCAAGCAACCAAGCAACCAAGCCTGTCGCCCCTGGAATGGTAGTACTATCGTGACTGTAGCTGGGCCGAAGGCTAAATAAATACAGGTTGCGAGCAGTTGATCACTGTCGACGGCCCAAGGGACAACCTCTCCTTTCCATTCTTCATCTTTCTGAATTTCTGTCCATCTTCCTCGCGGGCCCAAACAGATCGTTTCCAGACCCCGAGTGTGTACCACCAGGCCTCCTTCTATTCAACTGAGTTCAGCCCTACATCTGATATTCAACGTATTTCCTCTTGCATGGTCTGAGCCAGGATGGATGCTGCTGTTAGCACTGGCAACACCGCCAGCAAAAAGTCGGCCGTGAAACTCATACCCAAAAAGCTTGGTGTCAGAGGTCGTTGGAGGAAGCCCCCTTCAAACGAAAGCTTCGGTTCATTCATGAGCACCGAAAACGAGGAAGATCCTAGCATGCCCGACAGCGAACGCGGGGGGTCTGGACCCGGCTCCCTGTCCACTCATCCCACACAGTCCAATACCGGCGACGGTGACAACGCTGATGATGCAGAGAGCACCGACTTTGACGCCACGCAGGATATAGAGCATGGAGTGTAAGTAGTTGTGTCTCCTGCATGTATTCCCCTAACCTTAGTTTATCTATATCGTTCTTATTTATCATTCCTACCTCACCGGCTGGTTGCTGCTGCAACCTAAAGATACCTAACCTACACTTGCATATCTACTTCTTGAGCGCGTTTTTGCCTAAGACATCATGGTTTACACACGCGTGCCCCGTTCATCACAGCCGCGAAACAATACTACACACGGTCTATGCTCCAAGCTATCAGCACCATGGAAGCGCTCCCGGGCGACTGTATCGCTGTCGTCTCTCTCTCTCTCTCTCTCTTTCTGCGCTTTGTTTCCCGTATTCGCATACGTCATCCCCATATCCGAGGACCAGCCCCGACTCCTAGCGCAGGTGTTACTGTTCTTGGCAACCTGGGCTAGAGCCAAGGATCCATCTTTCTGTCTAGACGTCAGACTTGCGCCTCCTCGCCTCCTTCGTAAACCCCCAATGCAAACCCCGTCATCCCGTCCCGTCCTACTAAGTAGACACCAGGCTAGCCACCTGAGTTATCCAGTTGCCTAGTATCCTAGCCTTTTCGAACCCCCCTCCTGCATGCATTTGCTTCAATTCATTACGTTGCGCATTTCTAGCTTGCACGACCAATATTCTAATACGCCCGCTATCTGTCTAGGCGGCCTGCTGTGCCTTCTACTCATCCATCCCAGATTGGTCATTTGACAACCTCGTCGCCCATCATTCAGGCCAGTCATCTTCCAGAGGTCCAGGCTTTGGACCAGCAAGAGACCCTGGAGAGTCTCTCGCGAGCTGCATCCTTCTCCGCTGCCTCCAGTGAACAATCTCTCGACAAACCTCGTGCATTATCTACAAGCAAAACTAGCCTTTATCCTCCTTCCGACTCGTCCTCTCGCCGCTCAAGATCACCCGCTGGAAGGATCAAAGACGCCTTTCGGGGAAAGAGGGGAGCAGGTGCTTCACCAACCGCTGCAGGGCAGAACGGCGATCACCAGGGGCAAGAAATACCGGTTGGCTTACACTCTCGGCCGAGCTCAGCAGTTTCTTCGCAGTCCGATACCTATGAACCCGATTTAACGTCTCGTGGATCACGCCGCAGGCGCAAGAGCCAACCGCCTCTTGAGATATCGGTTCGTCCGCGCACTCCCCCGGCCTCCAATTCCCCGGGTCCTGCTATCGTCAACACCCCGCCGACTCCAGTTGAATATTCTCCTCCAAAAAGCAGAAGTTCCCCATTCCGCAATCCCAATGTGGTGGTTTCTCCATCAGGTAACATGATATCACATAGGAGAGCGAGATCAGGTTCAGCTACGAGCATCGGCCCGAGCAAACTTTCTAATATCGTATCCGCGCCGCTGACTCCCACACCAGAAAACGCAGTGCCATCTACACCAGGCGCTGGTTTTTTTTCTAGCATGTTCTCTGCAGCACAAAATGCTGCTAACACATTGAGCAGCACCATCACCAATACTAGTATAAATCCTGGCGGGAATAGACCGAAATCGAATAGTTCAAAGGAAATGCAACCCGCCGATGACGATAGAGTTGAGGTCGAATCACCGGCAGAAGAAGTTAAGAATTCGAATACAAATGACAAGGAACCTGCCGTTAAGACTTTGGGTATGGGTGACCTGAGCCTGAGCCAGCTGGGTTTTCAGGAGACCGTAAGCGCAGCGCCTACTCCGACATCTTCTAGGTTCACCAAGTCTGCCACCGAACAACGAGCACGCTCAGAATCGGCACCGGTAGACCATGAGCATGTATCTGCTAATGGCGACGGTCCGTCTGATGAATTAAGCCAGGATCGGCCCAGGTCGCTGTACGACGATGCCCACACAACGCCGCCAGCAAGTGTCTACGAGGATGGAGGTGTCCAGCGTACTTCTAGCATACGCAGCGCCATCTCTAAGACGAGGAGGCGCAAGCGAGGTAGTACAGGAGGTACAGCGGGCACTGGAACCACCATTGGTGCCGCCATTGCCGCAGCTAATGCTTCGGTGGCTCATCCCGCGGCTGCTGGTAGCGCCCCTAAGCTTACAGGATTCGCTGTCGCGAGTAAGAAACGCAATCGAGACTTTCATGTCTTGTTCAAAAGCGTCCCGGACGATGATTATCTGATCGAAGACTATAGCTGTGCTCTGCAACGAGAGATTCTTGCACATGGGAGGCTATACGTATCTGAAGGGCATATATGCTTCAGTAGCAATATCCTGGGATGGGTCACTACATTGGTTATGTCTTTCGACGAAATCGTATCAGTAGAAAAGAGAAGCACAGCCCTGGTGTTCAAAAATGGTCTTATGATATCAACCTTACATGCGAAACATGTGTTTGCAAGTTTCACAAGCCGCGATTCCACTTATGATTTAATAGTCAACATTTGGAAACTCGGCCATCCGACTCTACGTAGCTCACTCAACGGCGTCTCTCTCGATGAAACAGGTGGCGACAAGACGGAAAAAGTCGACGCTGGAGAAGGCACCCCAAGGAGTCAGAGCGGTTCCGAATCTGAAGAGGACGATAGCGAAGACGACGATGATGTGTATGATGAGGATCTGGAGGAAGATGACGCCCCCGCAGAATCTCAGCCAACTGAAACCAATGGGGAGAAAGCCGTGTCAAGGAAAGTTTCAAGTGCTATGGCACCCAATGGGGTTGCTGTAGACAAGCCCGATGCAACAGCATCGTCCGGCACTGTTGATTTCCCCGGACCAGCCACTCACGGGCCGACTGAGTGTAGCGATTCAGCAGATGGTCATTTTGAAGTCCCAATTGCGGATGATACCATCACTGCGCCCTTGGGCAGAGTTTACAATCTCATTTTTGGACCTACATCCGTCACATGGATGTCGAAGTGGCTGACTACTGAGCAAAAGTGCACTGATCTTCAGATGGAGGATAAAAAGGGTCTAACCGCTGACAATAAGAGTCGGTCTTACTCGTACACCAAACCTCTATATGCTCCTATAGGACCGAAGCAAACCAAGTGTATTGTTAGCGAGACGATCGAACACTTTGACTTGGAAAAGGCGGTCAGCGTATTGGTCACCACGCAAACGCCCGATGTGCCTAGCGGCAATCTGTTTACTGTAAAAACCAAATACTGCCTCTCCTGGGCGGAAAACAACGCAACTCGTGTGACAATGAACTGTACTATTGAATGGACTGGTAAGAGTTGGCTCAAAGGTAAGTAATCTCTTTCTAATTTTAGAATCGGCCAACTAAACGTTTATAGGCGCCATTGAGAAAGGTGCTAAAGACGGTCAAGGTGTATTCTGGAAAGACCTGTCTGCGAGTTTGAAAAGTGCTATATCTTCTCGGCCCCGTGCGGCAACTCTCAACGGGACTACCAAGGGCAAGAAGAAGAAGGTGAAGGGCAAGTTGAACCACGCTTCCAAAGACTCTCTCAGAAACCCAGCCGACTCGACGTCCCCGAAGACTCAGGACTGGGGTCTACTCGAGTCTCTGCATGGGGTTCTAGGACCTATCGTAGATATACTTAAACCAGTCATGACCGGCAATGTGGTATACGGCCTGCTGGTTGGACTATTAGTTTCGACGTGGTTCGGCTTCGGTTTCAACAGCCAGCAGCGAGGTGTTGGCTATGGACGGGGTGTGGCATTTTCTAGTTACCCTGATCGAGCCGTGGCATATGAGGAGATATGGAGGCGAGAAGAAAGTGAGCTATGGGACTGGCTGGAAGAAAGAGTAGGTCTTCACCGGATGAATGATGGTGGAACACCGATTCGCAAACGAGTTACCGAACCCCGAACGATACAAGAAAAGCTACAAGAGGAGCGCATGAGCGAGAGGGAGGTGGAAGAAGCGATAAAAATTACAGAAGAAAAACTGGACGTTCTCAAATCCGTCATTAGCCGCAAGAAGGACATCCCCAAGACCAAGTCTGAAGGGGAGGGGAACTCGATTGCCGATACTGTAGCCGAAAGGTGACAAAAAAAGTTTTTTATGTCCACGGGGAAACATCACAACACACCCATTATCATCATTAAACCTGCAATAACTAACCATACGACGCCACGACGAAGCATTTGTTGGGTACATCTTTAACTTGTATATTACACGCTACAAATGATCTTGTGGTAACTTAGCACCACCGACTCGCGCGTTTCTCACGTAAATATCCAATCACGCCCATAGCCAAATATCGTGGGAAGCGATGATTAAATCTTTCATTTTCATTTATTCGTAGTGGCTATTTGGCGATTATTCTGGGTCACATAGGCGTACGCTCATCTGTCCTTTTTGTTGGTTGATTGTTATTGTTATTTTCACCTTGCCTATTTTTTTATTTTTATTTTTTGTAAATCGATCGAAGCCCACTACGTAGCTGTATCTATATTGCTTAGACAACAATAGAGCCTAACCACAAGGTCCATAGCACCACCTCTAGGAAAACCATTTCACGTCGAAATCTACTTTTTATGAGTCGTCAAATCACATTCCGAAATGCCCGTACTTGTACATTCATAAATCAGGTGGTAATCATTTGTAACTACCATTGGTCCATCCATGATCTATGAAGCAACATTGACTTGATCAGCCAACCCCTGGCAATCTTTGCAGAAACAACGAGCTCATGTTCATGAGCACTTCCCATCCAATAGTTCGCAGGTAAATCTATCGAGTGATGCACAGGGATTCATACACTCCGCTCGTTTTGATCTGCGTAAGTCATCGATAAAAAGTTGATATTTCCCTTGTATTCACGCTTCGAGGTAGGTACGCGCATAAGCATCTAAGCCAGGTGTAGTCGAGGATACTCCCATATACTCATCGACGACACGCAGCAGAATTGATCACTATCCATAATGCGCAATTGTTCGCGTGATTTTGTCTAATAAAAAAGACATATGTCTAGGGAGCGATAGCAGGTGTATTGAGGAAGTATGGATATAGTTTACCGTAGAGGCCTGATTCACCTACCATGTCAAGGTGTATATGGGATAGTTTACATCTTCACAGTCGGAGATGAAAGTTGCAATGTTTGCTAGAGGTATTACGCCCTCTTTTTTTTCTCTTCCTCGTCTTACCAGTAGCAGCAGCGGCATGGGAAAAGAAAAATAGAATAGCTCTCTTTCTACACAATAACAAACATTGACGTAGCTGTTATAGTAAATCTACCCTCATATATCTAGATATAGAAAGCTACGGACAAGCCATGTCTCACTCTCTTCTGGGAGGCTTTCCATAGCCCTACAACAATGGAAAACCTCTGCCTTGTGGATACAGTTATTCATTTTATAAGTCACTGATAAGCTAGGTGGTTGCTTTGCTATAGATTGCACTGCGATGCGAGAATGATAATTTATTCCATTTCTTCAGGCCCCTATGAATAGTACACTGAGCTAAAAGAACTATTACTTAATATTTCAACATACAGTGATCGATCCGTGGGCGTATCCAGCCCCCCTTTACTATCTGCAAAGGCTGGACCTGTGGTGATCAAAGTTTTCTCTGCTAAAGCTGTTCTCTTCAGCGCTGATGCCCCTGTCTCTTCCTACGCGTAGGAAGATAGGCCATACGGAATCATAAGCTAGCATTATTCCAAAATCCTAGTCATTCGAAGCCCAGCCAACCCAGGTCCGTGGCATCACTCGCCAGATTTTGACCTCGCCACTCCTCAAGTCTTCAAGTTTGTAGCTCTCTTGCTTGACTTTCTTGTTTTCCCGGCCCTGCTCCCATGCACGCACCTTCTTTTTTGTGCCATCCCATTCGGCGACAATTGCCACGTGGTCCGGTTTGCCAACTTCCATTGTATATTTGGCGTGCATCGGCCCATGCTTCCCTTGAAATTTGGCATTGCGTATGGAGATGATATCACCAGGCCTGATCTCGTCATTTAGTTGCGTTGCTGCATTGGCCAGGTTGGCATACACTAGTGCGCCATATGCACGACTGCCAACGGGTAAGAGAGCCTCATTGAGAGGCCGAAGAAGCTCATAAACAAGGGCATATGGTGTTCCATCACCAACAACTGAGTCTTTCTTCGAGGCTACTGCATGAGCGAGTCGCCGCCCAAATCTCTCGTATGCCTCTTCTAACTCATCCTGTCGTAACGCTCGGGGAGGGGGTTCTTGTCGCTGGTCTAGTTCAGTTTGAGAAGGATCATTAGGGTCAAATCGAACAGCAACAATCGTCTGCGAGTAGTCCTGAAATAGAATCGAGACTTCCTTTGTTACGAAATTTCGCCCATTTTCTGTAGAATTTGACTCGTTTGTCTCGGTATAGACATCCTTTCGTCCTTGGAACGCAGGTGGAACTCCATTGCGCGAGAGCCACCACTGTGTATGAGCAGATAGGTCAACTTCGTTTGCCATAAACCCAGTTTCTAACGAAACAGAGTGACGAGCTGCGTCCATAGATCGTTTGCCGACAGAGGGTCGAAGTATGTCTACAGACTTTCTAGGAGGTGCTCTTGAGCTAGTTGGCGTAGGGGGTGCTCGGCGGTCTGCAGTGGATGATGGCGGCGGCGGCGGCGGCGGAGGAGGAGGAGCTTGATGAGGCGCAATTTCTCCCGTCCCTTCACGCATTGGACTATTATGAGATGGGAGAGGAGGAGTCTGCGCAGAATTGTAATTATACGGGTCGTACTCATCATCATCATCATCATATGTGTATGTTGTCGCTTTAGGGGGAGGCGGTGGCGGAGCAGCTCGAGGACTGTCTATCGAAACTCTTGAACGTGGAGCAGGCTGACTAGGGATTGGAGGAGGACTAGCTTGAGGAAAATCTAGCGAACTCCTGGGAATTGGAGGCGGTCCGGTCCTAGGTGCAGTGCTGCTAGGAATAGGAGACGGAATCGTGGGTGGATGTTCAGTAGTTGGAGAGCGCACCGAAGAATTGTCGTCATAGCCTGGGTCTGCTGCATGAGCTTTCAAGGCATCTTTATTATGCGCGGAAGATGCGATATCAGTGTCATAATCGGCTTCGTATTCCGTACCCTCTTCTTCACCACCATTATCTTGCCGACTAGGCTTCAACGGAACTCCGGCCAGCTCGTCGCCGGTAGAGGCGCGACTAAGCGAAGTAGGAGGGAGAGGCGGTGGTGGTCTTGTCTGCATGGGTGCAAGAGGAGCAACGCCAGGGATTGGCGGAGGCGGCCGGCTATTCCTTTTACTTTGTTGTGTGGAAAAGCCTGGTGACACTGGAGATGTCTCCTCGTTTCGACTATCACTCGAAAAACGAGGCGACGTTGGTAAGGGAGGCGATGCCATAGGTACTGGCGGTAGCCCACGATTTGTTGGGGATATTTCAGCTTTAGAAGTATCCAGTGGTTTCGAAGTATGCTCAGACAACTCATCATCAGATTCTGAACCAACACTAGGTGAAACAACAGCAGCTGGTGGCGGTGGTGGTGGTGGTGGCCGGGCTAGAAACACATCTTAATAAACAGCTTATCTGATGTACACTTTCAGGACTTACATTCTGTAGGGATAGGAGGTGGTGCTGGGCGTCCTTCAGGAACCGGTGGAGCGCCAGTCGATTGAGATGCTATTGTGTTTTGTCGGTAAGTCATTCATTGCAATGTACAGCTGAAGGATTTAACATACTGTCAGGCGCTGGACTAGATCCATCCCCTGTCTCGCCTGGGATGGCCTCCTCTTCGATTGGCTCCTGCTTTGACTCGGATTCAAGAGCTTCTTCTGGCCCTTTTAGCTTAGCCATTCCCGGTAGTGCCATCATTGTAGGAATAGGGGGCGCCGTTGCCCTTGGAGAGGATGGCCCTTCAGACAAACCGCTAGGACGTCGCTCTGCTGGGAGAGAAGGTTTAGGTTTCTTCACGGGAATACCACCTCCTATACCCATCATACCTGGCGGGCCGAACATGCCCGCCATGCCCATGCCACCGCTCATCTTCGCCATACGTGCACGAAGCTCTTCTTTCCGTCTGACTTCGGGGTCCACATCCTCCTCCTCTTCTTCTTCATCTTCTTCCATGGCTTGTCCTTCCGGGGCCGTATCTTCACGCGAGGTTGATTTAAGTTTCTCATCATTAACCTTATGTTCACTAGGGGTTTCTTGACCTTCCGTGGTGTCGCCAGCCCCCAGCTTGTCCACTCCATTCCCTTCTTTTTCAATAGGATCTGTAGGCGCGCGATTGATATTTAAAGATTGCCTAGTGGAGTGGGACTCATCCATGGAATTCTTACTATTAATGTCGGCTGAGTCTTGACGACCTAGTGGAGGTGGTGGTGCTTCTGTCGCCTGTGTTGCTGCAGTCGCCTCCTGTGGACCATTACTCTCTAGACGCTTCTTTGGCGGCCGCACAGGCTTTTCCTTCTTGGCGATGGCTTGAGCAGCCTCGGCCTGTTGTTTTTGAAGGAGTGCAATTCTTTCTTTCAAAGTGGTGGGCTTGGGTTGGTCTTCATTTTGAGAATCGGAGTTTCCAGGGAGAACAGAAATGGGTGTAACTTTCTCTATAGCATCAACGGACTCGCCTCGTGTCCCAGTAATATCGGGATCCTCCTCTCTACGATAAATCTTAGGAGCGGGAGCATCTCGCGGCGGAGGGACGTATGCGTTTCTACTTGGCGGTGGCGCGACGAAGGGCTTTTTGACGAAGCCAGAAGAGCCAGAACCAAGTCCACTGGGCTTGAAAGGAGCTATCGGTGGGGCAGCAGGTCTATTAAAAGCCGCAATGCGATCTTTGAAAGCGTTACTCTTGGGTTTCTGCACTACCGGCGGTGGAGAACGAGCCTGAGCTGGAGGTGGAGATTTCGATTTAGGAGGAGCATCAACACCCGAGGAGCCCACTAAGTCAACGTTCTTAGACTCGATAGGCGCCAATGCTGGCACAGGTGCAATCTCGGGTGGGTTTGCAACAGGAACAGACGGTGCCTCAGGTGGATGGGATTGCTCGACTGGTGGTGGTTCGGTCACAGGTGCTGATATCTCCTCACGAGCGTCTGCCGATGGTAACTCTGGAGGGTCGACCTGTTGCTCTTCAGGAGACGCGGCGACGGCAGGCGGCGGGGAAGGAGGAGCAGCAGGAGCAACAGGGGCCAGCTCTGGGTCCTTCTTCCGGGCTCGAATCGGGCGCGGCGGAGCGGTAGGTTCGAATTTCTCGACGAAATTGCGAGGGAAAATCCCTTCTTTCTTCACACCCGAGTCGTCGACATATTCACCCCCATACCACTCAATGTCCTCTTGATCAGTGACTGTGATTATCTGGCCAATCTGAAAAGGGAGGTCGTCTTCATGGCTCGACGTGTATTCAAAGACAGCCTTGACCTTGAACGGCGCGGAAGCCATTGTGTCTTGGCGTCGCACGCAGTCGACTTTGAGATGGAAAGGAACGTTTCGTCTTCAATGGGTTTGAAAGATAGGATGCTGTTTGTCGCACAAAGTGACGGGCTGGATGGAGGCAGCAGTGCGTATGGATGTAGAAAGGTGTCTTCTAAAGGGAATAGTTACAGCAAGGGGATAATGACAATGAGGCGTGAAACAATGCGGAGTAAATGGGTCAGGATGATCACGATGCTCAAACATGGATGAATGGGCGGCAGGCTTGAGGCTGAGCAATTACCACTGCCTAGCAAGGTGGACGGACTACTATGCAAGGTTAGCCTATGGGAAGCTCGCAGCTAGCCAGGCAGGCCGACGTCAGCGCACGAAGGTGTGGCAACCGTTCTCTTGCCGGGATACGGGGGTTGGTGGCAGATGGAAGTTGCCTTGAGGCGGGCGGGAGATGCGACCTACTACCTAAGTAATCACCCCCTGCTAGAGACAGCGGACGCGCGAGCTTGACTCGTTGGATCGAAAAGGGGAGGAGGGGCGGGGAGGATGCTAAAGCTGGACCGGTATTTATGCCTCGGGACTTTTCATAATAGGTAGCATGCACAGGCACAAACGCCGCAGGCTCAGGCTCATGATACAGGAGTGGTACCTAATCCTAGCTCATATCACAATGCTCAGACAAGGACGACGATAAGGATGAAGAGACAACAACTATGCGTCTACAATCATTGCTAGGAACTCTGCCAGGAGATGTTGGGTGGGTGTTGGTAATGAGGTTGCAGTCCAAGGAGGCTACAACATATGCGATGTACCCTCTTCAGGGCGGGTCGCAGATGCGTTACATGTTACTTACCTCTCTGTACTATGTACAGCGTCCGTACAGCGAGTATCTCGCTATTGCAGGTGGGTACGGTTCGTGGTTGTTTCGTAACGCCACTTCTACCGGCACAGACACCGACCGGTAGTAGATCCCGTAGATGGTACCTCCTACCTAGGTAGGTAGATGTACCACGTACCACTGCCAGCACTGCCAGACCAGTAATGACGAATGCTCGCTGTGGCGTCTATGCGTCATGCTAAGTCTGGTCCCCCATCTGTGCAGTACTAAAGGTACGTACCGATCTTAGGTAAGCCGCTAGTCTAGTCTCCCCTCCAATCTCCAAAGCTGATCAAAGTTTTGCTCTCAAGAACACCTGACCGCACAGTATCTACGATGGCGAGAGAATTGAATAAGTCCAAGGGCATTTTAAAAAACAAGGGTAGCGTTTCATCAGCCTCCACTGAACGACATGCGCCCAATCCTCGTGAGGTTGCTGTCAAGCATGCGCATATCATCCACTCGCGCCGCCAGATCGAAGATCAGATCGCCGACTCCATAATCGAACTCTCCAAGTTCCCTACCACTCGCGACTCGTTCTACGATGCCCCCAACCCTGCGCCAGCCGATGCGGAAACGTTCAAAAACCAGGTCCGTCTATACCAGCCGAGTGACTACGATGATCTGATTGAGGAGCGTAACGCCAATGGGCTTTGCGGATATACGCTATGCCCCAACCTGCGGTCTCGAGTAACTGGAGGTGGCACCTTCAAGATCCTAAACTATGGGCGCAGAGACTTCAACATCATTCCGAGTCGGGAGCTCGAGAAGTGGTGCTCACAGCTTTGTGCTAAGCGAGCCATGTACGTCAAGGTGCAGCTAAACGAGACAGCTGCGTGGGAACGTGCAGGTATCGCTTCGATACACATAGAACTATATGAGGAAGATACTAGCTCTACAGTTAGTGATGCCACCACGCAGCTGCAAAAGGACGTGGAGAATATGAAGATCGAAGCGCTAGAAAAAAGCGCCCAGAATGCGCAAAGTCTCGCTCTGGAAAGAGGGGATGCCATTGAGAACGGGAAGACATCGAAACGCTCTGTGAAGCTAACTATCAGGGAGAAACCAGCGAAGGCGCCAACAGCCCCATCACTAGATCTCGATAGTCAGGCCCATTTGGTAATGGAAGGCTACAAAACTACTTTCGATCCGAAGTCAGACGCAGTGAACCAAGACGAGCAGAAGACGAGTTCAAGAGATGTGATAAGGGAATGACGTGTTTAGGCTTCATCATCATAATTACGATGCATTTACGAGGCGTTTAGGTGTACATCACTAGAGATACCCCCAGACCAAACTGAGCTAGCGCATGCATACATTCGTGATATCCCATAGTGACGTGACACATTGTGAGTTCATTCAAGTGCGCCGGTAGATGATATTGGGAGACGTCGACGAAAAGACTTGAACTGGGCCATATGTGAGGAGTGCCGTTGTCCATGGTAGCACGGTTGTCACACTGCTACGGACGGAACGAAACTTGGCCGTCAACTATCATCGCCCAGCATGAAGCTAGAGAATCAAGGACACCATATGTGGAAAATTTCGTTGTTTTTTTAAACCTAAAGTACCTGAGGCACTATCATCCATTTAGACGCCGTGCAGCCGTGATGAGCCCAGATGTAAATATCCCGAATCCCCTTAACCATCCATTTCCACAATATACATTTATCGGGGGGCGCGGTCGCCGAATCGACGGGGTCGCTCGGCGGTCTGTTGCTGGACAACCGGCACAACGTTGACAGGAATGGCATCGAACTAGAAGAGAAAATCGAGGTTAGGCATTTCAAATGTGAAGGGGAAGACTTAGTACATACGCCGAGGTGCTTGAGCAGATCCTTGGTCTCTCCATCGATATCGAGCTGGCCACTCTCGGTGTTCTGGGTGAAGTCGAGAGCCGAAACCTCGGGAACGTATTGATCCTTGCGTTCTCTCTCCTCTTCTTGCAGCTTGAAGGAAATTCCGCGAACTGGGCCGCGCTGAATACGCTTCATCAAGTGGGTGACATAGCCGGCAATCTTGTTTCGCAGTCTGCGCGAAGAGATGATCGCAATCTCGTCACAGACTCGCTTGTTGGTGTCAAAGTCGAGGGTCAATCGAGGGTAAAACCGCTCAACTAGCTCACAGGTCAGTTTCAATTATGGGAGTCAGGGCTATTGCTCTGAGGCATGTCGCCCGGCAAAGTGTCAGGCATAACAAGAAAGGACGTACTTATGCCCTTGGCGGACTTCTTGACTGTCTTCGTGCGAACGCGACCCATCTTGACTTATTACTAAAGTACCGAATGTTAGTATAAATGCTAACCTGGCGTTGCGGGCTGGGAATTGGAGGACGCAATAGCGAGTATGGGATAAGTAGATGACATTTCGGTGTAGGAATACTTACTGCTGGCGTTTAACGGTTAGATAGGGAGACCGAAGACGTTGTCGTGATGAGGCTGCACAGGTGTATCGGAACGAGGAAAATAGCACTATCTATGCGAATTATGAGAGTTGGATATCTAGTATCTTTGTGTGGGGATATCTTCGGTAAATTTAATTGCGGGGTTCTAGGGTATCATACGCCAGCTGCTGTCAGCTTCGCACAGCTGGTTGACTCTGCCATTGTATCAGTGCTTGCACAGAGGCCCCTGCCGTCGACTAATTTGATAAGATAGGATATGATAAGGAATAATCATGATCTCCAGTAAGGAGTCATCCGAGAGGGAGACGGATATGTATTTCACACTTGACCTTATAGTCCATGTACATGAAAAGAATGGTGAAATAATTTAGGTATTTCCAGTCATTTACAGACATATAGAAGCAATTCCTATGTTACACATTCAATTCTACACGTAAATTCATGGGCGCCAGAGTATACCAACCCATTAACCATCCTGAGAGACTAAAAAGTACACCTAGTTGACAGTCAATTAACTTTATTGATTGGTGTTACCAAGTCCGTAGCTTTGCCTATTTCCAAAAATGGGTCTCTTCCTATGGGCATTGTTAGATCTTAGGTTTCGAGATATTTCTGTCGAGTCATCCTTCATTGCATCCGTGTACACGTCACCTTCCATGCCGTCCTCGCCCACTAATTCTTTTGTCACTAACTCAGACATTGAATTTTGGGGTGGGTCTGAGACGCTGATACAAACTTTTCCGCTGGAATCAATGGTGGCTGAATCGACCTGGTAGTAAAGCTTGTGGCCACCACGGCCGTCAAGCTCGAGGTTTGAAGTTGATTGCGCTCTTGGATTCGTAATCGCTCTTCCAAAAAGTTTTTGGTCAGAAGCGCGTTCGGCGACAAAACCCGCGACACCAATGGCCGGCTCATGCGAACCAGAAGAAACATACGCAGGCTTTAGGACCCGAGCTTTGACCACAGGGTGATATTTTTGAGGCCCGTAAATGGGATGATTGTCCATGAAATTGGGTGTTCGTAAATATGATAGACCAGCAGAAGGATGTGTGATCGGTGGCCCGTTCGTGCTGTATGGATTCTCTCTGTCGAAATCTTGAGGGCGGAGGGGTTTCATATTGGGGATGTATTTCGACTCAGTAGCCAGGGGGGCAAGGTCGAGGAATCGACCGACATGTCGATACAGGAGCAAGCGATCCTGGCGAATATCCCTTAAGAAGTCAATGAATTGGGGCTCCGTGATGTCACTGGCCTTGACCTCTGGTGGAACAGGCAAACTATCTAGTGTAGCCTGTTTCCTTTGGTCTTTGGTAAGCTCCTCGGCGTAAACTCCTTTCAAGAAGGCACGGAATTCAGCTCGTCGAGGTCGCACGCTCTTATCTAGCCACTTGCCAAACTCTCCATCGGTCATGCCAGCAAGCCAAGGGCCCTTGAACTTCCATCGGTTGCTCTCGGTGGCTTGTGCTTGCTCAGGCCCTATCGCTGTGATATCTCCGTCCTCTTCAAATACTGATGTAGGGAGACGAGCGATGATACCCTTGTCAGAGAAACCATTTGTTCGCGCTGCTGGCATGGAAATAGACATATTGAGTTCTTGGAATTTCTTGAGAGTCATGGCATGGTCTGATGCAGATTGGAAGTCGGTGATGTGCTCAGTAGAGTCCATCTGCCGCACACGCACGAGAGGAACGGTTTGCTTTGTAGTTGTCTTTAGAGGCAATGGCCTCTTAAAGCCCCAGTCGCCATTGATTCGAGAGGTCGATGGTGTCGTGATGGCCAAATGAGTCGGGTAAGGAATTGTCGCAGTCGCTGAGTGGTGTTTTGTTGCTGAAGAATAATCACCAGGTGAGGCAGGTATCGGGTTCGGTATTGAGAACATACGAGATGATCTCAGGAGCGCAGCCCCGGGAGACACGCTCCGGGCCGCCATTATGGAAATCGAGGCCGGAGGCAGACACTTATGGGCGGCCTTGCATCTAAAACGAGCGTTGCCGAAGAGTGAAGCTCAACTTGAAGGTAGATAATTTTCGATGGAGCCGAGTCAGCCACAGCCTGGAAGAACTCCATGTACCTGTACATCATCCGCCAGGGCGCCTGCCCGGATAGGTGGACGGGGCATCTGAGGCTCCACTAAGCGGAGGTGGCTAGGTACCTACCTAAGCGGGGAGCCCGCCGAGCCCGCGATCCAACACCGCCACAAACTTCCTTTCAGTGGGTAGGTTGGGCGCAATTCAAGTAAACTGAACGCCCTAGTTGGCCAGTCCCAGCACATAGCAGAGGTATCCAGTGAGCTCCTCCCCCAATGGAAACTCGAGGATGTATGCTACACACCGTCCGATCCTGCGGCTACACTAAGTGATCTCCTGCGTGTATTAAGCTGTGAATGAAAATGATGGTCATCGGCCTAGGCTGACCTCTCGAACGTTAGTCTTTATCTAGTCTTGTTAAACAAACCTCCCAGCTTCGTGGCCCTTTTGTTCCAGTTTCTGTGTGCACGCGAGAATCCCCCTCTCCAGTACAGTTCTACGGAATCAGAAAGAGACAGCCAAAATGGAGTCAGTTGACCCAGCCACGGGCCAGCCTTTACCGCCGGATGCTATTCAGCGAGTGTTATTCATCATCGGAACTGTCCATGTCTACAATATTCCACCCATGGTGCCGGGCAAGGGCTATGTCGCAGCATCGGTGAGTCTTAACCCGAGATAGATTCTGCTCACATTGCCGTGCCTCTCCGGTTGGACATATTCATTGCCACTACTCCCTGATAATTCTTTTCGCATCTCCTGTAGGGCTTTGAAGAGTGTCCAGAACCAGAGAAGGTCATACAGGCCGTTAACACTGACTTGATGTACGTAGTGGACCGCCGATGAGAACAAACGTCAGATCTTTACTGCGCGGATTCGAGTTCTCGAGACAGCCGTCCCGCAACCCTCTGGTGAGGAAAAGGTAAAGACGGACATCGTTCTGGAAGACCAGCGCAACGGCCAATTATTTGCCGCTGCCCCTTATACAGCAGCAGCAGTCGTCGAGCCTACCTCTGATAGCTCGCGGTTCTTCGCTCTCCGCGTGCAAGATGGGGCAGGTAGGAAGGCAACGCTAGGCATCGGTTTCGAAGAGAGAAGTGATGCGTTTGACTTTGGGGTGTCTTTGCAGGAAGCCCAGAAGACGCTGGAGTGGGCTCAAGGTGGTCCAACGGGCAAGAAACCCCCCTTGGAAAGAAAAGACAGTGCCGAGAAGCGCGATCTTAGCCTAAAAGAGGGAGAGACGATCACAGTCAATCTCCCTGCGAGGTTTGGCAGGCGCAGACCTCAACCCGACGAAGACTCGTCTGGTACGAGCCTCTCGTCTTTCTCACTACCTCCGCCTCCGTCTGCCACGGTGTCGAAAGGAGGAGGAATACTGCCGCCGCCTCCACCAGCACCTTCAACAAACTCGAGAGCCAAGCGGCTGTCCGCAGCAAACCTAGGCTTCGATGATGGGAAATTTGGCGAATTTGCCTGATGCTGCCCTTGATGGATCAACAATTTTGAGCTCCGCGCAACCAATATATGATGAATCGTCGAGTGGTAAAGTTCTAGACGTCAATAGGCTCCAGACGCAATGAAAGTTCTATGACTAAGCTTTCTCAGCGATCCTAGCTATGGTCTCATTGAGTGGAGATATCTCGTCCTGGGTACAATGGCCGACAGCCTTTTGAGCCTCGCCGATTTTTCGTAATTATTTCCCCACTACCATATTCAAGGTTGGTACACGTTGCCAGAATGTAGCCCGATGGAAATCTTCGAGAACAGATGATAGGCCAAGAAGGTGCTGTCGGGTGCTCAAAGATTACCAACACAAAAGGACATAGCATCAAGATTGCCTACATAGTAACGCATGGAGGAGTACTCGGTCCGCTCGACTTTTAGTCCTCGATGACAAACCTCTTCATATACTATCGTTTAGACTCTTGTCCCTTTCTTCCGTCTCTGTTCTCCACTAATGGTTTGATTCCTCGCCACACCCTGAATTAGTGTGTATAACGTGGATTGCGGCATATTATTACTGATTAGATTCTCGACCTGTTCACGATACTTAATTGCTGGTAGAGAGAGGTCGGCACGAAGCGCTTGGTTACTCATCCGTTGTTCTAATAACAATGACAGAATCATCAACATTGAAAGTTGAAGAATGTCAATAACAAACACTGAAGCCAAGTTGACATGAGTAAATTTTCGGTTCCAAAAATGAACTCTAGCTTCGGTATTGATTCCTACATCATCATTAGTATTTTGGAATGTGCCTGTGTCCCCGTTCAGATACCTACATCGTTCTGGCTAGCCAATGCTCCTTGGCAGCAGCACTTCCGTCGCTGGACCTCGACATGCAGCTCGCTGGGGCGCGTCAATAGACTCCGCTTCGCATCCACAATATTCTCGATATGTTAGTGTAGCCAGGAACGCTGGCGCTGGGCTTTCCATATTATATTTAAGTTGTTGCGTCATATTTAAATCTCCCCATGTCTAGCATACATCCCCCGAATCTTTCCAGAGAACAAGTCGCTCTGTCTAGCTTATGTGAATGCTTCTATGAGTGCCAATTAATGAGATTACTTGGGAGACACCCATCCGTGTTGCGGATATTGAGAAAGGCGTTAGTATATGATACGCAAGAACTAATGTTCGTTTCCTATTCTTACTTATTTATTTATTTATTTATCGTTTCTGTTTCTGTCTCCTTCCATCCGCCTTCGCTATGCATATCTGGCCTTTCTCTAGAGCGAAGTTTGGGCCATAGTGCGTTAGATTCAATTCCTTTCAGCGCCATATCGTAATTCGTTCCTGGCTCATCTGTGAAAGGACATGAAATCTGATGCTCAAAGCTTTTCAATGATAGCTTTATTGAGCTTAGACCTCGTCATTAAGATAGTGTCCGTCATGCATTGACTTCATGCAGTACTGCATTCACATTGAGCTTAATTAGCACGGCCTGAAGTTGATGCTCTCATTTATTATTATATTATACAATTGTACAGAGTATATATGTAAGCCTTTTCACATTTAATCGTGGTCAAAGTATGGTGCTCTCCCAACCTAAGTTGAAATTGAAGATGTTAGGCTGCGTTGTTGGCGCCGTCAAGGATGCTGTATAGATTTCTTAGGCAAAATAATACATCAGTTTAAGTCCGGTGACCAGTATGTTATATAGATTGGCCCTCGTGGGCCGAGAGTTGATAGCTGTCGATTTAATAGTCAGAAAAGTCGATGCAGTCTATAGATTACTCATAGTAATAATGTCGCTATCAGCAATTCGTAGTATGCTTCTAAGGAAAAAGTGGGAATTTCGGCGCGAAGCCGCTCGCAGGCATGAAGGTGCCTCTCGCATGAACTTAGAGACTCGGCGTGAGCAATGCAGTGGGGCTCGTCTTCGAGGACTGGTGCCTATGGCTGCGTCCATATCTTGGATTTCAATACCAAGGGAGGTAAGTGAAGCGGCTCCATGCTCGCATCCCTGTCTAACATTCCGAATTGATCACGAGTTTCGTAATAGAATGATGTTTTCACATCTTCCAGTAGTCGGTGCAAGCTGGACGCGTCGCGAGTAGGATCTGCCAAGCCCAATTCGCCCACATGACGGTCGTCGGATGGAGCAAGGATCCCAGTTACCAAGAATACTTCCTTTACGAAGGGAAAGCTTTGAATGAGGATATACTTGTTGTATGTCTCCCAAGGTCGCTTGATAGAAGGGGGGACGTAATCAACAGCGAGATTGACGATGCAATCGGTATCTCGAATTAGGTTGACGAAGGACCTCGATGAATCGTCATAGCCCATGAACGGCGGCCGTGGTATGTATAATGTGTCGATCTCACGGCTGAAATATATTCTTGGTTCATGAGATGCTGTGCCGAAAGATTTCTTGTACACTCGCATGGCCTCGCAACGAGACTCGTGACAGGCGTGAAGTACTGCGGGAACTGGTGCTGTTGAAGTGCAACAGCCTTTTTCAGAGTCGTAAAATACTTCGACAACTCGTCGGTGACATGACGACCTCCAGATCTGAAGTCTCAGCTCGGTAGGTAGTAGATAAAATAATGTAAAAGAAGTAGGAGAGGCCATGGTAGAGAGCGGAGACTTGGTGATGATGAAAGAGTAATGGTTGGGATTGCTCGGAAAGCGACTTCACCATACCGAGATGGTAAGACACAGATATGTATGATAGGAGGCAACAAAAGGCTGTAGGGCACAGTTGGGCAGCTACTGTAAATCTGCCTTCCAGAAGAAAAGCCTTGACAGATCGTCTAGCTTCCCTTGGACCATAGGGTTGCAATCATTGTTCGTCACATTAGGAACGCGCTTATAGAGGGCATCCCTTATTAGGACGTTAAAGCCAACTTGACTCGCTCCATCAGGCTAGGCATAAAGTGGTAGCCGGGATATTCCATGGCTTGCGTGAATGAGGGCATACACACTAGATGATAGCTCACGTCAGGGGCTAAACAGGGACAGCTGAGTAGGTACTGGGGCGAAATATCCTACAAGCAGGAACCAAAAGATCAGTGAAGTCGACTTGAATACGATATGAATTGGGAGCGAGGGCCACCTGCTGGAGCGTGTCGGAGTAGCGTGACTAGCATTCAGTTTGCCGCGCACAGTTTACACTTGATATGAGAAGAGGCAAGACGTTGCTGACAGTTTATTTCCAGTGAAGAAATTTGCTTGTTAAGGAGCAAGGATGGGTTGACCTTAGGCAAAACGTAGGTCAAGCCTCAAACCGGTCGAAGGTGTGGGGATTGGTCCAGTCAAAAATGAAAAGCATTTTCGTTATGCAGTCAAAATCATACGACTTTTTGTTGGAGCCGGGACACGTTACCAATAATAACTTGGGCTGGGGAAGACTTGCACGTCCGAGGAATCCCGTGGCCACGACATGGAATCGTCGGTTGTCGGTTGCCGCGCCGTGACAAAACCCCCAGGGGAAAACACCTAAAATATCAGACGCCCGGGACCTGGCCCGGCCCCTGTGCCCTGGCACAAAACAGTAAACAGTGTATATGAGATTATTCCCGTTATTATTACCAAACCAACACAATGTACGGAGTAGGTATCTTAGGCAAAACAAGACGTACATGTAGGTATTCACGATGAGGTCCATGCTGGTGACGTATCTAGGTACCTACATTTATGCACCTACTGTCGATATGCATGTACCTATGTAGGTACGTACTAGGTACTTAGGTACTCAGTCTCGCAGTTGGTTTGTACCGTAATTTTCCAGGGCTGTGTCATCGGTATCCTGCCCTGTTAACTTCGTACAGACGGAACGGGCCGTCACCGCAAGATTCAGCAGGTGGCAAGGCTGAGTCTAGGTCTTCAGCCTAAACAAATTCACTTAGTCTTAGCAACAATTAAATGAATGAGAATGGTTAACGTTATGAGATAATATCAAGCATCTTTAATCACGAGTTTGGCGTCTATTGCCCCTTCGAGTTGGATCGGGGGCCCACCAATTGCGGTGTCTCTGTCCTGCATCTTGTTTCTTGTGGTGGCCCTTGGGGGGCTGCCATGTTCAGGAGGATGCCGAGCACTATAGCCTCTGCCTCATCTGCAGCACTTACTTTTGACCTTGTTGCTCGCTGTTCTGTGGGTGGCCTCTTAGCTACATTGCGTGCGCTTTTTCCATCTGGGCAATGCTAACAAGCCGGTGATCCAGACGACTAGGGCCCGAGCTTCTCTCTTGACCCTTCCACATGGCCCTGTGCCGTTACCTATCTTCATGCCTGTCGCAACCCAAGCGTCACTGAAGGGTTTAACACCGGAGCAGTTGGAAGAGACAGGTTGTCGTCTTTGTCTCAACAACACTTACCATCTGGGACTTAAGCCTGGCCAGGAAATACTTGCCGCCGTCGGCGGTGCTCACAAACTCCAGGGATGGAACCATAACCTTCTGACAGATAGCGGCGGGTAAGTCCTTTTCTTATCATATGAATCGCCTAAATCGTCCTGCTGGGAATATTTAATGGGTTCTAACTATTGCTTCAGTTTTCAGATGGTCAGTCTTTTAACTCTTGCCAATATTACGGAGGAAGGCGTCAGATTTCTCAGTCCGCATGATGGAACACCCATGCTCCTGACGCCAGAACATTCTATTTCTCTGCAGAATACCATTGGCAGCGACATCATAATGCAGCTTGACGATGTGCTTGTTACCACATCCCCGGACCATAAGCGTATGCGGGAAGCCATGGAACGCAGCGTCAGGTGGCTTGACCGATGCATCGCCGCGCATAAGAATCCAAATTCGCAAAACCTGTTTTGCATTATACAAGGCGGCTTAGACACCGAAATGCGCAAGGAGTGTTGCGAAGAGATGGTTGCTAGGAACACCCCGGGAATAGCGATCGGTGGACTGAGCGGCGGTGAAGCCAAGGATGATTTCTGCCGGGTGGTTAAGACATGCACTGAACTTCTCCCTGAGCTGAAACCGCGATATGTCATGGGTATTGGTTATCCAGAGGACTTAGTTGTAAGTGTCGCATTAGGGGCTGATATGTTCGACTGCGTCTGGCCGACCCGAACTGCTCGGTTCGGTAGCGCCATAACGAAGCATGGCGTTATAAAGATCAAAAATTACGAATATGCGAACGATTTCGGCCCAATAGAGGATGGATGTGGCTGCGCTTGTTGTAAGAAGGGGAAAGGAGGCCTAGGCATTACTCGCGCATTTGTTCATCACAATGTAGGAAAGGAGACGGTTGCGGCTCATCTTCTAACCATACATAATGTATGGTACCAACTCAACCTCATGAGGGAGGCGCGTGATGCCATTATTGCAGACGAGTACCCTGCATTCATACGAACGTTCTTTGCGAACATATATCCCGATAAAACCAATTATCCGAAGTGGGCTGTAGACGCACTGCGCGGAGTCGACGTAGATCTACTTTCCGACCCTAATATATGAATATGATCCTTTATGCCTCTGCTGTCCCTATTACCAACTGCGTACGAAAGAGTAGAGTATCGTGACAGCCCATTCAATTGTTCGCCCCAGCCTTCGCGAAAGCTCAGTGCTGAGATCTATACACACTGCCAAGGAGGTCCACATCTCGAATGGTCAGTGTTAGTGATACAACCTCAATCTTTTCGGTCTTGTGTGGCAGGTTGCTATACCGCTGGTCTTCCGCATATACGCAGGGCATTTAATAACTGTATCCAAGCGGCAAGACAGTATACACAGCTGTGAAGAGGCATCAATAGTAATGTGACACCTCGACCACTCCCGAACCGGCAGCCCTCCGGATCCCGATAGTACCCGGGATGAGTCAGGCAGATAACGAAACCGAACCGCATCGATCGAAGGCTTCCCCGGGATGGTACTAGAAGACTCCTATACGTAGAAATAGACCCGATGCAGTGTTGGCGGATGTTCTATCTAGCATTCGTAATTCACTGACATGCATGTTCTGGGATGTGAAATATTATGAACATCAAGTTCAGATACGAGAATAGTCTACGAGATAATAAAGTCGAAGATCTAGCTTCATGTTGAATGGCTGTTAAAATTGTTAGCTTTCTCACACTTACCGTTGCCGTATTTAAGGATACGGGTTCTTCATTCACTTTTGTCTCTAGACTCGCACTGCGACACCCAGAGTCCTAACTATTTAAAGGCCAAGGCCAAGGACCGGAAGATCGCCGGCTACGGCGTGGACTACCACGAGGTCTGAACAACCGATGCCTCTTGTCGTCTCCCCTGGGTCATTTCATAAAGTCGTGTTGGGTATTTCCTTTGCAGAGTATTGTATACGTAAATGGAGAACAAGTTTTGTGATCGCCAATCTATACAACGGCTCTAATCTCCGTACCAAATACTTAACAAAAAAGAGGATGTGAATGATTGTAGAAAACTATCCTGAGGAGCCCAAAGGTAGACTGGTTATATCTTAGACCTATGTCGGTAGCCTGCGTTCTATTCGATAATCATCTGGCTCCATAGCAGTATACGTGGCAAGGGTGCCAATAACAAGGGACAGGATGAAGAAAATAATAGTGAACTTAGGAAAGTATGCGACACTGAAGACGATGAGCGATGGCCCGAATGTGGGCGCATATAGTCCGACGAGAAAAGCCATTATCTTGGGTTGGAGCCTAGGTAGAAATTTGAGGTCAGCGATCGTGGTGTACAATTGAGAAATGGCAACCTGTGGGATAAGTTTGAGGGATACTCTCTGGGATTGTGAAAAATAGATGGCAACGAAGCTGGATTACTCACCTATAAATCCGAAGAAGCAGGCTTAATACAGTCCAAATGAGGAAGAGCCTGACAATATAAGCATATATCAGTTGTACCCAGACATGAAAGGGGATGCGGTAATAAGCTGCTAGGTAACCTAGTAAAGGAATGCTACTACCGAGACTTCCCACTTTGAAAAATCTGTAGAACGTAGTGGTATTGCTGAAAATTGCTCGAGTGGTATTATCAACTGCACCGTGGAGCAGGGTCTGAGATGCTTGTCCTGGGTCCATTGCGATATCGTGCGTTGTCGTGTGACGAGACAGGCCGATCTCCCCTAAGTTTAAGTTGATCTTATGTGGGATTATCGGGGTGAAGTTGGGTCATAGAACTAGGCTCTCCAAATAGGCCTATTTTAACGATCAAGGAGACTTTGTTCTCCAGTATAAGATGATGTTGCGTTGATCAGCCTATCTTTGTTAGTACTGCAAAGTGGATAGCCCTGGCAAAAGGATTCCTGGCGTGTCGTCTTTATCTGTGAATCGACTTGATTGAATGAAGAAAGCATTGTGATGTGCCATCAAGCATTGTCGTCCTTCTGTAATAATATCATCTCATTTACAAAGGAGAGTTGCTACTTACTGTACCAACCTGAAGCCATACGTAATAAGCATCAACATTCTTTATTTCTCATGTATCATGGGATTAGCATTTACTGCATAAGTGAAGTTTGAGCGGAGAGGCATTTGAGGAAAAGGGAGGTGAAATGAGGCCAACTCTAGCTCTCGCTGATCAATGCATCAAACTTAACACTAGGACTCCGAGGTCCTTCTCCTTGACTTCTTGTTAGGACTGGAGCGAAAGATTGATGCTTTGGGAATGGAGGGAGGCTTGCAATTAAGCGGCTCGTCGCAAATACAAATATCGAAGTAAAAGAGAGAGAGAAAAGAAGAACAAAATAAGACGAAAACCTGCTTCTCAGATACATGATACTTAGTATGAAGGAATCGTTGTATGCAATAATGCCACGCTAGAGAAGATACATGAACAACTATCATAAGCGCATTGTCGATACCTAAAAGCGGAAGCTTTGGCCTCCAGAGTGACACTATTTGCGGGGAAATAGAATGGGGGCCTGCAGGCAAATGGACGTCCTTTCTATGTTCTGTATGTCCAACTTCAGCATAAACAACGCCAGTGCGAGAATAATCGCAAGGATGCGACATTTTGTCGGGGTTGGCGCTTGTTATCTCGATACCATCCTATGGTAAGTACTCATCATGAACATTACACTTGCCTAGGTTATTGACTAAGATGATGCAGTGTGCCCCGGTATCCCTCTGAAGACGAAAAGCTGCGAGCTTCGAGCATTACGACAAGACGAGGAGGGAACTGCGCGAACACTCTAGAAGTCCTTCAGGATCTTTTTGGACATGTCAACGATCCTATCGCCTTGAGTTTGATCGCAGTGCTTCCCGACCGGCAATCTAGTGCCACGACAAAGATTGTGGACTCGCTCAAGCCTACTGTCTCAGTGGAAGCATGCATATTCCGCGAGAACTATCAAGAACCGCCGTCTAGCTACATTATTAAGAATGATGCTACGGGCTCACGCACAATCGTCAATCATAATGACCTGCCTGAGATGACTTGCGATGAATTCTCTAAGGCCGCTGATGTGATAAACACTGAGGGTACTTGGTATCATTTTGAGGTACTTATTATCTGAGAGCGCCGGCGATTTCTTCTCGATGGTTAACAAGTATGATAGGGACGAATACCGGATGTCACCCTCCAGTGTATTCAGTATCTTCGCAAATCCTACGCGGGCGCTCATATCAGTGTAGAACTGGAGAAGCCCGGGCGACAGGGGTTACAGGAGCTTGTCTCGGAAGCGAACGTAGTGTTCTACTCCAAGAGTTGGGCAATAGTTAGTAGACGCAACTCTGTTCACCTCTACGAACAAAGCGCTTCGGTGTGGTTACTGATCGCAGCTGGTAGGGTAACGGGTACCACAACGCTGAAGATTGTCTTCGAGCGCAAGCAAAGTTGGCCCCGAATGCGTAAGCCTACAGAACAACACCTGTTATGTAATGCAAGTTACGCACTCACATTACTAACTTAATCTTTTATAGTCTACTTCTGTGCTGTACTTGGGGTGAACAAGGCTCGTATGCTTTAGAGCCTCGTACAGACACCTACTGCAGTGTTGCGGCAAATATGCCCAAGGATTCAAGGGTAATTGAGTAAGTCCTGAGTGCTCAAAGCCATATCTTCTCTCAAGTCTAATCAAATTCATAGTACTATTGGAGCTGGAGACACGTTTATAGCAGGGATTCTGTACACATTTTTTCACGAACACAAGACCCAAGCGTTGTCGCAGAAGCTTGCCTTTGCGAATCGTCTCGCCGGCTTCAAGGTTGCTCAAGAGGGGTTTTCTGGACTTTCTGGACGCATGCAGCTTCAGCCATAAGAAGAAACTGCGCCTTGTGGGTGGGAGACGGTGGGTGTGCTGAGCTTATCGCCGCCTCATATTTTGTAGTACCTACCTACATAGGTAGGTACCCATGTAAGAATGTAGCCTTCAAGAGTGCCAACAGGTAGCTGTCCTGTACATGGGGATACCTACAGGCCTGGCATCTTATGACAGGTAAATCGCCGGTAAATCAATCACACATCTGCTCAAATAAAAACTAATCTTGCCCTGGTAGCCTCCTAGGATTTCGTGCTTTTTCGCCATTGATACTTGATAACCAAACAATGAACTCGAGACATGACGGTTTAGGGTCAGGCTTCGTCGAGGGGAATTATGAGCTCAACGCAGCGGTGGTAAAAGGTGTGGGCCCATACCACCGCTTACAGTCGATGATTTCTACTCTACTAATATGGCTCTGCCTCAGCGATTCCCAACGTCAATATCATATCTTCTCATGCATATAGGCAATGGGTCTGAGCTCAGCAAGCGAAGCTCTTGTGTCAGCTTGCTGATGGTACCTTGACAAATTATTTCTTGAAAGTGACCGAAGGAGAGAACGATCGTGTCATGATTGAGGGACAGTTTGTGCCTAACAAAGCCATTCATCAATAGGTACGGGCCTTCGTTTTGCCCAAAGCCCTTGACCTGGGGTCAATACGAATCGACTTCGGGCCCTGACAAATACTTCCTGTTAGCTTAATTCCGTGAAGCTGGCCAACAACCACCAGAGCCCTTTCGTTTCACAGCTCTACTAGCCGACTTACACAAGCGTTCAGTATCCCCAATTGATAAATCCGGGTTTCACACGACGACCTGCCATGGTAACTCCCGACAATTGACAGACTGCTGGGAATATTCATGGGAAGTGCTATATCGAAAGCAACTAGCCTTCGTCTTTCAGATTGATCGCGGTAGGCAACATAGATGGCCTGAGTATGAGTACTACGCACGATTGGTCTTAGAGAAAAATATCGAGAAACTGTTCCGGCCACTCCAAAGTGAAGGCCGAACTACTAAGTCATGTTCGAAGGTAGCTGATGATGTTGCAGGAACAGCTTGATCCTTTGCCTCATGAAAGCGAAGAGTGCTGTTGGAGCTTCAGAAACCATGACGTTGCGTGGCACAGGTATTTGCGATTGTAAGACGCGGAAGGTGGAATCGCCGTTCATTTCGACAGAACATACACGAAGATTTGTCAGGCCTAGGTCAAGTCCAAGTACAATCCCCTAATCAGTAGATAAGAACTCGCATACAGCTGTTTGGGGTGTAGTGGTGATACCTTTTCCCGGCCAGTAGCAACCTCAGTTACATAGGTAGGGATCTGGCAGACAGAATCTGCCCTTTCATGTAACCCTAGTTCCATACTCTAGGTGTCAGTCAACACCACACGCTACTAGAAGGGTCCGAGCCTTGCCTAATTCACGTACGAATTCATGAGCGCACCGACGAACATCATCGTTGGTGAAATCAAACTCCTGCTTAAGCTTTTGTAGGCGAGTTAACAATCTCCTCATTCTTCATGAAGATACTAAAACTGTCGAATGGAACATCGTTGATGACGAGCAGCTTGTATATAGTCACACGAGAGCGAGGTCGATGTCACTGAGTAATGACGGTAACTTCTTACTGACAAGTGACGTGAATGGGTCACTAAGTGTTTGGAGCACTCCAGGCTTTCGTTTGACATACCAAACGAAGCACGACGAACTCGTCACCGACCTAGCGTTCTCACCGGATGGTACTCGGTTATATGACATCCGGGGTTCACTCTGTAACGCGTGGGAACCCGATGCGCTTATTCGGGCTGACGACAAGTCTAGTGTGAATGAGACGATCACATCTGAGCCAGTGCTTGTTACCGACGACTATTCCCGTGTAAATATGACTTCACTTGCTTGCGAGCGAGCCTTCGAATCTTTTCTACTGCGCTGGTAAAGAAGATAAGAAGATGGCTTGATCACTACCTATGATATGGAAACTGGGATAAGGTACGCAAGGTGACGAATCATTCAACATCATGTTCAATTATCCAACTAGAATGGTCTGAGACAGGCCGATGCCTTGGCTCGGTCGACGATTCAGGGCGACTCATTGTGAAAAGGCTCGAGGCTCCTACTCCCAAGAAGGACAGATGGGCCGTGTTCCCAGTCTGTGACATACGCATGGGGGATAACCACGTACTCGAACATATTAATTTCAGTGCCAGCGAGGAGTATTTATGTATTGCAAGCTCGGCCTCTAGCCATATTTGGAGTTTGAAAGCTAAGCGTGAATTTTGCCGCATTAAGCTCTCTTCCCATGGAGGAATTTGGTTGAATCACCCTAAAAGCAACGCTTCAATAGTTCTCATAACTGGAGTGCGGGAGCTTGGATACATTCCCAATCTGGATTCCATCATCGGAGCCATGCGCGGTCAAGTCCCGGCAGTACCTGGACAGAAGATACAAGAAGTAGTCCAGATTAGCAAAAAGTGGCTTCTCATGGACGTAATAAGCGACAACCACCAGGAGCATACCGCACCGCGGTGCTATTTTGAGCTTTTGGATCTCGCGACGCTCGATTTCAATTCTCCTGCTAGTCAAAAACGCACAAGTAGGCATCTAGTGGACGGGTTAGACAACCACATTCGAGAACTCATAGGTTGTTCCCAGGACCGAGTGGTCTTCCTCGACCACCAATTCTGGGTCTGCACATGGGAGGTGGAACTCAGGTACAGTAAGCACAAGCGTCACTTTTTCTTACCCAAGGATTGGATCGATCTAATTGCCCTGAAGATGGTTATTCTGAATACGCGGGGGGCCATATTATGTCCAAAGAGGGGAGTTGTGGCGACCATAAGGTCAGCCATATAGTCTCAAGTCATGAGCCAGGTGTAAAATACCTAAGGTTTTGCCAATCGGACGGTTTGACGCCCGAACAGCACTGGTCTCTCACTGTCATTTTCACTCTAATAGGCGTCGTAGGGGCAGCAACCTACGTAAGTGTTGAGCCGATGTGATTGAATTGATGTTCAGAGCTTTCTCGACTATCCGAGTCGAGCTACTTACCTACCTACTTAACTTACATGTAGGAATTTGGTGAAGAAGCTCTATCGGGTCCAAGTACATGTCCAAGTACCCAAGTTGGGGATCGTGGGGAAGTGGGGTGGCCAAGATTCGGGCTGGTTACCCCACACCTGCCTTTGTCCCTTGTACGTTAAATCTTGCATGTCGCAGTTGGTATCATCGGGTTACCAGTGGCTTTGATCTCGCCCGTCTTTTCTCCTCAAACACAGCCCATCGGACACGCAGATGCCCGGCAATAAATACTGGTAATCATACCAGGTCTCGGTCGCCAAGTCAATATCCATCCCTCTTATGAGCAAATGCCCATGTGCTGAAAAGCCTCGGCATCGTTGAAGCTACCCCGCTGCGATAAGACACCCTTCATCGTATGAGCTGTGTCAGCTCTCAACACAAATAACGATCCCATAATCACGTATTCAGCACGCCTTACCATCGACGAGTGCATTATGTCATCCACAGCATCTGAAGCAGCTAAAGCAATGACAAAACTGTCAATCACCCCCACATCATCGGCATCAAAAGCGAAGTCCAAGAAAAAGCAGGTCGTAGCTGATTCCTGGGAGGACGAGGAGAGCAGCGCGTCCGAGGCTGAGACAGAACCCCCGACACCCTCCAAACCTGACAACACTACTCAAGCCGGCGTGGCCGCGCCCCCTCCGACCCCTATATCTCCCTCATACGGACGTCATGGGCCGGACGGGAATAGCACGCCCTGGGTGGCGAGCAATAGTACTGCCGGTGGGAGTTACGGCTACCGAGATGCCCAGGGTGAAGGCGGGGTGAGACGGCCTGAAAAGACGGATGCCGTGGCCAGGCGCATGATTGCTAGCGCTCTGGGCGTGCGGGCGCCGAAACAGACCGAAGAGCAGAAAGCGTACGATCGCGCCGTCCGCGAGAAAGAACGCAAGAAACGGGAAGAGGAGCGAGAGGTCGAACGGAGCCGGGCGCAGGAAGCAGAGAAAGCTAAAGCTGCCATCTGGGATGATTGAGGTGTGCTTTATGGTTCGTACGTGGATGAACAGGCAACAACTAGACTGGTTTCCGCGAATCTGGGATCAAAATGGAACACCTATTGAGCCCAGGTTCTACCAGACCATGGCTTGTATGATAGAGGTTTGAGAAGCTCCGTCGGCTCCCAGTGACGTCGAGAAACATATCGTGGGCGTTCTTTAGTATTACCTTGTGATTAGGCGCTGGTGTTATTCGATTTCAAAAGGGTACGGGTATTATGACGGAAGCCGGTGCATAATGTACAATCTATATCTACATTTCCTAGTATGGAGTCCGTCCTTACTAGTAACATAGCTATTCATTTCTACTTGACAATTCATTAAACAATATAGAGCCCCCTTGGATAGTTCATTGTATCGATCTTCTGACTTGATTTCCCGATGCCGAGCGGCGACTCTAGACTGCCTCGAATTTTCACGTCAAGTTGAAATGCGCTTACTGGCTGCTGGGATGGCAACCGCTCTATCGCAGAACTATGGTCCTGATTTATCTGGGAAGACCTGGCGTATAGTGTCTGGTTGGATTCTGAATCCCTTTGGGGCATTCTTATCAGAATTTGAAGTCTACTGGTCCTCGTGTAGCTCTACGTCAGATTTGAACCCCCTACTCATACAGCAGCTTCTGTATCAGCTCCAACGCCTGGCGAAGGTTCGGGGAGGTCTGGCCCTACGTCCGGATGAGTGCTCAGAGGAATGTAAGGTCGACCCTTCCAAGTAAGCACAAGACGCTGCGCATCTCCGTGACGGTCTTCGTCTGAGAGTCTCATCGTAACGCCCATGCCTTCCAGCCCTTCTTCCTCGGCCCTCCGGTTCCAAAGCATCTGCTCGAGCACGCCGTCCTTAGAACACGAAACATAGGCTAGGGGCCGACGACTTTGTGCCAACGCCTCTCTGACGCCCTTGGTAGCCGGGCGCTGAGTGACAAAAAGCGCTATAACGCCGGAGCCACGCCAGCCAGCGGGCGCACTGACATAGGCGCCCTCGAGCTCGCGGATAAACTGCGGACCAACCTTGGCGGTTCTAGCAGCCGAATATGCCTTGCATTGGAGGAGGACGCGTAGCGGCAGGTGCGCTGGCGCAGACGGCGCGCTCCACGTCCCTAGAAGGTCGATGCCTTTGTCAGATTGCCCGCCTATGCGCCGGAGGTCGAAGCCTAGTGGGCGTAGGGCCGATACTATGCTGTACTCATAGTGTGTGCCAATGAACACGTTTGATTCTACGTCTAGGCCTGTGCGCTCTGCATACGCGATGTATGAGGCGAGGTCATGATGCTGGTCTTTGCTGGGTGCTTCCGGATAGTGAAGCGTGCCAGTCGTGAAAAAGCGCGGTGAGAATGAACGTGGTTTTCTTTTGGTAAAAATAGGATTATCACGACAATTGGTGATTAAGGCGCCAGAACGGCTATAACGGACTGGATATCGCCACATTCCACATTTCTCTTATAAGCTTGTTGGAGTTGAAGCTGCTTGGGTTGAGAATACGGTGATTCAATACTGAATAACAGCACCAGTTCAGAGGTGCTGGGCAAAGTCTTTATGATCGTCGCCAATTGCACACAGCGCAGCCCTCAACCCTTCTCGCCGGACCACGTCTGGCGGCACGAACTCAACACCAGCAGTACCTTTTCTTTCGCGAAATCGTGAGATTGGCAGAGGTTTCTTTGTTGATATTTTAATTATAGCGGAAGTAAGTGCTTGGATAAGGATAGTAAAATTGATTGCTTAGTAAGTAAGACATTGTAAGTAAGTATACATAGGTACCTAGGTAGGTACTAAGTTGAGGTGGTCTAGGTACCCCGGGCGGCACGATGGTCCCCTACCTACCAGGGTGTCATGTACTGCATTGTCTACCAACACCAAACCTCCTCAACTGCGTTTGCTCACATAGCTGAAGACGCTCCCCTCGTTATTTCTGAGAGAGATCTCCGCAAGATGGGCGACTGTCTCACTCAGTTACAGGATGCTGTCGACCAGGTTTGTGCGCCAGAGGATATCTCCTTGAAGGGCCCCGATTACCCTGAGACTGACCAGCAGATCTCCAGCTTGCGACTCAATTCATTGCTTCCATCAACTACATAAATCAGCACCACAGCCTCGAGACTCTCGGTCCACGCGACCAGATCGTCGTAATCCCCAAGCAAGAGGCAGACCAGCAAGAAGGTGCGATCTCTCTACCCTCCCGTACACGGCGCCCAGTCATCCGTTCAATCATCATCGCATCCCTTGCAGCGCGTAGCTTTCTTTGTCGTGGTTTGCCGGTCTGCTAACAAGAAAGGTCGGAAACAGTGGAGCCACACCCTGAAGACGTTTTCCGAGCTGCGCAAGTCGAACTTGCCCAAGATCTCATCACCAAGGAGCAGCAAATCGAACTGCTGATCTCAGTTCTACCGGGCCTCGACAACAGCGAGCAGGACCAGGAGCGTAACATTCGGGAACTCGAGGAGGAGCTTAAGGTTGCCGAAGCCCAGCGCCAGGAAGCTATCAAGGAACGTGAGGAGACGCTGGCAAAACTCGATAGTGTCATTCGAAGTATCCGGCGACCATAATTGTATGGATGGCATTCTTCTCTTGCGATGATTGGAGAAGCAGGCGAAGGTCTGAGAGTTTTTGATGAAATGTTTCTATGATACCCACTGCAATAAACAGCTACAATAGGTGACTGGCGTTCGGAATAGCATAAAAAGGCGATTTTCTTTTCTCACGTACTAAGTCGGCTTAACGGTGAACGCATTTGTTTCACGAGACTGTACAATGCTTGACAAGACATTCGCATATGTTCTATTCTGGTTTTTCTAAATTGTATCCTCCAAATACATATAGCTCCCGAGTTAATGATCTTTACCTATATGCCCCCCAATGCAGTCCTTCCAGATGAATGACATTACAAAATCTATCTCTAGGTCGACGCTTTGAAGAACTGCGAGTAGATATTTCTCAATTCTTCCAGGGTTGTAATCTGATATTTTGAGGCCTTTGTTGGTGGTTCCGGCACATCCTCTTCTACTAAGTGAGCTGTTGTCCAACCGAGTTTCTGTGACGCAACACAGTTTCCAAAGGAATCATCTGTCAGATATGAGCTTCTTATCACGCTAGACATGAGGTAGACAAGTTTTAGGTACGTACCGACGAAGTAGCAGTCCTCTGGCCTTTCAACTCCGGCTTCTCGCATGGCTTTGGCGTACATATCTGGGTGCGGTTTACACAAGAACGGGACCTCCGAGTAGTTGCAATACGTCAACCCCTCGAAAAGATCTTCGATACCTAGAAGTCTGACAACCCTCCGTGCGTGGTTGACGTAGGCGTTTGTCAGGAGCCACAGCTTCACCTTTGACTTGTCAATGTCCTCGAGCATCTTCCGCAGCTGCGGGTTCGGCTTGATAACGTCTTCGAGGGGAAGAGCATCGTCGACTTTTGCATTGTAATCTAGAGGGTCAATCTTGTGGAATCGAACCAGTCCCTCAATGGCTAGTCCGTAGTTCTTGTAATAGTCCTCGTGCAGCCGTGTAGCGTCTGCTTCAGATAGCCCCAAGTGCTTTGCGAAGTACTCGTCTATGAGCTTCGCCATCATATCATGAACCTTGCTACCTATTGATACCGATGTCAGTGGTCTTGAGCATGATTTGAATACTTTGTTGTTGTGCGAAGCCTTACTTCTTGGGTATAGACAGTTGTCTATATCGCTACGGAATGTGTCAGCGGATATGCGGTCGAAATGGTTGGGCCGGTTAGTCATAACTTACAAGAAGAGCACAGGTCGAGCATCGGGTTCTGTAGCTTGAGACCCCATCACGGCGTGCTGTGGAATTTCTCTATACTATATAGATATCAACGGTTGTAGTAGTAGTGTCTTAATGTGAAAGTCGTGTATAGAGCCGCGCCTGGAAGAGGTGCTAGTCGTCCTTTGCGGTAAAATGCTGTTTTGTATCTGCCATATATCGAGGATGAAAATATAGAATGAAGGGGAGGGGGCTGCTTAGATGATACTTAGACTACAACTACCTACAATAAAGTACTCACTGCACCTACCACCTCTTTTGTTGGTCCATTATCTGCTCGAGTGACGCCTCTGAGTCACCAGACAAGTTAGGCGCTGTGCTGCGTTACTAGTATATAGGTAATGTATTCCCTCATCTATGATTCTAACTTGGGTACTTCTATACTATACTACCTACCTACTACATTCATGCGTGTAGATGGCCATAAAAAAATAAAAAAAAAGTCGAATGTACTTGCGGAGTATCAACACCCAATTAATATAAAATATTATCTACATAAGATGGCTGATACAGGGCAAGGAGCGCTGGCCGAGCTGCTACGCGCCTGCTTAATGTTACCTATTTAAGTACCTACCTACCTAGGTAGGTACACGTTGATTTGTCCAGGCATGTACATACCTACATACAAGTACCACACGCAGAAGGCTCCACCTCGCAACTGCCCAATCACCTACGCATGGTAGGGCCCGTGCACGTGTGACTGCTGGCCTATTCTGAAATTACCTGCGAGAAAAAAATACCAAAACAAGCATACCTACTCCCAACAGATCGTGCGACACACACGCAGGCATTCCATCTCCTTTCCTCTTGACAGAATCGTGACATAGCTCCCACAAGGAGGTCTCTGCTAGAAACCGCCTGTGCATCGTCTTCTGTCAATCCACTAGCACGCTTTATTGTCGGACATTGACTTTCCTGATGAATGGTTTGATGCTAATCTGATTCTTTGCCATGTCGCAAGTCGCAGCAGCACTGGGCCACGAGCCAGCCTGCGCTGTCACCGCCGCCTCGGCCGCTGCGACTTCTGCACTGACAAATTCTGAGCACGACGAACTTCGCGAGTATAACAAGATCATTCAATTTCGCGATACAGTAGTGTCGGGGAAGCACCCGCGTATAAAAGTGCCGGCGTCATTCGTGGTCAAAAATGGCCCTGCTTCTCAGCCACCGTCATCCAACGCGCCTGAGCGTATAACCCAACCATCCGCACACCTCTCCATAAACAACAATGTCGCTGATGGTCGCTCACTGGGCAATATGCTGTCGTTTAAAGCTAACTCACAGCAACCAGCCGTAACTGTTCCCCCAGCCGGTTCTACCCCATTCATCCCAGGAGTTTCAAGACCTCTTGGGCCTGGAAAGCCAGAGATTGACCCTGTTTTACTGCAGAAATCTGATGGTCTCGTCAAGGCCGAGATCCAGATCCAGAGACAGCGTCTCGAGAAAATGCTTAGAGATCAGGTTGAAGAGCGGAAGGGTATAGTCCGAGGCAATCTTCAAGCCGAACAGCTGCCTGAACTTGACATCTCAGATATCTTAGCCAAGGCCCTGACACTTGTACAGGCCACCGCGCCACCAGCTATGTCTAGTTTGCCTAGCCCTACTGCTAATGTTTCTGATGCCAGTGACTCGTTCGATGAGAATACATTCTATTCTAGTCAGCATAATACGCCCGAGTCGCGGCCTTCAGTTCCAGCCCGCAACGCATTAGAGAATGCACAATTGCAGGGTCATTCCACACCCGCACACCAGATAGCCAGCCACGCGCCTCCACCCGTACCGCTGACCTCCCAATCCTTGCCTACACCCATCAACCATCAACCCCAAACGAACATCGCTCGTAGTATTGCCCAGGGGCAGACTGTGGGTGCTCAGAACATACATCCGGTGGGGCCAGTCGGACAAGCGCAGGGCCGAGACATGATTAGCACATCGAAAAAAGCGACGCAGAACCCGTTGCAACAAGGCCACCATAAAGAACAGTTGGAAACGCAGCTCATCAGCTCAGACAGCCAGGATGCTAGTCGATCCGATAATTCTGGTAACACAGACTCAGAGCAGTCTGCTGAACAACATGGTTTGCAGAATCAAACTCAGCTTGTGCCTAACCCCAACTTTAGACAACATGAACAGCCGTTGATTCGAGGCCACAATCTCTCGCCTTTTGCTCCACAGCCTGCCCATGTCTCGCCATTAGTGGTGGCCCGGCAGCCACATATACGTGAATCCGATCCTAGTGCTTTGCAAAGAGTACCGGCTCAAGTAACAGCCCTGAGACAGGAGCATGCAGTTGTGATCAGTCCTGAGAGTTCTCCACAGGGTGACAAAGGACCTAAGAAGAAAAACAATAGGAAGAAAAATAAAAGAAAGGCTGATGCAAGGGCTCAAGAAACTCAGGGGTCTCCTAATATCAAGCCTGAACCCAGGTCACCCTCCCCTCTTACAGCACCTCCACTCATTCGTCCTCAGAAACGACCTCGAAGGTTGGGTAGACAAGAACCTGAGATAATCTATGATGACCCAATACTTGAGCGTCCGAGCTCGCAATTACAACCAGAGCGTTATCCACCAGCAGCTATACATGTTGAGAGGGTGCCTCAAGACTACGAAGGAGTGGACGATCCATACTCCCGACAGGTACGTCCCTCAGTGGCACCAGTCGCCCACAGGCTAGAGTCGCCTTTGTATGAGGAAAGACGGCCTGATGGAAGTATCGTACGCTATGTTCGCCATGTTGCCAGTCCTGCAGGGTATCTCGATTCCTATGGCGCAGCTGATTCTCGTCCTCTGCACACATCATCTTACACAGTTGCAAATCCTGATGTGCGAGAAGTCCCTACGTACCATCGTGAGGGGCGGATGAGTGTACGACCCTACCCCGACCGCGCTAGATCCCGATCGCCAATAATTGTAGAAAGACGTTCCTCTGCCATGCCTCCTCCGTCCGCACCTCCACGTCGAATTGTAATTGATGAGTACGGCCGCGAATATCTCGAACCTGTTCGTACCCCTGTGTCTCGGCAGTCCGTGGTGCCTCCCACTAGACCTGGAGATCATGAAATTGTGTATGAGAGGGCCCCAATTCGAGCCACGTCCCGTGTTCCAGCACCGGAAATTATAGGGGAAGATGGAGTGATCTACCGACGAGCATCGCCAGGCTACGCGCCACGGCGTGTTATTACTCAGCCAGAATACGGCTCAGGGTTTAGGACTTATAGAGAACGAGATTATCCAATGCAGCCCATGGCACCTCCCAGTCAAGACTTCGTTCAGATTCGTGGGGTTCCGGAACACCGCCTTGCAGAACACTTGCCTCGCGAATTTCTTTCTCGCGCAGCTAGCGTGAGACCGGTGGAATCAGTACCTTATGAACGCCTTGCCAGCACCCGTCCTGATCGACAGTATGCGGCCAGTGTGCATCCTGATGCAAGGAGGGAAATCGCTCCACACGTAGGTGCTGATTATAGTATCCGGCCAACTGAGATGGATATCCCGCAACGTTCCTATAGTGTTAGACCGGTGGAGAGGTTTTACGAGCAACCACCCCCACGAGAAGGTGACATCACATATGTTGAAAGACCTCGTGCTGCACACCAGGAAGTCATTTACCCTGGAAATGGTGCCTCAAGGCAAGTGTACCAGTAGAATGGGTATCCGCTTCTAAGTATTGCGTGGAGTTTTGGGACTTAGTATTGTAAGGATGGTTTGATGGAGTTAAACCACGCGATAGTTTCTGCGTTTGTACGGTGATACGAGGTACAGGACTGTGTCTTTTAGTCCCTCTAGAATTGGCGAAGCATTAATGAGACCTTTACTATAACTTCAACGTGGTATGGCCGTGAACGGCTAATGTGCAAAGTGGGAGTATTCGTTTGTCCGAATAGATAAAAATCAGTTAAACTCGTCCTATGATGCAAATATTCGATGGGTGTTGCTCTAATTGCTATTAGATATTGTCGTAAATTTCCTAAACAACCTCTATGTCTATTTTTGCTGGGTTCGTTAATCGCAACAGTAAATTGACTCGTTATTAATTAAGTTTGCGAGGGATTAGCCTGAGCAACTTTGATGAGGGCTGGAATAAAGGATATCAATAAATCTAGGCTATCATTCAAGACTCCCTCTAGCGTTCTCAGCTGCGTACAAGTCAAATAAGGCAAATACTAGGGAACTGTGCCGAGCGCATGACAAGTTCTCATCTAGGCACTTTGAATATGCGTATATGGAATTTGGTATGTTCCGCAGTGACAAAGGGTTTCCACGTATGTTACGTGGGCTTAAAGCATCCACACCGGCCACATGATATACCTGAATATCTGGTTTGGAAGAACAGATAGATAGTGGAGGCGGCATTTACGTGTAGACATTAAGTTCGGGTGGGTGTGTGATGCCGGGGCTCAGTATCGGACAGTCCGAGCTATTGGTTAGAGAGAAACTAGAGTCTCTGGCTTTGGGGGAAAGGTTCTGTTTACGGGGATCGAATTTGTTCTAAGAGTTTGTGAACAGGCATTGTTTGTGTATGTAGAAATAAGCGGCCGTGCTCATAAATTGAATGTTATAGTTTGTCGGGATATTAAGGCTACCAAGGCAAAGACGGAAATTCGAGATATACTTGCTCTCTTTTCGACCAACAATAATAAAGAGGGTGGACGATCCCGGTCGAGACCGAGATTCGATATTGAATGCCTGTTGCTACCTACTTGATAGGATCAATTATAGATGCACTGAGTTGATGTCGGTTACATCGGCACAGTGGTTTCTGATGGAGAATACCGTTATCTAGAATGTCCGGCGTCCATGGACGGATAAAAAGGTTTGGAGCTCACGATATCCCTTGCACCTGGCTGAAGACTGAACTTCAAGGTTCTTGCACGAAATAAGTGTAAAGCGGGTGGGTTAATTCCCTCTCCTTGAAATTGCGGTCTGACAGAAGATGCCTTACGATCTGACACGTGCTTGCTGACGTACAGCTAACAAATGTTCGAGCTTATTGATCTACGTAATAAGCTAGACTGGGGGGGTGGTATAGCGCAAAGAGATAGACAATGCCGTCTACCTAGGTAGTATTATTCAAATGAGGAACGCGAGGTCTCACCGAGCATCTATTATCATGAAATCAAATTCCTCGGAGGAGTAAGTTGAACAAGTTTCCTTTGGGTTCGAGTGATCTGCTCCGGACGCAATGGTACAGCACTTACCTACTAGGTACTACGAAGTATGTACAGTCGTTGGGCCCTACGTGGTGCGCTAATGTCGGCACACTGCAGGTATGCACAGCCTTCGTTCGGTACAACCACCTTGGTAGATATGGGTCTGGGATGGGTAACACGCGTCGTTCGGGACTGCCTAGTCGTTAAGTAGTCTAGAACAGACGTGCAAGGAGATGGGCATCGTGGCTGTGCTCATGTCTTTCATTTTGATTTGATCTTTTTTTTATATTGTTGCTGATGTGTGGTATGTATTTCAAGGTATTTGACGAAGTGGGCGCCTAGAATCTCTGCTCTCATGGACGTCAATGAGAGCAATGTGAGTAGAGTGCTAGCATCATTACTAAGGCTAGCACTACTTATCAACGACCTATTCAAGCAGCTGACACTGTGATGGTATCTGTGCATGCAGGTAGGTGGTACTCGCATCATTGCATACATGGTGGCCGTAATTCCGAGCATCATGGCCGGACGTTCGACGACACCACTCGGACTGAGCAAGTTAGCGATCCACACGCGTACTGCTGCAGCAACCTATTCTCTTTCCACAGGTACTTCACCTCGACAGCACCCCCAGGAATCTACTTGGAGAAGTGCATTCCTTCGTTGAGCCGTGGGGGTAGGATGTGGCATACGTAAGTACAGGAAAGGAAGTACATAACACTGACCGGGTGTACTTCGTACAGGGCGATGGAATACGACGGTAGAACCTGGCAAAGGTAGGTAGATGATGCATCTACCATCCCTTCAAGACACTCAGTGTGTCTTGCTTGACTTCGTAGTATGCCAGAGACACCGTCACGGTCTCAGCGTTGTATTGTAGGTTGCGAGTGGCATGATGCATACTGGCTTGTGCTCGTTCCAAGACGACCTGGGTAGGAACTTCGAGTTTCGATCAGGCCATGATGTATATCTGCCAGACCACACTGCTTGATGTCCCTTGTTGAAATGCGTTATTCCGTACCTAGGTATTATAGCAGATCCAGCGGGCGGCTTGCTGATGCTGCTGCTTACCTTACTTCCAAATGTAAGAAATAGGAAGATGTAGCTGGGAGGGCCGGTGAGCTGCCTATTGCCTACTTACGAAGTACTACCTACATGAACCTCTTAAAGTACCTACCTATTGGTAGGTATGTGCTGTTGTAGTGTATAGTACCTACCTAGCGTAATGAGAAAGCTCTGGCCCGGTATTTGTCGAAGAGGTACCCACCTACTGTAGGTCTCTCGTGTACATAGGTACAGTACATACATGCATCAGACCTGTAGATAGTCACGTACTAGGTACCTAGGTATGTACTTATATGTAGGAACCTGAGTGATCTAAGCGTCTTCCTGGGCTTGGTGCGCCTGTAGCTATTCGTGGTAGGTATTTCGTGGTATTCGTGGAACAAGCCCTTGGACTGGCACTAGGCCCGGCACAGTGATACATACTACCTACCTACCTAGCCCTGATCACAGGCTCTGTTTTCCCATTTGCTGGCTAACATCTCCCGATGGCCGTCGTCCTTGTCGTGCTATGCACACACACACATACATATGTACTTACCTACCTACATACGTACATACCTGTGTACTTATGTTACCTACCTACATAGTAGTGCTTCTGCGTACTTAGGTAGGTATTAACCTAGGTACCTAGTAGGTTTTACCCTGGGTACATACCTAGGTAGTGCCTTAGGTAGTTGGCCTGTGTGTTGTGTTCCGTGCTGAAGTATCTGGCTGCCCGGGGCCAGGTGCTCAGGCGACTTCATATCCTGGCTGTCGGTAGAGGTAGGTATGTATATACACCTATATATGTAGGTAAGTAGGTACTAATTTCTGCTATCTGTACTCGGGTACAGTGGTCGAAGGCCATGCCGCGTACCTGCTACTGCTCACCCGAGGTATCTACCAGGTAAGTATAGTATAGGCCAGGTACTCGCCCAAAGACCCGACCTCGCCTGTGCAGTACAGCAGCCGTCCTCCGCCGCAGGTAGCGCTCGCTCTCTCCATCCTCAACCCATCCCATCCCGTCTAATCTGTCCATCCCATCATCCATCGACTTCTCCTCTCCTCACCTCACCACTTGCATTTCCCTCATAACCTCCCCACCACAACACCGTCGTTGTAGAGGTTCCCATCGTCGCAGCGTAGAAAGGAGAGAACCTCACACGGTGTCTGTTCCTCCCCTTCTCTTTATTCTTCTCTTTCTCTGTTTTCCTCTCTTCGTCTTATTCTCTTCTCTTTCTTTTTCAGTGATACCCCTTCTCCCCTTCGTACGCCCTTCACCATGCAAAAGCTTGCTGCCAATATGGGCATGCGTCACTGGAGCGATCGCATCCAGAGCCCCAGCTTCGGCATGTCGTCGAGGCCCAATATGAATATGACTCCCATGAACCCTCACCAGAAGACCGCGGCTCCGGGAGCTCCGCCTTTAAGTCCTTCGCCCGCCGCCGACACCACTATCCACTTTGCCTTCAATGTTCCCTTCGCTTCCGACCTCGCCGGTCCCAACACCGAGGAGATCCTACACGCCACGGGCGACTCCATACTCCGCTGGACGCATCCTGGAGACGCCCCCGACGATGTTCCCATATATGACCTCCCCGTGCATGCCCAGAACCTTGCCAATCTGCAGAACCTGTGCCAGGAGCTTAGTAGGGGCCCTCTACCCATTGAGGCCCATGTCAACTTGACCACGCCCAAGCTCGGCAAAGGGCAAGTGGTCACTGTCTCGCTGTCGGGTGCTCCGGAATTGGTTCACAAGAGCCGCGAGACTATCTTGAGTGATACTCCATTGGCATTGGTATGCATCATACTAGTTAGCCCCCGTGACGTGACTTCATTTTTGCTAAACTAGACCTTGTAGAGGTGCACTACCGTCGATGTGGATTACAGTTTAATTGTAGACTCTGCCGCTGGTGCGCTTCAAAAGCATGTTACAGATGCCCTCGACACCTTTGCTGCATTCTGCGGAGTCGACATCTTTATCTTGGGTCCGAAACTTAACCCCACTGTCGATGGGCTCAATGGCGATGTCGAGGTTATTCGTGACCAAAGATGGAGAGTTGCTATTTATGGTGACATTGAGTCGGCTGAGCACGCTAAGACCCAGGTTCTCATCTTCATTGACAAACTGGTGCGAGGTGACTGTTATCCATGTTAAATGAACTACACTGACGTGAGACGTAGCTGGGACGAGATGTCGACCGCTTTCATTTCGAGAGCACTCTGCACCCTATCGTGTGTGGACGATCTCGAAAGAATATTAAGCTGATTGAATCGGCGACGAATACGGCTATTTACTTCCCACCATTCGCTCAATTGTCTCGATACTGTCCACCAAATGCCAGTCGCCGTAATCCAGACGAAATCTTCATCACTGGCGAGAACCCTCAGGGTATCGAGCTAGCGAAACGCAAGATTCATGACATCGTCACTCGCACAAAACTTTTTATGAAGGATGCCATGATTACGCCTGCTAAGATTGATAGTATCCTTCTTGGTCGAATGGACAAGGTTCGAAAAATAATGGAGGTTAATGGCGCATACATCATGTTCCCACCTCTTGCGTCCCAACGCAACATGATTCGGGTTCAAGGTGTGGAAGGGCTTCAAATCGAGCGCACTATGAAGGAAATCATGTCTCTGGTGTGTACAGTTGCGTCTTGTCTCTATTTTATTTTCTCGTGTGCTAACTATTATTTTCAAGGCCGGGCAGTTTTATTATGCGTCCTGGTGGTTCCAAGGAATGGGTGCTATTTCGAACCCTCATGACGTCCGTTCCATGCTTAGTGATATTTGCTCAAACTCAGATGCCGACATTTGCTTTGACAAGATGACTTTTAACATTACTGGTTCTGATGATGCCGTCAAATCGGCCTTGACTGTTCTCTCTCAAATGGACTTAGGCACCATGGGCCCTCAGCAAATCCGTGTCAAGATAGAACTCGCCAATGAGCACAAGGAGTTTGTATCTGGTAAGAAGAATGGCAAGATTAACAAGATCATGACACAGAGTATGTTCATCCATCTGCATATGAGGCACCATAACTGATCGAAGTTTAGGCAATGTTCAAATCATTTTTGATGGTTTCCGAGAATATAACTTCGACATAGATGTCATTGCGCCTAATCATGATGCGATGAAGCAAGGCATGTCTCTTGTGGAACAAGAAATGCCTGCTTCTATTTCTTTCCATGTTCCTGACCAGTATCATAAACGCATCATTGGCATAGGTGGTCAGCACATCCAACGTATTATGAAGAAGCATTCCGTTTTCGTCAAGTTTTCGAATGCTATGGATCGAGGTAGGATTCGAACTTCATTTTTCCAGTTCACGCAACTGACTAGCCGCACAGGTGGTATGGGCCGCGAAGACGATGACGTGAAAGTCGACAATGTGATCTGTCGTACTCCAGCTCGCAATGCACAGAATTTGGAACTGGTGAAGACCGAAATTCTGGACATGGTTGACAGAGCTGTGAGTAGCCTTTTCTGATACCAATACTCAGCTTAGTACTAACAAGCAGCATTAGCATTCAGAGTTTACGTCACAAATCGTGCATGTCGACCGCTTGTACCACAGACAGCTCATTGCTCGCCTGCAAGAAATTGAAGAGCTTGAGAAGAAGTGGAATTGCAAAATTGTGTTTCCCAGCACCGAGCAAGCAAGCGACGAGGTCACGGTGACTGGCCCAGAGTGGCAAGTTCCCATGTGTGCTGATGCATTTTTGGTGAGTCTCTTTCTGTGTACCATGCTCTGACTGAAATAAGTGCTGATTACTGTAAAGGGCATGGTTCCCGAAACTCATGAGTTGGTTTTAACTCGAACTGCATCATTGGTCAAATTTCTTGAGTCTCCAGAATTCGTCAATGGGTTAGTTGGAAAACTAAAGACACAGCATGAAGTTGCTGTGGAAGTGCATGAGAATGCCGAGGACAAGACTGAAGACGGCCACCGTACTACGACGCTGCTTTGGAAACTGACGCGAAACAATGCCGGTGGTCTTCGAGATGCCATAGACTATTTGATGCAGCAATTTACTGCGGCCGACGTGGAGGTCAAAGTTGTCAAAGGAGCTCTTCCTCGTCCAAAGTCGGATTCATTTGAAGATACGTTGCAGTATTTCGACTCTAAACTACTACAGCACGCGCCCGCCACTATTGGGACCGACTCACCGACCAAGCCTGCTTTTGGCGACGATATGACGCAGCAGCGTGCCACGACCTTGCTCGACAAGCTTCGGAAGCCATCACAGCTTCTTAGCTCTCTCGATCGGAGAAAGAACAGCTCACACTCGATGAACATGTTCTTTAAAGGATCCAGCAACGTTTCCAAATCCTCGTTGATTTCGATAGAATCGACGCGCAGCTTCAATGCCGATCGAAACCCCTGGAATGATAGTGGTGTCAACCTTCCAGATGATGAAAGTAGCCCGTGGTCGAGCCGGCATTTTGGGAACAATGGACACGACCACAAGCTATCTCCCAACAACATCCCGCACGGCGGTGATGTGACACCCCGCCATAACACGCGTGCGTCTGGTGACAGCGGGCGACCATCAACTTCGCACTCTACTAATTCAGGATACCCCGGTCCGATTGGACCATACCGTTAGATTCCCATATTTCTAGATGCTATACATGCAAATACCCCCTCCCCTCCCCCGGCTGGATATACCCCTGGCGTGCATCGGTGGGCCCGGGTTCTTTTTCTTTCTTTTTTTTTTCTCCTATACCGTGGCCCATGATCCGCGATACAAGATGATCGATTTATGTTATTACTGCTATACCTGTTTTTGCTCGGTTTCCAATTTCGATCTATTCTCCCCTCTCCTTTTCCCTGGTTTATTTCCTCGGGAGGGTCGAGTGACGGCGCACACACGATTCTCAGCTGATGCTATATGCATGAATTCATTCGAATATGATACCACGATCTGCCTTTGGCAGTATAGGGCGTTGCAGACGGAGCGAGATACCACACGATACCACAAAAGCAAGAAAAGTTGAACGAAGAGTGACGAAAAATACCACAGTGTTTTGTCATCAGTTTCTATGGGCGTTTGGTTCTGATTATGCTATTGATTCGCTTTGCATTGTTGTGAGGGATGGTGGCTATGTTATGGTTGGACCGAAGAGTTGATATAAATATGCTATACGCGTCAAGAAGGTTGAAAACGAGAAGGGAGCTGGTCCATGTGTTCGAAGTGATGACGGGAGAGGAAGAGCAGATGGAAGGGCAGACTGCGGGTTCAGTTAGGTTCGGAGGGCAAGATGGGGGCCAAGAGTTAGCGCGGGAGAGGATGATCAAGATGTTGGCAGGAAGTTCTATAAGCCGGGCTGTTAACGTGTTGTGTATGATTAAAAGATGGAGAGATAGGCAATGATACCCTCTGTTTCGACGGATGCTGAACGTCTGTATATCGGTGCCGGGTCGGCGCTTGCTGGGACTCGGTTTGGCTTCAAACACAAGCCTTTGAAACACGCGGATGTGGTGCATCGGTGAAGCGCTTTGAGCGGGCATCCCGAAAGCACCAGCACCGAAGCGGTGGGATATGACGGCATTAAGATGTCTCCCACCCAATGATGAGGTGACAGGTCCGTCAGTCATTTCTTGATCACGCGAGCCACGTGACAAACCAAATAAGTCTACCCAGGTCTGCCAGGTCTTCCTGGCTTACCAACAACCTTGAGGCTACTTGGCCGAAATGGCGCTCACACCAGCTTGGTACATAGGTACCTAGATACCTACATGTCAAAATGTAGGCGAATGTATGTAAGGGCGAGAATGGAGATGTTCATTCATATTCATCCACAGGTCTTGGTTGGAACACTAGCGGTAGGTGGAATGTGGGCGTTGACACACGTGCCCAGACGCGGTTTTCTGCAGACACTCGTCCACGATGGGGTAACAAGCCGGCAAAAGCAAAAATCAAACCTAAATCAAGCCGCAAGCCGCGAGCCGGCCAACCACAACGACGCAAGCAATAGTGGACCGACTGACTCTTGTGCCATCCGCCCCTAACGACCAATTGCCTACCTAACTACATGGTAGTCTGACCGTAGTGTATGTATGTAAGTAAGTAAGTAGTTAGTTAGTAGTACGTAGGAGTACGTCGGAACATGGGAGAGGGAGGGAGAGGAAGAGAGAGAGAGAGAGAGACAGAGACAGAGACAGAGAGAGACAGGCGGGAGGGAGGCCAGGAGACAAGGCCGCTTGGACTGACTGGACTGGCTACCTCTAGATAAGTAAGTAAATGTAAAGTAATGTAGGTAGATAGACGATCTCTGTAGGTAGACAATAGCAGTCAGTTCCACTCCAAGTCCCCCCTCCCTCGATCACATATCACATTGCACAGACAACAACAAAAGATAGGTACCCTGGGTTAGACCCATTGCTGCGTTCCACCACGACGCATCTCAACACCGCAAAACCGCAACACCGCAGCATCACAGCATCACAGCATCACAGCGCTGTACGAGAGACACTATACGAGCTTGCCCGCGCGCCGATGCAGTCTCTTATAGGCCACGTGTGATTGATCTAATTGCCACGCTGACTTACCCGTAACGACAAATCGAAAAGCCCACCACCACAGTGGCTTTCCGTACAGCACAAATACCGAGGCTTTCGCTGACACAGGTCCTTTGTATACCATACCTGAATATTGAATATCAACACCACATAGACGTACAAGGAAGGACCCGTACCAACTTTGAAATCACCAGGGTATGTAGAGACGACAGACAGGCAGACAAACAGAACCGAGACGCTGAAGCAGAACAAACAAACAAGCAACGATCAACTACCTACTCCCATTAGCTATTGCGTTTTGACATTTCCACCCAACCTCTGTCTGTTATTTCTACCACCTTCACCTTCCCTGAGGTCCGGGCCCTTCTCCGCCCCACCAATCAACACCATGTCTTCTTCTACAGACGCCCCGCCTTCTAAGCTCAGGGAGCAACAAGACCTGGGCATGGGCATGGACATCAACGACGGCGACGGTCACGACAACACCGGCAACCACAGTGACGATGCAATCGACGACACCGAGGACTTGTCTGACGATGACGCCAACGCCCAAAAACGCATCAGCTGTGAGCGTCGCCGACCGCAACCCCGCGGCATCAAGGATCTCTTGCCTTTTCCCTTCTCACCCTTAATTCGCCCGCTCACCATTTCCGACCTCGAGAGCTGCGTCGCCCTCGAGAATGCCGCCTTCGCCAATCCTGCCTATCGCTGTTCGCGAGACAAGGTACGCCATCTCTCGCTCTGTCGTTATCCCCCTTTGTCGGTTCTCATGACCTCTGTGCTTTTCTTTGTTTCCATATGTGGTCGTGGTTAGCTTTTCACTGTTTCGGAACTCATCTTCGTTCCCTCTTCCGCCTTTCCCATTCCCATCGCTCATAATCATTTCTTTTTCACTACATATCAATGTATTATTGTGCGGTGTCTTAGCCACTGGTCGAATACCCTGTATGACCCCGAGTCGCTTATGCACGTGGCTGTATCCGGTTGTCTGGCGTTGCATTCCCTTTGGTTAGGAATACCACCTACCTGGCTTCGATATGAGTGTATCTTCAACACCAGATCTACTCTATACTCTAAGTGCATCGGTGCCCACATACCGTCTACATTCGCTTGGAAAGGCGACTTGAGAAGAGAACAGTTCCCACTGCGTCCGCTGCGCCCGCTGTCCAGTCATATGAGACAATATGGTATGAGCTGACTTAGCCAATCTCTCCCCTCAGTTTATATATCGATTGACAACATGTCCTGAGCTTTGCATGGGATTATTCTGCACTGTCGTACCGTCAAAAGCTCAGGGATGGGAGATTGACACGCTGCACACGGCTCATGCCGTGGAGACGGGCCGCGACGACGCTGCCGTGAGCGTTTTACTGGCGCACATAATCGCCACGCGTTCGCACGGCGCTGTTGTCACCGATGATTCCATGGACTATCCCCAGGGCGGCAGGACGACTAAGAGCAACGACGACTCCAAAGTCGGCCACCAGGATTTCGGCAGGACTGTTTGCATCCACTCGCTGGCGGTACATCCCAAATTGCAAGGCGTCGGCATGGGCAATCTCATCCTCAAGTCGTATATGCAGCAAGTCAAGCACGCTGATATCGCCGACCGTATCGCTCTCATCTGTCAAGAGGTAAACCAAAAGACCAAATCTTTACTGCTTTCAGGCTCTGCGTTCCTCTCCTTCCGCGGCCCCCTTTGGTTTGGGCGACTGACTACTCCTGAACTACTCCTGAACTCCTGAAGAGCTGATGCTAATCATGGGTCATGGAACACAGTACCTGGTCAACTATTACAAGCGATGGGGCTTCTGCCACAACGGCCCCAGCGAAGCCAAGTTAGGTGGTGGTAACTGGCATGACATGGTGCTTGATTTAGGTTGCGCCTTCCCCGAGGGGCCAGCTCATATAAGCGACGTTGTGCCCGAATTTGCAGACCACATATATTAATGTGTCTGTCGAACATGAGTTCGGGCCCGCAGCTCAGCTTTAATCCTACTCCTGCGCAATCCGTAAGGACCAGCTGATACAACGATGAGTTTGCGACACCCCTTTTTTTGACAAGCGGAAGGCCAACTGTCTTGAGACCCAAGATCTATCTTGAAAATTTAGGCAGAGGCGCATGACGGCCACAAAAGAAATGCATCTACTTGCTTTCGGCCGAGGCTTTTCTTTTCGCTATAGACGTATGTTACAAGGTTTGGCGTTTCACATAGACATGGACGGATCGGGAGTGTATGAGGAACAGATATACACGGCCATACAGGCTACAAATCAGCATTTTGGCCTTTGCAATTCTATAGATGGATGGTGTTGGACTGGATGGATAAATGGACTGCTGCATAGCATCTAGACAATGGATAGTGTAGCCCAATTGATCAGTTGGCCGGGGCATATATTTACCGTCTATCTAATGCATGGACATAACAGCTCACTGTCCGCACACTCGAGGAATCTTGTTGCATTGCTAGCAGCACAGAGATACAAATCATACCGTTTGATCACGAATGATAGCATATGAAGCGGGTTCGTCTTCATGGACAAGAGCATCATCCCTTTGGTTTGTTCTATCAAATTGAAGCAAAGAAGATAAAGAGTAAATTTCTCATTCCCAGTCCAGAACGCCAGTAATTGATTGATTCATTGATATCGTCTTCGAAGCTCATCTGTTCTCCCCCGCCGTTTTTCTTTACCATGGCACACAAACAACACAACCACCTGATCATGTCTAACATGCCAAAAGTCTATGATGGGTGCGGACGTTCTCCTCTCCTATGAAGGATAGGCTTACAAGACTTTGAATAGGATTCATCCGTCTGCACCTAGTTATAGTATAAGGATGATATTCTTATGCATTCCCCCAGAAGGTATTGCGTGGTTAGATAGTTCCTACGCATGAATAAGAGCATGACGTATAACATATCCACGTTAACACAGATAGCAGCATCCATGAATACTTAACGGTGGGACGCCTTGCCGATGGATCGTTTTCCTGAGAACTGAGCAGCGAAATCAAGTTAGCATCATTGAACCCAGGAAGTATATGAATGATTTCAATAGTGAGGTATACCAAATGTCTAGCCAGCGAGGCAGTTGTATGCCGATCGGCCTCTCCTTGTCGTGCATTGCGATTCATCTTTCTCTGAGCAAGCTTCGCCTGTTTCTCGGCCTTCGTGCGAGTCTCTACATCGACAACACCATCTTCGCGACGGTTGGTCGCCGGCTGACTTCTTGCCCGACTCTTGGATCGCAATCTATCTCTTGGGGTCTGATCAATATCCATAGCGTTAGAATCCTCGGTACCCAGCCTGCTGCGTGTCGTAGAACGGCCACGGCTAGTCGTCTGTGAGCGGCCCCGTAGTTGCAATTCCTCTGTGTCAACACCCAACTGATCGAGCGAGTCTTCAAGCTGTGAAAGCGGCTTCTTGATAGCACTGCGTGGTAAGGCGGCCCGGTTTTTGATTCTGCGCATTCTCGATTCGTTGCGTATAAGTGCTTGCTTGGTTCGAATCTGGTCGGCTTTTCTCCGAATCTCAGCCACCTCGACATCATCAATCTCCTCGTCCGAGTCATAATATCCTTCAGCCTCTAGTTTCTCTTCCTCTTCTTCGAGGGCCTGCAATTTGGCCTCAATATCAGGATCGACGTAGTCGTAAACATTCTTGCCATCCAGTATCTCAGGAATTCTGTCATACTTCCATTCGGGGTTCGCCAAGAGATAATCAGCCTTCAGGTCAACGTTGAACACACCAGCTCCACCATTCGCTTCTTCGACATCCCTCGCAAGCATCAGGCGGTCAGGATCGGCCTTATCATATTTCTTTTTCGCCAAAGCTGCTGCAGGTATAAAGCTCTCTCGTACCTCCGTAGGTTGAGCCACATGGATACGGGCCATTACATCGGCCAGTCGGCTGCCAATAACGCCACTGGCGTTGGTGCCAGCGTTTACTTTCTCACTGACTCGATGAGCTAGAAGTCTATCAGCAACCAGATTCTTGGCCTCCTGGACTCCCTCAGTTGTATTGCCTGTGAAGAATTAGCAAAATGATGTCAAGGTAGGTAACATTACGCGGCCAAGAATGAGGGCCATAGGCGTAAAAGAAAATTTGTTTCCAGAGGGTTAGAACATACAAGAGAGTTCGAGGACTTCAACCCCGGCAGATGAGATGAGTTCATCAAGCTCAGCAGCAGTAGCCGAATCCAGGTCATCACGTTTTAGGATATCAATCTTGTTGATCACGATGAAAGCCAATTTGTTTGCAAACAAAGGTTTGAGACTCCGGAACAGCTAACCCGAGTCAGAATTAGGTGATATTGAGCGATATTGAAGAGACTGACCTGCAACTGTGACTTCACACTGTAACCACACTGCTCAGACAAATCCATGAAATATAGGATTGCGGCCCGGAGGTGTGCTATAGCCGTAATGGATTCTAAATTTCTTCAGTCGTGCACACTTATGGGCCAAGCATCGGGCTAATACGTACGCATCTCAATAGTGTTCATCTCTTCCAATGGGTGGTCGAGAACACCGGGGGTATCTATCGCTTGACTGCGGAATGGTTAGCATATGTTGGCTCGAGGGAATTTAAAAAAACCTACAATCTAAGGTACTGATAATCAAAGTGACCAACACTAATTAAGTTAGTCATTGCTGCACAAAGAGAAGAAGAAGCCCATTGTTCACAGCAATACTCACAACAGGCTCTTGGTAGTGAAGGCATCTGTACTTCGAGTCAGTATTTTGCTTCTAGATGAGGCCCAACAGCAAGGCATAGTCTGAACAGCGCTATTTCGCAACGAAACCCCGAACTACGGCATTAACCGAAATCAAGGACGGCTACTTACAAGGCATCACTTCCTATAATTAAATTAGCACCGAGCAATTATCTGGGCACACAAAGTCGTCAACTTACAACTTCAGCTCGCGAAATGGATTTCAAGAAAGAGCTCTTTCCGGTACTGTAATTCGCTAGAGTCAGTGATGGATTACTCCCGTGGAGTGCAGATTTGTAGGGTTCCTCATGCTCCGAAGACACGTGTGTCGCTCGAACGGGCGACTATGGCCGCCATGGGTGGCTAAATGTGAAGAAAAACGCGCCAGGGGTCATACTTAGGGAAACCACAGATCAACTAGAGCCGCATTAGCATTCGTTATCATGAACATCATCTCTGGGGCCAAGGAAATCGTACCAGAGTCCGTGCAGTGGGATCTATAGAAGGCAGACGTCCCAAATGCTGCCGAACCTGCTCCAAGTAGAGTAGGGGGTCCTTCATACGCCGCGTCAAAGTAGCCATACGACCAAGAGCAGCACGCTTTAGTTGTTTGCTATTTGCCGTCAACTTAGATTCTAGATCGTCACCAGCCCTTCGGAATTTGCTCACCATTGATAAAGAGATTGCGCATATTTGAGTAGACGGACTACCACAGTAATTAGCGAATGCGAGAGCTGAAAGTCGCACCCAACGTCTTATCATGAAGAAAACAGCTTTTCATTGGCGATTCTGTCGTTTATGTTTTGTGCAAAAAGAGCGACTACGAATAACGACTGTGTCGTCAACCGCTTGATTTGACGTGTCGTTCTCCGAGATTGGGAATGTCGACATACCATAATCGCGCGCTATGCTTTCTATATGACTCTTGGCTGTAGCAAGCTGTCCCAGGGCGATGCGAAAGTGGTCGGCATCGTAAAGCGTCTGTTTACTCAATTAGATAACCAGCTTGAAGTTCCTCCGGGGGGCAACGCACATTCATCAAATCCTTATGAAATGGATGAAGATCTGCAAGCCTAGGAAAGCCATCCTACGAACAAACGTCAACGACCAGCTTCACTACGAATTGCCAGAGAGAATCCACCAACCAGGATCAGGGAGAGCTTTTCGACGAAGGTCTCGGCCGTGAACTTGACTTTTCTGGTGCTATGGGGCTTGTTAATCGAGCTTCTTGTTATATGCTTCCTAGGACATTCGGATCATGGTGGCGGCGCTTCTAGATCGAAGGTTCACATACTGTGACAACGTTAGCTCTGATAGGCAATCCCTGTTTCTGCTGGCAATGGGCCTCAGAACCGGCACGACAGGGGTTACATACCTAAAATGCTCTGATACGGGAAATCTTGAATCCACTTAGGAGATGTTAGCAAACTCTCTTACTATCATCCTCGAGTTAAAGAGGAGCAGACAGCGATTTACCTGCGGATCTGTGTCGGAAGTTTCCTCTGGGTTCGCGATAGAACGATCTGTAGTGGAAAAGGTCAGCGAGGAGGGCGATATTGGCGTCGCGAGCATGGGGACTTGCGTCCAAGAATTCCGTAGACGTCGGCACGGGTGCTATGTCTTTCCAGGTGGTCTTCATAGTTGCGACTCTGTTGGGGTGCGACGAACGCACTTCGAATCACACAATCCGAGGTCGAAAATAGAGGAGCTATGCGGGCTCGGGGGCTGCCGTCCAGGAGACCCTTTTCGTAGTTGTCGTGCTCGCGCGTTCGGCCCGGGGAGGCTCTCGTTCGTTGATGGTTCCCGTGATTGCGCCGTCGAACGTATGGCGGTCAATGGGTCGATTCACTGTCACTGACTGTACATAATAATAATAGTTGAGGCGGCAAGGGTAGCGGCCAGAAAAAAATCAGTGTGGGGCCAGTATCACAGTGAGTGGGGTTTATCGGGGTTATCGTACTGCATGTCTTTCCTTATCTGGCTTATCACAGTCCTTGCACCACGAAAACGCTGGACGTTGCCTAGGTATCTAGGTCATCTTGGGATCGGATTCCAAAGTTCAAACTCAGTATCACTTGTTCTATCCAAAATTCCATATCCTCTTTGCAGTCTGCAGGCTCTCAGAACGAGGAATTCTTGGTAAGTCGCAAACGTGCTTCTCATGCTATTCTGCCTGCTTCGCCATGGCTTCTCCATTACCCCACCTTCAAAAATAAATTGGATTATTCCACCCTTGGGTAGTGAGTGCCAAGATTAGGCCCATGTCCGATGGGAATAGTGGCGGCTTGAAATTGTCCTATAGAGAAAGAAAGGGTCTTCAATATCAAGCAATTGTCACTGCTCTCGACATTTGCTTTGTCCTCTCTATTCAATGATGGCAATGGATACGCATGCTTGGGCGGTGACAGGCGCCTCACATTCGCATCGCATAAGGTTTTTGATGCAACTTACGCAACTAGTGTGCATGGGCTTACACCATATTGTCTATATAGACAACTCCAAAACGCATTCATCCTCGAGGAGAATAAGATATATCCGAGACCATCTCGTGAAATATTAGAGCCAGAAACTCAGCACCGCCCTGCCTTTCTACACCGGCAGTAGCAATGGCGTTGCCTCAGTATAAGCAAGATTTTCTTAAGGCTGCCATCTCAGGAGGCGCCTTGCGTTTTGGCTCATATGAACTCAAGTCAAAGCGCATCTCACCTTACTTCTTCAACGCCGGCGACTTCTTCACCCTCGAGCTGCATCTACCCATCTCAGATGCATACGCTCACACCATTGTTGCCGAGGCGCCCGAGTTCGACGTCATCTTCGGGCCAGCCTATAAGGGCATCCCGCTTGCCGCCAGCGTTCTTTACGCGCTCGGCCGCATAGACTTCGCTAAGTATCGCAGCACAGCCTATAGCTACGATCGCAAGGAGGCCAAGGACCACGGCGAGGGTGGCACTATTGTTGGCTCCCCGCTCAAAGGAAAGCGTGTATTGATTATCGATGATGTGGTTTCCGCCGGAACTGCCAAGCGCCAGGCCATTGATATGATCCGCGCCCAGGGCGGCACCATTGTTGGCATTGTTGTTGCACTTGACCGTCAGGAGACCCTGCCGGATGGTGATGGCAAGACGAGTGCTATCGGCCAGTTGCGCAAGGAATATAACATTCCCATCCTAGCAATTATAAAGCTCGATGACATTATTGCGGCCGGCATGAAGGGTGTTATTTCAGATCAGGAAGTTATTAAGCAAATTGAGGAGTACAGAGCGAAGTACGGCGCCACCGAGTGAAACGGATGAAGCCATATAATATAGGTAGAGTTTACCACTGGCTAGGTACTCGAACAACAGTGTTATTTGGCAGGGGAACACCAGGCTTCCGGCGAAGACAATTGGTTTGAGAATATGACTAGTGAAGAATCCTGAGATAGCCCATCAGTCCGCCGCAACTTCATCCAAGCGAGAGTTGGTCCTGATATCTGCACTAGTGGCCAGTTATAAATCTAAAAGTCAGTGTTTTAGTTCAGATCTAGAATACAAGAGAGAACCAGCGACTCTCTTCCCCAGTTGTTAAAGACCGTTACACAACGATACATCTCTATTAACAGGAAAGCCCCGAGCTCGTACAGTAGGTACATTGAAAAGCGCCTCGTCGGGAATTACAATGCTTGTCAATTCCTAGATGCACGAAGTAGTCATGCGGACCACTATATCCGCTTAGTCAGACTAGATTTTAAAGTGGGGTCAGCAACGCCCTGTTTAACCAACATCTCGCCGACTTTGCGCATTTTGCAAATGAAGGAAAGGGAGGGGAGGGAAAAAATACAAAAAAAAGGTCTGAATTACCTATGCCCAGTCTAACGTGCCACCAGCCACAAGTACCAATGCAGTAGCAGTCTCACCGCCTATCTGCCTTATTTGCCCGTCTACCTGTCTGCGGCGCGATTGATGTACATCTACTTCCGTCGCATTTTCAAAAGTCGATAATCCCATACTGGCACTCACTCACCCCTCACAATCGTTTTTGATTGCTTGATCCCGAGGCGAGGACGAGGCGAAGCCGGCGAGGCGACACATCATCATCAGCCCATATTGAAACCTCTCCTCCTCTCTGCGCATGTTGCTTTTGGCTCGCGTCATACCGTGTCACCCGCGCATCTCGCGTGCTTGCTTGAACTAAAGAAACTTCTTGCGATCGTTTCTAAACGTTCCTCCTGCCTGCCCTACCGAATTAGGTACATACATCGACGCTTTACATAAGTACGCCAGCCGATCTACTATCACCACTATTAACTATACAACTAGGACAAGGTCACGCGGACATTTTACCAGAGCCAACGATAATATCACTAATCTCTCATCCCTTACATCCCTTTACTTATTTCCTCCCTTTTCGTCTTCCCGTCTTCGCCTTCTCCTGCCACCGCTATAAGCGAGAAGGTAACACATCACTTCTCACCTACACAACCTTGTGTCAGCTTGAGCCGTTTTGTGTCGTGCTGTTGGTTCGTTGGTTGGCTGAGCTTTCACCAACTCGTACATACATATTCTACCAAGCCAAGTGATATAATGTCACCGCTCCAGTAAGCCAATCCAGTCATGCCCTGTCCAGCCCCGACCAAGCCTATTGCGCCGCAATCGCATTTTAGTTGACTTTGCTATAATTACCCAATCCGTACATAATCTTCACTCCCTCCCTATCCGTCTCAAACCCCTCATCATCAGCGTCGTCTACGTATTGTATGCATTATTTACGCGTCTAGTGAAAGTCACGTATACATGCGCGCCGGTGTATTAGGTATATCGTTGTTCAACCACCCATGCTTCCTCGCCCCTTCCTCCTTGTCTTGCCGCCACGACCAACAGAATCACAGGTGGCTGATTTGTCTCACTCTCAACCTACCTACCTCTGTGCCGCTCTCTCTCTCTCTCTCTCTTGATTTCCTGTATTATTCCCGTCTTATCTTTCCCTTTCCCTGCCCCTGTCTAGAGTTCATCCTTTCTCCGATTCTCGCTTCTCAACGTTGTTTCCAGCATATCACACAACACCTGGTCCAGGGAATAGAAAATTTTAATCTAACTAGGTAACCCTGTCAGATCTTTCCGTAATCTCTCCCCAAAGACTCGCATCGGTGTGGGTCTGGGTCTCCTCGCCTGGGGCGTCATTGGACTGCAGCTGTCGGATCGGGCCGAGGAACGGTACTTCAAGCCTACGGAGGAAGACCATGCTCAGCTACGAGAGCTGGCGCCAAGGATCACGACCGTTGACCGGGTAAAAGATGGCAGCACCGACATCAGTGGTAGAACTTAACGGTCATTTTCCTACAAGTTGACTGATCTGTTGCGAGGTAGGGGATAGTAAGATAATATAATATGAATGCACATGTTACGTATAGCCTGCACCGCGAACTCCTGAGCAGCGATATTCATGGAAATGTGGATGGAAGCGAATGAGTTTTCGCCACCATTCACCAAATGGTAACAAAGTTGCACGACTGAAAATAACAGCTCTAATTGGAGATGCTCAATACGGAATGAGATGTACACGGTCTACATCAATTGACATGCGCAGAACAAAGGATCAGAACAAGAGTTTGAATGTTTCATACGTGCATAATCTATATCTGATGAGTTGTGAGAGCACACAATATTCATCACCTTGCTGCAAACTGATCAACAAGTCTCCCACCGCTCAGCCGAATGCCCACTTTCATGAAAAGGATGTACCCCTTGGAGGTAAGCCGATCTCGGAGATATCAATCCTCCTCAGTCACCTCGAAACGTCAAACCATGACAACCACCAGAGGGGACAAGCCTAAACCCCGTAATCTAATCATCGTGTCTAAATGCAAAGAAAACCTCAACCAGTCTAATGGAGGATGAACGAGCCTAACCGGAAAATGCAAATCAAACTACCACCCATCATGCTGGTTCCATGCAGGCGAAGGGAAACTTTTGAATGATCAGAAATGAACAAAACAAGAACGCCATGAATGCTTAGAAAGCGCAGACTGAAATCTGCTGCCCCTGCCCCTGCCCCCGTTCATATGTCCGTCTTGACACAAGATGCAATTGAAGACTCCACAACAGCTGGTAACGGCTTGAAGAATTGGGTCATGTCAAGGGTGAGGTTAGAGACTGCATAGTCGGGATTAATCTCGCCCACTGAACCAAATTCTTCACCTCGTGAAGCACCATCGGCCTCTACCCATGCTGTTGCCGCCTTGAGTAATTGCATGACTTGCGTCAATCGTTGGTCTGGACCTAGCTGGACAAGCGTCAGGCGCGGAGTTTTGAGAAGTACCTTTGCAAGCCAGAAGAAATGCGGCCCATCGCGTGAGAAGCCGTGTCGTCGAGGATTGGAAACTGAAGGCGGAAATTGAATGGCCATATCCATATCCCAGTAAGATTTCCACTTATCTAGTGCTGCACTAAAGCTGCGATATATCTCACGGGACATGGGTGGACTGCCGGGTATGGGTGTATCTCTTTTGCTGTTATTGGGATCAGCAAAATCCGAACCCACCATCACGATCCAATCGTTTTGTCGAAGTGGCGTTGTCGAACTACCGAGCTCAGTTGATTTACCCTCAAGATGTGCTCGTCGAATTTGAGCAAGTATAGCATGAATCAAAATGAACTTTCCCCACAAATTGGTGCTTCCAGGCTGAATTTGTATTGTGCCGTCTAACATTGCTCGCAGAACTAAATTCAGTTCAGGTTGCTTGCTCCGTTGTGAGCCGTCAGGGTTTGCCTTCTTTACAGCATCCGAGCCGAAAAGATTGAGAGCCCTGGCACATTCGTCTGCAGACTGAGCTTCCCATGCAGCATCGTCGGATGGCAATGGTATACAGATCTCGAAGGCGTCAAATTGTGAATCAAGGTTGAAGTACAATCCCCGTGCGACATCTAGTAGATATACCATATGCATGAGCCGAATACGCTTTTCTTGTTCAGTCCACGATTGCCAATCGAATGACTGGAGGGTTATGTTTTGGAGATCGAGATTTGGTTGGTGAAGGAAACTATAGAGACTTGAGTTGTCCTGGATCCGCAAAAGATCGGAACACCGTGCTATTGAAGCCACAACAGGGAATAGGCGTCGGGCAGATTCCCTTTGAATTGGAGTTCCATTCCAGATTAGCAGAGACGATGTCAAAATTAGCGCTTGTAACTTTTCAAGACCAACTTTGTCTTTTCCGGCTTCAACCTTAAACGGCGCCTGCGATTCTACTAGATTGCAGTCTCTTTCAAGAGCGATACTGAGAAAAGTTGTAACCTCACGCACAAGTGTTTGATCAACCCGGTCAGAGTAACAAGCGCCAATACAACACACGGCTGCCGTGAGGCCAGGGTAGGCTTCCATAATGCGAAAAGTAGGAATGTGAAGAAAGGAAAAGTGAATATGAAAATGAATAAAAGACGAGAGGAAATTTCTAATGTTTTCGGGATGAAAAAGCATATGTATAGCATTGTTTTCGGATGAGATGTAATTGCTAGATGGGTAGAAGAAATTGACTATTTGAGTAGTAAGTTGCTGGCACCCATCATGCATAGAATTCTGCGGTTCCCAGTTCGTGAACAAGAACGGTCGGTCGGTACCATCGGTCGGGGGAGCGCCGGGTGTGCCATTGGATCTCTCGGGGGTGAGGTTAGGCTCGGTTTTGATTGCGGTCTGATTCTGTCCAATATTAGGAGATGGGAACGTAGTGTTGTAGGTATGTGTTGGTTGCGCACCAGGCTGTTGGAACATCTGCGACCAGTCAAGGCCCGACTGTTGGTTTGAGCCAGAAGCTCCATACATGGGCATGCCATTTTGGTTCGGTGGCATGTTGAAGTTAGCCAACTGTGGGTTGATGTTGGATGCCATCGAGTTGGGCACTTCAGCACTGTAGCCGCCTGGCATGTTTCTGCGGTCCCGGTTGGCGGCATCGTCCATCCGACTCATGCTGCTTGACCTAGAGAGCTGATTCTGGTCGTTGGCCATGTTTCCCATACCATCTTGGATCTGGACCATACCGAAAGGATGAACGACTTGGTCACCTGGCATACTAGCCATGCCATTCATGTGACTTAAATCGCCCTCGTTTGCCTTTTGGGCATTCTGCTGCTGCTTTTTAACGTGTGCTTGGGGATGAGACAAGTGACTCGCCCCAGTTGGGTTACCTCGACGAATCGAGCATTTTTGGAAGTGGCGCTTCAAGATATCACTTCGTGAGAACGTATCGCGGCACAACACGCACATATATGGGCGGTCGCCGGTGTCTGCTCGCTCGATTAGTATACCTCCCAAGTTTCTACGGACTCTACAAACTTACGGCGCAATAGATGGCGCTTGAGATGCTTAGCATGGAGGTAAGTCTTCGTACAGTGGGGGCAAGGAAACTTTCCGTCAGCATCCTTCTGAGGGATGACAGTATTTTTCGAGGCACCTGTACCTGTGGGGGCTGCGGGTCGACCCGGCGCACTCGGCAAGATGCCGCGTCGTCCCTGGGATCCAACTACATGGGTAGGCTGTTCAGTATCCTGCAGTAAAGATGGTTGGTGGCTCATCATAGGACTTCCACCATAAGGCGAAGACATTCCTGACGCGGGCATAATCCCACCGGCAGGCATGGGGCGGAGAACTGGCGGTCGCGCTGCAGCCGGCGCAGGTGCGATGGGCTGCGGGTGCGACGCTGCTACAGAGGCCTGAGGCATCATAGATGTAGTCGTTGGATAACCTTGAGGTGCATTCTGATACTGATTAGGCATCATGGGATACGAAGTACGGGCAGGACCTGCGCTCGGTGGTGGATAGTTGCTCATATTGTTCTGTGGCTGAGGTGTACTAGGAGTCCCTGGCGTTCTAGGCGTATGAGGGTGGCTCCCGTAGATTGATTGCATACTATTATTATTATGCTGAAGAGGGGGCAAGGTGTGCTGAGTGGAGGAACCTTGCTGCAGTTGGTGAGGCGCTATGGCTGACGGAGAAGGGTATGAGGAGCCCGAGGTGCCTAACTGGTTAGACGTAAACTGCTGCTGGGCAGAAGGGGTGTTGTCCATATCCTCAAAAGTGAGCAATGAGCGCTATGGGCGATAACACCAGGGACTGCTTTAGACAATAGCAAGCCCAAGGATGTCCTGTTGGAGTCGAATGGCGTCTGTTTACAGAATTTGCGTGCGATGGCTTCAGAAACTACACGTAGTCCTGGCGTAAGGGCGCGTGCGCTTTGTGGGTACAAAGAGGGGCAGCGTAGATCAACAAGGGACGCGTTGAGGGTTCGCTTGTTGATATCGAGTTCCAGAGATTGGAATCGATGGCCCGAAGTCCTGATATCCTCCACGTCTGATACCGAACGGTAGTAGCGCAACGCTGTCTCCAGATGCTAGATGCTGCAAGTGGAGGCTTAGAAACAATGCTGGCGACAAAGTCTCGATTTCAGGAAGAGAATCAAGCAAAGAAAAAAAAAGTTGGTAACAAGGGCAATGAGGGGAACACTCTCAATTGGGGTAGATTTGGGGGACCACACTGGAGAGATGATTGAGAAAAAGTAGCTTTGTGATCCAATGAACAAGATGGGACTGATGGGGACTGGTGTTTGTAAAGTGGAGAAAAGGAGCCCCGTTCCTCGAGGTGTGCGGTGAGGCAAGCCGGCTTCTTATTCGAACGGATGCAAGGTAGGCAGGGGTATTTTGCCCTTGTTATCTGTCGGATTAGTCTCGAGACAGGAAGAGATTTTCTATTATCCTTTTTTCTTCTTCTTCTGTGTTGACTGGCTGCTCGCTCAACGTGCGTTCTGTGGGTCCTTGGTTAGAAATGTAACAGAAAAGATGATGCACAGTCCAGGTACAACGATAGCTGGACAGACGGACAGCCACTTGTGAAAAGTGGACACGGGATGCCGAACAGGCGATGGGTCGACAAGTGGAGAGGACAAGAGACCAACGGCGGCGAAGAAGTGGATGCTGACGATGAAAGACGGGGCGGATGACGGTAACTCGTCGAGATGCTGATGCATGCAGACTGCAAGTCAAGGCTGGCTAGCGAAAGTGGGTGTGGTCGCTGGCTACACTAAGTAGCTGGCGAGCTGGCTGGCTGGCTAGCTGGGTAGCTGGTGGTGCAGGCAGCGGAGACACTGGTGCAAGAAGTGGGTGTAGTGAGAATAGTGTCGGGCGTATACAGTCCGTCGCGTCCCTACAAGCGGTGCTCTGCCAGACTCGGCTTTGCTGGTGTGAGGATGGAGAGAGAGGCAGATGGAGTGTGAGTGTGTGTGTGGGTGGAGCTCGCGAGAAAAAAAAAGTGGGAGGATGAGGGAGCAAGGAGTTTTGATGTCAAGGGGAAAAAGCTTCGGCTGACAGGCAAAAGGACGCGTTCTTTTGTGGGGACACTTGGCTTTAAGGACAAGGGCCAAAGTACTGAAGTAGCAAGTACATCTACTTGGTGGAAATAGAGGTTCCGTTCTGTGTCATTGGTGCTCTACTCAATGGGCGCGTTCCGCGCAATGTACATCAGGTACCGACAGGAGAAGTCGGAAGAGCACGCAACTGTCACGCAGGTGCCTGAATGGACGTTGGTGGGATGTGGCACCAGTGCCAGAAGAGAAGTGAAGCAAAGCCGCCAGCTGACGGGGTCAAGGACAGGTGGGGAGTGGGTTGGCGGCTGGAGGGCGGATAAGGGTGGTTGGCAAGAATGGAAGGAAGGGCAAGGGGAAAGCTTCTCCCGGGCGCCACTTCGGAGATAAAGTTCGGTGCAGCAGCAGCCAGAAGAAGGCAAAGGGGCAATCCACAGGACCAGAGCGGAGCGGATAATAAAAAAAAGATCGAGATAAAGCGAGATAAAAATAAAATAAAATAAAATAACCGCCCGGCAGTGGCAGAAGGGCGAATGGGGCAAAATATGGAATCAACAACACAACTTACATTCAGGTCCAGGAATCCACACCCACAAACGGTGCTGTACCACAAATTTCTTGTTCGCGCCCCTCAGAAAAGGCTGCACACGTGGGGACAATTTGTTGGCAAGCGTTTCTAACGTCTCCAGCGACAACCAGGATGTTGCGACGGCGAAGAGATGACAATAGCAACAACAACAACAACGACGACGCGCCTTAACAGAGAGCTCGCACCAATTGCCGTTGTAGCGGTGAGTCGATACACGAGGAGGTACGGACGAACAACAGGAAAGGGGAGAGAAGAAGAGGAATGGAAGAAAAGAAAAAAAACCAAGGGAGACGGAGACAGGCGAGATATGAGGGAAGTGGGAGGACGAACGAACTCCCACGATTAGCAGGAGGTCAATCACCTGCTTTGCTTGTACCTGCTGTGTGTAGGCAGTAGGCAAGTAGGTAGAGTACACGATGTACATACCTACCTACTACGACACTGCGTCCAATTGATTGACACGAAGCGAAGCGCGAGTCGGGGAACCTTGGTCCTTGACTGGCGGGAGAGTCAGGATACCTACGTAGTAGGTACCTACATGTAGGCAGGTACACTCGGTACGCTACCGCCCCACCGCTCAGGTACCGATACCTGCTGCTCGAGGCGCTGCGGTACCTATAGCGGAAGAGAGGTACCGGCCTATACGGCCAGAGAATGATTTACTTCCAGGGCATCTTAAATCAGCACTGACCATTTGACACACCGCGTAAAAGTTAGGTGCAGTTGGTGTTGGTGGCGGGATCGTACATGTATGTACATGGACATGGACATGGATATGAAAATGGAAATGTTTTTGCCATCTGCAAGTCAGTGAGCAGGGCTTAGGTAGCTCCCTCTGCTCGAGAAGACCGTTAATTTTCGAGTAATTTACTGAATGTCTCCCTCGATCACGACGCCATGCACACGAGCTTTCAGTACATCTTACTGTATGCAAAACCTGCTTCATACAGGGCATTATTGCCTACATTCCTATCCCTATATTCTGTCCCTCTAGTAGTAGACACCTGGTTATGTAGATAGCAAAGGGGCCCTACATAGTGCGCAGGGTGAGCACGTTTAACTGTATAGTGTCCAGCTGGGCTGCGACGCAACAGCAAAATCACACATGATATAGGCAATTGTAAAGACTCTTGGGAGCTCTGACATTCCTTCGTGCATATATATACAATGTTTTGTTCGTGTAATCATTCTAATAAAATCTTCATTGTGCTTACCACTAGTGGAAAGCTGTGGTGTGATAGTGCTCATCACTTAGTACAATAGGCGGGTAACGGCACCACGAGCTGCTATTTGCTCGGTACCAGACTCCGTTCCAGGTAGGCTTGAGTTATTCATTGCGGCAAATCGGTTTGACTCCCCTGCAGGCCTGCATGGTCGCTTGCAGCTGAATGGCCTTGGTTGTGGTGGTCTTGCCTATCACGGAATCACGGCACATGTAATTAATAGGTAGGTGAGTTCAAGTAATGTAATCTTTGGCCCTTGGCGAGGCAAGTCAACCAGCAGTATCAACCGTAAGTAGTGCATCCTATCAACTATTACTAAGTATGCATTTGTAGTATCACTATGGTTTCATCCTCCTTGTCGATTTATGTTGCACAATCCCCTGAGAATAGTAGTCCAGGGTACAGTCTTCAAATCCAAGTCTCATCGATCACTGATCGAGCTTGCTGTGTGCATGGCAGATCTATCTCTTTGCCTGCATACGTCCGTGGGTTTTGCTTCCTCTGCGCTGGCTATATTGCCATTTTCTAAGATCATGGCGAGATGGGATGAGGTCTCCGTAGATCCTAACTCATAGTTGGTTGTTCATGTTTCCGCCTACTTGGAATAGAGATTAACCTAGATACAACCTGTTTTTCGCCGCCGCCTTAAGCTACGTTGCATCTGTATAGCACCAGCTTCGTCTACCATTGCCCTTTATGCTTTTATTCGGGCGCAATGGTAGCATGTCTTGTGTGAGCATCTTGTTCAAATTCCGTAAATAAGGCCATATGGACTAAATTCCTTTGCGAGGGAGTGGTTACCTCCAGTCCTTCACGGTTGCATTTTATTTTTAATAGTCTGTGGATTTGGGGCAAACTAGTTGGCTATCTTGTCCTCTAAGTCTGGGTACGTTTTTGCCCTTTTAGGGTATAACCATGCTCTTCTTTTTCTAACGGCATAATCTTCTATTGTGAACTTGCAACGCACACGCCTAACCTCACATGACGCTCGCTCGACCTTTATTCATGTGGACAAGGAACACCCGCCCACAGCAGAAGATACTACATAGTGGATGCAGCTTAAAGATTATCCCTTGTAAAGTTATCAATATTCGGCTGAGCCAAAAGGTCAATAGATATGGGGATCTTCTATATTGGTTCGGTAGATGGATTTATGGTTCCATGTAGACAAGGGGAGGCCATAGCCATCTTTTATCGAGGCCTCAATGCCAATCAGCACTGACGCTTCAACTTCGCATCGGCTATCGTGATGTACCTACGTATCATTTTAGTCCATCAGCGACTCGCCTACTTGGCGGTTGAACGTACGTCGTTCTGGGAGCATCGATTAAAGTCCTGGTTGAGTAAATTATTTAGCATTCCAATTGCCAATAATAAGTGCTTGGTGACTATCCAGACTCCTTGGTATAAAACTTGATCGATGATAACATCTAGTAATATATTGACGGTAACATTATATAAGGTCCCTTCGATCCAATGAAGCATGCTATTGCAGTACAATACTCAATTGTTTACTTGTAGATCTAGGTATTCTAAGGGGGGAGATTGGCTAAACAGAGCTTTGCATTTAAAATCCAGCTATCCATACAATTAATGCTATCTGCTCCCAGCTTCACTAGTGTTGGAACAACAACATGTTTAAAGGAGAATTGCAGATGTCCTTAAAGAAAGCTTCAAACTTTTATACAAATCATTATTGCCATCATGAACGACAATGAAAACACCTTTATACGGTGAACAGGTACATACATATATAATATATAGAGTTCGTAAGCTTCAACTTATATAATCAGGATAGATTAGTTTGTGCGTCTGCTCTATGTACATATAACTGCTGCTGTACAGTACATGTATATGAACATAGAAGAGAGTCTTAACAGATCCATCAAGAGTGCCAGAAGAGGCTAGCAGTGCATTTACCTATACTTGAGTGAACGGACATTAAAGTAAATCACGGTAAAAAGATCAAAGTGGGCAATAGTTTCGGATAATTTAGATCGCGCATAGGCGGATACTTGAGTACATGAATTGTAGACTCAAGTCCTGAGTATAAGTCTGCATCTGATATTGTAAGAGTTGCCGATTACAAGACGGTCTGATTTAGCTCATTCAATCCTTGCTCTTTTACTACAGTAGAAGCATCGAACGTGGTACAGCACCCTGCTACGTTGTTTCTCGTCTACATCACCAACACCAACAATGTTAGGCATGAGACTTCTGACAAGCCTGTGTGTCAAAGTCATCCTCGGGTTGTGGGCGAGCGGAAGGAAGGTAGCACACCACCATCTGCTACAACAGTGGAGTTCCTACTAAGAAAGGATAAGACAGTTTCAAGCTTGGCTGATATGTAATCGAACTAGGTACTGGCTTTAGTATGTAGGTACCTAAGGACATGTAGACAACCTACATGGACATGATACCTGCTGTACCTGTACATCACGCAGTGCCTACGGAGGTACCGCAGCACACTACTACCTACTATGTATGTAAGCCCCCGAGTATTGTGCACAGTAGACACTGGATGGAAGCGTTAGTCACAATGCCAATAGTGTCCAGTAGGCGTATGGCAGAGATGCTGCATACATACTATGTATTCTGCTGTACGTAGTAGTGTAGAATCTACTGCTGTGAAAAACGAACGGGGCGGGCGCTGGCGATCCATCGCGTCCCTCCGCTCCGGCCCCAATTCGGACGGGGAGCGCTACATGACGTAGTGCAAAGCTCAAGCCTTGGTTATACGTGAAGGGAACTATAGGTTTAGGGAATCTCCAGCTGCAACTAATGCCACATTACCGCTGTGGGATTTGTGCGACCGTGGGTGGACACGGCACTTTCAGCCTCCCAAGCGGGCAAATATGGGCGCGAGGTGGGCAAAGGTGGGCTCTCGAGAAAAAGGTGGGCGCAAGGTGGGCGAAAGGTGGGCTTCGATTGAATCATGTCGGCATCGCATCCATCGGGCAAATGTGGACGGAAATGGACAGAAATGGCAGAGAGGCTTGCTTGATGCCCCGTTCTGTGTAACATGAAGACCCTCATTTTGCATGGTCCATCACCAACCTTTTACGATGGAGCCTCGATGAGGCTGAAATCTTGAACGTCGTCGAAGCTTTGTCGCAAGACGTTTTTATCCACAACGCACATGGCTTATTAGCGCAACCTTACCCGCGACTACCTACTTACTTACATGTATGGGAGGGTGGGCGTGATGAAATCCAGGATAACGCCAATCAACCACGTCGAACGGAGCGATCCAAATACGTTGCCAGTTCGCTAGTTTGTGTAGATTACCAAGGACTGATTAATGCTGTATAGAAGCTTTCGACAATGTCATGAAGATAGGCAACCTAGGCCCAGGTAGTAAAGCCGGGCAACAGTCGGCGAAGACGAGACAAGACCTGCCGAGCAAATACCCGAACAACACATGCAGTAAGGCGCTACGTTTCTTCCAACAACCACAAGGATATGCAGGCCACATGTTGCCACATGTTGGGTCAAAAGGCGGCCTCTTGTTGTTGTCGCTACCGTATGCAGTTTTAAAACGGAAATAACCCCGACCTGTGTCCAATACCACGACATACTTACGCATGTTCGCTCGCAGAGATGAAGGACGCGGCAAGCTTATGCGTACATGCGCACACCTTTGCTATCCCGGCGCATTCGAGCATTCGAGCAATACTCGGCGTGAAGAAGTAATGCCCTGCCTGTCGCGAAGCAACAGTGTATATCACCTCTTTGATCTCCTTATTGGCTCATGCAGGCGATTCAGGGACCCTGCCTACAACTGTGCTACCTATGTAAGTACGTATTGCTTGAATGGTGTAGACGGCCAATACATATATCCACATGCCGGAAGAGGTTTAAACATGGTTTCTACATGTTATCTGTCAGAGTACATAGTACATACTATACATACATATGCACATGCGTTCTTCTGACATTGTTCTGACAGCACGCCATTAAGTAATCCAGGTAAATATACAACGTATGTGTATGAGAGTGCCGAGAGTAAGACAGCATTCTAACTTGCCAGGATGCCGTCATAATCTATCCGAGAGGAACAACAGCCGAACTCTGCAATTAATAAGCATACCTCATTTATACACGTTGCATCGTGCTACACACGCCCTCACCTACACAGTACACTATGTAGGTGCTAAGTAGTGGAGGTAGGTTCAAAGTTGCGATGTAGAACATAACGGACCAACGAGCATAACGAGCATAACGAATACACGATGGTAACGTAATGACTTCCTTCGATGGTATTGGATGGCGAAGAAGAAAATCTGCTCCAACGCTGGCAATAAGTAATGCAGCACGGCCGTAGGGACATGGAAGTTGAGAAGTATCTGAGAAGTACATACACCTTGCTGCATGATGCATCTGTAGGTACTTACTTACAATGGTCGGCCATGGCCACGACGTACCGTACCTACTGGCTACTGCAAGTAAGCCCTCGCTCCATTCCGCATCTGGCCAGGCGGCCCTGACTGGGGAGTTGCTAGCGCAGGGCAAAAACT